TAGACCCCAACTAAATATACTGTCTTTCTCTTCTCTTTTAGAAAATAAGTTTTCGAACAGCAGTCGCACTATGATCACGCACTGTTACATTTTGTTTATGCAAGACTGGACGACAGATTTTTGACTGGTGGCACAGTACAAGCTATCTTTTTTGTGGCGTTTGAAGGGGCCGTTGTTTGTTTATCAAGTGCAAGTACGGTAAATACTTGGCATCGATTGTTGTCACGCGTCATAAATAATATAGTACCACACACATAGTGTCATAGATAACCGATGATATGTTGCTGTTCTTGTTACGAAAGATGGGCCCTTTTAGGTTTCGATGAAAATGCCGCAATCTATCAGAGACAATGACTCAGCGTTTACATCCTAAATTACCATGTCTTCTCTGTTCTCCGTTTATCTTTCTTTTTACATTCGTCACCATTCTTTCGTACTGTTTTCTTTTCATCCTTCACAATCATCGTAGGGTCAGATCTTTTTGACACTCGATGAGTGAAAAACCCGCTCTATACGACGCTCAGTTGTCATCACATCAAACGACTGTCCGTACACACCCTAAGCCGACCAGCACCAGCGTCGTCAACCATGTACTGTGATAGTCAACCAATTTAAGGTGTGTTCGAGCTTTTTTGGGCCCCTTGTTGTGGATGTGCTCACTGAGACATTGATAGCAAAATGACGAAGATTCGGCCACTCACTGTTGTTGATATAGATTCACGGTCCTTCATATTACATGCCAACAGCGGTTCTCAGATCTTCCAGCTGGCATATCTATCTAATTACAGTCATGCAGTAGGGTCGTCGGTATGGCGCAGGTAAACAGACTACATTGCTGCTTGGATTCGATGTTCTGTTCAGCCGCAATGACATTTAACGCGTCACCATTCAAGTATGACTTGTATTGATATGCATCATTAGTTGGGTTGGTTTAAAAATGAATTTGAGCGCTACATAATTGGTGGTTTACTCACAAGTTTGTGTACATCAAGGACCAACTCTGTACCAAAGTCTCTATATCCGTTGTGAATTCAAAGTAGATGTCGTTCTGCACTTGCACCCAGTACCTTCGACTAGGGTGCACTGACCTTGATCGGATAACTTGATTACTGTTTCTATGTTATAAGTACTCATGCTTATCGGGTTGTCACGGTGCCTATGCTGTCATGGACACACAGCTGTTGCTGGCCAGTTCCCTGTCGCTCGCCTTTACGATGGTCAATGTAAGCTCGTTGCTGGGCTTCCGTTTTTTATGTCTCGTGACGATACCATGGATGCGCCATTGGTATCTCTGCTTTAGCTGGCTTCTTTCTGTTCATGTCGCTTTCTGGCCTTATTTGCTTGTAGATTTTGATTTGTCCATAGTTGTCTTCTTTCTTTTCATGAATAAAAATATAATTTCACTCGTCGTACAATAATATTTTTTTGTGTCTGTCCCATAATCTTGTACACGTTGTTGGCCTCTATCATAGACATCAATGCCATTTCTCAATCATTGCGCCTTTGCTCTCTTCTTCCACCCAACCTGTTTATAATCACAATACAGTATACCCCCTTTCATTGCACATCCGTTAACAAAATTTTGGGAATGGAAAAAATAACATGGTAACTTTCAAACCCCCGTTTATTTCATTTTCAATGTATCATCCAGGGATGATCGGGTTATAATACAAAGTGCTCCTCCATATATACTTTAAAGAAATTAAGCACTGCACATTATTAATTTCGGTTGACTTTCGGCGAATATTATAATAAACAAAAAAGAAAGCTATCTAAAGAGCTTTGTCTAGCAAACAGTTTTTCTTGAAGCTTGCCGCGTAACTCTCGTAGTTTAGAAGGGAGACTAGGTATAATCTCTTCATCTCCATCGGAGGTCAAGAATCCAAAAAGTTAGTTTGATTTTTATGAACAAGATATCATTATATTTATAGAATATTTCAATAGAAAACAAATATTCACCCATCTCCTTATGACTTCAAGTTCTTTTATATGATAGAATACTCAAAAGGATATAAGTAACAGAGATATGGCAATCCTTGTATATAACTTTTTTTCTGATTTTCAGTGATACTACTGAGCGGCAAGCAGTCGCTGTTTTACTGAATGCTTCTTGGTCTCCAATTGTCTCTTCTCTTGGTGTATATTTTACATATTACGTATGTGGAAACAAGGTCAATCCAGCTAGAAAATGTATTGGGTACTAGGCTAATGTGGATTACGGTTTCTAAATAGTGACAACTTCTTGAGCGTTGGTAATCTATGTAGCATTAAGATGCGTCTTGATAAAGAATATCCGTACACAGATATTGGGTCCTAGCATCCGTTATATTTCACAATCCATCATTTAGGAATTTCAAGTTGGAAATTAACGGGTGTCCTGATATCTCGTTCCTATATTGTTTCCGCTACATGCTACATATCCTCTTATCGCCCTGTCAGCTCCTCATCATACACATTCACGCTCTCGAAATAAAAGCTCCCGTTGCCTTTCTTCATAACTCTCGCTACAAACACTATCTCTTTTGTTTGCCATACGCCGAACCTCTGCCGCTTCGTCCTGACCACCGCCTATAACGTCATCCCCCCCCCCCAATTCTTTTCACTTAGTGCCTCCACTCAACTTCCCAAACTTCCTAAGTCAACTTTGCTCTGCTCTTCTTGTACTTCATTTTCATCTTAGTAACTTATCCAACCTCATTTTTTTCTAAAACCACAAGAAAATCGGCTAAGATATTGAACATTTTCCTTTCATAGTAATCATCTCGACCATTCTCTTGTTTATGTTTATCCATCCTTCCAAAACAATTTCGCTTCTACTGTTTTTCCACTGCTTCAACACTTTTGCCGATTTGCTAGTTGGGGGACCACTAGTGTGTCTCAAACATTAAAATTTTCAAAAATCTGAAGATATCTGCCAGAGTTCCGATATCTGCAGGGAAGGAATCTGATTGGTTTGAAAATCCACAAATATTCAAATATCCTGATGTAGATCACGATCTTTTGACGAACAGATCAATTTTTTTCGCTTACAAAAGAGAAAGAAAGATGCGTCTGTTTAGACCGTTTTATAACTTGAATTGGATATATGTTTTTACAAGTATTACATTACAGTAGTTGAGAAGTTTAGTAAAGTGTCTCAGGCGATTTCGTTCCCTATTGGCTACTTTCGAAATCCGCTCAGATCTGTTCATCAGATATCTGATGTTTGAGACACACTACTATGCCTTGACCTGATGAACTTCCTAGTCGATTAAATAAGATTAGTGATACGGCTAATTTCTTACTCGTATACTCATATAGTATGTATAGAGAGCGCTGCTGTAAAATATCTATGTGTCACCACTGCGAAGAATATTTTATTGCAACGACCATTTTACTGCAACGAATAATACTGCAAAAGTGCAGTACGGCAAATTACTTTTTGAGGCAATTGACAGTACGATATTTACTAAGTGGGTCCGGGGAAACGCGCGGCATTTGTTCGATATCATAGAGTCCGGCAAATACTGCAAAATTACCCAAGCCCGCTATATGAGATCTAACAACGCAACCACTTTGAAACGCTACTTAGAAATCTCGTACCTGTAGCACTTCTCTTGAAAGATATGATAACTCCATCGATACACCGAAGCGAGGTACTGATTTTAAATTACCGTTATATGTAACGATAACTGTCGCATACGCGCCAGATGCTTATTTGTTATGCTAAATCATTGTCAGCAGCAGCAACTTCAAGTATCCACTTGCGAAATGAAGTGATTGCAAATAGTGTACGTGGATACATGTTCCGCCATGGCCTCCGACATGACTCAACTTCCTTAAATTTCTATTTTCGGTTAATATCATATTTTTCTGGCTACCTTACCCAACCCCACAAAATGACATGCCCTTTTCGATCCAATAACCAGTACTTCATACAAATATGTACACGGGCATTCTAGCTACTAAGTAGTAAATTTATTCTTAAACTTAAATTACATATACAAAATGAACATCCATTAATTTTACATGGAAGCAAGATCATCCAAAGACTTGCCCTCGGCTCTATAAATGATCCATTCTTTTTGAGGCTTTGCACCCATTGCCTCATAGAACTTTCTTGATGGCTCGTTCCAATCCAAGACAACCCATTCGTATCTACCGCATTCGCGTTCCTTGGCAATATGAGCAAGCTGAATCAACAGCTTCTTGCCGATGCCGAGGCCTCGGAATTCAGGGCGCACGAACAAATCTTCCAAGTACAAACCTGGTCGACCTGTCCAGGTGCTAAAGTTGTGGAAAAACAACGCAAAACCAGCAGCCTTGTCCTCGACATACGCCAGGATCACTTCGGCATAGGGGCGCTCGCCAAACAAGTTCTTGCGCAAGAGTTCTTCTGTAGCAACGACAGCTTCAGGTGCCTTTTCGTACAGGGCCAAGTCCTTGATAAACTGAAGAATGAGAGGAATGTCGTTGGGTGTGGCAGGGCGAATGTCAACGGCAGCAACCATGGCTTTTTTTTTAAATGGGCGACGAGGAAGAACGAGAGATAAGAGGGGACGACGAGTTTGTGAGAAAGAAAGAGAGAGAGAGAAAAAACTTGACAGACCCAGCACACTTGCCACTTTGAACATTGATCGGAGAAAACTTCAATCTCCCCCGTCTCTCGTCCGGTTGTTGGTTGCTTTGTTCCTTCCACCTGAAAAAAAATGACTTTGCACAACCAAATTCAAGAAAAGTACGACGCGGCATTGAACAGCAAAGAATTGCTCTTTTTTGAAACCACCAAAGTTCTTAAGGAAGTCGATGGGCTCAAGGTAAATTGCAAGTCGTTTGAACATGGAGTTGTAGCAGCAGTAACAGGAGCTTGTGGTGTACTGAATTCCCCGAAATGGTGTTTCGTAAACGCGTATGGAATAGTTTGAAATCACGTACGCACCGTCGCTCGCCAAGAAACCGAGCAGCGACCCCACAATGGAAGAAAAAAAAAAGATCAAAGTGAACCCTTTTCTGCCGCCAAACCCAGCACTTTTTGTGCAAGACCTTGACGAGCATTCTGTTGTTCTCAACAAGTTTTGCATTGTACCTCATCATATCATCGTCGTCACCAAAGGTATCATATAACGTGGATACAAGAATGAAAATGAGAATGCGCTAATGTGGCGTGTGTGTATCAAAAGCTGAAAGAAGACGCACGTTATTCTTGCAGAATTCAAAAGCCAATCGCAGCCCTTGTTTCCTTCGGATCTGCTTGCCGCTTGGCAATGCATGATGACTGCATTTGGTACCACTCCGGCGCTGGCATTCTACAACTGCGGCCCATTTTCAGGTGCCAGCCAGCCCCACAAACACATGCAGATTCTTCCTCTGCAAGGCCAACAGCCACAGCCGCCTATCAAGGCCCTCTTTAACCAGATCCAAGACCGAAAAGCCGGCCAGATCTATGTCATGGATAAGCTGCCATTCGTCCATGTTATCACGCCACTCGATCGCAACTTTATCGACTCTAGCACAGACAACGAAGAATTGGGCGACTATCTGGCACAAATGTTCTTTGGCTTGTTGGATGCCATGTTCCAGCAACTGCGTAAGCACGCCACACCCGATCGCGAAATCTCATACAACTTTATCATGACGGATCAGTTCATGATGCTTGTGCCCCGCTCGAGAGAATTGGCCACCTTAGTCCAAGAAAATCTTCAGGTGTCGATCAATTCGCTTGGATTTGCGGGTATGCTGTTAGTAAAGACGCCCGAGGAGTTGGCGGCATTAGAGAATCATCCGGATTTGATGCAGGTGCTCAAGGATGTGGCATATGCATGGAATCCGAATGCTGACGTGGAGGACCCTATGGAGCAATAGTAGCTTAATGAAGAATTATCCGACATAGTAATAGAAATGATGAATCCAAGGCAGTTATTATATAATAGACAGGTTGAAGTTTTATTATTCATCACCAAGTCGCACTCCTTGGCCGGGAAAGCCACCAGAAACATTCACATTATGGGATGCTGGTGTGCTACTGTTGCTAATGTGGCTGCTACTCGTGTTGTGGATGGGTAAATAAGCCTCGGTAGCTGAGTCCACGGAAACGTATCGGGAGTTGTTAGTGACGCGTTCCAGCCACGGCCGACTCTCATAGTGTTTGTAGAAATCACTGGATGGCAGTATTCTGGGCGGTATCTTGTTTTTCATAACTGGAAAAGGACGTTGTTTACATAGTTAAAAAAAGGGACCGCACTGTCAATCTTAAAAGAACATCCTTACAGAGATATGCAGTTCCAGCAGCGAGTAGATGAAGTACCAGCGACGTGTCGGGTACGAGAAAGAAATAAAATCCAATGATCATGTACGGCATAACCCGACCTGGGATCCGAATCACGCCAAACAGCCTAAAATCAAAGCATGATGACAGGATATAAATTATCAGAAGGACGCTCTAGCTCTCCTTGATCTGCTTCCCAAAACCTACATCCGATCATTCGTTTGTCCTTCGGCTTCTTCTTCCATAGCAGACCATGCAGACAATGCGACTACCCAACCCGATAAACCGGCACAGACAGTCGTTTCTGCTGTCAACATATGCGGTCTGAAGATCGCCAGGAGAAGCACATAGAGAAAGCCAATTCCACACGTGTAGAAGCTTGTCAAGAGCCATGCCAGTTTCAAGCTACCGTGCTTCCGTTCCATTGCAGCCATGTATGGCAGTGCCAATAGAGTATTTGTGAATAATAAAGAGAGTTCAGGTGATGCGAGTGGGTAGAGCAAAAGACGGTGTCCTAAATAATGATAATAATTGGTCGAGTCTCAGTCAGTTCACTATCCATCCCGTAGTGTATGCGTACGCCCACTTGGTCGGAAACCACTCTCAGAAAAGTTCTGTGTCTATCTTTTTACCTTGCCAGTGATACACTACTTTGGAAACGCTGAGGTACAACCACCGGCTGACAAAAGGCTGGTGCGATTGATTTATGCGGCCCGGGGCATCTGCCAAAGCGATCAGCCAAGAGATGCCAATGACAGACAGTGTGAATAACGGTAACGATGCAAGGTACTGTTTGACATGGGAGAAAAAGATACGAGTGCTTTCGCCTGCTCGATCTGTATAAGCTGCTGCTTGTCCCGCGTTGCTGTTATTGCTGTTGTTATTATTGCCAGACTCCATTTGTATTATTCTGTTCGTGAGATAGAACAAGGAAGAGGAGCAAAAAATAAAAGCCAAGCAAAGAATTTGAAGATCAAGCAGGAACACGCGCGCCCAGGCTTCCATGCAAAGACACGTGACACGACGTAGTATGTTTACATAACTCGAATAAGTTGGAAACGAATTCTAAGGCTTTATTTTGTGATCTATTATAAGTATGAGGGAATATATATGATAGTAATGATGGTCGAAAGAAAAGAGAGAGAGAGAGGTATGACACACAAAGAAAAAGAGGGATGGATTTTTAGGAACATTATTTACAACTTTCCTCTCTTGCTGAAGCCCAATTCGACCAACTTTAAGAAGGAAGCGGAGAAGTCATCAAAGAACTTTTGCTTGTCCTTGGCGTACAATTCAACGTACTGGCGGAAGGGTTCTTCCAAAAGAGCCATGTCGGTAGGCAGCATCATCAGTTCGCCATCCTCGGCGTCGACAAACTGTCTGGGACCGTCCCACTTCTTCTCGACCCATTCGTTGTTCAAGAGTTGCTTGTAGCTATTGTTTAAATTAGTCTCAAACTGGAGCAACGAACTCAATAGTGGTTCCACTTACAATTGGTTAGAGAAACGGGTGGGAGTTTCAGTCCATGGCCCTTCAAAACCCTAATTCACATCAAAAAGGTCAGGTCATGTCAGTATCAGCAAAATCGCGTATAGTCTACTAGAGCAGAAGCAACGACTTACGGAGCGGTTGGAATGGCAACGACCCACAGTATGAGCACCAATCAAGGCAACGGTTTCCTGGACAGTGAAGCCCATACGGCCAACGAACAGATCCAAAATGTGATCCTTGCCCAAAGCACCGTCGGGAAGACGGTTAATAGGTGGGTTCTCAGACTCAACCTGCTTATCGCGACGACCGCCAGTCCATTCAATGTGGGGACCGCCCATGTGTTCAACGGCAACACAGCCTGCAAGGCTACATGACATTCGATGGGCGAGTCCTTTGTTAAGATCTGTTTCACCCGCTTTTTGTTTTCTCCATTCCAAATCAACGGATTCAACTGCATTTTTTTTCTTCAGTTCAGGATCAAAAGATCATCAACTTACGTCCACAGATCAGCGTAGGTGATCCAAGGGTGCTTGGCCTTAATCGGTTCAAGGAACTCACGAGCTACTTCCAAACCGGCGTTGGCACCATCCGAAGCTTCGGTCTTGAAGCGCATGGTAGCACCGTCACTGCCACCGTCCTTCTTGTGTTTGTCGTACGTACCGCTGGCGTGCCAGGCGAGACGCAAGCTATCGTTGTTTTGTGTTTGTCGATAAGTTTTATCGTTCTGGGCCCGAATGCATATCCTAACAACAGATAAAAAAAAACAACTATTGCTTACACAACGGGGGCAAAGGAACCATCGTCGTAGTCTTCGTCAGGGAATGCCTTGATAATGTCCTTGCGGACTGCATCGTACTTATCAACAGAAGCTTCAGTGCTTGACATAGTTAAAAAAAAAGAAAAAGAGTAGGGAGTATGGAAGAGAAAGAGAAGGGAGAACTGAAAAGAAGGAAAGAGAAACCAGAGGTTCTTTACGATTATAATTGTGTGTGTTATGTGGGTGCGTTGCTGCTTATGCCATTCGAATTCACATGTAGGGCCGATGGCGATAAAGAGTCCGATTTCGTTATCCGCGAAAAAGAGCCAATCAATCCCCGGCACAAACGTTTCTCCACTTCTTGTAAATAACATTACACAGCAAAAAAAGGTTCGCCTTCCGTCAGATTTTACGCGATCACATAAGAATCGTGCCTATGTGCCTCTCACATCCATCACAAAGAGGTTTGATTTGGCAGGTGCGTAGCTCGCCTATCAAAAACGGCTCAGTTTGTGAATATCTCATGAGCCCGCCTCTGACCTGTCATTTTGCCTGCAGTTTATGGGCGATGTGGGAAGTTCCCTGCACCTTTTCACATGAAGAAAAACAGATCAGCCTCCTTGCTTGTAAGCAGAAAAACTAAATTGCCGAATTTTTCACATGGCCGCTTCAGCATCTTTCCACTCTTCCTTATTTGTATATGAGCCGACGACTTATCTCTCTCTTTCTCTCGCTCTGCCATCATCATCACCTGCTCGTGATCGTTTCCAGTGTTATGGAGTCACCCTGTTCTGGCGCGTCTGTCATACAGGGCGCTGTCCACACATAACTCGCATAATGTTGGCCGATAACGATGATGCTTTCTGGCGTCGTTCTTCCTGTATTAAATGTCCTTTTCTCCGGAAATAAGGGTTTAGCTTGGTGGCGGCTCAGGTCGGATAATAGACTACCCCACACTACGGGTGAGCTCAACATCGGACAGAACTTCTCGAGCCAATCAACTACCTACAATCAATGGATCTTCTACAAACTTAATACGCCCCTATGATATGGTACATTTACACTGTATCATCATTAGGATTATCGTTTCTCCATGTGTGCTAGTAGCATAATATATTACTTTCTTATAGATGACGAATAAATGATATGTTCAAGCCGATCATCATCATGATATCAGTAGAGCGCGGATGGTTTTGTGTACCTTCGGCCTTACAGCTGTAAAAGCAAACGGTGGAATATGATATGTTGTGACGTATAACTTGCATACATACATTTACACAAAATATCGAGCAAAAGTAATATGCATACTTGGTTGACTGGAAAAAAAGAAAGCATCCGTTATTTATTGCTAATCTGATCCAATGTCAGTATACAACAACCACAAAAAAAGGTACATATTTATCTGATCCGTTCTTCAAGTATGACAGTAAAAACAGCACCCGTTTGCCATCGAACTAAGAGGCTGTTCTCATGAACCCTGTAGCTTATTAACAGCCAATGATGGCATGCTTGTGTATCAATTGAATGTAACTCTGTATTATTTGATTTTCCCATAGGCTTATTTTTTAAAAAATATACCCAAGCTTCCGAAAACATAAAGCGTATAAACATTTGTTGCTGCTAATTCATGGAAAATTGTAAGCGAATTAGGCCCACGGCCTGATTATTTTTAAAGTGCTACATATAACTAGTAGAATGGCTACATATGCTATTTTAGAAATGTTTCTGCTGCTGTTGTTGTTGTACAGTTAAAGTCCAAGATGGTATCAACAAAGATACTCTTTTCTTTATTTACTGTAACAAATGGTTCACCACCTCGGGTGTATGTTTATTGCAAACTGACGTTGCTTCCGTTTCCTCCCCTCTATTCTCCTGATCCAAAAACGTTCCATGGTAAAAGCATAATGACCATCATGTAGTTTATGCTAATTCAGATGATGATACATATCTATGTTCGGTTTCACCATCCCCAATTATTATCATTGAAAAATATGATATCCATTTATAAGATTGGCATGAAGACAACCATAATCATGGGGCTGAAGGTAAGTTATTTTGATCACAATGCGCAGTTCATCATAGTATATGATAGTTCCAAGCGATAAATTACCATAGCCTTATCATTACTTTAAGTACGAAACGAATCGTTCCCAGCATATACGTATGTAAATTGTAGACGCATACTATCATACATAGATGTGTTGCGTTCCTTGTAAACTTTTGCATCAGAGGAAAGCACATTCTATCAAATATTTGCACTGTTATAATAATTTAGTTACATATAAAGATTAGGTTTGATGGTGGAATGTAGTAATAGTTTTAATGATGGAAGTTGTATAATACTCATATCGTCGTGTGTTATACGGGGTCGGTATGTTACTAGGGAGTCATAATATGAAACACTGCACTTTGGAAGCGACGTTTAACTTTTTTATGAAAAAATATAGTGTACATAAGTGAATTTTCTTTATTCAAGACGAAGTGTATATCATAGCGAAGAAGAAAACGATTTGCTGTGCTGTTCCATTGGTTATAAAAACCGACTGGAACATATGATGAGTATGGATTAACCACTTTGCGTTTAGCTTTTGCTCTACTTGATGTATTTCTGGACGGCAACCGTTTGCCGTTTATTCAAGAAGCGGATAGCCTTTTGCTTAACGTTGACAGAGAAAAACGAGGATAAAGAAGACGTTTCTAACTTTGCAAAAAAGAAGCCCACGAGAAAGTTTGAATATCTTTTCTTAAATTAAACATTTTGTATGTGTGTATTTATGTATAAAGTATTGAAATAATCGAAAGAAGCTAACGTTTGGAAGTGTTAGAAAAAAGACTTGCTTTCGATCCATCCATTCAAAACAAATCATCGATAATTTCTCCTTAATTTAGTTTTCTTTATACATCGGTTACTACAGTCATTTGCTGTTGACATAGCAGCTCAACGTGACTTCTCTTGACGGGACATCAGGATCATACGTCTTTAAAACACTATAGATAAACAGCAAAGAGCCACATATCAGCTACGTTAGCGCCTTGTGTACGATTTTGAAACAAATAATTTCTTGATTTCAAGACCATATGAGCACAGTGCGTGCAAATTCTTAAACAAGGAAAAATATGCACGGTAGGTATCATATAAATGTAACGAAAAGACACAGTGTATGTAAGATGGAGGCAATCGGCAATGTTATCAAAGATATATTGGTAAATATATTTGAAAGAAAAACGAGCAAATTAATCAAACCATCATACTCTAGCTTCAAGAATAAAAAAAGGCATACAATTGAACTTGGCAGCTATATCATAATTCCTAAGCGCTTTGAAGTGGGCACACGCCGCTTGGCCATGTGCCTTGTAGGAAAAAGAAGAAAAGTGTAGTTCGGAATAGAAATATAGATAAGTAGCTGCTTCGCTCCCCTTTTCTCATTGATTCGATCTAAGCGCACCAAACGCGCATAGTCGAAATCGAACGCGTAGCATACATCGTGCACATTAATATCACTACGTAGGAAACTCTTTGCATTACGAATTTTAAAGATTCAGCGTGCTTTATTTGCCTACCTTTTATTTTTCCATTTTATACCTTTTTGTTTCATACTTTACACATAGCACATTATTCGTGCCATATTTTGGTAAATACGGAGTATCTCACCTGCAATCAAGGAGCAACGCTGAGCATTACGATAGTTGCTGCTTATAAACGTGCTCTTATCAAATCAAAATGATGCATGTGCCCATTTATCTACTCACGATAAAATGCATACATGAAAAAGCACAAACGTGTAACAGTTGCACAGAAAATTTCTTTTCGCTTCCAAGTATGGTGATTCTTTGTGCGTAGTAACAATCATTAAAAAAATGGAATACAGTAAGCGTACGAGTCTTCTGTGATGTGTTTAATTTCAAAATGCTCACCACAAAGCCACAGTTTACAGCTCCTTTTTCTTTTTTACTTTCTCCCATTCTCACTTGTCTAATTCAATTTTGCAAAACGTTTGCACAAGCGATGGAACCAGAAGCTCGACATAGACGCTCTGCTCTTCACGAACAGACAATGATTGATGAGATATCATCCGAGCCAAAAAGCGATTATGACAAGCGTCTGTACGGTGAGTCAACTACATAATCTTTTGCTGCTACGAACAAAACAGAGCATTATCATCAATGATAAATGCATATTCCTATCCTGAATATGCTTTTTCGGGCTACTTATTTTATATAATTTAGGACGCCTTTATCCGAACACATTGCGTGATCCTCGCAAACTGCTAGCTGAAGGTATTTACCATCCACAGTAATACTCTTTCCCTTAGCATATTCCCTGGTAAACTAATTGTGCACCTTCAACGAAGAACCATTGTACAAACACTACGGTCTATTTGTCTCGCAAATTCTCAGGCCAACATCCATCTTAAGACTACTTGGTCAAGAAGGAGATCGAATTGTGCAAAGGCTTTCCAATCAGTTTCCGGCAACACTATGCGCCCCTACTATCATTATAATCAACATTATCTACCTTGCACTTGCTTTTGTATTCATAATTCTACTGGCGCGTAAGATTGAGTCTGATACAAAGATTACGGTGATAGCAACAGTGTCATCATCCGCACCAAGTTGGACAGCGGTTGGCGTACCTCTTTGGATAGCAAACGTTTTAATGCTTCTCATTACCGCACCGTTCACACTCCGACACGTCGAGACATCGTTTTCTGGGACCCATATCCATGTCGTCAGCGTGAGGGCAATGTGTCGGTATATCATGTTTACACTGTTTATCACCTTTCTTAGTGTAAAAGTAATGGGCCAAGTTGATTGGGCAGCTCGCGTCATATGTGTACCGTACTTTGTTGGTGAAGGGGTCTTTCACTTACCGCACGTCTTGATGGCTGAATGCGATACTGTGACGTATCCAGAAAGAAATGGTGTATACATGCCGCTTGTCAATTTTCTAACAGTATCTCAATACCGTATCATACTATGGAAAATTATCGACCCTTCATGGGTTACTCTCATGACGACGCCGTTGCCGATCTTGCGAATTGCCTTTGTCGCTCTTGCTGCATTAAAAGTGGATGGTGTTCTTGGTGATGACAAAGACTGGCGATACATTTTTATTCCTATGTTCATCTATGGTGCATTGCGATCTTATTCACCACGTTTGGGTTGGTTTTACGACAAGAAATTACGTGCCTTTGATATTCCTGCAATTGTGCGAGTGGTGCTGTTTTATCTCTTTATTGCCTTACTCGTACTGCGATTGAATGGTATCACACAGATTCCGATGCTGGTGATTTTCATACCTGTGTTGGTCATCTTGGTATGTATTTTGTATATCCCATCTAACACTTTTTAATTTATATTAAATCGTCTCTCAATAATGATATTAAAGACCTTCTATTAATCATGTACATTCCATCCATATAGGTCATTTACTCTTTGGCTACTCTTTTCTGCATTCCTTATGTATGGTCTATTCTGTATCATAACAATGATTTTTAAAATAAGGCAATGTCAATATTGATTACTTGATTACTTGACATAATTCATTTAAGTGCAGAGGATATACATATGTGATTTATCTTCCTCCTCACTTCGCATCATGTACGCAATTGGTTTTTTCCAATATTGATAATCAGCCGAAGTTTCTTTTTTTTGACAGCATCACTAAATATAAATGTTACTATCGTTGTAAACTTATGAAATACACTAGCCTTTTTTTTGGCTGCATGTATATGTTCGCTGATTTCTATTGGTAACATTTGTTTGATGTATGTAACCAGCTCGGGCCCCTTACATGTTGTGACACCATTGACGACAAAATCTATAAGCAATTGTGGGAGATCTTCATCTTTCGTTAATGAGATCATTTAAATTGTTTTAAGTATACATGCGAAACAGTATCCTATTGGCTCATTAGCTTATTATGGCTTACTTATTATCTACGTATGTTTATCAGGTTGTATACATACAGGAATCAGAATGACTTATCAATATTACTGTCCTGCACTCAACAAAAACATGATTATGTGGCTACAATTCAATATATGATGCATTCAGCACACAGTGAAAAGGATCTCCTCATTTACCATAGAGTAATCTTTTCGTGCTAGATATGTAAAAATGTATCTGACACTGTTGTACTAACCCCAGATTGGGGCATGGAAAGGTAACACTCGCCCGAGTAGGGTCACCGGGCCAAAAAGAAGATTGAAACGACGCTCTTTTGTTCTATACTACAAAAAGGCTAATCACATTCAACTGCTTAGATTACTAGCAAATTTAAAGAGAAAAGATAATTCAGGCTAGTTTATTGACGATCAGTATCGTCACTGGTAATTATTGTATTTCTTGTACGGGAAAAGCAACAACAGGCGCTTTTGAAGAAAGGACCATTCCGGCCAACAAGACTGGCCCCCGGTTGGTTTGTTTCTTTTGTCTGGTGACAATGTGAAAGACATTCTTTGGCAAGAGCCACAAACATAGTACACTCATACTACAAGTTTCATCACCATACTTATCAGCCCACTTGATGCTCATATCAGTGAGCGGCAACCAGTTATAGCAACCAGCACATCACCAAATGAATGAACTCTCATTGTACATTTAAGCATGTAACAAACAAATCATTTGATCACGGTGTAAGGAAAACGGTAGCAATAAGAAAACTTAACTACACACACTTATTGTGTATTGAATTTTATTAAAGGTATACAGGAAGAATACATTTTCACAGTGGTAGTAGCAGTGGCAGTTATGAAATGATGACAATGAAACGCGTGCGTTGCACACATGTGAAAAGGCATGATTTCTCTACTGCTTGACGCGCTGGTAGTAGAAGGAAGAGAAGGTAATTAGTTTTGCATTTTACCAAATAAATCTTTTCTTCTTTGGAGGGAATCTTTTCTTTTTTGGAGGAGTTGTGGGTTTTTTTTTCTGATCACTAATGCTATTCTTTTCATCAATAGTCTGCTTTACCAGAGGAGCCACGACTGGTTTTACCAAAGCGGGTTCGGCAGCAGGAGCTGGCTTGTTTACTAGAAGAGCGGCTGGCTCTTGAACAAAAGGCTGACCGTTCTCATAGAGAATAACCAGTTGTGGTTCGTGCGTTGACACACCGAATTCATTCTGTTTCATCAGATCGTCTTGGTTATCAAGGAGTTCGTCAATACTATCATCGTCATCGGAGCCGCTGTTTTCAGGAGTCAAGCGGATAAACCCATCATCGCCGTTACGGGCATTTTGAAGCAACTCGGCCGTGGAAATACCTGGCTCAAAGTAGAGCAGGTCGACCGATTCGTGTGTAGACCAGTCGCAGCCATGCCAACGACGCTCCATATCTTCATGCATCATGGAATGGTCGTGCTCATGTTCAGGAACATGGTGTTCCGAGGTAAGTGAGAGGAAGACGCTTGGTTCCATCATTTTTTTTCTTTGTTGATTTTCTGTTTGGTATATGGTAGAGAAATGAAGAACAAGGAAGGAAATAACAAAAGGTAGAGAAAGAAGGAGAAGAATACAAAGTTCCCGGTCAATTTTTATATTTCGTAACAAACAAGGTGCTTTTCTTTTTATTATGGGACGGAACTCACCACATGATCCCATATTGTTTGCTCGGAATAACCTATGTGCAAGCTGCTTGGTTCCGTTTACAATTTTGGAGGGAATTATAAGGTATATATATAAACGTCTGCCTGGTATTGGAAGGAAATACATTTCCTTTCTACTGCTACCTCTTATCCTTAGCCCGCTCTCTCTAATTACACTATAATCTCTAAAGATGGTTGCCAAGGTTTCTGCCATGGTGCTTATTTCCATGGCCATCATGGCCGCTCAAGGTAAAGTTGCATCAAAGAGAAATAAAGTTTCCGCCTTGTGTCACCTTGCGTTTTGATGTGCTAAATCCATTCATTGTATAAAATAGCACAACAACCAGCACAGCAGCAGCCAAAGAGTGTCTGTAACCAGGATATCACTGGCACTGGTCAGGGTGATTTGGATGCTATCAGAGGCTGCAAGCAATTCTATGGATCCATCACCATGGATAGTCCACCTGTGGATCGACTGACACTGGACGGCGTCGAGCAGATCACTGGCAATGTTTTGATCAAAGGAAGCAGCTCGCTTAGAAGCTTCAGTGCACCCAACTTGAAATCTGTCCAAGGCGCCTTGACGATCCGTGAGCACACAGCTTTGCAGCAGCTGGATCTGCCTGTACTTCAAGAAGCCACAAGCCTGACGCTGGGCGTCTTGCCAGAGCTCGAAAAGATTGATTTCCCTGCCGGTCTTAGCAAGGTTCAAGACTTGACCATCGAAGATACGCGCGCATCTGTCATTGGTGGTCTCAAGCTTGACTCGTTGAATAAGTTTACGCTTACCGAAAACAACTTGATGAACTCGTTTGATTTCCCAGTTAAGGAGGTGACTGGTGAGCTTTATGTGGTTGGCAATGGCAATAATATGGAGTTCAAGGCAAGTATATCCAGCGTCTGATGCTTAAAAGAGCACGTTTGTTTTAAAAATTTGACTAATTTCTTGAATCGAACCATGCGTTTACATACCTTTAGGCCTCAGAACTCGCCAGTCTCCAGACGGGTACATTCCGCAATTTGGGTACAATCAACCTGTCCGGCCTCAGCCACGTGGTCTCTGATATCTCGTTCCATCAAAATGAGTTTACCTCACTTCATCTGGACAACTTGCAAGACATTGGCGGTACGGTGACGATTGCCAACAACAACAAGTTGAGCGAGACTTCAATGAAGCAGCTGAGCCTGATCGGTGGCGCCTTGTCTGTTGGTAACAACACTCAGCTGACATCCATTAGCGGCTATCCGAAACTTTCTGCTGTACATGGTACGGTCGATCTCGCTGGCGGGTTCGATACCTACGAGCTGCCTGCATTGCAAGACGTCCGTGGTGGTATGCGTATTCAAACCACCAGCGCCAAGTTCCCATGCCCGGATGCTGAGAAGAAGTTCAAGGCCAGCAGTGTTGTCAAGGGTAGTATCTGGGGCTGCAAGTCCAATATGGATGCCAATAACATGGATCCTACCATCGGCCAAGGCGGCGGTGGGTCTGCAGGTGGCCCTACTGGGGGCATGACCAACAAGAAGCAAAATGGAAAGTCTGGATCATCTGATTCTACCATTGCCCAGTCTGGCGCTACCACTACTGCTACGGTATCCATGATCCAGGGTGCTTATTTGGCCGTGGCCGCTGGTTTGGCTTTCACTTTCGGCCTTTAACTGTTTTTCCCACTATAAAAATCAACCTATGCCTTTTTAAACAATGTTCAACTCTATGTTTACCTATAGAACAATGGATATATCGATCTATTTTTTTTTCTGCTTTCTTTTTATTACTTGATAAATAATAATTATATGCCAAAACAAATATACATTAAGAATTGAGTTTCTCAAGGATTTTCGAGGCTATGTTTCGATAATGACCGGCAAATGCGCTTTCCGGTTGTGATACAACAATGGGTTTGCCAGCATCGGATAATTGACAGATGTCAGCATGGAGCGGGACCTCGCCCAAAAAGGGTATGTCCATCTTTTTTGCCATATCTACCGCCCCGTCATTACCAAAGATGTGTGTCTCATGATTACAGTTGGGGCAGACAAACAGCGACATGTTTTGCACCATACCAAGAATCTAGTGGTGAAGGGATGCGTTTAGTTTGTCAGTGTGCCCCTCCTTGTGATTGTGACAACTAGGTTTTATATACTTACTGGTATATTCACTTTTCGGAACATGTTGGTTCCTTTAACAGCATCAATTAAGGCGATATCCTGAGGCGTAGAAATAATAACAGCGCCTGGTAGAACGCATCATCAGTACCTTGCTCTTTTTCTTCCTACTCTTCATCTACAAACTCGGCACTAAAGGAGCACCTTACCATTTAATTCAACTTGTTGACTGATAGTCAATTGTACGTCACCCGTGCCTGGTGGCATATCAATCACGAGTAAATCCAAATGTCCCCAATCTACTTCATGTAGCAGTTGTTGCAATGCTTTCATCACCTAATTGAAGGATATCAAACAACTGTTGTTATAATGCACACACGTGTACTTCCATCTTCTACATATGAGCACTAACCATTAATCCTCGCCAAACAACAGGCGCTTCTTTATCTACGAGGAACCCCATCGACATGCACTTGACACCGTAGTTTGTCAGTGGCAATAGTCTGTCACCTAGTGGTTTTTTTGTATACCATTAGATTTGTCACGTTCAATGAGGATCAAATATACCATTCTCAATTCTCATCCTCCTTTAGCTTACCTTTTTCCGTCACTTCCGGCTCGCCCTTTAGATTCATTAGCGAGGGGATTGAAGGGCCAAAGATATCAGCATCCAAAATACCCACACGCTTTTTTAATCCAGCCGCCGCAAGTGCAATGTTCACTATGTAAAACGAAAATGTCGGCGTGTCACATAAACCCGTCAGCAAATGTATCTTGACTAAACCCCACAATCTCTAAAAGGTTTATTGTCCTCGACGATTACCTGCTGTGGTAGACTTTCCAACACCTCCCTTTCCTGATGCGACAGCCACGACGTTCTTCACGCCAGCGATCGGCATCTTTTTTGGTAATCCTCGCTGAGCGCGTGGAATCTTAGGTGCTTTATTGTGATTGGGTAGACCCTGTATGTAGAAACTTTATAATGAGACTCAATGAGCAGCAAATGAAGGGAACGAATCAGTAGAGAGACTCGGTCGAAGTGTTACCAGTGGATTCTCATGGGCAAGAACACGACATGTTGAAAACAATCGACGTTGGAGCATTTTTGTGAGTATTTTAAGAAAGAACTAAAATGTGGTCAGCTGAAGGTCCGGCAAGTTTTGTCAGATTTACGGTGACACAAGGACACCGTGATTATTGCTATGCTACATGTTTCATTGTTGCGTACACATTTATTTGTTTGGAATGATATTTATGGTGACAATGGTTGATGTATGGTATAAGCTGATATCGGACGGAAGATCGCAGAGAGCCAGTATGTACAATTATGGAGAGAATATACAAGAAATGTTTTATAGACGCGAGGAGAACAAGAGGAGCATACTGCCCTCACATGAAACCAGGTGTAAGTTTCTTTTTCTTCTTTTTCTTGTCCTTGTCCCTGTCCTTTTTCTTTTTACGCGGCTCGTCTCCTGTTGGTTGGGAAGCAAAGACAGTTGGCGGTACAATATCCTCTTCAGGTTCGTCGTTGATTGCTGCTGGTGCTGATGCTGTTTGCGACGGCAGCTGGCTTGTGTAGAAATCCCAATGCTTGGATGACAGTTTGGATGCTTCAGTGTGTCCTTTCTCGGCACGAAGTTTGCTCAGGTTTTGAGTGGCCTCTTTGAGAAACGTGTCATAATCATTATATGGCTCCGTTGCGCTAGGAAACATGGCCCGTGCCAGATCGTAGATCCTAACGTATCCAGGTTTTCGGTTAGAGATACTGATATGATAGGTAAAAATCATAAACGTACGGGTTACTATCAGCATCTGCTTCTTCAGCAGATATTTGTGTGTTTATATGCGTTTCTTGAGAGTCCACATCATATGAAGAGGGTAGCACCTTATGTTTTGACATTGTTGTCAGTCTAACGATCGTATCCAAGGTTACTACTCTGAATCTAACTTTCCCGTTAAACTGTTGGTGAAATTACCTGCAATGACGAGAGTTGTGAATTTGAGGGATCGGACGGTGAGGCACTCCTCATTTGAGAGAAGTGATTAGCTGTAAACCAAAACAGTGAAATGAAGAGGATAGGAAAGGCGCGTGCACTTTTTTTTTCTCTTTGCTGCAATATAATGAAATATGAAATAGGAGAACGGGGAGCAAGCGTCAAATTCAAATAGCCAAGTCACAAGCACTGTGTGGTAGGTCAAAACGAAACCTTTCAAGAGCCCGTCGGGTTCAGTCTAGCCAAGTTTTTTTTTTTTCCTTACTGGTTTCCCATTCCCAGCAACAACGCTTTTGACTTTGAGCTTCTATCTCTGTGGCACCCCTCTCTTAACGCATTCGTAGCCTTTTGAGATTGGAGATAGACAAAAGCAATAGCAATAGCAACAAAGCAACCCCCTCACCCTCCAAAAAAGCTACGGTTCTGTAGTCTTTCTTTTTTCCCTTTTTTTTTCCCGCAATCCATCTCCTAAAGTAACTGCAGATGTTGCCACGCCAATCCTTGTCGCCGAACGCGCAGAAATCCGATTTGCACCAGCCCAAGGCCAAAAACCAACCCCAGGGTCAGGTATGCAACTTTCTTGTTACATTCTATTGGAGGGATATAATAAAGGAAGAGAACCGCATTCGCTTCTTTTTTCCTGGGCGCACGTACCCACATGCACATATACGGGATTGTTCCAATGCGCAGGGTTACTTGTTCTTTTGGGCCCATGTGGGTGGGATAAGGAAAAAGAAGTAGGAGGGAGGAAGGAGGGTTCTATATAGTATGTGTGAATTTGCGTGTGTGTGTGTGTATATGCGTCTGCGTGATGTTGTTAAGCGTTTTATGTGTATTTGTCTCCTTGGGAACCGAGACAGGTTTCAACCAAAGCTGTGTAACAGCCTCACTATACTGCACTTAATTAACCATGGTCGGCTATCTCTGTTATAGCTGGCTGCGCTTTTACACGGCAAGTTGGATTACGAGTACGATATGATGGGATCACCGAGCAGCGGTGCAGCAGGAGGACCAAGTCGCACGGGTTTGTTTCCTGATGATCAGTACTACAATCGGTCAAGTAGCGCTCCACCGACACAAGTGCTGGCACAACGTGCAAACAACAACTCCAGCACGTCCATGGATGGCTTTGCGAACCCGGCAGACCCACGGCACGATCCGGAATATTTGAAATATTACCATGAGCATTCGAGACTTGATCCACGCCTACCTCCGCCCGCCTATGAACCGGGCCAGTCGTGGCAGCTTTGGAAGGATAGTGGTATGTTATTCTTAATGTAGCAGTACCAGTATTAGGACCAGTAAGCCATGCATCACTTACCCATACAATAATTATCCAGAAATGTCCGCCTCTCATCAGCAAGGCTATGGCAGTAATGGAAAGCATTTTCGAGCAGCTGATACAAATGATATCAGCGCATCAGCAACAGCAGGACCTTCATCCGGTGCTAGTCGACGCAACAGAAATCTTGTAGATCTGATTCAAGAGGTATGCCTTCCTTTTCGTATGTAGAAATAAAACCTCCTGCATCCGTGTGTTTGCTGATCATTCTTTTTCTGGTGCACCTGTACAACATAACAGGATTTCCCGCGTACTCCATCCCCTATGTATGCACTTCAACAGCAACAACAACAGCAGCAGCAACATCAAGCACGACTACGCAATGCCGCCACGGGATCGACGACACCCCTCGATGCGGACGAAAGTAGCAACGATATGGACAATATGTTGCACCTGAATGGTATGAGTGGTTATGATGGTTTGTTCTCAGGGCAAAATCGGGATCCATCGTATACCACGTTGTCACCATTTCAACAACAGCGACCAGTGATGGAGGATAACATGAACGATCACATACCGTCAACGCTTCAAATGTCTATGGATGATGGCTCTGGGCACCATCATCAGCAACAGCATCACCATCGTGGAGGACCTAGTGGGGCACGTGTTCATGCATTACGTGCTATTTCCCCGCCGCTGCAGAGCAAATTCTCCACACCACCACCTGCTCGTTCGAACTCTACGCCTCCCGGTCGTCATCTCGGCAAGTACGATGAGCTAGACTATGCCAATATGGGTTCTGATGAGGAACTTATGGCTAGACAATTTGCCGCATTTGGTTTGCGGGATAAGGTATGTACTGGCAGTTGGTATGATATAAGATCCGAGTCTTATTCAAAGAGGTTCTCATACAATATCCGCTTTTTTTATAGCCTGACGACGCGAATGTAATGGAGCAAGCACGTTTTCTGCAACAACAAGCTGTTCAACTGCAACAACAACAACATCAGCAGCATCAACAAACTGGATACTACGATGAAGCACTATATAACGATACTGCTCAAATATATCAGCAACTTCAGCAATTACAACAATTCTCAAGACCGTCTTCTGCACACGATCATACGAGCGAGTCATCAGATACCAGAGATAGTTTGGGCGGAACGCCCGTATTTGACCCTAATTATTCACGTTGGCCAGCCACGAGTAGTGGTGGCAGCAGCAGCGGCAGCAACAGACCAGCACCCGGTGTACCATCTTCGAGATTTGGCGGTAACCCGAATAGCGGAGGAATGATGGATATGGGTTTCAATGATCCGGCTTTGCCAGACATGACGGACAAGAAGCTGCGTGCTCTTCAGATGCAGCAACAACAGATTCTTATCCAGCAACAGCAACAGCAACTCCTGGCTGCTAGACAACAGCTATTGCTACAGCAACAAATGCAGAATTTCGGTGCTCATCAACATGCCGGACGCTCAAGAGCTGCAGCAGCAGCAGCAGCAGCAGCGGCACTTGCGCAACAGGATACTTTACGACCAGCACAACCCACACCGCAAGATATGACTTTGAGTATCCGCAGTCCTTTGCTTGAAGAATTCAGAAATTCCAAGAGCAAAAAGTATGAACTCAAGGTAAATATCACAAATTCTAGGTCTCTAATATTATTGAAAAAGACAAAACTTACAATTTGCTTTGCTATCCATTATTTTAGGATATTGCTGGCCATATTGTCGAATTTAGCGGTGATCAGCATGGATCTAGGTTCATCCAGCAAAAATTGGAAACGGCCAACAGCGAAGAAAAGCAAATGGTGTTTGAAGAAGTCTTACCAAATGCGCTTCAACTGATGACAGATGTCTTTGGCAACTATGTGCTGCAAAAGTTCTTTGAGCATGGCAATCAAGCCCAAAAGACAATTCTGGCCAAGCAAATGGAAGGTCATGTGGTTTCACTGTCGCTGCAAATGTATGGTTGCAGAGTTGTACAAAAGGTAAAAAGTGGTCTCTTACAAATAGGAAGCAATAATAGTTTGTATACTTACATTGTTTTTCTTTTTTCTTAAATGTACATTTGTTCAGGCTTTGGAACATGTTTTGACGGAACAACAAGCACGCCTTGTCAGTGAACTTAACGGATGCGTGCTGAAATGTATCAAGGACCAAAACGGTAACCATGTCATACAAAAGGTGAGTAAAGAAACTCTTATATTATTAAAAGTAAAGTTACTGACTGGAACACGAAACCAATAGGCAATAGAGCGTGTGCCTGCTAAGCATATTCAATTCATTATTGACGGATTCCATGGCCAAGTATATAACCTGGCGACGCACCCCTACGGATGCCGCGTGATCCAACGCATGTTTGAACATTGTACAGAAAATCAAACTGTAAGTATTGCTATGCTCAAATGGCGTTGAATCATATTCAATAACACAAGATGCAATATATAGAGTCCTCTCCTCGATGAACTTGACCGATGTACTGGTCAGCTTGTGCAAGACCAATATGGAAACTATGTAAATGATTCCTCTGATATGATCCTGTACGAGGGAAAACATACTGGATGTCTTGTTAGCTGAGTCTAACATGAAATTGTACTTTAGGTTATCCAACATATACTCGAACGCGGCAAGCCTGACGACAAGGCCTCTATTATTAATAAGATTCGTGGCCAAGTGCTGCACCTCAGCAAACACAAGTTTGCCAGCAATGTCGTGGAGAAATGCGTTGATTATGGCTCCAAGGAGGAGCGCCAAGCACTGATCGAAGAGGTTTTGCAGAACCGCCCGGATGGCTCGTGCCCTCTCGTTATTATGATGAAGGACCAGTACGCCAACTATGTTGTACAGAAAATGCTAGATGTCGTCGACGACGGCCAGCGCGGATTATTGGTGAGCAAGATCAAGCCGCATATGCAATCCTTGAAGCGCTATACATATGGACGTCACCTTCTTTTGAGTAAGTACTCGTATCAACATATACCCTGATGAAGGTAATACTGATCCACCATTCTTTCTTGTAATATTACAGAGGTTGAAAAGATATTACCACTTGTCGAACAAGACAACGGCAGCAACGGTGTTAGTGGTGGTGATGAGGCAGCTACTACCACTACTTTTACCACTATTACTACTACTGATGCGGATACAGATGCGGATGCGGATGCGGATGCAGCCAGTACCGCTGCAACTGTTCATACTATTGCTCGTAGTACTACTACTACCAGTACCGAGACTGCCTAAGAGAATCGTGGACATAATGCTGATTAGGGTCATTGGCCTTGTTATCATTTTTGTATATAGATATAGGCCTTTCTTTGAAAGGATGTACATACAAAATTGGCCTTATATTTTTTCTTTCTTATTTCTTAAAAAAACATGAACAAACGCACACATAAACCCAAAGAGTACATTTAATCCCCTCCCCCACCTCAGCCTTTTGTAGTTCTGTTTCAACGCAGAATCAACAGAAAAGATGTTTATATATTCTTCCCATGATATTGACATGGTTTTCGTTTTATGTCGATAATAAAAAAAGCCCAAAACCCCCCGTAACCAGTGAATATAGCTTTTAATAATAATATGAAATAGCTAGCATTCATGTATTTAGTATGGTTGTTGCTGTCCGGCCTGTAAACTGTTATTCATGGGTTGTCACCTAGTGGGTTTTATCACGTTTTCTTCCCACACTTGCTGTAAACTCCTTTTCATACCGTTGGTCGATGCGTAGGTCACATCTAGAAAAGCTTATCTGCTTTTGATATGCACGGACTGCAATCTCTTTTTGTCCGCAGTGCCTGCAAAGGTACTTTATATATACTTTCCAAGCTCGAATAAGCTTGGAATATATATGCGGCTTATTATATAGTGAGTAACCTGGAACCTGGGCCTCTTGTTCACCAAGACTTGCAGATGGGAACGAACTGGATGTTGATGCAAGTGATATACTCAAACAATATCACGAGGGAGTTTCAAAAAGTCCAAATTGAGTTTTTGATTTACGCCCCCATCATCTTTCTTCATCAGCTGCTTGGTTCAACTTGTCTTCATACAACATAAACTAGCTACACCACTACAATGTCCAACATTAAGCTAGGACAGTACACCATCATTAAAACCATTGGCACTGGCTCATTCGGCAAAGTCAAACGTAATTTGTCCTACCTTTGAATATGTTTTATCATTCGGTGGCTGTTATTATTCTTATTAATAATATCCCTTAACTTACCTTTATGCATCTCTCTAGTGGCTGTCCATGGCATTACAGGTCAAAAAGTAGCACTTAAATTTATCAATAAGAAAAAGATTGCGAGTATGGATCTCGGCGGACGAGTCAAACGTGAAATTCAATATTTAAAACTATTGCGGCATCCACATATCATCAAGCTGTAAGTAGTGTTAACAGCTTCTTGAGCCTGGGCTCGGAAAAACTTCTCACACCACCTGCAGAATATGTTGCCACGCAGTGTTAGTCTTTCGCTTTATCCTTTTAACTAACAGCAAAAGGACATTACTATGTTATTTACAGATATGAAGTTATCTCCACGCCAACGGATATCATCATGGTCATTGAATATGCGGGAGGAGAGTTGTTTAACTACATTGTGGAAAAAGGCCGGGTATGTTAGAAGAGTGAGATAAGATAGCGGTTAGTTGCCGATGGGTTTGATTGGCTGATTGATGATTTCTTCTTTTCGTGATGACAAATATTATGTTAGATGGCTGAAGATGATGCACGTCGATTCTTTCAACAAATTATATGTGCCGTGGAGTACTGTCATCGACACAAAATTGTCCACCGGTAAGTGAAGCGATTAAAAGATCGATTTAGGTCGTAGTTATTCATATTAACTTTTGTATCTTTGATATGTGTATGCTTATGCGACCATAGAGATCTTAAGCCGGAAAAGTAAGTTTTGGGACAAAGATTGGGGAAATGGGGGAAGGGGGAGGGGTCGTTGCGCAGAAAGAATGCACCAGGTGCAACAACCTATTTACTTACACAAACAGGAGGAAGGGATGGGAAAGACTTATTAACTTTTGGTTCATGGATATTTAACGCTTAGTTTGCTTTTGGACGCCAACAACAATGTAAAAATTGCAGATTTTGGTCTATCGAATATCATGACGGATGGTGACTTTTTGAAAACGAGCTGTGGCAGCCCGAATTATGCTGCGGTAAGCTAAACGAAAGATTATTTGGTCTTGATGCCGCTTATTTATCGTTATACTAACTGCTCCATGCTTATTGTCATTATTCAGCCAGAAGTGATTTCTGGGCGGTAAGCAAAAATTGGATTAATAATGTAGATCTTAATTTAGTAACAACTTCTAATTTAATATTTTGCATGTTTAATAGCTTGTATGCAGGTCCGGAAGTGGATGTATGGAGTTGTGGCGTGATTCTCTATGTAATGCTATGTGGACGATTACCATTTGATGACGAGTACATTCCAACGTTATTTAAAAAGATCAATGGTAAGGTTTCGGTTGGAGTCGGATGACGCGAAGGAAAGGGAAGAAGTTTGATACTCGGTTTTTCGTTGGGAAATGAGAATTGTGATTAGACCTAAAAACTAAATGTTTTCCTTTTTCCTCTCTAAAAATCAACAGGTGGTATCTATACTATGCCTTCGTTTTTGAGTCCAGAGACAAAGTATCTTTTGACATCCATGCTAGTCGTGGATCCGATGAAGCGAATCACTATTCAGGAAATAAGGTATAGTATACCAATTCTTGATTGTCCCATTGATGGTACTGGGGGCTGAAAGAGTATAAGTGGGGGAAAGGGATCCTCCAAACCTTAGAAGCTAAATGCTTATCAAATAGACAAAATCCGTGGTTCAATGCCAACTTGCCTGCATATCTATGTCCGCTTCCACATACCGAAGAAGAGCTGTGTCATCCTATTGATGATAGAATAGCTCAGGAGCTGGCTGAGGTACGTTCATGGTTTAAACAATGTGGTTACTTCCAAATGGGTCCTCTAACGTTGTAGAAACCCATTTTTCTTTCTAAATAGAAAATGGGATATCCGGATGAGAAAATACATCAAGCATTGGAAGCACCTGGAAACAATCAGTTCAAGGTCGCATACCAGCTTGTCATTGATCATAAAAGAATGCTTAAGGATTGTAAGTACAGGCTCTAAGTTTTTCCGGTTTTTTGTTCGACCAAGTAGAGCAGTGCTTGAGATATAAACACTTGTATTGTTTCCTTCGATAGCAGCGGAGCATAGTAATATTCAAAGCTTCTTCGCAACATCTCCACCGCCATGGAACACCACATTTAATGTAAGTTTGTCATTTTTTATGCTAAGCTTCCTAAATCGAGACTTTAAGAGACGCTTAACAATGATGTTTTGTTGATCCTACAGCAGGACGACCTAGATAGGCGAAATACGGATGGTGCAGAGGATGCCGCATCATCTATCTCAGTACTCAGCTCAAGTTTACCAAAATACGAAGAAAGCATGTCAAGTAAGCAAAGCTCGCGCTAATGCCAAATCAAGCTGTAGTAACTAGACATGTGTACAATCTTTCTGTCACAAAAAATAGCACGTCCACGCTCATCTTCACGAGCATCCATGATGGCAGGAGGACAGCCTATCGCGCCAATAGTGGGTACGCCACCACCAGGAGCGATGGCACCTGTTTCCCCGGCACCGCGAGACTTTGGATCTGGACGAAGACCATCACAACATCGACTATCAGCACAACAACAGCAGAATATGCTTCCAGGCAGCAGCAATCGAAGGTCACACAAGCCCCGATCCAAATGGCATTTTGGCATTCGAAGCAGATGTCCTGTTTGGGAAGTGATGCTGGAAATATATCGCTCACTACAGAACGTAGGCATTGTAAGTTTCGAAGAATTTGCTCCCATTCTTTTCCTCTTAGTGCATACTCATTCATGTACCAAAACTTAATCACATCAGGAATGGCGCGTCATTGATTTATACCATACCCGTTGCCGGTACCGATACGAGTCAGTAGGCCTTGTTGTCAAGTTTGATCTGCAGCTATACAAACTCGGTAACAACAGCTTCTTAGTGGATTTCAAGAACGTGGCTACAACATCATTGAACGGAGACAAACAACAAAAATCATCACCCTCACAAGAACAGCCGATACAACAAAGTCGTAACAGCAGTAACAGCAGCAATGATAACATCAGTAATATGAGTCCAATATCAGCGGAACACGGCGACCCATTTGGAGTACTGCAGGGCGAATTGGCGCAAAATTTGGACAAACTCCAATTGAATGAAAACGAACAAGCAGATCTGTCAAGTTGGCAAAATAATGTCAATGTTGCCAAGATAAATGAAGAGGTGGCGCAAGCAGCATCACGAGAGAGTATTTTGAGCGTGTATCCTTTCCTTGATATATGCAGTAAAGTGATCACCGATATTGTGTAGTCCAAGCTGTATTATTAACTTTATCCGTCTCCAACCTTTACTTATTGGCAATAAATAAGCTTCTGTAAATATAAAAATGCAGTTGTTTGTGTGTGTGTGTATATCATTGCTCTTGTACTGCTGTCATTCACAGAAGAGAATCGCTTACATAATTTGCTTGCATCGTGTAATTTAACCGATATATACGGCTTAGTATAAATAGCAAGAATATACTCACTATCGGATAGCATTGACAACTTCAAGCGTTGTTATATGAACAAATAATTTTGGAACACGTGACATTGATGATTTTTACGTGTGCCTGTGAAATTTAACTTTGGCCTCTGGATTCTTCTTCTTCCTCTTTTGATACACTTAGACGCGACTTCTTTTCCTATGGAAACCACAACCATTAGCAACGCCAGCTTTGTCGCCTTCGAGTCAATTGGCAAAATCTATGTCTTTTGCTACGAGCAATTGCGGCATGTAAACGTTCCCGTTCCTCCACCCGAGTATGTTCAGCAAATGTTTTTCAACATGGTTGGAACAGCTTACAATTACGCGCCTCCAGCCTTACAACAATTCTTCTCAACACTCGCACAGTTGCCCATCCAAGCCAATATTGTGCCGGTCCTCTTGGCATTGGCCGTTCTTTACGTTGCTTATAGTGTCGTTGCAGCCTTGGTTCGCTCGGTGGTTCGGGTTGTGATTGGGTTTATCCGCTTCTCGTTGATCGTCGCTGCGTTTGCATCTGTACTCATTCTGCTGCAACAATACTACGATATTCCGTTTTTGCAGAACGTTAACGAATACGTGCAACAGCACCAGCATCAGGATTATCAACAGCAACAGCAACAGTTCACCTATCATGCTTAAGAATTGTAAAGTGTATATTCGGGCCCCCCTCTTTTCTGCTTTCCTTTCCTGCTTTTATCAGTATTACTTGTAGTGCACACATGTTGTCAATTGTATATCTCCTTACTTAAATGTCCCCATTCCTTCTCTGCTTTTCACATGATGTTTTTACTTGTATTCGAATAACTCATCATCTAGCGAGCTCTCATATTCTAATGACTTTTTTATGTAAAAACACATGTACCTAGAAAAGAACGAAAGCATGCTGAATCAATACCATCCTTGTCATTGCCTTGTCTATTATACTGTAAAACTCTACTTACGCTTTGCTGTCCAATACATCTTTCTGGAATGCCGTGGTAACATTGTGATCTTCAAACTTGAACCACTGTTTTTTATTATTGCGAAATAATACAATGAGGAGACAGGGTCAAGCATGTATGTTGGTCTTCATTCCGTTACTTACCTCGCCCCGATGCTTCGAGAACATTGTGTAATGGCCCGTGTCTATTTTACCTTGGTGGTTGATCACAGCAAACAAGGTGTACAGATTCGAGTGGCTATGATTGGTACTACTGTTGATATATGAACAAGTCAGTGAATGCAACAGTCAGTTTCTTATGCGTTCTTACCTGGAGTTCTTTGCTTTTTGCTGCTGTTTGCCATGCGAGGTATACGGCGTCATGTCCAGTTCCACAGGAAATTTAATTTTGGCTTCAATTTTGCTAGCTGATATTCCGTGTTCAAATCTTTTCAGTTGGAAGCTGAGAACGGGTGGCAGTTTTTTCACTGATAGCTGCTTTGTCGCTTCCTAAACGATAGGTGGGTTAGAGCGTCATGGTCATACATACATCCGATACTAGAGAAAGACAACATACTTGGAAGGTGTTGCCGCATTTGCTGCAACTGTACTCCTTGGGACCCAGCTTTTCGGGATGCGTATACCTTTTTTGTGTGTATGTGTAATGCGCATGCGCTCTAGCTTTTTCTTTCTTTTTGTCTTTCCATTTTCCTTCCCCTAAAAGCTTCCATCCTTTCTGTTTCTTGCTCGTGATATCTAACAGAGAAATAAAAGAATTTTACCTGTCTAAACAGTCCATCAAAGTCCCCTGCTTAGTTACCCGACGATTGATAGAAGCAGGATTATTCCTGTTGTTAGTATGTTGCTGGATAGTAGTACTAATAGCATTGTTGTCTTCGCTGCTCCTGTTGCTGCTGCCTTTTACTGCTGCTGTATCCGCTACCTTGTTATTCGACATAGGCGACCCCTTCTTCTTCTTATCGACAGATCGTAAGCTCAAACTGATGTCCAGCATTGGATCGACCGTGCTTGTCACGTTGCCGCATTTTAAACAGGTCACGTTGGATTGCAAAAGACCGGCAAATGTCCTGTGCACTATACATGTGCAGTTCGTCGACAACGAGTGACCCTCGCATCCGGCATGGATATTGTTCAACGCACTAATGAAGAATTCATGCGCATCTTGTTGGGCATAGCCTGCAAGCTCTTTCAGGCTCATCCACATGGATTGCAAGAACGTGCACGGACCATATGGTTCTTTTTTTCCAGAATAGACCTGTTTACATACCTACATGAGTCCCATTTTTCTACATCGCCAAGTGAAAAAGAGCCGTGGGGGTTGGGGAAGGGGAGAAATTCAGCTCACTGACCTGAGCAAAGAGATTGTCCATTTCGCAGCAGAGGCAGAATTTGTTGTTACACCGGCTAGGATTATGCTGATCGCTTAAAAAATACGCCTTCAATAGCGGATTGTGGATAAAACTTTGGAGGATGACGTTCATGAAGCAAGTGTTTCCCATATTGCACAAACCCCGGATGCCTCTGCATGACGGCACTGTCGAGTTCTTAACGATCGCACTGATATCCTGACTTGTAGGCTCCCAGCTTGTGTTTGCTGTACGTGCTCGTTTCCGTCGTCCTGACAAAAGACAGTCTTTTTAAACTTTGCTCACCATGGCAGCCTGTAAAAAAAGGATAGAAATGGTATTTACGTGTTTCGCTTTGGATCGTTTCCTGTCGTACAATAACGTCGCTCAGTTCGTTGTCGTAAACGTAGTCGTCGCACTCATTACAGTAAAGCGTTCTGTGGCCAAAATCCATGGCTAGCAGTAGTTTTTTATATCGGATGAGGAACAGAACCCTGTTAAGGCATGATGCAACTTTCGTGTATTATCCACTATATTTACCAAAGACATGGTGCTTGTCTCGCATGTGATCTTGAATGTGTCCTTTGCGCCAGCACCCCATGAATACACAATGCAAACAGACATGTAATCGGGATAAGGGGTCGTGACAGGTTGAGCATTGCGGTAGTGGAAGCTTTTGGTCATGCCGTTGCCATAGAAAACAATTGATCCTTTTAATATGAGATATTTCCATGCAAAGAAGAACTTTAATGGAGCATCCGTAGAGAAAGATGAAGTCGCTAAGATTACCTCTTTGTACTGTTTTCGCTTTCTGTCACTTGTATTACTGTTGTGCAAATGTTTTCGGCTTTTATGCCACGCAAGGGAATACCGCACAAGTGACCGATAACTATTGAATAGATCCCATCGATCGTCATCATCAACAACGACTTCGTCCTCCAAGGATCGCCGTCGCTGCTTTTTGAAGTGTGCCAAATGACTGCAGCCGGATGTGACAAGCGAATGCTGTTGTTCTTTATGGTCTTTGCTGCTGTAAAACTCGGACGGGGTGTTAGAACTATGCAGTATATCGTAAACGGTCGTTTGAGGGTTGCGATTTGACGACGATGGAAAGTTGTCCGGGAAACTAGGCGATGACGGTGAGGAGAGGGAGGACATTGGTGAATCGGTCAGGCCGAGTGATTGTTGATGGGGTGACAGACTCGACATGAGGATATACAAACGCAAAGAAAAGAGGAAACCGAAGAATGAGAAAAGAAGAAATGTTTTTTTTTTCTAGTGTGCTTGTAGGAGTCCAAGGTGATTGATTACACTAACGGCCTCCTTCATCACACTGCACTGTTGTACATTTCAGATGCCGCATACATGAACGTTGTTCGTGTCAAGTAGGGATAGTTGGGAACTGACGAGAGTGCCTAGCAGTGGCCATCTATTTCATGTTATGAATTTACAACAACCTTACTATTACTATTAATATGACAAATTAATCAGCTACTATGTTTTTAAATCCAAAGTATACCTGTCACCCAATATGATGGAAACGATCAAATGCTCTTGCTTACGCGGCCAGTGCGCTTGGACTTCTCGAACTCCGTTTGCACCCATCGACCATCTTGTCACACACTGCTGTCATCTACTCAAAGAAGAAAATCTGCATAGATCATCCATAACACCGATCTTTTTTTTTTGTTTAGCCTTAAACTTACATACGCTCTAAAGTGCTAGCAGCTCTAAAAATCCCTTTTCATCATGAATGTATAACACTAGCAAAATCCCAGATAGAATATAATTTATCGTTTGCGCGTCATAATAGTAGTGCGAGGTTTGGGTTAGATATTATTACCATTGATATCAAAGTACAGTAGGCATGTCCAAAAGCAACATAATGCTGGCAGCTTATATTTCATCCTGACGTGCGACACGACATCCTCGTAACTGGCATTATCAGCTCCACTAGCCATTCACGTAAATCATAACTCTCAAATCCTTCTTGGTTTCAGTCTGATTACAGTGCTGTTTGCACTGATAGCCAGCAACGAAAACGAGGTCAACAACGGAAACAGACACAAGCGCCGAAAACTTCTGATTACGAAGGACATCCGTGGTATTTTGACAGTAATCCTAAGGAAAGATGTTGAAGTGTGTCATCATTATGGCTTACCCGTAAAACAAGGCATATAGCATCGAGTTCAGATAAACAGGGTGAGCTGGCGCATCAATCTATGATAAAAGATTGGCACACCCCAACTGAGCACATTGATCTTCATCTTCCGAGTGATAACGAGCTGCCACTTTGATAAAACTTCATCAAGCTCTAACAAAAGTATGGGCTTCAACAAAGTGGCAAAGAACAAGATGATGATTTTGGAGAACATGTGATACTGTTGCCGTCCAAAGCTGGTGCACTTTTCTCAAGAAATAAGTAATGGCAAGGCGATTCTCTTCGGTATGGGTGGAAGTCTGTTTATATACATTATATTTTCCACTCTCTGCCGATAAGACCGTCGGATCCGTGCGACACGAAGGATTACGCGATTGTCGGATGCTATGATAAAGGTTCCCTGTAGCTCTGGCCACTACTACAGAACAAGCCTTGAGAGAAGTGAATTAAATCATTGAAGCCGTGAATGCTATGGTAATTATCATAGCAATTCGGTATCACTGATCAATAATAGGAAGAATAAATATCAATATAACCAACATACTCACCTTTTTATCATCGACTATACAATACCTTATCCGAAGATCATATCAAGTTTTTCACATACTATGACCTTCTGCATGTTGCCGGATGGACTCCGATTTGCCGTGCTTGCCCACGAAATACAGCAATCGTCAAAATCCTTCGCGCCCGGGAAAACTTGCGCGGAACTGCGGCCATTTTCAAAACTTCTACAGTACTGTAATACAACTATATCGGACAACATGGTACATTTGACGTAAGCGCTTTTACTGCAGTAATTGCATGAGCACGGCAGCATATTTTCTTGGTAATGAAAACAATAGCCAAAGAGTTCAAAACCGCGCCAGTAAAACACTTATTCGTCGATCGACTGAACAGCGTATATAACCTCAGTAAAACCTATAGGTTAGATGCTTGTGCAGAACTATCTAATTTATCTTCCTTGGGCTGAACGGGCTGTATATTTTGCAGACCTTGGAGTGGTACCCAAACATTGGAGAACGCTCGAGGTAAGCTGTATCGTGAGTTTGGTTTACCCTCTATCTGGTGTATTACGGACAAGCAGTACTGATACTAACTCGTTCTTTATTGACGCAATAATCTTTTCTTTTTCTCTGGATCTAGATCTTTATCGTTACAAGTAGCAAAATGCTGACTTTTAAATGCGAAGGAAGGCACAAAAAGGGTACGTTGCCTGTTACTTCTCTTATTATAGAAGATTACTCTCTTAGTAGGGCTGAACAAAAAACAATCGAATTATCATATAGATATCCATATCGTTCTATAATGCTCTCGATGCTTGCGGTCACTGTCTTAACGAAGGAAACTGAACGATCAATTTAAAGCTGAACGGAACAATCTGGACTCTGGTCCGTAGACTCCACCAATAAGGAATCAGGGGATGCGCTATATAATAGTTTCATTATCATCAACATTCAATGGATGATCAAACGAAACCGAACAAACTCCGTTATTTAATAAACAGCTTAACCCAACACATTTCCTGATGTACTATTCAGTGTAACCGGTATATACGCTATCAATGAAGTACCGACCACGGCCACAACATCAAAGTTTATTATTAAATGATCAATGTCAACCTTGATTCGCTGCTCGCTGGTCACTGTTCTTCCCCAGAATAATCTTTAGCATCCCATAATGTTTCGAATTGCTCATAACGTCACGCTTCCAAATAGTAGTACCTAATTAATTATAATCAGATCAAGAGGAATGCCGCTTGAGTATTGAATAAGAAAAAAAAACAATAGCTCCAGTTCCCTCACATGCCTACAATTGGAAAGCATAAAGAAAAGGGGGTACAGTAGTAGCTTGGCTATCGTAACAAAGTGATCGAGAAAACAAGTAATGGGCATTTTTGCAATTGCAATCAGCTATTTCGATCATGTCCTGTTTTACAACATTTGTTGAGTAGGTTGCTTCGTTCTAAAATAGTGTTTATCGGTTATTGTGCCAATCTTCCGTGTGCGCCTCGCATGTTGTTTTAACCGAATTTCTTGTTGATGTGTATAACAGAAACTGTAATCGTGTGTTTCACTGGACATATAAAATCAAAACAAATTCTTCTGAGTCCTGTGATATTTCATACTATCGATGCTGACGAAGTTTTACGTACGCTGTCGTACATCAATTTTAAATAACCTCTGCATACAGCCATTGTTACTTATTGAAAAACACAGTTGCAGAAGTAAACATATTAGGAGGTCAATTTCTGAAACTCTTATGTTATTACGCTGCATATACTGTTTTCTTGACACACGTTCAGATGTTCTATGCTTTATGAGATGCAATCGTAGTAATGTCCAACCTCATTTGCAGTAATGTAGTAGGGCTATGCTAATAGTGCAGTTGCTTAAAGAAACGACTGTTTATTTTTGAAAAGCTCCATCCCCACTTTCCTCGCTCATATCATAGCATTAGTTCTGCTTTGAAATCTACGCGCACCTAAAGCGAAAAGAAGTAGAGTAGAAGAACTAGGAATAGTGTTTTGTCGTATTTCCGGATATACTTCTTTTCCTCGATTATTGTACGACGATTTGCTTTATTCAATCATTACTAATTTGAGGGGCACTGTATCGCAAAACACCTTTTGCACCAAGCGTTCGGGTCATCTCGACATATATGGTTATAACCCAGGATCTCGATTAGCGGCTCAAATATTACATGTGCCTTGTAACCCCAAAAAGTGGTTCATCCTCATGTTTTAAAGTAACGAAAATTCTTCATTTATAGCAAGGCCTTAGTAACGTCTACTCTTTACATAAATACACTGCCAGAAACGAAAGTCGACTATACGATAAAGAATTTTGGACTCATGCTGACAGTAAAGGGCGAGAAGCGTCGACAATTGCATGTGAAAATCACCGTTCATTCTAGAACGGCCGGGACGGAATCAAAGCTTCCCGTATATACTCAAATCGAACATATTGCCTAGTTTGGAAAGTTTACTCATCACCGCAACCAAACCGTACACCAATGGTAGGCAAGTTTTACTACGATTACATCTTCAATCATTTAGTGCTATGGTTTCAGGTCAAAAACCCTTTCTGTGATGCTTACGAAAGTAGGCAGTTATTCCTTTAGTAGCATTGCAGCATATGGTATACCGGCCACAAAGAAGAGATTCTCGCAATTAGGTTTGGACAACAGCAATTGCATCAGTTTCACACGCTTGTTGATCTATTTAATATGTTTATGGCAATGCGTACCGCAACCAAGGGAAGCGGAGATTAAACAGGACGTTTGGACTGTGGAAAAGCTCTTAAACTTGAAAAGGAAATTTTTCTAGAACATTTCACGTTGCCGAATAGAGGACCACTGGTTGTGGCTGGCAACCTTTTTGAGCGCACTCTGGACCCTCTGACTTATATTAGCAGGACCCAAAAAGTCCATACAGCAGGCGGCCGGCAACCACCGACCCTACTGGCCCTTAACCAATCGAAGCATTACTGATGTGTAAAAGGATAAAGGGGGAAAGAAAGAAGTAGCAACTAAAAGAGGGGACTTTTATACGTATGGAGCGTCATGAAAAGCGTCTACAAAATGCAACATGGAAGTTTGGGGAAGTTCTTATGGACGCGAAAGGAAGGTAGCCTTGTGTAACCGAAACATGGGGTATGGAATATAAGGTTGTTCGAAAATCATGGAAAGAATATCATTTTAGGGGCTGCCGTCTCTTCGTCTGACAGACCAGAGCCACACCATACCCGCCTTCTTTCCAGGCTCTTTTTCTTTTCTTTTCAATTCCTGTACTCCTTTTCTTCCGCGTATTTCCTACTTTACTATTCTTCGCATAACCTTGTTGTAAACACACTTGTATGTCATCGAGTGAATCACCAGCATCATCTCCGTCAACCGATCTGAAGCGAGCGATCTCCTCGGGCAACTTTATCAGCAAGCTATGGATGTAGGGCATCGTTCATCGACATGTGGGGACGAGGAGAGCCGATCAAAACAGTCCAGCCTACGTAGCGCACTAAACTGACACGAATCGTCGCCACTGTGATTTTCTTTTTTCTTTTTCTCTTAGTATGCTGAACGAAGCCGATACAAACAATCTGATCCGATGGTCTGACGATGGACGTGCTATTTGCATCCCTGACGTTGCCACGTTTTCGAAAGATATATTATCACAGTATTTCAAGCATAGCAACTGGCCAAGCTTCATCCGCCAACTGAATCGTACGCTATCATGCTCACGACCATTAATATTGATGTCGTCTAACCTTCTAACTGATATATTCGTCTCTCCAGTTTATGGATTCCGCCGTGTCAATTTGCCAGATCCCTCAGCCGGAAACGAGCCACGGCAAACGTACTACTTCATGAACGAAAACTTTATACGGGACGAGAGCGAGCTCTTGCGTCGAATCAAACGACGGTCAAGCGTCAGAGTTCCTCCCGATGAAAGATCACCAGAAAACCGACAGAGACGCCGGTCGCCATCGTCATCCCGTAGAGGATCCGATGACAGGGAACATAGCAACGATTATGTCGAGTTTGCAAGTAATGCGGACGCAGCGGAAGCAAGGATCCTGCAACTCGATCAAATGGTCAAATTCACTGAAGAGCAATGCTCAAATCTTGCAAGCAAAGCCGTAGAGCTGCGTTCGGTATACAACAAGCAACAAGAGGTACGTGTATACTATTTTAAGAAAGACGTGCTGTATCAGCCTCATGTCGAGCCACAGAAAAACAGCATAATAAATATAAAAATCACAATCATCTATGATAAATCATAGCTGCTGTCGACGCTTTTGGAGTCTGTGCAAACATTGTCCTCCATTGTCAACCCCAATTCAGGTATAACAGAGATATTTTTTTGTGTTGTAAAAGATTGGCCTGGCCTGGTCAAATAAGGCTGTCCATATTTATATCTTTTTCCAGAACATACCGACCTTTTGGTTCAGGCAGTTCGGCAACAGAATCAGGTTATCAACATAAGCAATAGCAGTAGCGGTAGTGGTAATATTGATGGTAATCGCGGCTTTGTACCGCTGTCAGTAACATCAGCGGCTCCAGTATCATCAGCAGCAGAGCCCATTTCTACAATAACCAGTACTCCCGACATCACCTCGTTGTCAGGGAATACACATAACAGCAACAACAGCGACACGACCTTTCATGCTAGCTATGATGGTTTGTCGGTATCTATGGACATTGCAAACCTCCAGACACGGCAACTGGTATCGACTGAACATCGACAGCAGCCTTTCGCTAAACCACCTTTTGAACAACATCAACAACAACGTCCTCCTCCTCATATTGTCGAAGCAAAATTAAAAGCTCAAGGCCAGCTCTCGCCTATGTTGGACTCCATGATGGTCACCGGTGATGATGAAGTCACTCTCCCCCCTTTAAAAAAAGCCCGTGAATAAAGCAAAATGTAATAATGCTTACACTCTTCTTGATTATACCATCCGGATTGTATGCAAAAGAATTAATAAAGTCGCCTCACGGCATGAGTTGGTTTCAGTCCCAGCTGTTAAGGCAAGCAAAAAAAAATCTTTTCTTTCATTGTTGTCAAAGAACACCCTCCCCAAATTAACGCTACCGATCATGAACACCTACAAAACGTACGCTGAACGCGCTGCACGACACCCCAATGCATGTGCACGATCGTTGTTCGAACTTATGGAACGTAAAAAAACTAATTTGTCGGTAGCCGCTGATGTCACCACCAAGAAGGAACTTTTGGCCATTGCCGACGCGGTTGGACCTTATGTTTGTGTTTTGAAGGTATGCACATTAAGGCTCTAGAAGAACTCTAGAGATTCCATGCGAAAGAAATGCTAGTGAATGAAGGAGAAAGCTCAATAAGCATAATTTAATTTGACTAGACCCATATCGATATCGTTGAAGATTTCGACCAAGACCTCGCGGATCAGCTTGTCGAACTTGCAAAGAAGCACGATTTCCTTTTGTTCGAGGATCGCAAATTTGCTGACATTGGCAAGTTGCTCGATTTATGCTCAACAAACTTTCTATTCTGGGAGTTAATGAAAGAAAAAGCTAACGCGACCAACGATATACATGTATACAGGTAACACCGTGAAGCATCAATATGGCAAGGGTGTATACAAGATCGCGTCATGGTCGCACATCACCAACGCTCACACTGTTCCCGGTGAAGGCATCATCTCGGGTCTGCGTGAAGTCGGCTTGCCTTTGGGTCGTGGTCTCTTGTTGTTGGCCGAGATGTCATCCAAGGGAGCATTGACCCAAGGATCCTACACAACCGAGTCTGTTGCCATGGCACGTCGTAACCAGGACTTCGTGTTTGGCTTTATTGCCCAGCACAAGATGAACGAGAGTGACGACGAGGATTTCGTTGTCATGGCCCCCGGCGTTGGATTGGATGTTACTGGTGATTCACTGGGCCAGCAATACCGTACTCCTTATCAGGTCATTGTTGAAAGCGGATGTGATGTCATTATTGTCGGACGCGGTGTCTATGGTAAGCCAGATCAGGTTGAAGCCCAAGCTACGCGGTATCGCGAGGCAGGTTGGAACGCATACCTTGAACGCGTTCGTCAACATCAGTAAAAGATGATAAGCACCCTTGTCCTTTGTACCAATATTTCAACATGTCCATTTTGTTTCTCGCATTCCTTGTCTTTTCATTAAAGCATCCCATCACATTGTATATTCTCGCCATCTTAATGCATCGCTTTTAAAAAAGGAAGGTTGGAGTTTGTGTTGCAGTGGCTTCTACGTTTCGTAATGCATCCTAGAAATCAGTGCTTAAAGCTTATTTGTTCGTTGGGGTCCACTGATCCTGTAGCTTCTTTTCAAAAAATTACTGATGGTCATAGGATGGTCGCTCTCTCTCTCTCTCTCTCTGTGTGTGTGTGTGTCCGTCTATCTTTTTATCGAATCTAGAGAAGTATCTAAGTATACAGACAGTACCAAAAAATACTTCTACCTACATTTAACTGTGATGAATCTGTGTAGTTGAGAGGCGATGTTGCTGACTTGCTGTTAGCGTGAATGACAATACATTGGGCAGATCTAAACCTTAGGTACGCGTTTATGCAAGAAAAGTTCTTTGAGCAATTATTTGTAAACTGTTTGAGAAAGGGCCGATATAAAGCAGCATTTTCTTAAACTGTCTTTCTATTCTTGCAGGATGTACTCTTCACATAACCATAATTGTTATCGCTGACTCCACATGCTTATTTTCTCTTTCTTTCTCTCTTTTCCTTTTGCTTCTCGAGCTTTATACTGTGAATCTCCTACATATTGTGCTTTTAAAACGTTGCTTTGCATATCACATTTATCATGTAGTTCGAGAGAAAGCCTCGTTATGAGCATGTATGCTGAGCGTGTAAGTCGCAGCAGCAGCGATGGTCGTCGCTATCGAAAAATGAAATAACACATTAATGAATGATCATCATTAATGCAAATTTTCATAAGCAGCCTGTTGATCGGTGCGCCTCAAGGAGTCGGAAAAAGGACTCCAAAAAAGCTCATTCAACTCACAATTATGCTTGCAAAAAGTGCATTTTAAATCACATTATCAAGAATAAATGGCTAACAACAATAGTAGTATCAAAAGCAATCCTGTATCCACCGTTGTCCTCGATAGCTTTGCTACAATGACCCGCCACAATAGCTCCAGCAATGAAATTGTTAGAAACAGTATCCGACTAGCTAGCGTCTTCACTGATCCGATGCTTCCAGAAAAGCCTCGGCCACCACATTCCAATTTTGTGAAACGTAGCGTTGACACGGTTATGCGGGGCACGGATCTACGATTAGACAAAAATGCTACATATGCCTCGATTAGCCATTTTAATGGGAAGAGATAATTCATTTGCACAAAGCGGGACATAATGTCGTTCTTTATATAACCAAACATTTATCTTCGGCGTGAGCTTTTACTGACGTATATGATCGCTGTACTGTAGGAGTGCTATGCTTACGTTCAAAATGTAAAACGCATTTATTATTAAATACTGCAAGTTAACGTGGAGTACCGTTCCAAACAAAAGTTCAACCGACAAAATGAATTCAAGCTCAAGAAGTGGATGGTCGAAAAGCAACGCACGGTAACAATAATATCTACACTTTTTTTAGTGCCATATGATTAATGTTGCTACTATGTGATGAAACAAGCTATAGCGATAAGACTTGTGTATTGGATCCATCTGTGGATGACATGGATCAATATGTCAATATCATGGATGGTTGGATAGGACTTGGTTAAGTTTTAAAAAGGATCCAGCGAATTATTTTTGCTTACAGCTGCCAAACAGATACAAGCGATGCGCCCAGCTTGAAAACAACGACGGACTTAGCGACACGGAAAGTGTCGAGAATTGTACAGGCGAAGAAAATGAGGTAGAGCAGTGATTAATTGTGTCGATTGAAGAGTATGTAATACATGCTATAGTAGAAAATGTTTCGTTGTTTGTTATCGCAGTGGGAAAACGGCATGCAGCACGCCAAAAAGCCGAGGAAAACAATTGACGAGACAGAGGAGCATCCGACGTTAAGAATATCGAAGTCGATCTTGAAGAATCAAGCGATGAAGAGGCAACACCTTCCTAGACACAGTCTGGTTCTTAGAAAGAGGTCAGCACGGAGAGAAACAAAAAAGAATACTTCGACGCGCGCACGTGTCCATTAAAACCTTAAAATATGTGTTATATCGTAGGTGATCCTGTCGGCAGGCACTGATTCCCGTGTTGAAGTTGTAATTTTGACGTGTCATAAGTTTCTCCGTATCGATCTTGGCCAAAGATCAACTTTGTCATTGGGGCATAACGGAGATATGTAGTCAAGAGCGGCACTATATCCCTTGTTTTTACTTATTGATATTAAGTATATATAAAAAGGCGGCAAAAGTGTCATTTAACAACGATTACGGTTGCCTTGGGAGCAAAGGCTAACTCGACAAACCGTGCCAAGAAGCTGGGCTCGTTGATTCGTGAGGGTGTTGAGTAAGTTATCATATTGTTGCAATGATATGAATGGCATGCGTTGTCTATCTGAAAGTGACTAATCAGAGTTTGTCTGCTAGCGCAGCTATGGTGACAGTGCACATCACCAACAAAGGTCACGACGCTAACCGACAAGACATTTACGGTGATACCATCACTATCGAACGTAAAATTTTGAAAGATGGTGTCGGCCACTACCGCATCAAAAGCTCTACAAACAAGATCATCTCGAGCAAGCGAAAAGAATTGACAGCCATCTTGGATCCCATGGTCAATTTAAGGGATAATCCACTCACTATCCTCTCGCAAGATATGGCACGCGAATCCTTGAATTTAAGCTCGTCGAGCGAAAAATACTCGGTACATAATGCGCGAGTTGCTTACATATTGATATAGTCAGGTAAAAAGAAAACTAACCCCTCGCTTATATAGCTTTTTATGCGCGGCACGCAACTGGTACAACATTCTCAAGACTACGCCGTTTTACGAGAAAGTATTGATGCCATGGCGACAACTCTGAAACGCAAAAGCTATTGTCTACAGACTTGCAAAAACGTGCAAAAGATGCAGAACTAAAATGCAAACAACTCTTAGCCCTAGAAGATACATCACATGAAGAAAAAATCAAAGTGCTCAGCAACGAGCTAGCATGGGCACAGGTCATTACAAAAGAAAATGAAGCACAAAAACAAGAACTCTGATAGCTGAATCTGCAGATAACGTCGCCGCTGCCTAGGAAAGCCTTGCAGACGCCAAGGTAAAAATACACAACATCATCACTGCACTTCCGGTTGAAAATGAATCTGATATTTCACCATCTTCATATAGGAAGCGGTTGGTCAAACCAACTGAAATAACGGAGGAAATGAATACTCACGGATCCTCTTTTGCGGCGAACGCTGCAGCAAAGCAGGCATTTGAGAACGAAAAGATAGGAACAGAACGTAACCTTAATAATATCAAGGTAAACTTGCTTAAGTGGAGCAATCTCAATAAATTCTTGATAGTCTACCAACATGACAATCTTGCTTGCCATATAGGATGACATTTAAAAAGTCAACTCTCATGTTCGAGGTGGAGTGAGCCAATTTATCAATGCTTGTCCAGGAGTTGGATCTTCGTATTGTTGTTGGTTGCTATCTGGATGTTGGTGTGCGTCAAGTTCCGCTAGAATTTGGCAGAGTGTTGGCCAAATTTTGGTGAGAGACTGTATGCGGTTGGACGATCGTGGTTTTGATCTCGGTAATTCGTTGAAGATCCAGCTAATGGGATCCTGGTGTAGTTGTGCAGATACATTTAGCCGCTGATGCATGCGCAAACAGTATATGGCATGTTGTTTGGTGTAATCTGGCACGTGACAGCTTTTGCAGGCTTTCTTACGTCCACCTGGCAGCCATCCAATCCGCCATGTATACAGCGACTTCTTTCCTTGCGAGTCATGGGTAGCCACATAACCGAATCGATGCCAAGTGTTGGACGACAACATTTGAGGAGTTTGGTGCGCGTTGGCGACAAACGGAGTGTATCAAGATTGTTTCTGAGGTATTGTCGCATGAGTTGTTTCAGGGCCGTACGGGAGAGATCCGGGAAAGGTTCAGTGCATAGAGGGATGATTGGTGATTTTCGCTTTAATTTGCTCCAGTAGCTACTCGCTTGTGCCTCCAGTGCTAATAGGAGTGTTGGAAGAAGTGCGTCCTCTGGTAGATAGGTTGCCCGATGTATGAATTTTGCTTGGAGGATTGCTATGCGTTCTGTCATACTGGGTAAGTTGGCGAGGTGACGCATGATCTTCGTTTCTGAGTTGGGGTGTGCGCCATATATCAGACGGAGGCATGTATTCTGTGCCTTTTCTAGGGTATCTTGTTGTTTTTTTGTGAAAGGGGTGATCGCTAGACCGTATTCCAATTTCGGTCGTATAAATTGAGCGTACAGTCGGCTGGCCAACAGACGCGATAGGCCAGACGGTTTGAGGCCTATGTTGTTGAGGATTCGCATACTGGTGATTCCTGATGCGGTATTGTGTTCGATAAGCTCTTGTCCATCAAGAGAACCGCGGTTGTTGATTGGGACTCCGAGATATTTAGTGTATCAAATAGTTGAAATGTGGTAGTTGAGTGTGTTGTTGGTTGTACAATCACACATTTTGTCGGGCTCCAACGGTATCCTGAATCGAGACTGTGTTGCTCACAAAGATTCAGTAGGTGTTGCATGTTGTCGTCTGAGCTGATAAGTACTACGTCGTCAGCATATAGTAAACATGGTAGATTTGGTAATGAGCTGTTGAGCTGCTGGGTTGAAGGGCGTCCTCGGCGTCTTGGTGCTGGTGGTGGTGTCTGGAAATCATCGTCATCTTGGTGGTTTAATGATGGTGTAGGTGGTGTCAATTGGCTCACTCCTCCGCCGCTAAGCAATGGTGGTAGGCTATTGATGTATAAGGAATATAGGAAAGGGGATAAAATGGATCCTTGTAGGACCCCAGTAGTAGGTGAGAAACGGGGTGACGCAGCATTGGAGATCACAACTTCGATAAGCACATCGTTGAATAGATTTTGTATCAATAAAAGGAGGGGTCGGGGGATATTGTCTTTTAATACTTCCCAGATAATCGTGCGATCAACGGTATTATATGCCGATTTGATATCAAGGAAGGCTAATGTAGGTGTTACGCCAGTGGTAGCTTTATGGATTCGACAAAGTTCTTGGAGGCAGAATGCTTGGTCGAGTGCACCGCGTGCTTGTCTGAATCCTCCTTGGGCTATATCCAGGGGGGGCTATATTGCTGTAGAGGCTCTTAGAGGCAATATTCCAGGATTTTCCTTAGTACAGATGTAAGACTTATTGGGCGGAAATTCGCCGGGTCATCGGGTGTGCCCTTCTTGTATATGGGTAGTACTTGTGCTACACGCCATGCCTCCGGGGTATACGATCCCATCCAACATAATTGGAAGAGATGACATAAGAAAGGTGCAAGTGTCGCGGCGATAGGCTTTAGCATTTCACTTCGTACATGGTCGATTCCTGGGGCTTTCCTAGACGGTAGTCGTGCAATAGCAAGGGCGACGACGGCAGGCGTGATAGGACAATCGACTGTTGTCGGTGTTGATGTTGTATGGTTGTTAGATGTTGACCTTGTGTGATCATTTATGATTAGGTGACCGTCATAAACTGATGTAAGGTGTTGGGCCATAAGATTAGCTGCCTGTTGTGGTCCGTCTTGATGACTGAATGTCGGTTGTACTGTGCGGCGATGCCGGATTTTTTTTGATTATTGCAGTTGTTTTGCTGTACTCCTCGGTCTCTAGTCGAGAGCAGAAAGTGCGCCATCTTTGCCTGCTTCGCTTTGTCATAGCTTTGCGTGCTCTTGCAGCTGCCTGTTGGTGTTTGAGCCACCATGTCAGTTTATTCATACCATATGCACGTCTCCACTTCCGGTAACACAGTTCTCGGTGCTCGACGAGGCGCTGAAGTTCTACAGTCCAGAATTCAGTGCTCGCTTGTCGTCCTCCAGTTGTTGCACCTAAGGTCGTATCTAGGGTCTCGTATAGTGTGTCATAAAATCGATCCGAGATGTCGTCGATGATAGTTGGCAGTTCTATACGTTGCGAGGTTTGGTGGGTGGCGCGTTCAATGCAGTTTTGCAGGTCGTTGTTGAGTGGTTGTAGCTGTTGTGCAAATGTTGTGGTGTAAGTTCGTCGAAAATCAGCGTCTGCAAGTTTACTGAGTCGCCATAATCTTCGATGATTCGCAGTTTGTTGAGTTGAATCCCTTGTGGTGAGGCGGTCAGTCTCATAGCTGAACTGAATCATTTTGTGGTACGAGTCTAATGAGAGATCGTCGAAGATAGTCATTTGTGGATTTGTGCAGTTTTGTATACTTATGAATAGATCGATAATACTACTACCCGGGTGGCGGATTAATGTCGGCTTCCCGTGTGTCAATGCCGCATTCCAGAGCTTAAGATGATGGTCTTGAAGCCAGTGCTGCATTTGGGTGCCACGTGCATTGAAGCTGTGTCTCCAGTAATCGTACTAAATCTGGCATTGAAATCACCACAAATAATATTATTGTCAGTGTTGGGGTGATGTAAGGGAAGTGAGTCTAAAATTGCTAATGCGGTATCGTTTGACATAGAAGGTGCTGGGGGGAGGTATACGCAATGGATCAGGGTGTTGGCCACTATACATGAGAGGTGATAATCTGGATATGATGATGCTGTATTTGGGAGGATGTGTACGTGATAGGGGCAGGTAGGGTTAATGAGTAGAGATATTCCTAGGTGACCACGCGTGGCCGTCGGTGTGGGGCGGTTACCATAAACATGATATTGTTTCCATGAAGTATAGTAGCGATTAGGGGATAAGAGCCAAGTTTCTACAAGGAAGAGAAGATGGGTATCGGGTATGTGATGTAAGATAGAATCAATTGCCTGGCGACGCAGGCCAGTTGTGTTAAATATGTTTAGGATGATATTGTTATGGCTCATATTAATTAATCCTTTTTTTTGTTGGTTTTCTCTTTTTTCTTCTCTTTTTTTTTAATATGGGGGTTGTGGGTTTAGTTGGATCTTCCTGACACGCTGTCAGAGTCACCAAGTTTGCGTTTCCGGTTGTCGTCACCTACTTCTGCGTCCTCCATGAAGTCGTCGTCGTCTGTCTGGTCCTCGAAGCGATAATTTGCTGCGGCTTCTTCGGGATCATCGCGATGAGGTCGTCGCTTTGCTAGGATTTCTTTCAAATCTTCAGTAGCTATCCAGCCGCAGTCGTGGAAGGCTCGAGCTACTGCGTATTTCACGGGCTCTCGGATGTACTGTAGCGAGCGTAAAGCTCGTTGATACTGTAGTTCAAGTGCTATTTGGGCTTTTGTGTCTCTTGATTCATCTTTGTATTTTGGGTCGTGGATGTTCTTAGGATCGAGGGGGTCGAAGGTAGTTGTTTTGATGTTGATGGACTGTAGTTTTTCTTTAACCGTTGGTGCATAGTCGTTATGGACTAGAATTCCGACCAGTTGTCGGGCCGGATATTGGATGTCGAGCACTCGGCTGTTGCCAATACCAAAGCGACGGAGATTGGCTCTGATTTGTCCTGCTGGTTGGCGGGCACGCGACGGGACATGGATATATTGGAAGCCGTGGGTTTCCGATGGAAGTTGAAAGCTGCGTGCGGCTGCTGCAAGCCGGCGTTGTTGCCTTTGGGGGGAAACAATGGGTTGACGTGGGTGGGCGCGTAGTGGATGTGCCCAGTCACTTGCAAGGCTGTTTGTAGGTGCTTCTGTTTGCTGTTTGTTGTTCGAGAGTGGAGGGAAGTCCTGGTTGTTGGCTTGGGGTGATTGTTGGGATAGCTGGTGACGGCGGTGCTGGTTTGTTGATTCGAGCTGCGCTATTTGTGCATTAGCTGCATTAAGTTCGTGTTTCAACCTCTGTATCTCTTCGCACATGGTCTCATGGCGTTCCAAGCGTTCTCTTTGTGCTGTTAGTTCATTCATGATTTGGGTCATCAGATCTGTATTTTGGGAGGGGGTATCTTCAAGCTGCATTAGCCCTTGGGTATTACTGGGGTAGGGTAGGGTGTTGTTACCGTAGTCTTCGAGCTGCCGGAGGACTTGTTACATTTCCGATGCGGTAAAGGTCCTGGTACAGGTGCGACAACGAAATTTCGTTTGTGGTGGAGTCGTGTTCTTTACAGTTCCTTGGCGCTGGGCAAAATTGGACCGTATCCAGCAAAATTGGACCGTATCCCAAAATTAAGGACCGCATCCGGACCGCATCCAGCAAAAATTGGACCGTATCCAGCAAAATTGGACCGTATCCCAAAATTGAAGGACCGTATCCGGCCCGCATCCAGCAAAATTTATTGCTGGTCGTTCCTACAGCAATTGTTGGTGCCTCCGGTTCAGTCTCCGTAGTAGTGGTTATTGGCTCTTTCAGCCGCGCTTTATTTTCCGTCTATTAGTTCAAATTTTTTCATTGCTGTTATAATTCTCTAGTTCTTTCTAAGCCGCGCATCGTGGTACATGGATTTAAATTAAACAATTAATGACGATCTCTGGGATTTTTGGCAGTGGCCATTGTTGCAGTTAATCGATTGTTTCTTTTTGTCGAAGAGTTTGTCGAGAGATTTCAGTTCCTCTGTTGTAAACATGGTAACTTGTGTGGACTGGGTCGTGTTGCCAGACAACATTTTGGTCGTCTTATTCAAGGACGTTCGAGACGTTGCTGTGGACAGACGGGTGGCTGATTTTATAGGGGTGGTAGTTTCTTGGTTTTGTTAAAATATCTGAAATATTGAAGTGGTGATATAGCTTAACTTTTACACACTATTGGAGAAAGTGATGAATAGCGGAAAAAGCCTTGTTTAAGAATAATACAGTTTATGCATGGCATATCTCAGAGTGAGTGTAATGATCTAGCACTGGCGACTGTGGACGCAAATAACATGGAGCTACGTCCCTATGTAAAAGTGTATCGACTGGATGATCCGAAAACTCAAGCTAAATAGCCATGAACACAGATCGTCCATGTATACCTTGTACACAATCGTCGTGATAAAAACAATAGGATCCGAATCCTCAACAGCAAAGTTTAATTTCAGACATATCCGACTTCTCTTTTATTTTTGTTCTTTTTCGTGTGGTATCATACCAACCAAGCATAATGAGCGACAATAGTGACGATGAATACGAGGAGGAGGTAACAACCGAATATTTGCTAACAGATCACTTTGTTATTTACAATAAAACTAATTCGGTTGCAATTCAAGACTGTCCACATGGTGGTTGATCTAGGCTCGGAAATTGCACCTGAGCTTCTGGAACGCCTTGCGCGAGAAAATTCTGAAATGACATATTTGGCAAGTTTTTTTTTTATTTTCGATCGTAGCTCTGCATTTAAGAGACGAACATACTAATAAAATACAACAATATAGGGAGCAGAGGACGGTGAACAATTTATTCAGCTGGGTGGAATCACCTTTCGTGGTCAACTGAACGAAACAGTGTGCACTAACCTGCTTTTTGAAGTTCACGAGCGGAAACGCGAAGGCTCTGGTAAGATTGTTAGATGGCCTATCCGGAAAATTGGACTACATATGCGACAGATAAAAAAACGAACATTAAGATATCTAACTAATGCGAATATGATAACTAGGTCTTTTGCCGATTTTGTCTTCGATAAAAAAGGAAGGTGAAGAGAACGACGAGACACGAGCACGGCGGCAGCAACTACCATCGCATTCTGAGTTAACTTTGTCTGTCATGACGGATAACGTTACCATGTGCGAGCGAGTGACGCTTCTAGAAAAAAAAGGAAAACAAAATACAAGTGTTGATACAACTAATACACCGTCAGCCACACCACCACAACCTGGCAAAGCAGAAAACTACGGTGTTCTTTTAGCAGAACATACCGATTAATACCACATGCCCTTCAATTCTACATATGCAACCTGCCTCCTTTTAACGTACATCCATCCTCAACTGATTCTTATAACTGCATCAAGTCATATCTTTACATTTTATTTTTCTTATATACACGATGAATATATAGCATTCTTAGTCCAAAATTCCACACTTCTTACATTTTGAAATGTCCAAAGAAACAAAATAATTAGTATATATTTTATTTTATTTCAGACCACAATGCAGTTTTCAAGCTTTCAAAGACTTGACGTGGTGGTTGATGTGATCAGCAATAAAGGTCGAAATGAAAAAGTAGCTGTGGTCATAGCCATCTTGGAAACGTATATTCCACTCAGAATCACGGCCGAGTTCATGGACGGCCTGTTGCAAAGCGGTGACCTTCAATTGGTTTTCTAGGAATCCATCAGCAGTACCCTATAAAATGAATAATTGACAAATGTCAGCAAACCTTACAAAGACTGATGATAATCCAGTAACAATAGCAAAGCATACCACATCCACCAGCACATCGAGTTTTTCGTTCATGTGAGACTTGATCAGCTCAATAGTATCGTACTGCTTCCATGTGGACTCATCCTTGCCCAAATAGTTGCTAAAAGCCTTTTGGCCCCAAGGGCAATTGATGGGGTTGGCAATGGGCGAAAATGCAGATACAGTCTAGATCATTTGAAGTTTTTTAGAAGTCGAAATCGGATAGATGTTTAGTTCTGAGGGACTTGTGATTTTTACCTTGTACTTGGTGGGGTTTCTCATATAGATCGTTAGAGCACCATGACCACCCTATATTAAGTTCGATATTAGAACAGTAAGAAGGAAAAGATTCCGTACAATAGTTTCACAATTATCTTACCATTGAGTGACCCATAATAGAAATGCGCGATTCGTCCTGTCCAACAACCGGCTTAGTAAGCATGCTAACTCACTTAGACATCGAATCAATAACACGAAAACTCACAATAGGCAGCTGGTTATGCACCAAAGAAGGTAATTCCTCGACAATATAGGAGTACATGCGATAATGCTTGGCCCATTTTGGCTCCGTAGCATCGAGATAGAATCCGGCACCTAAGAATTAAGATCAATACATAGGCCCCTCTTTACATGTGTGCATACACACACATGCACATTCAAATACGCATAATCTGATCCTTTTTAAAATGCATACCAGTGCCGAAATCCCACGAATCGTTATCGCCTTCGATTGAGACACCACCTTTATAGAAAAAAGCAAAACCCATGCGTTGAGTAAGTGTACCATATGTGTTCGTGGGAAAAGAAGGCAATCGATAATATCTTCAGAAACACTTACGAGGAGAGGTATCTGGGGCAATCAAAGCAACACCATGCTTGGCAGCTTCAGCCAAAGCACCGCTCTTTTGGATAAAGTTGTCCTCAGTGCAAGTCAAGCCTGACAAAAAGTAGATACCCGGAACAGCTTGACCCTCGGCAGATTCCTTGGGCAAAAAAACATTGAACTTCATGTCGCACTGAAGTTCTTCAGACGAGTGCTGGTACTTGACCAAATGACCCCCAAAGGCCTTGTTGCGCGAAATCTCGGTGAATGCCATGACGAAGGATGGCGAAGAACGTACAGAATACTGGAACAAGCGCGTTGCCACCATCATTTATATAGTCAGTCGGTCGGGAATAGCTGAGTTTGCGCTTGTCTCTGTACGTGAGCGTTTATGGATGTGTACAACAAAAAACACTATCCAGTTATCTTTGATTTGATAAGTGTGCTAATATGACACACCCTACCGTGGGACGCGTGTGCTCATGTCAAAGATCCGAAAATCTTAAAGTGCGAACCGTCGTATCGGTTTACCATTATTCCGGCTCATATATAGACGTAAATGATTTTGAACACCCACGGATCGACAAACATGTTAACTTTGTTAGCTCATATTATACTCGCGTATAGCATATGTATCCGTCGAGCCTGCTTTTCAGTATACAAAAATGAATGCAATTGAATGAGGACTGACTGTTGCCATACAACACGCGAAAGGTTACTTTTCATGCTTTGCTGTCAGGCAACTGTGCTCAAAAAGAGGTAAGCAGTGCCAAACGAAATTTCGGTTGGCATTATAGAAGCCCGCTTGAGATTTTTTTCCTAAAAAACATATGCCGCAGTTTCTCTCTCTCCTTATCACCACTACATATCACCATGGCTATTTGTAAATTCTTCCAAGAAGGACGATGCAATCGAGGCAATGCCTGTAATTTTGACCACGTCCGACCGAATCAGCAATCCTGGGGCAGAGGAGGACAAGCAAATGCCGGGACACCAGATAAATACAAGTACGTGTATATAAGATTACGGTTTTTGGAATCTTTCTGTTTAGCTTAACTGTAAAATTGTTACTAGTGAAAGCTCCTTAAAAGTTGGTTTAAAAGAAGAAAGACCACTGTGGCAATTGAGTGTCTTTGGACCAGCAAAAGAAGAACCCAATATGGTGGTAGGCACTGATTACAGTCCAGAAGAAGATCGGTTGCAGTATTATTCTAGCATGCAATTGTCAGGCAACCCCAATCAATATGTACGTGAGCGAACAATACGTTGTAGTGTAGATAGTATACGCATTCATACTTAACATATACTTTCTCTTACGCATAAATAGCTTTCACAGCACGAGCAAAAGCTCAAAGAAATGTCGAACCAGGTGGACGCAATCCTGGGAAACACACGTGCAGCACTACAGCATTACGAAAAAGAAAAGACCAACAGTACCAGCGCTTTTGGTGGATCCGATTCAAATAAGCAATTTGCACCGTTTCGAGGCACAGGTGGTGCGTTTGGAGGAGCAAGTGGTGGCGGGTTTGGTGGCGCTGGTTTCGGCGCTGGTGGATCAGCTTTTGGTCAGCAGAACAGTGCATTTGGTGCGAAACCCTCAGCTTTTGGATCTACTACTACATCTTCAGCGCCTGCGTTTGGAAGCACATCAACATTCGGTAATACATCAGCGTTTGGCAGTACATCCACACTAGGCGCCAGCGCACCAGCTTTCGGAAACTCTGCATTTGGAAGCACATCGACATTAGGAGCTAGCGGTTCTACGCCTGCCTTTGGTAGCACTTCAGGGTTGGGATCGACTTCAGGCGCACCTGCTTTTGGAAGCGCGTCGGCACTTGGATCTTCTGGCGCAACAGCATTTGGGAGCACATCAGCATTGGGTGGCGGTGGTGGGGCGCCGGCTTTTGGAAGCACATCAGCACTAGGGTCTGGTGGCAGTGCACCTGCGTTTGGAAGCACTTCTGCACTTGGGTCGGGTGGATCAGCATTCGGTAGCACGTCATCTTTGGGCAGTGGAGTTGGAGCATCAGCATTTGGCAGTACTTCAGCATTGGGCGCTGGCGGGCCAGCGTTCGGTGGCACATCAGCATTGGGTGCAAACAATACCAAGCCAGCCTTTGGAAACACATCTGCATTAGGAGGATCAGCACCGGCATTTGGCGGCGGTCCAGCATTTGGCTCAAGCACGACAACACCAGCATCTACTGCTGATAATACAGCATCATTGTTATCAAATATATCAGCAGAGGACAATGCAGCCTTTGCACAAGAGAAGTTTACATACATGAAGATTCCCGAAGTTGTGCCTCCTCCCCAACTCCACTAATTAAACATCTCTTAGTTTCGGAATAAAGTTCCTGAAACTGCCAAATACGGGCTTCTTGCCGTGTACTTTAAAAGAGCCGGAGATATCTTGCTGACTCTTCTCTTTTATTCATTTCTTCTTTTTCTTTATGCGGAAAACTCTTTTTACTATAACTGCTGCAGCGTTGCTCTTGTGCACCGAGGCCATGCCTGCTTCGGTGACAGTAGAGTTACAGACCGCATTCATGCCGGACTCTAAGACGTCGTCATTGTCCTTGACTGATCAGCTCCAAGACAGCTTGACCGTTGACGGCCTCTTGCGTCATTCTCGAAAACTTCAAGCCATTGCTAATGAGAATGGTGGCACTCGTGTTTTCAGCTCAAGCGGTCATAACGCGACTTTACATTATATTGCCGAGTCCGTTCTTCAGGATGGGTATCACACTTGGCTGGAACGTAAGTCCTTTATTTTACTTGCCAGAGTTTGGAGCCATAAGAAGGGCGAAGAATCTTCCTTTCCCTTAGCAACGCGAAAATTGTAATAACTAATATTGACATGATATTTCCTACAATAGCCATGTATTTGAATTATACTGAAAAGGTCAAACAAGAGGTGACGCTCGTCAGTCCTTTTGAGCAAGAAATACCCGTGGGTCTGATGACCTTCACCGAGAGTACGCCCTTGGATGGAGTTACGGCCGAGCTCGCGTTGGTGCCTGGCTTTGGTTGCGAGGCATCCGACTATCCAGATGTGAACCACAAGATTGTCCTTTTATCTAGAGGCTCATGTGCATTCGGCCAGAAGGCATACGCTGCTGGGCAAGCAGGTGCAAGCGCATTGCTCATCCACAACAATGAGAAGGGCTCCTTATCAGGAACACTGGGTCAGGATTTCCCACCCGGTGCGCCGACTGGCGGAATTTCCGACGAAGATGGCGCAAAATTGATCCAGCTGCTGGAGCAAGGCATTGTTGAGCTGCAGGTTGCTATCGTCGAAAAGCGCGAAGAACGCCTCACATACAACGTCATTGCGGAAACCAAGGTACAAGGACATTTAACCAAAACGTTGCTTCTGTCAACTGTTTCCATGAGAGTAGCTGCTATAAAGCTGTTAAATGTGTTTATTGACTGTGAATGTTCGCGTTCTGCATGCCGTGTTTTAAAAAATAGGGCGGCGATAAGTCGAACCTGATTGTCATTGGTGGCCACTCTGATTCAGTAGTTGCTGGTCCAGGTATCAACGATAATGGATCTGGTACTGCTGCATTGTTAGAGCTGTCGCATTTGTTTCGGGATGTCGAACCTGTCAACGCTGTTCGCTTCTGCTGGTGGACCGCAGAAGAGTATGTTGATCAATAAGATAATAGCTAATTCGCTTTCGCTCAACATTACTAACGGAATCTCGGTTGGCTTTTTTTCCTTCTACTATCTAGATATGGTTTATTGTAAGTACTAGAGCACCGTCAAATATTCTGAAGTATATAACCGTTGTCTAAAATATCGTTCGCGTACATACGAAAGAGGAGCAAAACATCACGTTGATAACTTGTCCGAAAAGGAGCGTCACTATATCGCTCTCTATCTTAACTTTGACATGATAGGTAGCCCCAATGCAGTCAACGGTATGTGTTTACAAGACCTGAGATATCTGACTATCTACAGAAGAAAACTTTACATACCGATTATATCACTAAACGACTAACTGACTGGTTCAACAATTACTAGGTATCTACGATGGTAAGTTTCATGATATACTGTTGTCAGCATATGGATCTCTAATAGAAGCAATGTGATCTCTAACACTATCATTAAAAGGCGATGGATCTGACAGCAAGCTCGCTGGTCCACCTGGTTCGGCTGCTATTGAAAAATTGTTCCAAGATTTCTTTGCTGACAAGAAAGAACCCTATGATCCCTCTGAATTCGATGGAAGAAGTGATTATGGCCCGTTCGTGAGTCTACTGCTTCGTTTAGTTAGCTCTTGACATTCATCAAGTACGTTTTATTTACCTGTCTGTTCATTTTCCTCTTTATTTGATAGATCCAAGTTGGTATCCCATCTGGCGGTCTTTTCACCGGCGCAGAAGTTCCCATGACCGAGGATCAGGCTAAACGGTATGGCCGTAAGGCTGGCCTCGCCTATGATCAATGCTACCACCAAGCCTGTGATACCATCGATAACTTGAACCATGATGCCTTCTTGCTCAACGCCCGCGGTGTTGCCCATGCACTTGCTACATTTTCGCAATCCACTGCGCTTGTCGACAAGCAGCGCGAAAAGTTCCGCACTTCTTTAAAGGAAGAAGAGCAACAATCAAAGATTGACATCGAGTCTATTTGGCCTTCTGGAGCTGAAAAGCATGCTCATTCTATTTAAGAATATTGTAAAGTAAATAACACACATGTATATTTTCGGTAGCTTGTAGGCGGAAAATAAACATTGAAGATAAACGACCAAGAGCGACTACATTGTTTCTTACATTAAATAGTGGTATACGCGTTGTTGTTGTTTTTGTCATCGGCGGCCCCACGATAGTATCATATGAAAAGCACGACAGGTATTTTATATATGTGACTATATGAATATACATATATCATCAGACACTTAATTGCAGCACAGCACTAAGTTTGAATGCCCGTGTACGACGAGGTTTTAAATGTCTATGTTTTCTTTGCGTATCTTACTCAACTCTTTACTCCAAAAATATACATAGTAATTTTCTAATAGATTGGTCACATATTGTTGCGTTCAACGCATAAAGCGCTATGCAAAGCAGCTTTTCCCAACCTCGAGTTGCCTCTCAGTCGCAGAAGCAGGATGGATAGTGCAGTCAATGAGGTTCCCTTCAAGCGGCATGTTCAGTGATACACCGGAACACGGTGGCCAAATATACATACGCCTTGCGGATCGCCAACTGCGGAGACATCAAGCTGTATACTTGCTTCGAAGATATCACTTTAAAGCCTCTATTGGTTAAATTGCACTGCAGATTTGCATTTCTCACGACATCAATTGAGTAGGCTACGGTTATTTAAGCGAGTAGCACATACACGAAGAGACAAAAAATGTAGAATTCGCATCACCGTACGCATAATAATATGCATCGGGGACACGCACCTTTAACAGCTGCTGAAAATGTACTAGTTTGACATTACTTTGGGAATTAGACTGGCCCGTGCAGCAGTATTCATCCGTGTGTTATAAGTCGAGCATGCGCTTTTGCAAGCCTAGGTTCAACAAGTAATACAGCTAAGAGCAAAGATTTTTCTTCACCTATATCACTACAGTAACACATGACTTAAAGTTTGTAAATGACAATGACATGAGGTATCTAACGATAGCTGTGTCCTTATCAAATATTTTTCTAAATCTGAGAAGGATTTGTGTTGTGAAACAACCTCAGAGTCTCATAGATACGGGATATATAACATTGATACAACGGGATGTAGATGACAGCAACAAGAGGATCGAGAGGTATAGCATCAAGAATTAAACGAGATCATGTATATTAAATTTGATAACCTTCAATCCATGTACAGAACTGGTGGCAGTTGGCAGTAAGTATGAGTAATGCGTGGAGGATGCACTACAGCTTTTTGGACAGCTCGTGAGTCACGACCGGATTTCGGGGTGCGTAAAAATGAAACCAGCATCAGTCCGAAGGATTCCTTCTAACATACACTGTATACTGCCAACACAACAAAAAAATAACAATATGCCATTCTCCCTCGAAAAAGTTATCCGTCCCAACATTTTGGCCCTGACACCATACCGATGCGCTCGTGACGATTACAATGCAGGCATTCTTCTGGATGCCAACGAAAATGCCTATGGCCCTTCTCTTGTCAAAGACCTTGAAGGCGACCTCAACCGATACCCCGATCCTTACCATGTCCGTGTCAAGGAACGACTTGTCAAGTTTCGCCAACTCCAATCTACCAATAACTTGTTTTTGGGTGTCGGCTCCGACGAAGTGATCGATCTCCTTATCCGAATTTGTTGCGTACCCGGCAAGGACAAGATCCTGATCACTCCTCCTACATATGGCATGTACTCCGTCTGCGCTCAAATTAACGACGTTCAAGTAGTCAAGAGCAACCTCAATGTCGAAAATGGTGTTTTCCAATTGCGCACAGACGATGTAATTTTTTTATTCTCTACAAATGATATGACAACAGCAGCAGTAGAAAGGATATGGAGGATAGGATAGCACTGACAAAAGAAGCATATTTAGATTGCCGCATGTGTTAAAGCCAACCCAGACATCAAGATCATCTTTTTGTGCTCGCCCGGTAACCCTACTGGCACTTGCTTGAAACACGATAGCATCCGTGAGGTGCTCGAATCTGGCTACGAGGGTATCGTTGTTGTGGATGAGGCCTACGTCGACTTCGTCGCTGGCGAGAACGGATCTGTTGGTACCTGGGTCGACAAGTATCCCAACCTTGTTGTTATGCAGACACTTAGCAAGAGCTTTGGTTTGGCTGGTATTAGGTAAGAAGAGAAAGAAGAAGGGGAGATAGTTAATCTAAAAAATAATCCACACCACAGTACTATATGTAAGCACGTAGAACTGACCACTGCTTAATATAATGTTAGATTGGGTATTGCTATTGCAAACCCAGATCTCATCCAGATTTTGAACAACACCAAAGCACCTTATAACATCGGTACTCCCAGTGCCCAAATCGCCTATGACGCATTATCGCCTGAAGGTCTCGCTAAAATGGAAGAATACAAGTCGAGATTGCTGGCACAACGCAACGTCTTGTTGGAAAAATTACAAAACTTTCCTGTCGCTGGCGTTGGCAAAATCCTTGGCACAAATGATTCCAACTTTATCATGGTTCAGATCCTCAACGGTCAAAGCGAGCCCTGCAACGTTCGTGCTGATAAGGTATACAAGTTGTTGGCTGAAACACGGGACGTCGTTGTTCGCTTCAGAGGCAAGGAATATGGCTGCACTGGCTGTTTGCGTATTACCGTTGGTACTGAGCAGGAGAACGAGACATTGCTTGCTAAATTGGAGGAGGTCTTGAAGGAGTCTGCTTAAAGAGCTTGCTGTACAGTTTTTACGTTTTTCTTTATCTCTGTTGAACGTTAGAGGCCTAGAAGCATAAAAAGTCCAAGGATTTATTCGTGATGATAAAAAAGCTGTCATTATGCAGTCTTCATATGTATATCAAAGCTACGATTGCTTTTTTGCCAAATATTTGAACATTTTTAAGATGATGAAGATTAGGAACGAACGGGTAAGTGGGATGGTGTATACACTGGTATACGTCACAATTACGACACGAAGCTCTACAAAGATGAATATTACATAGTTGATGGTATCAAGAGGAAACCACACAAGGATTCGCGCTCTCTGTATTCATGCTAAATAAGGGTTGTCAGCGTGGGGGATGCTAGGAAATTGGATCAGTTAATAAACTGCCACTGTTACCGTTACTGTAGCTCTCATTAACAAACAACATTTCTGTTTCAAAAAGGATTTTGCGTTAACAAAATGCTGCCGGTAATTGCTGGGCTAAATTGTCAAGGGAAGCATCCGCATGAGGGCGGTAATCGTCACGTGTTTTCTCCCACTTCATCACGCTGTCAATATCGTCTACAAAACAACAGACTCTTGTGACGATATTGCTTATATACTTTTTTCAGTATTGTGACAAGGAGCCCTCCCTCTTGTATTCTTTATCAGCCCTTCTGATAAATTGCCAAAAAAAAACACCCTTTGTATGGAACATGTGAAAGATGGTCGTTGTCAACTTAGCTGCGTGATGGAATGGGGATATGCAGTCTGACAAAGCACCATGAGCATAACGAGAAAGTTCGGTATGAAACTCGGTAAAAACTAAAGACTAAACAGCGAGATGATGGTGCTCTGTTGCACACAGAAGCATACATGAGATGCACTGTACACGCAAGCAAACCACATAAGCGTATTTTTATATTTTCTTCGCCAATAAACGGTTATGTGATCATTCATGCTGTTGTCGTAGAAACACCATGATGTTCCGAACCAAAAAGAACTCCTCGGAGATGATACCGAAGCCCCTGACTCAATATATGTTCATTTACGGTGCTCTCTGCATTTTATCTTTGCTAGAAACGCAAGTTGGGAGCTATAAGATGGAACAAGCCCCGCGTAGATATACGGATGTTGGGCTTGAAACACATTAGGACAAAATCAAGAAATGGATGGGGCAAACAATTGTGCTTCTTCTTTCTGGCTGGGGATCTGAGCTATAGCATGCGTTTATGCTTTATTTCATACCGAATACACTGATACTTGCTTTTTAGTTAAAAAGTGATTTTGTAAGCGGGAAGGGAGGAGCTATTATTTCATGATCGCGGCTTTTTAGAAAGCATGCGGGGTCTCCTGTCAGTCAGGAATAAGGGAAACGGGCAAACCGAGTTTCTATGCGCACATGCATTAAAAAAGATGTTCCTCTGATTAGGTGCCAACCCGAATCTGTTTACCGCATTAGCAATGAAATTTATTCCAAAACGGTAACTTTAACGCTTATTCAGTCAAAAATAAGAAAGAATTTCTTTACTTTGTTGACGAATAATGCAACAAGCTCTTTTTTAATTTAGCAAGAAAGCACTGTTGTGATGACAACAGATTGATAGGGCTGCTCTTACCAAATACTCGCGTCTATAGCATATAGGATAGATCGGCTACTTCATTTCTATACGTTTGGCGATTGTTAACGCAATCTATGAAAAAGGCGGGGTAAAATTTCGTGTAACGTTCTGGCAGTACATAACATGCGTGATCACCGATAGGTAAGTTTATAAAAGCACAGAGAAACTTTCTTCTTTATTTTTCAATTTTGATCGTGTTGCTGTTACTTTACATCTCTTGCCAGACCTTCCTTCTTTGACAACAGGTTACAGCCATAACTACTTCCCACCATCCGACGTCAAACAACGATAACAACAACAAACGATGTCAGCTTTCGGTGATAGAAAAAATAACGCAATACTACAAAAGATTGGGGTGGTCGGTGGTGCGACGGCTGCTGTGCTCGGTTTATTAGCCTTAAAGTACCCTGATCGAGCTATCTTTGACGAACACCGTGAAGGCATTGTAAGACAACCTGGCTGGCCGCTGGTTGGCGGCTTGCCTAGCATTGTTGGCAACAAGGAACAGATGCACGAGCTGTTTATGGCAGGATTCGAAAATACGGGTGCTTTGACAACGTATGATAAAATATTATCCAATCTATTACTTGTCAAAAAGTATCAAACCGGATATTAATCTTTCCTGCGCCATTATATGATGTAGTACGACCTCAGCATTGGGCATCCCTCGTACTATTATAACCATCAACCCCAAAAACGTCGAACATATACTTAAAGGTAAAAAGTTACACTACACTGCTCTCTAGCAAAACAGCTACCAGTTCTTCTTAATGAAAACTAAGTATGCATTATTTAACTTTGTGCCAGATAATTTTGAAAATTACGTCAAGGGTCCGCAATTCCATGGTGCTACAACAGACCTATTTGGCCATGGTATTTTTAATGCTAATGGTACGTATAGAAGACAAAACAAAGCATAACGAATATACAAGAAGTCACCATGCTCATTGTATTATATTATCTCTTTAACTAATTAGGCGAGCAATGGAAGTATCAAAGAAAGACAGCTAGTCTTGTTTTCAACGTCAAGAATTTCCGTGATGAATTCACGAAAGTCTTCGTCGAAGAAATCGACTACATGAACGAGCATATATTCAACAAAGCATGCGAAAGCGGTCAGCCTGTTGATTTTCACGACATTATGTTCAAATTTACTTTGGACTCATTCATTCTGTAAGTGCAACTGCAAAGTGCTTGTAATACTGGTTCTGTTGTTGCCATCATCGTTTCAGCATTCAAAACCGCATGAATTATGAGAAGATAAATTATCTAACGAACTATATCGTTGTGTACGTCTAAATTTGATATTAGATTGGGCTTTGGTGCACAATTAAATGCCTTGGACAGCGAAGATAAAGTACCGTTTGCTGCCAGTTTTGATGTCTGCCAAGCAAATTCATTCCAACGTTTTGTCAATCCTGTTTGGCGTATTACTGAAACCGTGCAAAGCATCTTGCAGCCATGGAAGATGTCCATCTCGGATCATCTTAAGGTAGTCGACTCCTTTGCAGATGACGTTATTGATCGTCGACGTGCTCAAATTGCCAACGGTGAGACTCACAGGGACTTGCTGTCCCGCTTTATGAGTGCAAGTAACCAGTTTGGTGAACCCTTGAGCAACAGAGAGGTAAGCAGCTATTCATATCGGAATTATGTTCTTTATTTTCGGTTTTTACAGGGTTGTTTCTTTAAAGATATTTAAGATGCCTTAACCATTACATCATTAGCTTCGCGACATCATTTTGAACTTTGTCATTGCCGGTCGTGACACTACCGCTCAAGCCCTTTCATGGACGTTCTATAACTTGTGCAACCATCCCCGTATCGAGAACAAGCTGCTGGACGAAATAAATGAATATATTACGCCTGAAATGGAACGCGATCCTGTTGCTCTTTACGAAGCTATCAAAAATATGAAATATGCTCATGCAGTGTACGTTTACTTCCGCTCCTTTTTTACAATTACTTATGGCACAGAAATTGTATTATTGGGACTTAGTACTCTTATATACCAGCAAAAAAAGCTAACGAAAATTCTATTTACAACGAAAATTAGGTTCTATGAAGTACTTCGTCTTCATCCTTCTGTCCCTAGCAATCAAAAGTACGCGTTGAAAGACGATATCTGGCCTGATGGCACTCAGATTAAGAAGGGAGATTATGTAATGTGGTCGCCATGGGCACAAGGCCGCAACGAGCAGATCTGGAAGGACGCTAAGCAGTTTAACCCTGAACGTTGGATTTCACCTCAGGGTGAACTTCGTCGTGAAAGTCAAGGTCAATGGCCAGCTTTTCATGCAGGACCAAGAATTTGTCTGGGAGTAAGCTACTTTATAGAAATTTTGGCAGTTTTCCGCTACTTAGTGATGCATCATAACTGATATTACGTACATCTTAAAGCAAAACTTAGCAACACTTGAAGCAATTGTAGCCATCGTTTTCCTCGTGAAACGCTATGAGTTCACCATTGTTCCTGGACAGAACATAACTTACCAGGTTAGTACAAAAACAAAAGCGGTGCATTTTCATTGAAAGCTAACAATCATAATGATGGTACGTTTCTAGGTTTCTTTAACGTTGCCCATGAAGTATGGAATGAAGGTCTATGTCAACAAGCGCCAGTAAACAGACAACAATAGTTCATGACAAACCTGTTTTTCTTTTCATTATCATGTTAATTCAATCAACAATCACATATGTAGAGCTTTTCTGGTTCATTTTACTTTTTGTTTGCCTTTTATGTATTCGCATATGCCCCTGTACATTTTCCATATACTTCACATAAAGTTTCACTAGCTTTTTTTGTTTAAAATCTACTATTCGCTGACATTAAGATGTCATGCCCGATGGCTACAAAGTAACTTTTTACCCTAACAGTACTTTATATTTAATAAACAAGAAATGTCGTATTCAATTCAAAAAGTGTCAAATTGCTTACATGTGCCTAAGCTTATCAAATTGATGATCTCGGTGAAAGTGGTTTAACTTTTGTAATTTCTGTATAAAGTAATCTTGCGGTGAGACGGGTCAAAGAAAATAATGCACTGCTGTCGATGCAAAGGCAACAGATTAAGCTTTAGTATGATATTCTGGATTGGTTGGCCGCAAATCAAAAGCAGGCACTGTGAGGCTACAACAGGGCGCTGTAATTGATATCTACGCCCTGCAAAACCGTCATTGTACATTGAGGCTGTGTACAACTGACAACAAGATAAGAAGCTAGCTGCGGTATAAGAAGCCCCACACTTTTCAAGTCGGCCGTTACCCTTACACGTTCATTAATAATCTACTGTCTCCCAACATGTTTGCTTCAATAAAAGAAAACTAATTAGCACTATCACAAGTACAGGGCATTGGAATTTTTAACAAGAAAATACAAGATATATAAGGAATGCAGGAATGGTGAACGAGCTCGCAAGCTGAATATTCTAGTTTGTTTGGTTTTCTTCCTTTGGTAAGGTACAATAAAATTAGTATAGGTGTGGCATGTCGGCTAAGAACACACCAAACTGTCATTTGTCTTTTCTATGAACTATTGTCCTCTACAGTATATTTTCTAAATAAAGATGCATTGATTTCTTGTCATTCTTACTTATAATCTTGCATTCTTTGTTGCACGTTTTCTAATTTGTCGGTGGGTCGTGGTGGTGATATGGAGCTATATGTGATCTTACTGGCATCATCCATCTGTTTGAAATTTACCTAGTGATAGCTGCATGCAATCATCGTACTATAGATTTTTGTATAGCAGGATTAAACAGAAAAATGTCGAATTTTTGAATCTGTTGATTCATTCATGAACTTCTGCTTACCTTTTCATTGAATAACCTCAACGCTAATCCTTCAACACCACAACAACCATACTCACTCTCCTAAAAAAATTTGGCCCTTATCATGATACCAAGCAAGGATTGCGTCGTCTCATCATCACTGCTTGAGCTTATAAGAGTGAAAACATGCGATAACCGTTTGATTCATCGAAAAGCCAGGAAGTTCGGTGCATCTACAATTATAGCATGATGTTATCCGACGATGCAAACTTAGGGAGGTACTACAGAAGCTGGAAATGATGTATCAGAAGTGTATAATATACACAATTGCTTTATATTGATTACCATCATTTATTAACAGAAATAGGTACATATCCTCTTCGTATTCAAATATAATTATTATGCATCTATTCACATGCAACTTTAGGGAATGATTGTCTCAACCTCATCCTTGGATTTGCCACCAAATATGTAGCCCTCGGCCCAATCCTTTCGGATTTTATAATTAGCTTCTGCATCGGCTGTCAGCTCGTGCACATCAATATCAGCAATGATCATCTCCTCTGTGCGATTTTTGCAATGGGCCACACAGCCTTTGAAAGGAACTGTAATCTGTGTACAACCTGCCAGGGCACCCGATGGCGGTTTTTTCTGACCCTCCGCGGCATCCGCTGCATTACAAAATACCATGCAAATTTCGTTTTCAAAGGCCCGAGCCGTACATACAGAATCAAGAAACTTGACCTCACTGAGCGGGTCATATTTCAAGCTTTTCGGTCCAGCGTCTTCTAACACCCAGTACGCTTATTGCAGATAAAAAGAACGATAAAGATTCAGTGTAATAAATATATACATGACCTTCTCAACACTTTACAAATGAGGACTTTTTGCCATGAGAAATTTACCTGGTGCAATAATAAGCTGAGCATTATTTTCCATGGCCATGTGCCGGAAAATTTCAGGGAAAGCAATATCCCAACAGATTGCCAAACCTTTTGAGCAAGTATAACATCGTTAGCAGAGATGGCGTGTTTGCTAGTACAACTACTTAATTACTGTCACCTTACCGACAGTGATACCAAACCGATTCTTTACAGTACCGAATCCACGGTTTCCTAGTTGCTCGCTTTTTTTATAAGCATTACCAACAAAAAGAGCAATATAATTTATGTTATAAGCATATATCTCCTTACCTCGACGCACATGGTCTCGCTCAGGATGCCATAGATGAACCTTGCGATATTCCATTAACACAGTACCATCGTTACTGATATAATAGCAGCAATTATAGATTTGTCCATCGTCTGGATCACGCTCAACGATGGTGCCTGCGACAATATCAAGGTTATGTGTAAGGGCAAGTTGGCAGTATCGTTCGCACGCGCTCTTGTCCAAAGCCAACATAGGAACTGGGCCGCCAATTGAATATCTTTTTTACTTGAATAGTCAATGATTTCATCTTACTCTTTCCCTCCCTCCCTCTATCAACCTTGTGAATTACCAATTGTCAACTTACTCAGGGAATACTAACAAGTCCACGCCCTCTTTGGCTGCCTCTTCAACAAATGCAGTGATGCGATCCCAGTTGGAAAACCTGTCTTCGTGATTAACGTAATACTACAAATGGCGTTGAGTTCTTTTTATCACTGCAAAGAATCGTTCTGCCCGTCGACAACCGAATCTTACTTGAACAGCAGCGATTTTCATTCCAGCCACAAAAAAATGAGAAATGACGAGCGAGGGAAAGGATAAAGCGGGGGTGAGATCACCGGTCACCAGCGCCACCTTCATATATGCACAATGTATTATCAGGGGTGGTGAAAAAGTAGGTAGGTGGTGGCTGTCAGCCTGGTCTCGTGAGAAAACACTCATATAAACATAAAAACGAAAATGGCGATGTGCTGCTGCTTAGACATGTAGTGCTTGTTTCTTTTCATGCGTGGAGGTCAAAGGTTCTCTCCCACTTATGCTTATTTCCTTCCGATTAGCACGCTTTGCTTAACCACAAAGTTTTCCTTGCGAAGAGGAGATATCCCACCTTATATATAAAATATCTCTATCAATGTTTTGATATTTACAAAGGAAGAAGGCAAAAGAAGATAACTACATCTACAGAAAGATAATGAATGTAAAAAAAAAATCATATGTAGTAGCGAGAAAGGTTTTTCTAAACCGTAGGCACTGTGTTTTCCACATATTCTCCTTCGTGCCCAACGTGTGCCGCGTCAATCGGGTGTTGCTGATGGTACGCCACATACGCCGGATGATAAGGATCAAAGGTGTAATCCATTTCCCGGTATAGCCGTAGTTGATTCATGAAGCCTTGATTAGGGTTTACAAATGGACGTGTCTGCTTGATGATAGCTAATGCTGCTTTGGGATGCAGTTTACGCTTGTTCATTAAATACGCCGAAACAATTGTTGGACTTCGCGACACTCCTGCCAAACAATGCACCAATATCCGTTTTCCTGACTCAAATGCCTCTTCTATAAAGTTATTTGTAATGGGAAAGAATTGGATAATGTTCGCCTCTCGGTTGTCGGCAATGGGTATGATCTATCGATTTTTGATATCAATGTCTGTACTGCTACTAACAAGTGTACACTTTTTGTCAACACCCGCCCTCACACACATAGTAATATATCCAGAAAAATAAAACTTACCTCATGCTTAAACTCTTCGGGCGGGTACTGTTGCTTAAAATGTCCAAGGGTCAGAATTGCTTCGATCTTGTTTTTGCGTAAGAATGCACGATCTTCAAAAGCCTTGTAGCCACCGATCCAAAGCCCAGGAATGACCTGTTGTCCAAGACTTGTTATAAGAATTCCACCAGGTTGGCCGTCCGGCCCACATTCCAGAGTCTGATAGAGTGAAGATTCGGGCATTAATAGAGTGGTTGGCTTCTCCTTCACTTGATGACCAGTTTTGGACACATCGTCAGTACTCGTTTCGGCATCGAGGCCCATAGCAAACCGGTTTTTTTATGCATACACGAAGCTACGGAGAATGTTCCGAATACAGCTTGCCCGCGTTGCGGAGATGGAGGGGTTTTGTCCTGTATGTATCAGGACACTAAGCCTAAGCCAATAAGACTCGAAAACTCGCACTTTGATGGTAATAGCAACAAATGGCACAGATATACACATTATACAAGTAGATGTATTATTTGCTAGAGGATTACATATTAATGCTAAAAATATAAACTTGAAGTCAGCCATGCGATATATACCCTGTGGGAAGTACTTGTTCATACTGCTCATAAATTCTATAAACAACACTATCTGAGTGCTTTCAGTAAATGGCACAGTTTCTGGTGCTAATGATGACACCTAACCTCATGTTGTAAGATTAAAATGGGTATCACTTTATGCGCACAAGAAGTCATGCTTTCAATTAATCGTGTTCATGATGGCTGGTGTGAGTTATGTATCAGCTATATTCTATTGCATCACAATTCGACATACTCTTTCCTCTTCCCACTCGATATCCAAAAGCTGACAAACTGATGCACTTTTTTCTTCTTTTCTGTCTTTCTTGCTTTCTCTTATACTCCTCTTTCTTCAGCTCCAACAGTATGGTTAGCTGCGGATGCAATAAGCCTGCGCGGCATCTTGTGAGCAAGAAACATAACCATAATCATGGTCGCTGGTTCTACAACGTATGCGCATCTCAGTATTTATTCTCATCTCCATCTTGTCATATTTTACTCAACAAATAAAACGGCAGAATACTATTCGTTTTGATATCTAACTGACAAGTACCTACATTATATATACCATTATACTAACATTAGTGCTCAAGCAGCAAATGCGGTTTCTTTCTTTGGGATGACGAGACTCCGCGTCAGCCTCAACCAGAGCCTTCGAGCACCAAAAACACTCGACAAGGTGCAGTCGCGTCTGATCCGTATCCTACTACTGATGGTGCTAGTACTCGCGGACGTCGTGATGCTGGCACCAGTGACTCCGAGCCGACAGTGGTTCAATTTTCTGTCACTTCAGCGACACAAATCACGATGGATATCCTGGGACACAACCAACAGGTCTCAAATCTTGCACGCACTTTTGCCACATTCAAGGACAATGCGTTGGTGATTGCAGCCACCAAGAAAGCATACAGCTACGCGATCCAAGTTTTGAACAGCGAACAGTCGCTGGGCTCCTCGTTTACCATCAAACCACTGCCAAACTGGGCGGCTGACAACCTTCTTCTTAATGATGACGATGCTTGTACTACTACTATTACTCATGCTGACAAGAATATTCGAGAAAAACAGTGCGATGACAAGGGCAAAGCGAAAAAAGCTGTCAAGATCAAAGAGGAGCAACATATACCAGATAAAAAGATCAACAACGATGACGACAACGACAGCCCCAGTGAATGTTTACAGCGTCTCCAAGACTGTCAAATTTGGAGACATCTCAGATTGTTCCAGCGGGAAAGCGTCACTGAAGCTATCAATCGAAAGGGCCGCATACTGCTGGGTGACGATATGGGACTCGGCAAGACTATACAGGCAATCGCCATCGCGCATGCATACACGGATAATTGGCCGGTCCTCATTGTTTGCCCAGCCTCACTTCGATCAATGTGGAAGAACGAGCTCATGCGCTGGACCGATCTTGAAGAACATGAAATTGGCGTGATAACCAAGGGAACACAAACAATCTTTCTCCCCAAGCCCTCCTACTTTCATGGCGACGAGCATCATGATAGACGGCGCAAAATATATGACTCGACTTACGACGATGTCAAGTTTTGGATTACGAGTTATGATCTAGTCACACGGAATATCGAGCATATTGTTAAGGCTGATTTTGATTTCGTCATTTGCGACGAGAGTCACTACTTGAAAAATATGACGGTACGCAATAGGATTTTGCAACAAGGAGGTTCGATATATACACTAGAGAGTTGTGTATATATTCGATTGAGCAATGTATAATGAGCTCATCACACTACTATAATTGTGTGTTGTTTATATATATTCTTTGTATGCAGGCTAAACGGACCAAGTCTCTTTTACCTGTTTTGAAAGAAAGTAAACGCGCCCTGCTTCTTACTGGAACACCTATGTTATCCAGGCCAATTGAACTCTTTACCCAAATCAGCGCGATCCGCCCAGACCTGTTTAATTCCGAAGAAGAGTTTGGCGAACGTTACTGCTCACCGACAATGACACCGTGGGGTAAAAAGTATCTTGGTATGTATTACTCTTCTTAAAGATATATAGGAATGTACCAGCTTTTATGCACAGCTGCGGCAAAATAAAATCAAAGTATAACAACGAAGGTTTTTCGACATGTATAGGTGCACAAAATCTGGACGAACTCCATTTGCTCTTGAGAAAGACTGTTTTAGTACGTCGACTCAAAGATGAAGTTGACGAGAAACTCCCTACCAAGTCCCGCCAAATTGTGGTCATGAATGTGGAAACTCCCGATATGAAAGCGACAAAGAAAAGATTGCACGAGATACAAGAGAAATTTCTTCAACAAAGAACTGACAAACTTGATAAGAAGGATCAAAGTGAATTAAATGCTGAATACCGAAACACAATGTTTAACTGGGTAAGAGCAGTTGTTGTTGTTGTTGTCTTTTCGCGCATTTTATACAGATTGTACAAAGAATACGGTTGGCACGGTGTTTATTACTACTCATGATTGACTTGTATGCATTTGTAGTATCCGGACACTGCTTTTGAGAAAATACCAGTCATACAGGAGTATATCAAGCGCACAATCGCAACCACTGACAAAAAGATGATCATTTTCGCTTATCACCATTCGATGCTCATTGCCATTGAAGCATGCGTTTCCGAGCAAAAGGTACTACATTGTATGACTGTATCTCTCTTTGGATAACGTTCCAACAACACAATATAAAGATTAGATATATACGCATTGATGGAACCACCAACCCGGCGACGCGTCAAATATTGTGTGACGACTTCCAATCGGATAAAACAGACATACAAATTGTCATATTAAGCCTTTCCATCAGTTTCGGATTGACATTAAGCGCAGCTGATATGGGTAATCAACGCTATCAACTGTGTATTTCTCTTTTTGTGTTATTTAAAAGTGGTATTCTTTATAAGTTTTGTTTGCAGAGCTATACTGGAATCCCTCTCATCTATTGCAAGCAGAAGATCGGGCTCATGTAAATATATCTTCTTTTAGCGATACTACCTGTTCATTATGCTGTGCTCTCTAAAGAACATTTCATGCATTACACTTGTAGCGGATTGGAAGAATTGGCCCTGTGCACATTGTGTATCTTCTCTCCATGGATACAATTGGTGATTAATACTGTTTTCTTTTTCCGTTGCATGTTGCTCTCCAGTTGTATGTACGTGGTATTTACTAATTGACTATTCACTGCCAAAGCAGATGGTTATATTTGGCCACTTGTAAAAGAGAAGCTAAAAATTGTTGAAGCAGCAATTGGTAAGATATCTAACTGCAAAGGCATAATAATATGCTACTACTACGCCCATCATGTTATACTTTTAATTAATCTCATGGTATACTAATACAAACTAATACGACAAATTCACTACTATATTGGTTACTAGACGGATCTTCTACTCGACTGACCATCGATGAACAATCGTCATCGATCCCCGAATGGTTTGAAAGAGACAAGTTCTTTGCAGACTTGGCTAAAAAGGAAGAAGAAAAGCTTTCGGAAAAAGCCTAGTGGAAGAAAGGATGTTTTTGCACATTGCCACTCGTTTGCTTACGCCTTCTCACGTTTACCCACTCCTATCAAATTTTGCAATACTCTTATTTTTGAATCTCATATTTCAGCTCATTTTATATTTACCATTATGTACCGCTTTTTATCATCTCTCACATTAGCAATATCGATTACCCATTAATGCATAACAAATATGCGCTATGCGCTTCAGTGATCATTTTACCGTGAATTTTCATACACAAATGTGGTTACTTGCTCCCCCTCCCCCCATTTTTTTTGCATGTGATAGTTGTTTAATGATACGGTATCCTTCAAAGTTGTCAGCCATTCTCTTTTTGTTATCACTGAATCCAGTGTCCATTTAAAAGAAGAGCTTTGTCCAAAAATTCGCCACTTTTACTGCTACAGTTGACCGTAAAGCATTTTGCGAAAAGAAAAATTACGTCGTCATTGTGAAAAAACATACGAGGATCTCGATAGTAGGATGCGTATACTAATTGAATGGTAGTAGACAACAACTCCCATTGCAAGAGCGTTGCGCGTAGAATGCACTTTTGCATTAAAATTCAGGTCACAAATTTAAATCACTCGTTCATCAAGCTTTAAAATGAAGGATACCATAATCGAGTCGTATATTTTCTCCAAAATCGCACGCTCATCTTATTACATGTATCTGACGTTCTGTGCTCCTTGTCAGACGTTGGATCTCCGCGGCCTCGGATTCTCCATATGTGTTTGCGTCGTTAAAGATGACGCCACACACTTCTGGAATGAACAATACATTAAGAGAAGGTGTTGTTGTCAGTTTATATGACCAGGCATACAAGTGATGGTAATGATGATTATGTACGGCATCGCTCAGAAGGGAGTACAGTTAGATTTTTGTTCATCGCTAAATGAGTTTTTCTCGCTTTCATTTTTATGACATTTCTTAAGCTATTTTCTGGTATTGTAACTACTTATAACCGCGTTATCCATTGTCAGAAAAGCTATATCTTCTGGTCTCACCTTCAAAATTAAGTTTTTTTCCGAGAGTTTATTGACAGGAGAATACTCATGGCATCCGCGAAGGAATGGAAATTTGGGATCGTGGTCATTGCGAATATGGCTGTAGACAAGGCCGGGAGTGCGTAAACTTACACGGTAATTGCATAATATGCAAGTAAGTATCAAATGCGTGTAGCTGTAGGTTTGTCTGTGGTTATTAGATATGCGTATGCAGTCATGTAAAATAAACATCGTGAATACCACATGCTCACATATTACCTGCTGTTGATCCCAAACCTGTTAAAACGTATCTTGTTATTAGTATAAATGCACATTCCTTCTACACCCCCCCCCATCAAAAAGCCAACTTACTGCGCTTGATTACTGTGGGCTTGGTAATCATTCCGGAACCCATCCGTTTTGCAACTGCAAGCTTCGATCGAGTTCCCGTATGCAAGGTCCGACGCTTGTCATCGAGCTTCTGCGGGGTAGTATCGGACGACGCATGGTAAATTTGATTTTCTTCTTTGTCGTCTTCTAAGATGATCACTGTCTCCTTTTCGGTCGTGCACGCAGATGGTTCAGCTATAACTACAGTGCTGGCTTCGTCATCATGGCGATCTACATGGATTTTGCGTTTGTTAATAGAAACTGAATATTGACTCATGTACTGACAACAGCAGATTATTTAGCAATAACCTTCATCACCCTTGTCTTCACCGTTCACATCAAGGACAATGACAACGTGTGATAATATGCAGTCTTCCTGGATTTGGCTGTTGCGTATGGTAACGTCGTCACCATCCTCCAAAACTTGCTTCGTAAGAGTTGACGGCTTTTCGTCGTCGTCGTCAATCGTATCAGTATCAGATATTTCAAAGTGGTCTATCCTTTTCATTTGTTTGTCGTCAGAATTTACTTCAAAAAAACTGCATGATGTGAGAAAAAGGGACGTTTGATTCCCGAGACAGTAAAAATAATTTATACAAACGAGTCGGGGTGATCATTTACCTCACATGTGTCATACTTACTGCTATCCAGTGTATTACGTATGCTAAGAAATATCTCTCAAATCATGGCAGTGGCAATGTTTTCTTATTGTACTAAAACAAACAACGATCATGTTGGTGATTTGTTTGATCGCTATACTTCTTTGTAAACATTTGACTTTCTTAAACGCTTATAGTCCTTCTAGCAGCGATAATCGACAATATATGAACCCCACTTTAACAGTATAAGGTAATCCGGTATTTAGGAGTGGAAAGGAAGAGAGGATGCTTCCTGTGCTGCAACAATATTATGCTTGAGTTCAACAATAGCAGTAAGATTTCACTTGATCTGTACTTCTGTACGATGATTGTTTCCTTACTAGAAATTGAAAGCATCTACTCCAAGCGCAGTCGTTATCCGGTCTACTTATTTCCACTACTTGTGCAAAATGGCTCTTTTTTGTTCATCAAGATGTGCTTTAATCACCGGTTTCGATTGAGTTGTTGACCCATGACTGGAAGAATAAAACGCCTGTTACTTTTTTGGAATGCACCATGCATATTACACACCACAGAGAATAGAAAAGGATATGGATAGCGACAGTTTGTAATACATCTTTTTCCCGACGAGCAGATTTCTGATACGCCAAAAGTACTCTCTTTATCCAGTTGTGTCGGCAATTCCGGTATCATTCCGAACTAGGTCGGCATGTTTCCTGCTATGGTAATCCATCACGATGCTTGTGATAGCAAGCCTCTGCTGATATGTTACCATTGCAACGACGAGGTCCTAGTTTTACTACCTTAAATCTAGAGGAAACGTGATGTCGTAGAATTCCACCAACCACGTAGCCTAATTCATTGATAAATTTGTGGGCCCCAAAATAATGAAAGAGAAGACTTCTTTTCTTTTTCTTGTTCGTGGTCACATGCGCGCACAGACTTTTCCTCTCAGCTTTCTAGCACTGAGACCATCTGATAGCTCTGGTGGATATCGATTAAGATCACAGACTAATGTATATGCTCTTTGACGTATTCACTATTCATGCGCGTCAGCAACAACGTGGGATTTAGGTTATATTTCGCATGAATTTAATTGTTTTGTACGCCGCTATCTCAAAAAAGATTATCAGAAAGCCACAAGGAAGATCTCGTTACAAGTTACTAGGTAGAGAGAGTTATATGAAGTTGAAGGCAATTCTGCTGCTACATCAATGACATTGCTGATGACGATTTCGCGATATATTGCAAAATCGGGTTTTCTATAAAAATGACGCTAAATATATGACCAAAGCACCGCTCGAGTAACTTGAAAGTAAAACAGCTTGTACGACTATTCAGACTCTGTTTAATAACAATAGCAACAATAAGTAATGATACAGGCTCGAAAGAGCTGTTGGATTGAAGCAAAGGTTGGGAACGTGATATTTAAGCGATGTTCGTAGCACAAGAAATGAGGCAGCTGAGCCTTGGACCTCTCCCAATTGCTCCTCTGAGTGAACATCACATGCACCAGCTCTCGCTTGAATCCAGCCCCTGCTAACACGGCGATGAGGTATGCGTAATTCAACCATGAATTCAAGGCATCGTAATATGCCAAGGAAACTTAAAACAGACGTGGATGAATAATTTACCGGCTAGACTGCCGCCCTCTCTTTCAATTGCTGCCAAATGCTTGCATAAGCTTCTAAGAGCATGCACAGAGATCGCTCTTCAATGTCGCTTAGATACATTTGGTAAGAGGTACCAATGAGGATACTTTGTTGAGGGTTTACTTTTGACGGAGAAACCCTGGTCCATTCACGGAAAAGAGAAGCATAGCGTAGCAAAGGCGGAGAGTCGGCCCGGCGCTAATGAATCTCCGGAAGTGTTAATTACTTTCTCTCTTTCGCTTGCAGTAATCCTGTTACCTTGCATTCGGCTTTTCTCCCTTTCTTTCCCTTTTTCCTTTTTTTACCTTTTTTGCTCAACTTCTCACACAACAAGCTCGGAATGGCAAGCGATCGCACTCCCCTTCTAGGCACATCACCTCAGGAAGAACAGCGGATTCAGTCCTACGTCACCGCTACTACAACAACACAAACCACTGACGACAATGGCGACATACAAAAGACGGTGGACGAAGAAGAAGTAGTAGTGCAACATTCGAGAAGAGGCTGGCGATCTTGGCGAAGTGATTCCTACCTGCGATCGATAGTCATGCTTGTTGTGATTTTTGTCATATTTACAGGCTTGGAAATTGCACTGTTAAAGCTCAATTTGCCAGCTGTGGGCCCGTATGTTGTTTGCGTCTTTCTTTTCAAAGTGGGGTATTGTTTGTTTGCTCTACATTGCCTTTTGACTAATGATCATTTGCATAATATGGATTATTAGAGAGGACGAAGATGCATTAAAATTTCCCAAGAATCTTAAAGAACTGCGACGTCTGAACGAAATTCTATCCAAATATATCGACAACCATTTCGTGAACGTATACGTCACATACTTTGCAACCTACGTGTAGTAAGTCTTCTGCTGTCTCTGCTGTTGCGTGCACGAAGTTTGCGACAAGGAGGAAAGACAAGAAGAAAAGGGAGGCGAGTCAGCTAATAACCTTGATACACACTACTAGTCTTCAAAGCTTCTCAGTTCCAGGCTCCATGTGGCTCTCCATTCTAGGCGGTGCGTTATTCAACTTTTGGCTGACCTTATTTACTGTTTCCATTGTAAAGTATCATGGCCGATTTTCTATTGTTTTGCTTTCATGCAGGAAAAGGGATGATCTACTGACAAACAACAACAACAACAACAATTGCGCCTTGTAGTGCTCTGCAATCGGCTCAACAGTAGCATACCTTATCTCGGCCAGTCTGGGCTCTGTGGCGGTGGTACGCCTTATTGGCGATAGAATTGCAAAGTGGAATGAGCAGCTTGTGAACCACAAACAGCACATGCTCAATTACATGATCGTTCTGCGCATTGCGCCGCTTCCGCCCAATTGGACAATCAATTTGGGGGCGCCCCATCTTGAAGTTCCGCTCGGGGCGTTCTTTTGGGGAACGTTCATTGGTGAGTTGGATTTGGTTTTTTTTTAAGCTATGCGAAGCTTACTACCCCATAGCAACGCTTTTAATGCTCTCCATGGAAACGCAACTAAAACTGACTCAACAAAATGTGTTTGTGTGTGTGTGTGCGTATTTCTTTAGGAGTCGCGCCTCCCTCATTCATCCACGTGCAAGCAGGTGCTGCCTTGGATAGACTATCGTCATCTGACGAACTACAGCTTGTCACTCCAACAAACGTTGCCTGTCTCGTCGCAGTAGCCATTGTGGCCCTTATTCCCGTCTTTGTAAGACGACATTACAAACTGTGATATATATATATATATATATATATATATTGGGTCTGTGTAGTGTAAATAGAATAAACAAATTTATGAAAAAGAATTACAGGAAATATGATAAGAGTGTCGTGAGAGTGAGAGTGAGAGTTGGAGAGCGAAGGGGAGAAGAGTGAGAGATATGGAATCTAGTAGTGTATTGAAGTTGCATGAATATTATATGGAATTTGTTTATACAGATTTGGTGGATGATTCAAGAGCAGCAGCGGCCTTGTCTACTGCTGGGATGCCTTGCTTTTTGTTCTTGAGCATGTTGCTGATGTAGAACTCGCCAGCCTTGTAACTAGACCGTACAAGGGGACCACTGGCGACATACTTGAAGCCCAATTCCATACCCTTCGTTTCCCAGTGCTTGAACTTTTCTGGTGACACATATTCGTGCACCTTCATGTGTCGCTTTGTAGGCCGCATGTACTGGCCGAGTGTCACCACATCCACACCTGCCTTGCGCAACTCCTCTAATGCATGAAGCACTTCCTCGTCCGTTTCGCCGCATCCAAGCATGATCGACGACTTTGTGAGCAGCTCGGGCTGCACTTCCTTGGCACGCTTTAATACGCTCAGAGACTGGCGGAATCCGGCACGGCGGTCGCGGACATAGGGCGTCAAGGCTTCGACCGTCTCGATGTTGTGTGCATAAACGTCTAATCCGGATTTGGCGACAGTCTCGACACAGTCCAATGAGCCACCAAAATCACCAGTAAGACATTCGACCAAGATATGCGGTGCCCTAGAGTTTTTTTTTATTTGAGAAGAGTTTTAGTAAAAGCCTACACACTCTGCTTATGGATTGCTGATGCAGCAGAAAGAGAAAACATACTTTGCTTTGATCTTTCGGATCGTTTCTGCAAAGTGGCTCGAGCCACCATCGACGAGATCGTCTCTGTCCACACTGGTAAGCACAACGTAATCAAGACCCCACCGTCGAATTGCCTCGGAGGTATGTTCAGGTTCATGTGGATCCAATGCTTGCGGCTTGCGGTTCGTCTTTACAGAGCAGAAGCGACAGCCTCGAGTACATTCGTCACCCATCAACATGATCGTTGCCGTTGCCGTCTGATGCTCTCCACCACCCCAACAGTCGCCAATATTTGGACACCGGGCCTCTTCGCACACGGTGTGCAACTTCAAACCACGCAGATCCTTCTTGATACGAGAGAAATTTTGTCCAGCAGGAATGTCCGTCTTTAACCATTCTGGCAGGCGAGGTTGCTTCCTAATGATTGACAAGTTTGACAGCCACAAGCACAACAAAGAAAAAATTAGTCTCTTTTTAAATATTTAACAAACACTTTTTCTCTCCAATGACGCTAGTTAACTCACAATTTGGTCGTCTTGACTTTTTTACCGGCTTCAACAACCGTTTCCTTCAACTCCAGAGCTTCTTGTGGTGTCAGTTTGCCCGCATAGCCCGGGTTCACAAACTCGTCTAACCCGGCTTTGGCATCCTCAGTGGCCAGACGTTCTCGAAGTTTTGAAAGCTTAGACTTTGATGATTGCGACGATGAGGGAGGTGAGGGTGAATCGGAAACTGCTGTAGCGTGTGTTCGCAATTGGTGGAACTGGTTGCATAATATAGTTTTCTCGTTAATAAATATTCCAGCTTCTTTGGTAGCTACAGTGTTCGTTCGTTTTTTACCAAGGCTGGCGCAGCTCGTCGAGCTACAGGTGACCGAGTGTATATTTGGGGCACTTTAAGCATATTGCGAGCGTGTATGTGTGTGTGTGTGTATGTATGGAAAGGGAGAAAAGGACGGAGACGGATGCAACCGGCGGAATTTTCCAGGATAAGGATGGGATGAAATAGCGCGGGAGCAACAGTCACACGCCATTTCACCGTGTAAACCCTCCACCGAGTTCTTTCACCGTGTCAAGAAAAAAAATTAAAGGGTGGGAACCAATGCGGATGTACCCTATAAGAAGCGGAACACTTCTTCTTTGGACAAATATAGCTCTACTCTTTCAGCTTTGATCCTTATTCTCTCACTCCTTCTATAACCTTTAGCTGTTTCTCATCTTTTTCCATCAAGACATAGTCCTTAGCGAACATTCTGATATCCCAAACAATAAAATGCGCGATCGATAGTATATTCTTTTAAAGATACAGTCGGTTTACAGCACCAGATTGCTCCGTCTTCAACAACGCCTGCATGTCGGCCGTCTGATACACCAGCTTGTCCAAACCAATCTTCTTCAATGCAGGGATATATGCTTCAACGGTTTCGAGGGTAACAATCGGCTTACCGAGATAGTACTCTTGCATAGTAACCAATGTGTAACATGGGACATTCCGCACTTCGCACTGTTCCAGATGATGGCGAGGGTTGATTAGGGTTGACCACCTTTTTCTCCGTAATCCCAATAAATAGTTAACCTACCAAGGACGTGAATGCAGCTGATAATCCTTTGAGCATGTTGGGTACCTCCAATGATTCAAGACCAGGCACCTAGTGAAATGAAAATGGTTCTTTTACTTTAGTTCTTTTGCAACAACACAATGGGTCATCGTTTGAAACTTACAGATGAGGCAGCAGATGACTGTAATATCCGAAGACATGGTGGAAGGAGATCATCACGATCACCGGTATGGAGATACTCGGCACTTGGAAGAGCATCCAGCACAACGACGCTGCAACAGATGGATTTTTAGTAACGTACATCTCTTCATGGGTTGCAGCTGCTGTCAAAGAAAGAAATCTTATCGTCGTCGTACCTTTTTACTCGATCCCCGACCAACTCAAAGATAGGTTTCACCACTGCATACACTTGATCATTCTCCACAACATCTTGGAACGAGACGCCAAGTACATCTGGTGATAAAAGGAAGATGGGATGTTCCTTTGTTTGTGTAGGCTTATCTTTTTCTTCTGTCTACAGAACAAAATCATTATATCAGTTACGCCTACCCGAAACTTTTGACGCGTAACCCCTCTCTCTCTCTCTCTCTCTCCCTCGTATTATACCTTGATCGAAACTGTGCCTGCAGCACTCACGCCGTTTTTTAACGCTTTGACATATAGGCTACCGGGTCCTTTTAAGCCAATGACCAAAGTGCATTTCTCTGAGGGGATCGGTGTGGTCAGACCAATGTCAACGGATACTGCTTTGTTGCTGCTAGTAGTAGAAACTTCGGCTTCGGAATCGCTTTCGTCATCGTCAAAGGCGTAACGCACTGGAGCACTTGGAAAACTTGAGTCAAAGTCCTTTTTTCCAATACAGTACAAAGGTTGTTTAATTCAACGGCATGACTGATTCCCATTGTAAGTGGGTTTTCTTCGTTAATGGTAGTAAAGAGTTGCTCACCATAATGTACAAAAGGAGATCTTATATGTTGGAAAGTGTAGGTTAAAGCTGGCGCGCTCCTGTCCTTTTTTTTTACCCCGCTGCTTGAATTTCCCAATCCATTGCCCGCGACGCGCAACACCACTCACGCCTTGTGCCTACGCAATGTCGTTCTTTGTAGTCGTCAATAAGCCATAATTTCGGTAGGCTTGTGGATACATCCTATTTGAGCATCCACCCAAAGGTACAGAAAGGGGAGGCTCTTTTGAATCAACTCTGTCTTCCTGTGGAAAAGGCTTGTAATTGCTCATCATACGGAAGTCTACAATATTACCGCTAGCCTACAGCCTGGATTCAAGTACAGCTAGACAATACAGAGGGTTGACCTTCTTCTCTATATAGTAGCATTCACTTATATATCCCTCGACTGTGCTCTGGTAGTGAGCTTATACGCTATGCAGAATTTAGAGTTTTTTAAAGACGAGGTTGAGACAACGATTATATGACATCATATCCAAAATTAGGAACAAAATATAGAGAAGATCAGGAAAACCTTACGTGAATGTTCAATTTTCAAAGCTATAGCTATAAATAAGCTCGCATGCTCAGCATTATCATACATTTTTGGGTAGATAAAATATTGATGATCGACTATAGATCGCTGGACAAGGAAGCGATGCAAAATATTCGATGGCTCAGCTATAAAAGCTGTATGCTTTAAACTACTTGCCAAAGTATCTCTTAGACTATATGCCGTAGATTTCAGTAGTAGGTAGTTCACATTTCTTAATGATCACTTACTGCCAGTAGCAGCAAATAGCCGCAGTAAGAGTATCATCTCCCAATGAGTACCTAATAAGTGTATAGGTGAGGCGCTATCGAAAGAAGGCATCACGCATTAATGGCTCTAAAGTGAACTTGAGAAGTTGCGACTTCCGTGTTACCGTTTACAAAAAAGGTAATTGCTGCAAAGAATAAAAGCTCTTGTTCCTTTAATCCGGTTGCACAGCCGCCTCTCTCTCTTTCTCTTCTTTCTTTTCTTTAACCACTTTACAGCACACTACAGATAGCTTATTTATCAGCCAAATGGTGTTGATACGATGCGCTATAGAAGAGGAACGTGTTATAGAAAGATTATCATACCAGCCAGTGAATGGAAAAGCATTTTCTAGAAACTCAACAGCAAAAGGTAAACACAATCAGAACTTGAACTGGAAGGAGACTTAATATGATTACTTTTGTGTATTTGAACAGAAAAAAATCTAAAAAAAAGACCATGACTTTTTTGCATGCGTGTGTGTAATTATGTAGCAGTAGAAGAATACTACAAGTTTCTTCACACCAGTGCTCCTACCTTGGCAAACGAAGGAGGCATGATTCCATTGTTCATAATAGCCATGCCCTGGCTCATACAAGTAACCGCGTCATTCTAACAACCCATACCTGTGCTGGAAATGTAGATTATCTGTATAAAGAGTATGGACTCGCCGTGTCCCAACTGTTGAAAAGCACCAGCGTTCTCAAATATTTTGGAAGCGAAGGCGACAATACCATCAAGTTTCTTGCCAACACATTCCCAAAATCCAGCGGACCATTACTCTTGCTCATCAACGTCGTTTTGCTCGGAATGCTGTCTGCGTTTTTTATATTGTTTGCCACGGCAGTCGATCACTTGGAAAATGAAAACGCCAACAACGAAACCCAGCAAGCAGAAATTATTTGGAATACGACTGCGACAGCTTCTGGAATATGTTTATGGGTCCTCGGTGGCCTCTTGCTCTGTTCAGCTGTCTGGCTCAGCACTAAACGTGACGCCAGCTGGGATCGCATTGTTGGACGACTAGCACTCGCTCGATTCGCACTCGTCATTCTATTTTTCCTGTTTCTCAGCCTGCGCGTGTTAGGGATCATCGAGTGGGGCGTTGGCCTCGTCTGCATTCCGTATTTTTTCGCAGACATGGGCTTTGCTATTCTATACACTATCAAAGACAGACGTCTAGAGTACTATAATCCACAATATAAGGAGCATGTCTATAGACCAGTGGTGAACAAACTGTTTCTATACTATCGTGTCATCGTTTCGGAATTTGGTGGACCCAACATCCTCTCACGGATCCTGTCCCCCTTTCTGCGTACCGTCTTTGTCTCCCTGGTAGCTGCCAAACTGGACGGCACGCTTAGACCTGATGACTCGCCATGGCGTCTGGTCTTTGTCGTCGTGTTTATGTATGGGTTCTTTCGTTCATGGACGACTTCAGGATTTATATATGACATGAGCATACGAGCAATTGATATAGCGGGTCTCGTTTGGTTTCTGTTGTTCTACGCATTTACCATTTCGTTAGCAATGCGGCTCGAAGGTTACAATATTCCAATGATGTATATCTTCATACCTTTTTACATATCTCTGGTAAGATATCAAAGCTTTCTATTTGATGTTTGCAGTCAAAGAACGAAAAGGCTGGTCAAATTAAAAGAAATCACTCATTCCAATATAAACTTGTACGATAGGCCTATTACTGTTTAGCTACACTTTTTTGCATTCCATTTGTATGTTCAGTTCTCATAAACAAAAAGATAAAGTAGAAAAACCATGCAGCTCTGCATTTCTTATGATACGACGTATTATCATTGAATGTTTTTGCGCGTAGCTTAAAATCAACCGGCAGGTCCGGTTTAAACTGATTGAGTAGACCCGTGGAGTGGGTACTTTTTCGCCCGACCCCTAGCCCACTGATGGACCGAACACTGTATGTGAAGAGCCTATATAACGTGCACCAGATCCCCGCTATTCATAGTTGAAAAATCATGTTTTAGTTTTATGCAAGACTAGTTGACCTGTGTCTGCGGTTCCTTCCTTTTGGTAGTAGTTGTTTAATGGTACAAAAACGCGGCATCTGGTGCCATCACTGAAAAACCCCCAGTGGGAAAAAAGTGTAACCGGAGAAGAGAAGTGAAGGTGTATATGACTAATATAAATGTGGGTTTAGAGAGGCAGAGGAAGAAGTTATATGATGAGGTACTGGATGCGAACACGCTGCATCGGGAATATCATAATGGCTGTTTTGAGAACAAGCTGGTGGTGACAGATCGCTTGAGAGAGCATCCTCATTTAGAAGTGATTTCTAAGGTATAGATACTTTATATTATTGGGACAATGAGCCCTTGACTATAATCTGTGTTACTTTTGTGACAATGATGTCAACCAGTCTTTGTATATATACTCTTGATGCCCAAGTGGACTTCACATAAAATACAATGTATGCACCAAAAGAGATTTATACTGCGTACGACATACTCACTGTTTTCCTGAATGCATAGTTCCTTTGACACGACGTACATTGACCTGCTGAGCTGCTGTATCAAACAGATCGGATTGGGCTAAGCATTCATTAGGTGACAGCGTGTTCATGACCCAGATACTTGAATTACATTTACATTTCCAAATTGGTATATTACAGCTGCTTGTGTGTATTGTACACAGCAGTACATGTAATCACACTGATTCTCTTCTTGTTTCAATATCTTGATGTGATAGGAATGATTCTGCTGTTTACTAGCAGTGCCCCTTTCATTTGGCACAATCGAATTGTAACAACCTGAGTAAGAGAAAAAATCAATAGACTCCACACCAAACTATACTCTACAGTGATGCTACCTTATCTGTTGCTGTTGGTCGTTCCTACATACAGCGATTGTCGGTGCTTCCGCTCCAGTCAGCAAAGTATGGTTTTGTGGACAATTCGCTGTTTCGCCTAGCATTATTCTACTCGACACGAGTGTAAAACATTACGATTTAAGCGGCGATCATGACACGGCTGCATATCAGCATGTCAAAAAACACATTGAGCATCCATGTGTAAATGTATGCTCATAAACTACAGTGCTACCATATGTCATGCTGGCTCTAATAGTTTTAAGCGACGAGCGGCGAAATGCTTGAGTGTGTTCCACGATCAATGTGTGTATGATCGATCGAACAAACGAATGGAAAGAAACAGCTCATCCATAAAGGACGATTAATAATGACACGCTTGTTTGAAGCACTGCTGCAAGGCTGTTATTTTTAAATTCGAATTGCGGGAGGCAATCGAGTGTGATCAGCGTCATTCGTTTCGAATTGCTGTCATGCGGCAACATCGACTCAGGTTGTGTCTCTCTCCACAAGCACTGACGACACCCACAACTACTGCTTTTTTTATATCATTTTCTTTGTTTTTAAATTGTGTCCCCAATGACAATGCGCTTCTTTTGAAAAGAAAAACACACGTCATTAGGAATGAAAGTGGTGAGATCTTGCCCCCAAGGGCTTATTGAGGAGAGATATGGTTTTTCACACACACAAACGTGTATCTGCTTGCTTCACTCGCGCCGGAGGGGGACCATCCAGGGGCTTTCGGGGTGCCCCAGAGTAGAGTAAAAAAGGAACTGTTAGTAGCCGGGTACTTTCTATCCTAATTACAAAAAGAGTGACAATGAACGATAAAGAAAAGGGAAAAAAGGCGGACAAGACAGGGTGCGGGAAAGGCAACGAGTCGGCGTAGTGGAGGTATAGTTTTTATTAGCAGTTGTTCTTCTAGCTACTTTGTGGGAGCCGGTTATACTCGCATATGCAAAAGGCGCAACACTGCACTGCCAATAGCCAACCCTACCAACCTGCTCCTTTTCTCTTCCCCCAAAGAAGCAGTCGTAGGCGTCCCCTGAAGGATGGTTGAGGGAATCTAGGGGATTGGGCGAGAGTGAGCAAGCAGCCGTTTGTGTGTGTGAAAAAAAGTTGGAGAGGAAAGGGAAAGGAAAGGAAAAGAGTGAGATAAGAAAAAAAAGGACCTGGACCAGTTCTTTTATCTTTGGTTTTTTTAGCCCCCGCCCAACCGCCGCAGCATGCTCATCACATGGCTTTCTCTTTCAAAGCGTAGTCATAAAGGGCAGTGACTTGCATGAGATGGTGATGGTTGGTGTTGCCTATGAGCACGGCTCACTGCGATACTGGAAGTGTGTGCACCTTATGCTGCTCATTGTTCTCTCTAGATTCTTTTTAAGACACCGCCATGTCAATGCGACGCGACCTTTGTTGCCTGTCAGTGTTCGGGCAGCATATCCAAATGAGTATTTACGCTGATGTCGATTGGTTTTATACAGACTGCCCGTACTGGGAAATAATATCGACTATGGTTTTGCCCTACTTGTTCTCCGCTGTTGCGATAGTTCTGTCCAATAAAGAGCCTAAATCTTTCATGTGAAGATATGTACTTGTGTATTTTTTGATCCGCTACTGTCCAAATTGTCACTGGCTGCATTTCCAAGTCAAGAAGCAGTTGTCGATGGGAGCAGCACACTGCGTACGTTGACAGGCGGTCGACCTTGTTTCAGCATGTAATGGTTTATTAAATTACGACGCATTGCTTTTTGAAGCTTCAACGGAAGTTTCGATCAATAGACGCGCCACCCAAACGGATACCTGATATGATTGATGAGTAGCTTACAGAGCATGTACCAGCAAAAAATTTCTTTTCTTAAAGTTGCCAAATGGCTATCAAGTATGCGTGGCTGGGAACGATGTGTGTCGAGTAAAGCGCCTCGCGAATAAAGGCTCGATGGCATCGATAATGATTGCTGTCGATTTTTCCAAAAGAATGGCTCTGATATGCAGTATCGCATGTGATTGTCACGGGTGTAATTAACCAATGTTTATTGATAGATACTGCTCTGATAAGAAATAGGGGCTGTACTACTGATTGGGGGGAGATGGGAGAGATGGAAGGGGGAGCTGCGACTATTACATCACAATTGCGGATATCATAGCTAGTCTAGCTTTTACAAAAGAAAGGTCTTGTCTTGCCTTGGGTGCGCGCATCGTGAGATGCAGAAAACCGCTCACTGACCTTTTTGCTCGTTATTTCTGTATGCAAGGTGAACGCGGTCAGCCTTTTTGAAGCTCTACTGAAAGAGAGAAAGAGAGAAAGAGAGAGAGAAAGCAAGAGAAGGAGAGCCACCACTAGTTCAGCGATTCAGTTCCCAACAGCTTCAACATTAGGGTGTATGCTAATTAGCTATATCGTCGTCTTCAAGCTATGTCTCAAGTGATTTACATCGATTTCCCTATCATAGTCCCCAGGTGAACTTGCCGGCAGCCTCCTCCGGAAATCTTTGTACCGTTGTCGAGATCATATTGTAGATGCGGCTGGCATCGAAAGGTGTGTCATCAAATATATATCGCCAATGTGATGCCCAAATGAGGTGGACGGCGATGATGATCGTGTGTGGTGGGATCGTGGCGGTGGTCTTGGACCGAGGTGGATCGAGCGTGTGGCAATAAGCATTGAGCTCTTGAAAATTATAGGAGCAATGATGGTGTCGGAGCATGCGTTGCCAAAGCGGTTGTTTGGAGGGACAAGTAAAGAAAAAATGGTCTACTACCGTCTCGGTGACATGCTGGCAGAGGCGGCGTCGCGCGTCGTCGAACCGGTCAGGCATGTGTCGATGCGCAGAATAAGCAGGCGCCACCACGTCGTCCGTGCATAGTGAGGTAGTTGCATCGCCCAGAAACGCCTCCACGGGATAGAAGCGCTGAGGGTGGGGGAATGATGGTGTGTGGAGACGGTTTCGCGGAGGATAGAAGTTGTGAGGTTGTTTAGTGAATGATTGTTGACCAATGGAATTAGGGAGATAAGAGGCCCCTCATTAATGACCGTGGTCGGTCCGAAGCTCAATACTGTGCAAACGTTTGCTTAAAATTCAACATGGAGCTTGGTGGTTTGAATGCTTGTTTGCCAGCAGAGCAAACCCCTTTCGTCTCCCAGCGACCGACAATCGTATTTGGCGCCGATGTGACACATCCATCACCTGGTAACATGAACCAAGCCTCTATTGCCGCCTTGGCGGCTTGCATGGATATGCGAGCCACGCGATACTCGAGTGCCATCAGAATGCAAGCTATAAAACACGGGAATTACAAGTGATTCGAAGGGTATGGTCAAAATGCTTCAAAAGACGCTTCATCAATCATGCGGTCAGAAGCCGCTACGGGTGTTATTTATTCATGACAGAGTCGCCGACAGTCAGGTTGAGACTGTTCGAATTGAAGAGATTCGGGTAATCCACAGTGTATGTGAGGAGCTTGACTACGGGTACAAAACCACAGTGACATTTGTGGTGGCTCAAAAGCGACATCATGTCCGTTTGCCGCTGCCGGTGCACTTTTGACTCGATCAACGTCCGTACCGCTTTGCTCCATAAAAAAATATGAAATCTCGAGCCCGCTCTTGTGTTAATAAATTGAAAAAGGATTAAGACTGCTTTCAGAGAAAAGAATATATAAAATTAACAAATGTAAAAGGGTGTAAGCTGTAAAAATACTGATAAACAACAGCTGTGTGCGTGAATTATACAAGAAGAACGGGAAATTCAAAAGAGGCTATACATTACGTGCTTTTAGAAAAAGTAGAACGCGGTTTCCAAATGTGTTGGATTGCCCGTCGAGAGCGACTGGCTTCTTTCAAAGTTCGAACAGCGATAGCCAATATGCAAAATTTGCTTAGCAAACATTGTAGCCATTCCCGAATACGTGCCCTTCTTCATCATAGCAATTAAAGTGTCAAGTGTAGAACATGCAGTAACGCTTTCAGGAGACATGATTGAACTCTAAATATTCTTAAATAAAGGATATGCAAGTTGGGAAAACCTGAAGGATACCCGTGATAAAATTGATGATGCTGTGTACCAGTTGATACATAATAGATCAAGCGGGTCGTTTCAAGTCTTGACTTCATCTCTTGCTGGAAAACGCTCTTCTTTATCCCGTTCTCATTATCTTTATTTTGAATCGACGACAATCAAAAAGTTTTACGAGAATGTCACTGGCCTTGACTGATCTTGGCAATGCGTAGAGCTGATGCTGGCAGCCACGGAACATCTAGACACCTACACACATATTCGTTTACTGTACAATGCTCTCGTTTCTCTCTGACAACATCCATATACCATTATGATATTACGGTTGGCCCAGTGGATAAAGCATCATACATGTTTACAAGCAGCATTCCACCAGCCATAAACCGTAAAGGTTCGAAAACATTTGTGGACATTGGGGGACTAATGTTTCCTGAACAAACACGTCCAATTTACGATGGCCGTAAGAATGTATTCACTGCCGCCCCACTACGGCTCGGCGGTCCAAAAGAAGGTTTCGTTTCTGTTGTTCTACGCATTTACCATTTTGTTAGCAATGCGGCCCGAAGGCTACAACATTCCAATGATGTATATTCTCATACCTTTTACATATCTCTGGTAAGATATTAAAGCTTTCTACTTGATGTTTGCAGTCAAAGAAAGAAAAGGCTGGTTAAATTAATAGAAGTAATAACTCATTCCAATATAAACCTTATACTATAAGCCTATTACTGTTTAGCTACATCTTTTTGCAGCTCAGTTCTCATAAACAAAAAGATAAAGTGGGAAAACCATGTAGCTCTGCATTTCTTCTGATACGACATATTATCGTTGACTGTTTTTGCACGTATGTAGCTTACAATCAACCGGAGGTCCGGTGTAAACTGTGGGCTGGGTTACGGATTGAGTAGACCCATGAGGTGGGTACTTTTTCACCCGACCCCTAGCCCACCGATGGACCGACCACTGTATGTGAAGAGCTTATATATTGTGCACCAGATCCCCGCTGTTGATAGTTAAAAAAATCATGTGAAATTCTAGTTGACCTGTGCCATGGGCATGCGGTCGCTTCCTTTCGATACTAGTTGTTCAAGGGTAGAAAAACGCTGAATGTGGTGCCATCACTGATAATTCCCCAGGGGGAAAAAAGTGTGGCCGGAGAAGAGAAGTGGTGGTGTTATATGACATAAAGGTAGGTTTAGAGTGGCAGAGGAAGAAGTTATATGATGAGGTAACGGATGCTAACATACTGCATCGAGAATTTTAATGGCTGTCTTGAGAAGAAGCTGGTGGTGACAATTTGCTTGAGAGAGCACCCTCATATAGAAGTGATTTCTAAGGTATAGATACTTTATATTATATGCAACAATGAGCCCTTGATTATAAGTCTGTGTTACTTTTTTGTGAAAAGGACATGTCAACCAGTCTTTGTATATATACTCTTGATGCCCAAGTGGACTTCACATAAAATACAATGTATGCACCAAAAGAGATTTATACTGCGTATGACATACTGTTCTCCTGGATACATAGTTCCTTTGACACGACGTACATTGACCCGCCGTACCAAATAGATCGGATTAGACTAAGCATTAATTAGGCGGCAGCGTGTACATAGACCAGATACTTGACAGCTGCTTGTATGTATAGTACACAGCAGTATATGTAATCGCACTGATTCTCTTCTTGTTTCAATATCTTGATGTGATAGGAATGATTCTGCTGTTTACTAGCAGTGCCCCTTTCATTTGGCACAATCGAATTGTAACAAGCTGAGTAAGAGAAAAAATCAATAGACTCCACACCAAACTATACTCTACAGTGATGCTACCTTATCTGTTGCTGTTGGTCGTTCCTACATACAGCGATTGCCGGTGCTTCCGCTCCAGTCAGCAAAGTATGGTTCTGTGGACAATTCGCTGTTTCGCCTAGCCTTATTCTACTCGACACGAGTGTATTGCATTACGATTTAGGCGGCGATCATGACACGGCTGCATATCAGCATGTCAAAAAACACATTGAGCATCTATGTATATATGCGTGCTCACAAACTACAGTGCTACCATATGTCATGCTGACTCTAATAGTTTTAAGCGACAAGCGGCGAAATGCTTGAGTGTGTTCCACGATCAATGTGTGTATGATCGATCGAACAAACGAATGGAAAGGAACAGCTCATCCATAAAGGACGATTAAAATGACACGCTTGTTTGAAGCACTGCTGCAAGGCTGTTATTTTTAAATTCGAATTGCGGGAGGCAATCGAGTGTGATCAGCGTCATTCGTTTCGAATTGCTGTCATGCGGCAACATCGACTCAGGTTGTGTCTCTCTCCACAAGCACTGACGACACCCACAACTACTGCTTTTTTTATATCATTTTCTTTGTTTTTAAATTGTGTCCCCAATGACAATGCGCTTCTTTTGAAAAGAAAAACACACGTCATTAGGAATGAAAGTGGTGAGATCTTGCCCCCAAGGGCTTATTGAGGAGAGATATGGTTTTTCACACACACAAACGTGTATCTGCTTGCTTCACTCGCGCCGGAGGGGGACCATCCAGGGGCTTTCGGGGTGCCCCAGAGTAGAGTAAAAAAGGAACTGTTAGTAGCCGGGTACTTTCTATCCTAATTACAAAAAGAGTGACAATGAACGATAAAGAAAAGGGAAAAAAGGCGGACAAGACAGGGTGCGGGAAAGGCAACGAGTCGGCGTAGTGGAGGTATAGTTTTTATTAGCAGTTGTTCTTCTAGCTACTTTGTGGGAGCCGGTTATACTCGCATATGCAAAAGGCGCAACACTGCACTGCCAATAGCCAACCCTACCAACCTGCTCCTTTTCTCTTCCCCCAAAGAAGCAGTCGTAGGCGTCCCCTGAAGGATGGTTGAGGGAATCTAGGGGATTGGGCGAGAGTGAGCAAGCAGCCGTTTGTGTGTGTGAAAAAAAGTTGGAGAGGAAAGGGAAAGGAAAGGAAAAGAGTGAGATAAGAAAAAAAAGGACCTGGACCAGTTCTTTTATCTTTGGTTTTTTTAGCCCCCGCCCAACCGCCGCAGCATGCTCATCACATGGCTTTCTCTTTCAAAGCGTAGTCATAAAGGGCAGTGACTTGCATGAGATGGTGATGGTTGGTGTTGCCTATGAGCACGGCTCACTGCGATACTGGAAGTGTGTGCACCTTATGCTGCTCATTGTTCTCTCTAGATTCTTTTTAAGACACCGCCATGTCAATGCGACGCGACCTTTGTTGCCTGTCAGTGTTCGGGCAGCATATCCAAATGAGTATTTACGCTGATGTCGATTGGTTTTATACAGACTGCCCGTACTGGGAAATAATATCGACTATGTTTTTGCCCTACTTGTTCTCCGCTGTTGCGATAGTTATGTCCAATAAAGAGCCTAATTCTTTCATGTGAAGATATGTACTTGTGTATTTTTTGATCCGCTACTGTCCAAATTGTCACTGGCTGCATTTCCAAGTCAAGAAGCAGTTGTCGATGGGAGCAGCACACTGCGTACGTTGACAGGCGGTCGACCTTGTTTCAGCATGTAATGGTTTATTAAATTACGACGCATTGCTTTTTGAAGCTTCAACGGAAGTTTCGATCAATAGACGCGCCACCCAAACGGATACCTGATATGATTGATGAGTAGCTTACAGAGCATGTACCAGCAAAAAATTTCTTTTCTTAAAGTTGCCAAATGGCTATCAAGTATGCGTGGCTGGGAACGATGTGTGTCGAGTAAAGCGCCTCGCGAATAAAGGCTCGATGGCATCGATAATGATTGCTGTCGATTTTTCCAAAAGAATGGCTCTGATATGCAGTATCGCATGTGATTGTCACGGGTGTAATTAACCAATGTTTATTGATAGATACTGCTATGATAAGAAATAGGGGGGAATGTGGGAGATGGGAGGGAGCTACGATTATTACATCGCAATTGCTAGTCTAGCTTTTACAAACAAAAGGTCTTTTCTTGCTTTGGGGTGCGCGCATCGTGAGAGCCATCCACTCAGCGATACAGTTCCCAATAGCTTCAACATCAGGATGTATGCTAATTAGCTATATCGTCGTCTTCAAGCTATGTCTCAAGTGATTAACATCGATTTCCCTACTATATGCTATTATGATGCGGTCGTCGTCATCGGCAGGGCTACGCCAAACGCCTGTACTTCTATTGAATTTTCTGTATTGAAATGATATCAAGCAAACCCCCCACGTACACCAGGCGCTGAAGAGCTTGACAAGGCATTTGTCAAAGCACTTTTGAAGCTCGAGGAAGCGGGACATAACTGGAAGAAAAACTAGTCGAGTCACCGCAAGCTGCAATGCGTTAAAGATCGATCAGTAAGTCAAACATGTAAGAAATTCTAATTGATTAGTTATCATACGACTACAGACTTTAGGGGACGACTCAGCCTTGATGTTAAGCGACTTGTCACCACCAGCTTCTTCTCGATGCGTTGTGTTTGTATCCATTCCCTCATTATATATCTCCTTGCTCTCCCGCTTCAAACCTACCTGTGAGATACGCTATCTATAATGAAGCACTGCTGTCTGCCCATCGCTCAGTTGGCCATACAGCACGTGTCATGACATACGGAAAAGTATTGTCCGATGAGGACCGCGAAACCTGGCTTCTTGAGCTAACGCGGTCCAAATATGCCACGGTTTCGAACGGATATACATACAGCCCTTCTTCGACAGTTGCAAGCTGAAAAAGTTCAGTCCTGTTGAAGAGTAGTCGTTGATGGAGCTTGAATACTCTAGAACGGTGCAAGAGCCCGACAGGATACAACGACGATTCTTGGATGTAAGGCCCTGATCGCATAGCTGCGGCAAAACAAAAGAGTAAGCACGGACCATCCGGGCAGGTCACACAACTGATCATATTGTGTATCAAAGCAACATTGCCGAAGAACATGGGGAATCTGCGGCAGACTGTTTTGCAGATTATTTGAGAATAAACATAATATAGATGTGGATGTCAACGGTAAAGCACGATGTGTAAAGGTCAACATTGATGGCATCTTCGATTGATGGTTAAAAAGGAGCTGCAATGATTCCTCAGCCAGCGCTACGTTTTGTTTATATTACAATTTTTTTCAATACCTTCTCGCTTGAAAAATTACAAACGCTACAAGCATCGAACTTTTTTTAAAAGCCAAAACAGATTGTTAAAGCGATCGCACAGTGTTTCGATGGTGAGGTTCGAGTAGTCTTTTACATGGGTAAAAGTCTTCAGGTACGCGTCTAGCACTTTATTAAAATAAAAGCACAAGAATAAATTGCAGCAATCAAACTATTGTGACATTGTATTCATTGAGATTAACATTCTAATAGATAAAAGCATTAGTTTGACAAGTTTGGCAGCTGATTAAAAAATTAGGAATATATGAAGGAAGGCCCGGGGTTCCATTACTCTGTACAATGATGGAGCGAAGATAGGATCGTTGGTGCTGTTCTGTGAGCGTTCATTTGCTTTTGCGCTAGATATCATATAAAAAATCGGCTGCTGCAACCTTGGTTGGCCTTGTCAATGACCATATTAAAATCCAAATCCATGTCAGTGACCGGAAGGACGTTCTGCTGGTTGGGTTCACTATTGGGTGGCGACCGAGGTTGCGGACTGAGCCCTTTCCTGTTCCAATTGGGCACGTCGTTGCTTCAGTTCATATCGTTTTTATCTTTCTTGCTTGCGCTCGAGATACCCTTTGTACTCGTTACCATCTACACGAATTCGGCCGCAAAACCAGCAGCGTTCTTCATCGACTTTGGTTCCGGCCCGTTCCTTACCTTTGTCTCTCTTTTGAGAAAAGGACTCGGGCTTGCTCGAGAAACATTGACCATTGGTGTGGTTAGATGTGGGGTGGCGACGGCACTGGTCGACTCGCGACTCTTGCTTTCTTGGCAGGTCTGCGGTCGTTCTGATCACCATCATCGTCTGAATACGAGAAAAGGTTAACGTCTTGGCCCGGCATCTTTGTACCCATCGTACACAGTGCTCAGCAGTTCGGTCGCCTTCGCAACATTGAGAGGCTGGTCTTTGGCTGAGGCAGCGCTAGCTACCTTCACAGCCATTTGAAGCTCTGGAGTGAGCGAGCGGACAAAGATTTGACTCCAAGTCTTGCTGTCCTCCTCCTCGGCATCGTGCATGAGCTTGTTGTACTGTCAGTGTACTTGATCAAGCTCTCTCTCGGTTTAAGTTTCATTGCATGCAACTGGTCTGAGATGGCTGCTTGCGAAGCACCACTATATTTCAGGTTGAATGCTTTCTTGGCTTGCGACCAAGACAGACGTTTTTCGGACAAGTGACGTTGAAACCAAGACAATTTCTCAGTCGACAATGTTGGCAGCATGGTGGTTTCCCAGCAATCCTCTGGCGAGGCATTGTGGTGGCGAGCTACGATCTCGAATTTGGTGAGAAATTTGTTGACAAACGAGAACACTTCTTTGGCTTTATCTCATTACTGTTCTTAATTTGAGAATGGGAAGTGTAGTGTACGTACGATGGATAAAAGCAATAAACACTCATTCAATCATAAAACAGCTGTCCATCTATCCTATGTGATTACCACCTTTTTATATTGTTTCTTTTATTATTTAATTGTGTCTGATGTGACCGATAGTTTTATGATTTGATCCAAGATATTCTAGGTACGTTGTTGACATTCCGTTGTCAAGAATGACGTTATTTAAACTTGAACTGTTATCCTTTTCTTTCATCATAAGACTTAGCTATATATCAGACGCGCCAGGAAGGTCCTGCAAAGGAATTTTGGTGGTGGCATTCCGTGGCTTGATACACTCCATGATGGCACCAACATCTTTATACACATGGGCTCAGTCAGTGACAGCGGCAACAAGTCATTGATGGTATGCCTTTTGCTCAGCAGGTGCTTTCGCAACCTCGAGGCAAGGTGCTTCCAACACAAGTTGCTCCGATCGAGCCATATAGACTTCAGAAAATTTTTAAAGCTACAACCTATGGGTCAGCATGCTTGGACTCTAAACCTCGTAACATGACTGCGGTGCTGGATGCTACAGGCGGTTGAGAGTGAATGTCTTTTTCCAACATTAACAATAGTGCAGGAGCCTTGGGACGAATCGGCCACTTCCTCTATGGTGATGTCCTTGGTAACTGGAATCTTCTTACTGAGATCGATAGTGGTGTGCTTGCTCGTAGTGAGTAGGACAAATAACAAAGCTCGAAGAATAAAATGTAACAAAAAGAGAATTACTACGCGCGCTGCAAAATCGGACAAAATACGCTGCAGAAATTTCGTCTTTTTAGCAGCGTTTGTAGCCAGGGTATTACTTGAGCTTTAGGCAGCATTATACATCAAGGACGATCAACTGATAGAAGTATATTCAAAAGCTTTAAATAAAAACGATTATCGCAAATAAGAAGAAATCTATGTGGGAAGAAGGCGGAAGCGAGTGTAAAAAACATGATCGAACAAGGTTTAAGAGGAAAATGTAAGATAAATATGAGATAGAATTTTCAAAGAAAAAAGATAAAGAACTACTCATTGCTATCACCATTTTTACTTTAGTCCGTAGGAGAAAGTACCATCCTAAACTCTACTGTCATCTAGTACTTATATGCTCTAGTATAGGATACATCAAGGTCTTGTTAAATAAGACGCGCAGCCACTTCGGGAACAAGGACTTGTTGATTGAAATGGATTGGTTGTATTAGATGCGCGTGCTGTACATAGAGTAAGTTGGCCTATCATTGCAAGCTCGATAATCATGACATTAAGGATCATGGTCGCCCCTTTGGCGCCATAATAGTCAGTCTGATTACCATAATCTTCATCAATAATTGTCAATGCAAAATACGTTAATATCTGTATTATAGTTTATATATATTGTAACGCCCTTTCCCCTTCCCACTCATACACACACACACTCACACAATTCCCTTTAATCTAATATTATTATTATTATTATCAGTATCAATGCAGTATCAATATCAACCTTTATAAATATATCTCCTTATTCCTCTCATATACTCAACAGTAACAAGTTCAATGACATGAAGACCGGTGTAACCAAAACCAGAGAACAAGCATCATTTTAAGTTAACTTAAAGGTTTATTCGACCAATCAGATTGCCCTAAAACGGTCGAGCTTGCACGAATGCAAGATTGCTTGTAGCTTCTCACGATACCTTGTGCTAATGCCCGAATCCCTGTATACCTGTATGATTCCTCGTATACTTGTATGATTCCCTGTATCCTCACAACGATTCTTGTATCCCTACATTGATTCATGCAACTCTACATAGTTGAATTTAGTATAAATAGAGGATCATCAATCTTTAATAAAGATCAGACAATAAGACTTTTGCTCTCACATATTTCTCTCAGGCTTATTTCGCCTTTTCGGACTAGTTAGTCTCAGCCTATCTAAGGACATTCTTGTCTCTTTACCCTTCAGGATTTGTTCCTTCTATAAGATCCGTGTGATCTCCTTTTACTCTAAATCCACTTGGATTTTGTATCTCTCCATATATTGGAACTGAACCTTTTCGCCTATCTGGCTTATTCATTGATCTTCTTTTCATAAGACTACTCATTTATCTTCTCCTCTTTATTTCGTTACGCCAACAAGACAGGCCGTAGCAATATATTGACGTTACATGATTTTTGGTAAAGTAACCCATGATAGAATGTGCTTGCTCAAAGCTATGCTTTTGAAAGAATCTTTCTTCAAAAGATCGAAAATAACTTGTTTTGGATCCTTGTATGAAACTAAGTATGTCGGGGAAAATGTTTGCAATATCGTGTTCGTAGTAACCCTTGACTCTCCCTTCTGACTTAGCCACCAACTCTTTACGATGGATTCGAGAGAATAGAAGTTGATTCTTGAATGGGACACAGCGGTTTGAAATGTGTAAAGCGGCTAGGACATCTATTTGTTTGTTCTATACGTTTCGTCTCGCGGCGTTCGTGTTGTTGTTCTTTTGTGGTATTGTTTTCGAACAGCAAGAGCCAAAAAATGCTTCACAAAAAGAGCACCGTGCCAGCACCTTCTATAACATTGTGAATCATATAGTCGAGAGAGTATTTAGCGTTGAATGTTTATTTGTAGGCCTAATTTTACTACTCGTGATACAATATTTTATTTCACTTATCTAGGTTTCCTCGCTAACAGAAGCATCAAGTGTATGCAGTCGTCCTTTTGTATTTTTTTCTGGTGTCAGTTGAGGCAGGATCAAATATAATGGGAATACTCTCAAATGTGTCACCATGGCTTTTTCATATGCAGATAAATCCAATGACGCTTGTATCCCGCTGCAACACCGAGTTTTCCCCACTGCTATCTATGATTCATCGGGATATAAGGCCGTTCCATTCAGATCGATGTTTTACTGATGTCGCCTCTTAATAGCTTCCTCGTACGAACGAAATACTTGATGACTGGCTGATATTGCTTAGCATAGACTGCGTGAGGGAGATGTACGACCGATTCGTATGTGGCAGGCTTAATACCCTACCCTGATGAATAACAAGCAATAGGTCTTCTCAAGAACGTATTTGCGGCTGCTTGTATGTCGACACCATCATCAAACCAGAGCGATCTCAGCATTTGTAGTCGATGATACATCATAATCCATTCGCTTGACCAGTTTCTTGTATACTAATTTATGACCATTTCAGATGATATAGGTCATGGGCTTAAGACGTGGCTATGGTAAGCTTACAATTTGTGACAATATAGTAGATTGTAATCCACACAAATGACACAGCAGGCACAGCTCTAGATTAAATAGGCATTAGATCTAGTATCGATCAGCATGACTTTTGGGGATTGTTGGCTTGTAGCTAGCTCACTACATCATTGGTGGGAGATCACTACTCACTTTGTAGCCTCTGTTTTATATATCTACTTCATGGCAGCGTATAGTATATATCTATGATGAAAAAAAAACTGCATGATCAACCCCAATTTCTCCATAACTATGTCGTTGTAATATACTTCTTAGTAATGTTGTTGAACATTATATATATCTTTGATTAAATACTTATTTGCTCTACATGTGTTTCCAAAAATATGTAATAGCTCTATAAACTATAATTGTCTTCTTGATGCTATACCTGCTGGCTGCTGCTATCTATATAAACAACTAGCCCTTTTTTGTCTATTCATTTAGTAGTATATATAGTATATTTTCTATTAGAGCTCATTAGGATGAGTGTGGCTTCAATTAATAGCCAACATGATGCGTCGTATCTTTCAGAAATAATCAACTCTAGTCTTTTGGAAATGTAAATCTTCCAAGGTAAAATTATATAATAAAACAAATCTTATTATATATGTATATTCTGATTTTTTCTTATAAATAACTTTCTTAAATTACTAGTCTAATATTGAATGGCTGCTAAAAGTTCAGTACTAAGATTTGCAAACATTCAGTTATTTATTTATGTTACTACTACTATTTTTCATAAGATTTATTTTGAAACATATTTAATAAAAATATTAATACAATCCACTGGGAAAAAGGGTGTGTGTTAAACGTTTAAAAGTGGTTGAATATCAGTCGAATATTAGCTAATATTCAACTAGTATTCAACTGATATTCACCAAAAACACAAGCAAATATTCTACCGATATTCAACCTTACTTTGCTCCGACATTCACCTAGTATTCACCTAATATTACACTGATATTCAACCATCATTTTGTGCCGACGTTTACCTAGTGTTACCCTACTTTCATCCCAATCGTCATCATCGTTACTTCCGACACCAACCTAGTGTTACCCAATGCTTTGGTTCCAACATTAACCCAGTTGTATCCTACTATTCTGTATCCTCCATTCTTCCATCAATGATCCGATTCTGTTGCTCCAATTGCTTTCATTCTTACTACCCAATCGATTCGCTCATTACAAGCACGTTTACGATGTAGATAGTACAAAAAAACCTTTTTATTGGTTTAAAAAGATGCTCACTTATATACATCATCTATACTAATTGACGATCTAAACATTTCAATGGAACCAAAGCAAAGCGCATTTGTTCTATTATTGCAAGCAAAACCTATCAGATGAAGAAAGTTAATGAGAATCTTTATCCATACACATACACGAACGGGAGAAATCATTAATTATACTTACATGTGTGATGGGAGTATGGTAAGCGCCTATATAAGAAAAAGAATGAGATGCTACTACACTACCACTTCCGACTATTCCTCATCTCGCCCACTGTCAGTCAGTCAGTAGTAGTAAACAGCACTATCTTCAAACCAGCTCAGTAATAACTGTGGTAAACTAAGATCCGGTACAGACAGATGTCTTGATAGAATGTTTCTCTTTACCACACCGGGATCCAATAAGGGACACGGTTGCGCACATGCACCTAGCTGGATTGAAATGTGAATCCTTTATATAACTCAGTAAAGAAACCAAGTATGAAACAACCGTCTAAGAACACATCTCAAACCATCATAAAAGTTTTTATTCGTTCTTACAGCAAAGCACCAGTAAGGTCCTTGCTGACAAAGAAGTTGATAAGCTTTCCACCTTCAGATCTGTTTCTCCGTTAAGACCGAGTTCTCAAACAATGTTTGAAAGTTAGATATAAAAGAAGATAGTTTCTATAGCTGATATTGTACTTGGTTCAATCTTTTGAATATAATCCATTCTCAAACGACTTATTTGTCTTTGTTTTTTTCGATTTACCACAATAACGCTACATACCATATCCTGGCGTGTTCCTCAGTGATGGCTTCAATTGTCTGAATCATCACGTCATATTTAGGAGCACGCTTTTACCCCTCTGAACATTTCTTACTGGTATTGCATCCATAGCGAGTAGGTGCGATGATAGTAAATGAAACAATGGAAGAAGTGGGGGCTTACTGAGGCATTGGTATTATAGCATCCATGTTATCACTGTTTAAAACAAAGGTATAAGGCGATGATGATATGAGTACATGTGACATGATGACATATGTAGAGATAAAGAGGCATATATGTGTTGCTTACCATTGGCAACCATCGTATTGGGATTGTATAAAAAAAGCTTACTACATTCGTTAAATGAATTGCAAATTTGGTCTTTTTGAATCTTGTCCGAATTATATATTGTTGCTTGACCGCCCTTGAAATCGAATAAAGGAGCTTGGGAGATTGCAAAAGGATATAAGACCACATTGTACCTTACAAATTGCTAATTCGTACAACTTGTTTTTCTTACGTTATGAATGAAAAATGAGCATCAGTTAGAATCTTTGAAAGTAAATGACGTTATGGGATGGTCCAGTGAAAAAAAAAACAGAACTGAAAGAGAGAGGTACAACGAGCACAAAGTGAAAACGAACTACTGAATGCACGAAAAATTGAATCTCTTACTGTCGTGTCTTCAAATTCATCTTTGCTGCAGATAAGGTTTTTTGGCTGTCACTATATAGTTTATGTAGTGTTCATCCACATAAAAGTATTACTGCCTTCTTCCTCTTGTCGCCTTGTGAGAAGAAAAGTAAAAATAGAAAGAACAACATTTGATCAATGTATATGCTGCCTAAACGTTAATGATGTTATAGCGTTATATTATAAAGCTTGAGGTGCTCAACTAGCTCTTGGTCGTTCTTGAATGAACCTTTTTGGAGCACTCGCCTGAGCTAAAATGTGGTCATACCACAAAGAGGCTTGATGATTGCCTGTGTACTATAGAGAATGAAGTCCTATTATGTTATAGAAGATCTTATGTTTTACAGGCGGCGGCTATCTTAAATTGTAGCCTCTCTATCGTCTCTTGAATCTCCTCTTCTTTTTTGCTCTCACAGTCGATTGTGCAATGGCAACAGCAATCTTTAGAATTTGACATTATGGAATTGAGTTTTTTATTTAAGGGGAGGCATGAATAAAACATTGCTTTAGGCACGGTGGTGAAACTGAGTTGCTCTAACACAGAACATTGAGAAACAGCACGACCATCCTCATATGCAGTATGGTTGAAGTCCGATGATAGTTTAATCGGCAAACTTATTCATGATGGTGGGTAAGCAGATTTGCTGTTAAACGGGTTGAACAATAATTACACTAGGTGAATACGTAAAGAGTTGAATATTAGTTGAATATCAGTTGAATATTAGTTGAATATCAGTGTAACACGAACATAGTCGAATATTAGTTGATTATCAGTTGAATACGTGCTGATATTAAACGTGTAAAAATGGTTGAATATTAGTTTAATACACGCCGTTTTTTCCAGTAATCATAATTAAAAAAAAAATACTTTGTAATTTAATGCTTTATATAACGCCGCAATTTACAAGAGACATCAGCAGGTTTCGTGGCCTAATGGATAAGGCGTCTGACTTCGAATCAGGAGATTGTGGGTTCGAGTCCCATCGAAATCGGATTGAGTTCTTCTTTTCATATTCTAAAGAATTATATTTTTCCTCTTTTTTTGTCTTCTTCTTCAGGAGGACTCGTTTTAATTTATTTTACTAATACGCGCATATTGCGAATACCATCTACTAGCTTTCAATCCTCTGCCGCTTATCATTTCTGATAATAGTGCTCTTGAACGCTCTGTCACACTATTGATATAAAAGAAATATAAATATTTTTGCTAAACGTCTAGTATAGTGGCTGACTATTACTATTGCCTACATATAGTACACAAAGCTTTTGTCTATGAGCTAGGATATACATCTGTAGGAGGATCCACTACTACGACAGCTTTGTTGCTAGTTAGGTAAAGAGACTCAGACAAGTTAGAGAGACAAAGTATTGCTGGTGCCAGTATTATAGTAACAATTTCTAGATACTGCTACTGCATATATTATGTCTTGATTTCTAAGATTACTTCAGCATATGATACCGACTCTATTAAAGTGTTGATGACGACGATGATTAGTAAAGAGCTGTACCAGATTATGTTTAGTGCAGCTTGTGATATTCTAGGTATAGTATTTTGTGCTTTTTTAAGGAAAAATAAACAAGACAGTATAGCCAGATCCTCGACGATATGGCTTAAGAATACTGTGGTATTATTTTCAATAAGCACAATAAAAAAGTTTTAACGCAAGAATCATTAATCGACAGTAATTCTGCTGATACAGCATACCAATACAGCTATCATGATAATTAATGCTACTGTACTTATCGATCAAACAGCATAACACAAAGTATAATTCGTCGGGTTCTTGTTGTAAGCATCGAAATTAAAGATACGGCCTCATTTGCAGAGTATTTCTCTCAATGGCCGAAGCAGCTTTGGACTTTAGACGTAGCTGCTGAGAAAATGTTTCTGCCTTCATCATAAAAGGAAACGAGCAGCAGCATACCGTTGGTGGCAAAATCACTCATTGGGTATAGATGAAACTGTCATAAACGGTGATGAAACGGAATCAAAAGGAGATGTGAACTAGACGACGAATTCAGTAAAAGAGGAGGAAGAAGTAGACGCATTTTTGCTTGTATCATCGTGCTTGTTTTAAAAGGACGTGCGTTTGATCGACGCAATGGTCTAAATACCAGTATGCGCGAAATTAAGCTTAAACTTGAAAAATGTAATGAAGAACGCAGAGAACTGTGGCGATGAAGCGGATGCTAAATGGTAATGCGCAGCCAAAGTTTCTAGTATACCCCTGTAACCGATGTCTTTACCAATGGGAGGGGTGTATAACTGCCTGTGAGAGTACCACACAGCTCTAACAAGTAGTACGGTTAATTGCGCTTTGTTGTACGAGCAATTATCCGCTTGATCATTTGGCATATTTAATTCTGCGCATCACTTTGTTGCCCTATAGCATCGCTACTGGTGGGTAGCTTCTTTTTAACCGGGCCATCGGTATGATAGATGCATGGTTAGAAGAATGCTGTTGAATATGCTAAAGCAAAAAAGGACATATACCAAACGGTGTATAGAAAAGTGGTTGTGGCATGGAAGGTCATCAGACCATTTTGTTGCAGGTGCACGGGCCTTTTACTGTGTTTTGTTCGTAGCCAATCGCGAGCATAACCATACATAATCGTTGCGACAGAAAAAGTGACAGTGTCCATCATTTACAGAAAAAAGATTCTTATACTGGATTGTAAGTTTGAAAAGGTTACAAAAAAAAAGATGACAGCGAGATAACTCACAAGTAGCATTATTAATAATAGTATAAGATATACAGTAAAAGGTAATATATGTAGAGTATGTAAAACAAAGTAAGAAAAAAAAATAACAACAATAATAATGTTATAGAAGCATCAGAAAGGAACGCTTTTTTTTTTAGAATAGCATCAGATTCGCGCTAGTGGTGATGGCGACAACCACAGCCACCGATCCCAATGACCGAATAAGGCTAAGGCCAGCAGCGGCGCTGCCATTGGAACCATTGTCCTCATTGGCTGAGTCGTTATTATCACCACTTGGTATAGAAGAAGCAATTCCAATACGACGCAGGCCCATATCATGAACGGTGTAGAAAGAACGTAGAACGGACTCTCCGAGGATAAAGTTGATGGGGGAATCGGTCAACGATTGACTAGGGAACGGCGCAATACCAAAGGCACATTGGCTGGCTTCTTCTGGCGTACTTGCGTCGTCAAGTGGGATAATCAACTCCCGAAGGGGCACCGTCAGATTCAGCGGATTACTGGTGGGGGATTGGAACGATGTAGCGACCGTAAACTCGACGTACTGGTCTGCTTGAGACGCCATTGAGCAATCCACACGATAGACGCCATTAAAGACATCATAGATGGTCTGTGGATCCTGTTGGGTGATGTGCTGGATCAAATCATTCGCGACCGTATCTGGAACGTACGTCAGCGTAGTGCCCGTGTCCAGAACAAACGCTTGCACCGATTCGAAGTTTCCGTTGTAGCCTGCTGAGGACCGGATGCCCAGACCAGCAACGGTCCAGTAAAGGTATGCGCTTTCAATCACTTGGCCCGCATTGTCAGCAACTGTAAACGGTAAGACTGGGGCGTATTGGATCTCGCCAGAATATTTTGAATTGTCGATACCGCCAAACATGATCTCGCCCGAATAGCCGTAGTGAAACTGACTGTTGAGATAGATCGAAAAAATTGCTTCAGGGATCAGGTTGTTGTTGGCCAAATTGAATACAAAGGGCACGTCTTCGCTGTTGCCGCGCAGTGAGTTCATTTGAGGGAACGCAAAGCCCATGATGCCGTTGCTGTAGCCTTCCGAAAAGCTGCCAAGTATATCCTCGGTCTCGTTGGCCAAACCAATGGCCTGCTCTTGGACGGTCAGGCCTCCGACACTGACAGTATCCATGGCATACGTGCCGTTGGCCATGCCTATGCCGTACTCGACCTGCAATGCTGTGCCGGTCAGCTGTAATGTCGATGAGGCTGATGCGTTGTATCGTTCGTGAGGACAGGTTAGCATGGAGCAGTTGGTGGAAGGTACCCATAGTGTTGCACTACATACACACAGACAGGCAGATGAATGTGCATGTAGTAGAGTGGAAGGTTGCTCAGCAAACAGCACTGCTTACTTTCTTTTCTTTTTTTGTATAACACTAAATGTCGCTTATACCTTCCTGTATCCAAGGTAACATTGAACCGCTGCGCAGGTGTTCCTATAGCAACCTCTATCAAAAACTCACGACCAGCAGAGTTGAAAAGTCGTTCAGTATGCTCTTGTCGCTTTTCTTTTACGGATCTCCTGATTCGAGCAAGCTGGCCTGCTTGATTTCGCACTAAAGGAACGGTCATTGGTTTGATCTCCGAGGCTGCAGCTGTTATTGCTGCGATTAGCACAAGTCCGATGGGCGGTAATAGTAGCATGAGGACAATGAAAAAAGGAGAAAGGAATGTGGATGGGTGCTTAGTCGATGTTTGAAGAGCTGGAGCTTTGCCGCAGAAAGAGAAGAGTGGAAAGGAAAACAGAGAAAATACAGAAACAGAAAGAGAAAAGAGCAATTAAATAATTGCACCGTGTTACAGTATCGAAGACGAAGAAAGTAAAGCGACCCTTCGGAGTTACAATAGTTACAATAACATAGAATCCTTGTGTACGGATTTCCTACCCAAGGATCTTTGTTTGCTTGCTGATGGGCACACAAGAGGTTCCTGCTTTTATTTTTCGATATGAGAGAGACTGAAATAGTGGTAGTTATACATCTCCGTCTTCCTCCACAACCGCAAAACCAATTTCGCTTGCAACGGAAGTCTCCAACAGTTTATCGGCCAACTCCACATTAGCGCCCATGATTCCCTGATCCGACTCTTTCAACCGCGCTTGGTTGAAAGAACTGCGCCTCCGTCTTGTAATTACCCAAAGCAGCCTTGGCACAAAAGGCCGCAGCTTGCGCACAATGTCTTCTCCATCATCCAGCTCCCAGCCGCCTTCAATATGGACAGCAGGTTCGATGTGTCGAATCATGTGGATTTTTCCTTCCTCGGTTGAGCACCAGAGGATCTTGCGGGTATCGAGCACGCCCTTTTCCAGCAATCCTGCGTTCTGTAATAGTTGGTTGATTTGGTCCTTTTCGTCATCGGAGCTCACGTGGATAATGACATGCACATCAAACAGTTGTGTCAAGCGGTTCAGGAAAATGGCAGCGTTTTCGTGGAATGCATGATTTGGTGTGTCAACATCCGAAGATGGGTTCCATAGCACAGTCTACCAGTCGCGCGTCATTGACGATTAGCACTTGTATATGTCACCATCGAGCATATAGGAATAGATACATACATTCTTCAATGAAAGTGTCAAGACACGCTTCTTTCTGCTACTGGCAACACCTCCTAAAAGTCGAGTACCCCAACCAGCGCTGCTATTACTTGCTGTCGTCGGTCCTGCCGATCGAGACTGGAATATAATAACCATTTCCACGGTTGGAAAAAAAAGTTCAGTCTCAAGTTGCTATTCCTAATTACTAATCTTAGTTTTCCGCCCGGAACAAATGTATACCTGTTGCTGATTACGTCCTTGCACAGTAGGACGATTAGAGCGACGTGCGCCACCAGAAGAAGGAGGGAAGCGTTTGTACCAATAGACGATGAGACTAAGGATAGCTGCAGCCAATGACGAATATCCAAGGAGGCGAACGATCCAACGTGGTAATAACGATGTTTGCTTTTGTACAATTGCGTTTGTAGCCATCAAGTTCTTTTTTTTTCCCTTTTGTAGTTTCAAAAGATTATTTTAAATTAGAAAGAAGTATAAAGATAATAAGAAGAATGAGGTGGTATAAGAGTAAAGAAAGGAAAACAAGTCTATAAACAAGAGAGAGTAGTATACGGTATAACAGCGTCAGAAGGATAAGGAGGCCGCCGCACAGCTTAGTTAATCATATGAAAATTACGGCTAAACTTTGGATTCCCCAATCAACCCCGTGGGGTTTCTTTCAAAGGTTGTGTGTCATGTGTGGCAGCATCAACTTGGCTCGCATTATGCACGATAAATAAGGATTTGCCCCGCCCATCCAATAGGCAGCTCACTCAATGAGTCGCTTATTCGACTTTGTCGTATGTACAGCTCACTACTTGTATTTCGTTTGTTTTTCCTAGCTGATGATGAAAGAAACCAAAAGCCATGGTTACATGTGTGCATGGGAACGGTTTGGTCAAGAAGCATTCTGTACTTGCATGATGCTTCAGTCGATGCTATAAAGCTATGACTTTTTCTCCAGCAAGATCCCTTCTATTAACAACGAGGTATAAATGATCAGTATTTGCTGTCATTTGTATTATCCTGTACATCTGCAGTACGTCTGATACAGTAGTAGTGTTGTAGTACAACAGCACAGTATACTTCGTTATGTGAGCGTGTGTATTCACTTTGAAGGCTGTTTTGATGTCCAATCCTGCACCATTTGTAACAAGAATGTGCAGTTCTTGGGGAAACACCACGCATAAGAGTATCTAAACGATATATCTAGCATGTAGCGAAAAAAACGCCTATTTTCTCTTCTCGTATGGGAGCTTGTATTAAGCGAGCATTTTGATTTATAAGCATTGGCTGCGGTAGCCAAGATTAAAAAACATTATAATGAACCGGCATAAGTGAGAAGGCAGTAGTAGCAGTAGCTATCTCAGTGTGTTTGTTTGGTCAAGGGATAATGCGTCAGCCCACTTCTTTCCATGTATAGATATAACTAGCCGGTACTCTTTACCTTTTATGGGGGAAACTCCCCAGCACACGTTAATGCGAACTGTTTCTTTCACTGCCAGCCACATTCTCCCAAAAAATCAAAAAGATTCATAACAGTACATAAAGAGTGAAGCTTCTCCTTTTAACTTGACTTGACTCACGGCGAAAAACAACTTGCAGACTATGGGTTTTATCGAATACATTAACTTGAGCAGCAGAATTCGCGCTTTGCAATCACTCAACAAGTTTCCCAACACAACTGAGGTTGCCAATCCCATATGGTGTCCCATCGAAGGTTCAATTCCTCCTTGGGTCAACGGTATTTTGTACCGTACAGGTAATTTCTTCAAGTAGATGACAGTACAGCTCGAATAGTTGGTCTTATAGTTGAGAACTTCGCACCACAAACAATATATCTTGTTATACGGATGCTAAGATTGCCATGTGTAGGGCCCGGCAAATACAATCTGGGAGATGACAAGAAGAAGCAGTATGTTATTCAGCACGCATTCGATGGGTTGCCCTTTGTTCACCGCTTCGAACTCTCATCCGAGAGACAAGCGGTGCGCTATAACAATCGGCTCATTTCAGACGCTGTGGAGCGTCGATTGGTCGCCGATCCCAATGCAAACGAGATATTTTTTGGCCACATACCCAACCTGTCCACTTGGCGCAGCTTTACCAATTTGCTTGGCCGTATTGCTGGGATGGCCACTTCCACACGAAAGAGTGAAATGGACCCTTCTGATGACACGGTGGGTGTTACGGTCACACCGAATTTCCCGTTGCCTTCCAAATTTGGTTCAGTAGCCAACAGCGACAACGATCATGTCCTGGTAACCAAGACGGATGCCAATATCTTGCAGCAGGTCCATTCAAACACTTTGGGTAAAGTATATCGGCAGATGACAGTACTTTATTAAAGCATGTGATGGCGAAAAAAATACATGGTTAAAAACGTGTTTACTAAATAAATGCTGTTGTATTATCACTTGTTTTGTGCTAGAACCCAAACGTCTCTTTGATTATGGCGAGTACGACGAAAGGCTAGATGGCATACTTTCAGCAGCACATCATCAAAGAGATCCCAAGACGGAAGACATCTTTAATTTCTCGATCAACTTCGGGCGGAATCCAGCCATGAAAGTGTTTAGGATTGACAGCACTGGAAAAGAGACTCAAGTTCTTGCCACCATTAGAGAACGTCTCTTGCCGGAAGGTCAAAGATCCACTTATCTTCCCGCTTACGTGCACTCGTTCTGGCTCACCGAAAATTATGTAATCATCCCAGAGTCCCCGCTACATTATGCCAACAACGGTGTCGATGTCCTGGTCCACGGTGCAGTAGCTACAGCAATGGCGTGGAAAGAGGACAGCCCAGCCTATCTACACATTATCAGCCGCGATCCAAGTATTGGCCATGTCGTGTCATTACCTGTCGATCCCTTCTTCACGTTCCATACTGGCAATGCCTGGGACTCACTGGACAGTGACGGTAACCCGGTAATTGATATGGACTGCTGCGCGTTCAGCAACGGCGACATCTTGTACCAAATAAACCGCTATGGCGACATGGAACGCTTTGCTGGCGAATACAAAAAAGCACACAATGGCTCTTATCCAAATGGTGCTGGTAAACAGCGCAATATCTCGCTTGCTGGTGGTCCGTTTCAGTTTGGTGACCTTCGTCGCTATCGTGCCACATGGAGCAAAAACACCGGTAAAGCGACGTGCCGAGTCATTGCCAAGAACATGGAGTTCCCACGGTTTGCGCCCCAGTTGGCTTGCCAAAAGACACGATACCTTTGGGGATGTCAGCATGAGGACGCCACAGCAACACACAGCGAGCGATTCAGTCTGATTAAGGTTGACACAGAGACTGGTGACGTTATCAAGTATGACCGTGAGTCGACCATGTTCTCGGAGCCAGTGTTTGTGCCGAACCCACGTAGCAAGACCGGCGACGAAGATGATGGCGCGTTATTGAGCTTTGCAAATGTCTTTGATCCTAGGGGTCCCAGCTACGATCGCTGTATCCTATCCATTGTAAACGCAAGCACAATGCAAGAAATAGGTCGCTGTAATATTGGACAGTTCGTAACTAACACCTTCCATGGATCATATGTTGACGTTGACTTTGTTAGCGTCGCTATTAACTAGTAAATGATGCTGTAGTAATTCAATTTATACACTATATGTAGCAGAATTTACAAGTAGCATCAGGTATTGTCGATAACCTTTTTGAGTTCAAGTAATAAATTTGCATACTTACATAACCTGTACACTCTATTTTTACCAGCCTTACATTTTCATAGAATCAAAGAAACTGTAGTGCTGTGGTGACATATCGATCAGCAGCCTTTATGTTCCACTCTAATTTCAAAAAAGAGTATTAAATAAAGCGCCAGAATTCTCTGCATATTATGCCATACGCAGAGAGCGTATAGGAAGAAGTACCTTTTCCATAACAATTATCTGTTGCTAATAGAGGGGACGGTCTTGTAAAAATAACGAGGCTACCTACCATTCAATTTTGAGGCTTACGTGAGCTTACCGTAGCTTTCTCTTTCAACAATGCTCAAAAGAGAAAGTTAATTCATCACCATAGGGTATGAAAGAGGTCACGCTGTCGCTCATACTGTGCACCAAGATTTTCCTTTTCTGTGAGAAGGGTTCTAGGATAAAAAACACAGGAACGGGTGGTTGGATGCAGGTTGAAAAACAAATATGCCGCCTAAAAACAAAAAAACCCAGTTTCTTTTTCTTTCTTCGTTTTAGCTCAATGACTTTTTTCCCCTTGAATAATGACCGGTCGCTTTTTATAACACTGGCCCTTACGGGCGGTGGGCTAGCAGCTTATTACTATTTTATGCGCACTGTAGCAAATCCAGACAGCAAACAGCGACCGTTGGAGAATATACCTGTTCCCAAAGGAGGTGTCCCGTATTTTGGTATGGGAATCTCTTAGTTATCAGATATTTGAATAGCGTTTCCTGAACACAATTTATACACAAAAACCTGTTTAGGACATTTGTTCGCATTGACAAGCTCGCCTTCAAGTCAAATAGCTAAATGGCAAAAGGAACTTGGTAAGAAACTAGAACACCAATGAAGCAACGTGGCGTATACTTGAAAAGAATTTTTCGATGTTTGACGATGCATGGTATATTTATTAGGCCTGATAATGTGTGTGAACATGGGCGTCAAACCATGGATCTTTCTGAGTGACCCTGATCTGGCACATGACTTGTTTTGTAAGAACGGTAGCGCTACTTCAAACCGTCCATTCCAAACATTTACGCATCACTATCATTCGAAGAATCGGGGAATCGCATTTAACAACCCTTCTTCTCAGTGGAATAAGACACGTGCAGCAGGTATTGAGCAAGTGTATTATTTTCTTCTTCTTTCAGCGATTTCCTCTATTGTTCTTGGCCGTATAATGTCATCTGGCTCATGATCCATCACTAATTCTTCTTTTGGATAGTATCACAATACATCTCATCCAAGACCGTTTCCGGCTTGTCCCATGTTCTTGAACTGGAAGCGGATGCGCTTGTACAGCGGCTATTGGATACTTCAGCCAAAGACGGCCAAGTTGATATCGTGGAACCATTGCAGCTTGCTGCCATGAACGGTATTTTGACGATTGGATTCGGAAAGCGTGCATCATCCATTAATGATCCACTCTTTCAAGCGGTGATGGGTAATTTAAACGAAGCTATCCGGCATGCTAATATGGTGCGGGACATGCGAGTATTTTTGCCGGCATTCTCCTTATTCGATTATCTCTTTCGGCCGGGAATGCACGGATTTGTCGAGAAGGATACCAATCCTTTGTATCGTCGGTTGATCAAGGAAGGACTTGAAAGTAACGCGGATTGTCTCGTGAAGCGATTAAGCCAGCTCGACTATTTAGATGAAAAGGCACTGATCGTCACAATGAGTTAAGTAGTGGTTCTACCTTTTTTTTTATTTGACTATGCATTTGCACACTTGCACAATAGCTAATAATCTTCTTTTTTTACAAAGACAGACGATGTCATTGCTGGAGGAAGTGACACGGTAGCAATAACAGCAGCATGGGCCATGGTCATACTATGTCGCCACCAAGAAACACAGCGAGCAGTAAGAAAAGAAGTGGATGAATTCATTGCTATGCACAAGCGCATTCCGACATTCGCGGATAGAGATCAACTGCCGCTTTTGGTTTCAGTGCAAAAAGAATGCATGCGTTATCGAGTGACCAGCGCGTTTGGAAGGATTGTAAGTATGAATTTGCTGGTTGTGGCAGTGATAGTGGCGGTGCTGGTTTTTTTAATTAAACATTTACGATGCCATCTTTTGACAGTGACATGTCGCGGGTACTTTATACCAAAGGGGACTACTCTCGTGAGCAACATGCGCGCAATTCATATGAACCCTGACGTGTACGACGATCCTGAGAAATTTATACCTGACCGGTTCATCAATCGATCAAAGCCAATGTACGCATGTGCAAATATGAATGTTCAGGAGCGAGATCACTTTGTGTTTGGATGGGGCAGGTAATATAACAGCAATGTCGAGTACCATTAATAGTTTAATGCTCTTGATTTAATCATTAACAAATGATGACCATCATGTAGGCGAACGTGTCCCGGGGTCTACATGGTAAGTGCATCGCGGCAAGAACTGGATAAAACAAATGACTTTCCTATCAGAAAACCAAACAGTTTTCTTCCTTCTTTTCAATGTGAAATAGGCTGAAGTAGAAATATACAACATTCTCGTACGGCTACTGGCAAAATCAATCATTGCACCGCCATTTAGCCCAGACGGGAAGCTGATATATCCTGATCTGGACAAACTGGATGATGTTGGCGTTGTCATCTTGCCAAAGGACCGAATTCTTCGCATTATTGCGCGGAGTGATACTCTTATCTGATAACCTAAATGCGCTGGTATATATTCTTGTTGTTCTTGTTGTTAAATATTACGAATGAGAAGGAACCTGATCAATCTGTTAATATTCTAAGAAAATATGCCCATCCCGATAGAGAATTAAGACTCGGTTATCTTATCTAAAAATTATATATTGTCCGTTTGCTCCTCATTATCTATCTCTACATAAAGAAGCGAGATCAAACATTTATATGCACGGTCTCAAATAGTTTGACAAGCAGGAAATGTGCTTTTTCGTTTTCCGTACCTTGGATTGGCATTTTGGTCTTTCATATGCAGATATGTAGATATGTGTTAAGGAACCATACCATGTTGGTTAATTTACTAGTTACCGCTTAAAGAAAAGCCACATATTATAGCTACTGTTTGTGTGTCTTGGTCGCGCGTTCCTCGTACTCGATTATCTAATAAAAAGAGACGGGGGCACGACGATCTTTAGTAATAATAAATTAATTGGAAGAATGAAGAACCAAATAGAACAAAAGAAAGGCGCGATAAATTTGTAAAGGGAGTCTGTAATCTAAATTTTTAGCTCGCATTATTCAGGGAAATCATATGAAGAACGTTCTAAGCGGTTCCGTAATATAAATTTGTGACGTAAAATACGGGGTGGGACAGAAATTTGAAGGAGCAATTGGAGCACAAATTAAACTGAACAATGTGTAAAAAGAGCATTGGGAGATAGAGTCATCGCAAGGGAATTTGTCAGTGAAAAGAAACAATTTATTGGCGACTGGTACCAAAATAGTTGACACATTTAGCGCATTCCGGAACGCGTGGCCCCATCTTCTTGCGGTCGCAGTAACGATTTTCCGCTGATCGGAGCACATCTATTGCTGCGAGCAGCGTATCGCTGCGTGTGAGACAGATCTACTAAGCCAACTTCATTGTCAGGCATCAACAGACGCAGCAACTGACAGCCAATGTGAGTCAGGGATCGATAAGTGGCCCGCAGCACCAGCAGCAACAACAGCACCAAAGAGGCTAAAAGATTGTGTTTGATTTCGCACTGAGATGTCTGGTTTTCTATCCATTGCTCATGAAGAGGGTCATCATATCTTGTACTTGGTTGTCCGCTTGGTTCAAATAAATAAACAGTATCGGTAAAACATTTCAATCCGAACTGATACGGAGGAATGCAACAATTAGCAACTACGGAACTGCAACGTTGTCGTGGGTTAGCATTTGAATAACTTTTCTCCTTTACGACAAGATGATCAAGATGACAAGAAAACCCTGCTTCGTTTGGAGATAAGGATGTGCAATGTAGCAACAAAAGGTACTTTGTATAATGGCTTGAGGTGCTTCTTGTGCTTGTTGTTGTTGCGATAAGGGCGTCGTATATGGATCCGAAATCACGGTAACGTTGCGCGGCATTTAATGTAGTCAGAAAGAAATGTTCATGCAGATTAGATAGTCTATAATACTTTCCGAGTTTGTTGGATGTGTAAACAAACCTGCATGTTTACGTAGCATAACACGTTCTTCTGCGTGTCTGTTACTTACTATATAGATGAGCTATATGAGCAAGCCTTTTCCCCACATATAAGCAGCAATACTACTAGCTAATTTTGCTACTTCTGTCACCGCCACATGCAATGTGGATGATAGTAGTAGTGAGTTACTTTAACATCCCTTGTCCCTCGCCCTCCCCCCCCCCTTGTTCTTACATCATCCTGCACCGTGTGTGCATAACCATCGAAAGCGCGGTTTGCAGTGGCATTTTTTGTCCTGGCTGTGACAGAATGTATCAGATTAGGGAAGAATGAAACGCCATTGCATAACTCCAAAACGGACCGTGTTTTACCGCGCTTTGCAAAGCCGTGGCATCAGCAAAAATCGAGTTGTTACTAAGAAAAAACTGACAAATCAATGTGAGACATTTTGGGGCAAACACCATACAAGAAGCATCAGATTTAGTCAACCGCGGAAAGACCGCCGCGGGCCACTAAAACAACAAAACTCGGCAGCTACCACCACCGTATAACTTATACTCTGTGTGTGAGGGCGGTCATGATTTTAGCCTGACCAATCACGACATGCCATTTGGAGATGATGTTTTCCCATGACCCGTTTGAGTCATCCGTAAATGGCAAGCGGCGTGGACCAATCCAATCACGTCATTTCCCCGCCTGAGAAGGAGCATCGTATCAAGATGAAAGAAGCTCTGGTTGATAAGCTTCAGCAAGTTGATAAGAAGACGGTGGAAAAGCTTCGTGTGTGATCGTGTAGAAAGAGCTGCCCAGTGGCCGTGGCAGCGCTGTCACGGGCTAACAATTTCCTTCGTTCATGCTTTCTAACTTTCTATGGAGAAATTTTTGGGGCTAAAAAAAAGAGGTGCAGGAGGGCACTGTTCATTGCGTCATTTTTAGCAAGAAGCAGCGAGAATCTACAAGAATCAGTGGATAAAAAGTCCGCTCATACCTATAAAAAGAATGCAAAGTCCCCATCACCCCACGTCTTCTTCTTCCTCTTGTTCTTTTGCTATCGTTCAACAACGCAATCTTGCTCCATCTTAATTAATTATCTTTACAAAACCTCTTTTAAACTCTTTTCTTTTCTATATATCCCTTCTTCTCCCCCACACTATTCGTTTTTTCAAGATGGCTGCTACTACCATTTTTTGCTAATTCGAGCAATTGAACTACCTTACTTTATATTATTTATATATTTCTTTTCCCACAAAAAACACATACAAAAGAGCTTCTTTTGAGCCTTTAACTGTTATTTATCATGCTTGATCAATACCGCACTCGCACTCGCACAAGTATCATTATCGGACCAACGGTTCCTATTTCCATACACCTTTCCACAATCGTATCGACTTCCTGAAAACACCAGAACAACAAGAACAACATTATCACACCATCCAACAGCGATTTTACAAGTAAAAGTTACGCAAACCATGTCAAACTCCAAACAAGAAACCAACAGCGATTACTGGTCCCAGCTTTCGGCCGCCATGGTCGATCAAGTCATCGGTGACTACCAGCTCCTCGAAGAACTCGGCCACGGTTCGTACGGCTCGCTCTTTCTCGGCCAATCACTCAAGGACGGCGGCTATGTAGCTGTCAAGATCCTCAGCAAGTCCGGTTTGGACCACGAGCAACTCAAACTCCAACAACTCGAAGCCGACATCCAGTCCGAACTCAAGCACGCCAACATTCTGGCGCTCCATTCCGTCATTCAAACCCAAGACCACATCTTTATGGTGATGGAACTATGCGATCAAGGCGATCTTTTTGACTTTGTCGTCCGCGACGACCCCTTACGCGACGAACAGCTCGTCAAGACCATGTTCATCCAGATCCTGGATGCAGTGGAACATATGCACGCTAACGGTGTCTATCATCGCGACATCAAGCTCGAAAACATTCTTTTGAAATCCGAACAAGACGACGAAAGCGACTTGGTGTGCAAGGTCGCCGACTTTGGCCTGGCGACGCGCGAGCGTCTCTCGATGGAGTTTGGCTGTGGCTCGAGCACCTACTTGGCTCCTGAACACTTTGATGACTCTGCCGATCACGAAGTCGTCTCTAACATGAACAAGAACGATATGGTTCCTTACGACGCTGCCATGTCCGATGTCTGGAGCTTGGGTGTTTTGTTGTTGGCCCTGTTGTTCGGCCGCAACCCTTGGCAAGAGGCCACTTCCTTGGACCCTGCCTTTGCCGAGTTCAAGCGCAACCCTGTCATGCTCAAGAACCAGCTCTTTGAGCAAATGTCGGTGCCTTGCTTCAATTTTTTAAAGTCGTGTCTCAGCTTGGATGCTGCTGATCGCCCTTCTGTCGCTGACATGAAGGCCCAGTTCTTGGCCATTCCGTCTCTGGTCGAAGACTCGCCCCAGCCTCTCGAGCAAAACCCCATGGATATCCCAGTCTCGACCAAGCCAACCGAGCGCGCAAGCTTCGACTCTGCCATCTTCAGCGCCACTGCCCCCGCTGGTGCTTCCTGGTCGGATATGGTTGAAGAAGACGAGATGCTCGAAACTTGCTATGATTACAATAACACTGGTCTCCCATCGCCTCCCTGCTCTTTGGAGGCCGTCGATGAGGACGATGACACCGATATGTTCGTGCACAGCGATGAGAAAGAATCGTGGTGGCTCTAAAAAACACATTTCTTTTTATGTATGCTCCTCTCCTCTCTTTTTGTACATCTTCTTTCTCCCCCGATATATATCAAACTTCATAGTACTTTTTAGCCCTTCCTATCATTTAATAAAAACAAAAGTTCTTGCTTTTCTCCTCCAAAAACTCGATCCTTGTATGTTGCTATTCCATCTGTGAGAATAAATTTACTTGGTATAATTAACACGATCGCAGTATTTCATATAGCACTACGACATAGTGATATCATATTGTGTGTAACGTGATGAATGTATTGAGAGTGTTTGAAGTAGTAATGTAGTGTTAAATGCAGTGAATAAACAATGTTCCAAATTGAGTAAGAGCTCCTTCCCTCACCATCCAAATCCTTCTGCCTGCCGCTCCTGCGTTTCACGGTCCTCTAATTTAATTGTATTCGTTAGTACCGTCTCGCTTTTTAGACGTTGGCAGAACTAGCAATTACCTTTAAATGCAACTAGGCCGACTATGATGCCTGCAGCAAAGAACAGGACGCTGATCAGAAACCAGATGACGCCCCACGCTCGGCTTGACAAGCCATACAGCTCGGCAAACTTGGATGCATCTGATTCATATGCTTTACGAAACACCAAGTCGTCCAATATATCCCATAAGCAATAGAGACACGACATGACGCCCATGAACAAAACAAAGTATTTCAAGCCGACGCCGTGCGCAATGTACCAAAGCAACAGCATGACGCCAATAAAGGCAATCCCGATGCCGCGTGTGAGCCAGTTCTTCGCCCACCACAGTGTTAATAAAAGACAGGTGCCAAGAAAGATGGATGCGATTTTGGACGCCAAGATGTTGAATCCACACATGACAAGGATCGCCCCGATAGCGGATGATCCCAAGTAACCTGCAGGCAGTGTGCACATGGCATTGCCGCCTTGCTAACAATATACGATGATGATCTTCAGTATCGATAATAGCAGTAGTAGCAGGGTAACCGCTGCTTTAATTACATGTAATCGCTCCATTTCGATATGCAAACCACTCATTATCCGTACCATTCTCGTAGCGCCACCTTCGTCAGGGTCAATTTCTATGGATTCGATCCGTGCACACGTCAAACAGCCAACAAACGCATGCGAGAATTCATGTAATCCAACCGTTAGCAGCTAAAAAAAGTTCAACGGAGTGTGTGTGAGGGAGGTTAAAAACCAGCTACTATCGACTTTTAAATCCTACATTTTACGATGAACCTTGAACGGTGCAAGGATGATCTTGACAATAGGCATATTCCATAATAGCAGGATGGCGCCTGTGTACCCAGCTATAATAATCAAGATTATTTTCTGATCCTCGGTTGGAGTGAATGCATCGCGTATAGTGTCGTTTTCTGTCTGTCGAGCTATCAAGAAGGGTGCCATCGAGCCGTCGTGTGTGTGTAGAGTGTATGGTGATTAGTATATGTATAAGCTGTGCTATGTGTATATACAGTATGCTATATGTACAGATAAGAAATAACAGAAAGAGAAAGGAGTGAGTAGAAAAGAAGCTCGTTGACGATGGGCTTTTCGTAGCTCTACTACCATTACATCCATTTTGGGGTCTTGTTGTTTTGCTTTATGTTTTAGGTACCCAATCCCTGAATTTACGGGTTGGATGCCGCATAGCAAGGCAGCAGCTTCTTTTCCCTCCGCCCCAGTCTTAAACCCACCAACACAAACACACACACACACACACACGCGTGCCGAACCCTAAAAATGTCACTAAAATCCTACAATGAATTAAAACAAGACGTACGCAAAGCCGATCACGAATTAGAACTGTTAGATCAAGAACTAAGCAACACCAAAGACGAGATCACGCTCGAATCCACCAAACAACAAAAGCTAACCAAGGCGTTAACTGATCATCACAACAAACTTATTGATCTGACGCACCGTATTAAAGATATGGCCAAAACAAAAATGGACTCACAACTACAAGAGACGGAGGCACAGACACGTCTGAAAGAACTAGAAGGACTGGTTGCAGAGTGTGGTGCGTCACTCGAGGAGCAAGAGCAAGAGGATCAGAAGCAGCAGGAACAGCTGGAAAAGTTAAGGCAAGAGCTGGCTCGCGTCACTGAAACTGTCAAAGAACTTGAACAGCGCGCTACTGACAAACAGCAACAGCAATAAAGGAAAGACAAATCCATCCAATGTATAATCGCAATAGTAGAATAATAAAGACATATTGTATATATGGTTTTCGCATTCATCTGTAAACTGAACGTATCGTGTACGGTTGGATTTTTTTTTTGCTCCGGTTTCTTTACTTTTCTTACCCTATTTCCAGTAAATAACCCCACACCCCCCCCCCCACTCTTTGTTTTCTTATATCACAAAGCACAGCTGAAACTCATGCGTCTTGCAACAGTAATAACACAACGAACGATTCAATACTGCGTTCGACGATCGCTTTGGACTAGCGCCACAGCAACAGCTCGCACAACAGAGGAATGCATCCAACAAGCAGCCAGCAAGTTGTCCATGAAGGATCCCAACGTGTGCGTCGCGCTTGTGTCGAAAACATTCCCCGATTACCGCGCGGTGACCAAACAACTCGCTGCCCATTTCAATGCAAAGTACACGATTGGATGCGTTGTAGACCATGTGCCCGGCGTCAAGCACGGCATTAGTCTCTTGTTGGGTGACACGGACTGTGTGCCGTTCCATATCCCTGACAGCCAACAGCGCGAGAAAGTGCGGACTATCAGTGTGGGTCGCTGGGGCCGTGTCGAGGATTTTGACAGATTGCGGTTTCAGGGAAATAAACTCAATGACGACGGCTGGGACGCCTTTAATACTATCAGTCGTCCTGCACACCAAGTGGCTTTACCATCCACCTTACAGACGCGATCTGAAACACCGTCGTTTGTGTTTATGGCTTCAGATAATGAGCCTGATCAGTTATTGCACGCACTTGACCATCATTTCCCAGATATACCCAAGGTAAAAAAAAGAACGTAGATCTTGAACTTAAATGACATATTGTTCGCTAAAGCCACGCACATGTATGCATAGATCGGCGTGATCGGTGCATCCACTCCATTCATTACCGGTGAACCCTATGCATTGTTTTGTAACCAAGAACTGCTGGGCGGCGGTATTGTTGGATTTGCTTCTTACAACGACCAGCCGATCAGCGAGATTCAAGTGGAGCATTCTGCTTTGGAACCTTTGGGAGAACCTTTGACTATCACACGGTAAAAACTGGCGGTGGAATTAGAAAAAGCTTGCAATTGAAACAAAACGAAAACTTACAATCTTTCTCTCTCTTCCTCCTTCTTGCTAGATGCCGCGGTAACATCATTTTGGATTTGGATCAGGCGGGTGCAACAGGATTGTTATTAGCCTTGATCCAGCAAGGACAAAGTGCTCGGATAGCCAAGGATCAAGAGTTCTACTTGGGTGTCTATCCACCGTGTAGTGATGATTCAAGCAAGGTATAGTAATGCGTTTCGTCATGTCTTGATTTACTGGGTAACTAAAATCTATGGGTTACAGATGGCAGTGAATCGTATTACAAGCGGTGATCCATCACGCGGCAATATGTCCGTAGATACCACAGCTGATCTACAAGTTGGACAGAGGGTTCAGGTAATTACCAGGATATGTACTGGAAAAAGACAGTTAGGTTCAGTAAAAGTAACAGCAGCAAAACTAGTTTATGAAACGTCGGCCTTGTGATGTCAAACATGTAGCAGCAGAGAAACTGGCGTTTGGTGTAGTGGATCAGGACCATACCATTGATGCCAAACCGCTCCAAATTTCTGATACACCCAAGGTCCTGTCTGATGTTTTTGGAGCAGCAAGCGAGAACGGAGTCATAGTAGGACGACCAGGACTGTCAAGTCAGATTCTCGATGTACCTTATTCTGTAGTTAAACTCCACAACTAGTGCTATGTACAGCAGTAGAAAATTATTATTCTCCTTTCCCTTGTATACATAACTATCCAAAAATTTATTATAATAATGACACAAAGTTTAATAACACCCGAGACTCGTATCAAGTGTGTGTTTGACTATGTATCTATTTTATTCAACATATGTTCCGTATAGTGGGCAAGGAAGCTGATTGCACATTCCTCACTGTAATGATTCTTTTCCTTACAGAGTTACTTCAGTTCTCAATCGCGACACAGCGACTTTTGGCAAACAGCACCTGATTGACGGCAGCGAAGAAACATGTTGGAATTCTGAACAGGTAATATACAGCCTTTCGATCGTACAATATACAATAATCTCACGTATAATGGGCAGTGGGTTAATTTTCGTCTTTATCTTTAGGGCCTACCACAACATATTCTTTTAGACTTTGGAAGTGAGCCTGTCACGGTTGAAGCGATCCTATTCACGTTCCAGGGCGGATTCGTAGGCAAAAAATGTCTCGCACTTGCCAGTTTACCTGACACACCGAACGATTACAGCATCGATCTTGGCGCCTTTTATCCAGAGGATATCAACTCGACACAAAAGTTTCCCTTAAGCTCAGTCGATAGCAAGATCCAGCGACTCAAGATCGTGTTTGAAGAAAGCACAGATTTCTATGGACGCATCACGGTTTATAAAATGGATATTCTTGGTCATCATTAAATGTGCCTCATCGGATATGTATTGTAACAAATTTTTTTCCCGCATGATATCTTGTGGTGGATGGGATGGCCAGTAAATGTGTGTGGGTATACGTCGAGATGAGACTATGTAAGAATACTCCACCAGGTGGGTAAGGGGTTGAATAGAAAAGCAGCTTCACTAGCTTTATGAAGTTTCATCGATGGATAACGCTCTATGATACATAGATATACAAATGAACGTTCAGACGGCATAACAAGTGTTTATTTTAAAAATAATAAAAGTACAAAGAATGAAAGGGTATATAAACAACAACAGTGAATGAATAACAATGATACTTGGTGACGGGTGGGCAATTTTTACCAACGAGGACGATGATGTTTGCCGTTGGTTATACGTAGAACCGCAGGGTGTACAGCATCATATACAGATGTCAAGAATGAAATTGTTTCAAGGATGTTGGGTCCGTGTTTTTCTACAAAGCCCAAACTTTTGCGCCATCCGCGTCGGAATGGATTCATGCTGATATTGTTGGCAGAGGGTACGACCTTCAACTCGACCGCTTCATCTTGATTTAAAATATGAGCAATGTCGTGGTCGCCAGACATGCTGATCCATCGTGTAACTACGGCTGACTGTTGCAGGGCTTCTCGGTCATCATGCCCAGCTTCTACTGTTTGCTGATCACAGCGCATTGGATACGCGAGATCAAAGCTTTGTTCTAGCCCAAAACCTTTCCGTACCTTGATAGAAAAAATACACGTTTTATGAGTGATACCCAGAGACTCACTGCTGGTATTCTTGGTGCTGTCCTTCACTTTTGTCTGGCTTGGAAGTATAGCGAGAAATATCATTGATTATCAGATGTGCGTACCTGACGATGTAACCGTTTATATTTAGTCCGTCGGTTGATTGGGAAACGTCGCGTTTCTGTTTGCAGTCCTCGTCCCTCAGGTTGTTCATAATAACTGATCAAAACCATACGATCACAATTTTCGGGTGGTGCCATGGAGATTAATTGACGGGATCGCTTCTTGGCTGCTGCTGCTGCTATAAGTAACGAAGAAAGAAAGAAAGAAGAGCAACGCCGCCTTGTGTGGCGTGCATTCCGGAACACCCAACAAACTTGTGTGCTGGAACCCGGGACTGACAACGCAACTGTAATCCAGCCACATGATCAGTGGTTGCACAAGAGTGGCTGCCAAGAACATTCTTTTTAGCAAATGGGTTACTCGCCATCTTGCCCATTTTTGTGAATCTACATGATGATAGTAGGAACAGCAGATGCTGTATTGCCGTCGTAAAAGAGAAATAATGTACATGATAGAGGGGTAGTATATAGTAAGTATATTTACATAGTAGTATGTATCCGTGGGGTGGGGACGTCTCAGGCTAACGATGCCGAGGATGTAGTAAGTTGACGCTGCTCCTGCTGCTGCTCTTGCTCCTGCGACAAGGAGGAGGATGACGACTGCTGTGATGCAGTAGTGATGGCAGTAGCTGCAGCTGCAATCGCTGCAATTGCAGCCACTTGTGGTACAGGTAATAGCGGAATCAATGGAGCAACGAGTGTAATGACCGATGCTGCTGTTATTAGAACGACACGGCCCCCCTTGGCAACCCATCGAACGGCCTTCATGATCCATCGTTCTCCCAGATTATGCGAAGGTACAATCACCATCCATACCAGCGGCTCGCCACGATTATGATGCTCTTGCTCCGGCTGGTTGTGGCAAGTGCTGTTTAACTGAAACTCGCGCTGCGATCGCTCTGTCACATGCCGCATATCTTGATCGTCAGTCATGGTGATTGTTGTATTGTGCTCGTCGAATGCCAGGTCAAATCCGCTGGTTAGACCAAATGCTTTGCGCACGCGTCGATGAAGTTTTCGGTAGCTGATGCCTTCCAACACTTCAAAACGTCGTATTTCTTCGGCACCGTGAAGTTCGGGTCGTGGTCGTTTGATCATGAAAATGATGCTTCGTTTCTCTTCAACAGGGGTCTCTTTAGCCATGGTGATAAATAAACAGAAAAGGTACTGTCTGTTGGAGAGAGGGCAAAATCAAAAGATACAGGCCAGACCGAGGGAAACAAAGGCAGAAGAAATGGTTGAAAAAGTCACAGCCAGGTTCTTGGCTTTTGCATCAAGTCTAAACAATTCTGCAACTTGATGACTATCACCACCAGTGCCCCCATTTTCTCGTGAAACGTTGCAGAGTATTTCCGGATGGATGTCCGAAAAACAATGTGATTAGTGTTGTTGCGCCCAAAGAACATACTCCTTAGAATAGCGTAGGTTGATGAAGCATCGAGAATCCGTTATAACGTTAGCAAAATTAGCAGGTTGCAGCGATAAAATAAAGCTTTCGTGATCAACAAAAAAGTGTGTTTGATGATAATCAATGCGTCAGGTTCCCGACCCATCTGCAAGCAACAAAAATAGTGTCCCGGACTTTTGAGTGCCGCACTAATTCACTCATTCATCCCAGTGCTACGCGATGATTACCTTAATAATAATAGTAATGTAGCGGCACGATGAAATGATCAGACTGTATTTACAGGATACATATAATCGACCAATATCACAGTGACACTATCGTATAATCGAAAATGCTTTTTAATGATAGTAGTAGAATGAGAGGATATAAGATATAGACAAGGCATACATATATATATATATATATATATATATATAAGAGGCAACGGGTTGGGGCACGTTTGATGAGAAATGTATGAATGCAAGGAGCATGGATGGTTGTGGAAGAAAGAAAATATGTGCAAGTCCAGCACAGCAACATGGTTGTGTCTACACTATAAATATATCATTGCTGCTGCTCGCCTGCTGCGGATGATGTTTTTTGTTCTTGATGATGCGACAGACGGTTTGGCTTTGTTCTCGATAAAGTAGAAGTAGTAGTGGCAAATGCAGCACCAGCTGCTAATAATGCTTGTGAGAACGGATGACCTAGTAATTCTGGCATCTTTCGCGCAGCAGCTGTGGCAGCCAGCACAATCTGTGCATACGGTGGTGGCAGTCGCTCTGCCAAAGCTGGTCCAAAGACATGTAGAATCGGTACAGCGACAATCATGATCACCCTGCCTGCACTAACAATCCATCGAGCTGCTTTAAGGTACCACTCTTCTTCTTTTTCTTGGGTTCTACTATCATCATCATCATCGTTCTCCGCTGACAGAATAACAATCTTCATCCAGACAACGGGATCGGCTTGATCTTTATTGATGACAAAACCCGTCTGTTGTTGTTGTTGCTGCACCAGATATTTAAGATCATTTGTATCTGTCATGGTAATTGTCGTATTATGCTTGTCAAACGTGAGGTTGAATCTGACCCTGAGCCCAAAGGTATCTTTGACTCGTCGGTGAAGTTCGTCATAGGTGATATGGTCTGTAGCGACCTCGAATCGGCGGGTCTCTTCTGGTGAGCCGTCTAAGGCTGGTTTGAGAATAAAGAAAACCAGCGTTGGCTCCGACTTATGGTTCTGGTTCGTCGGTTGTTGTGCTGCTGCTTCCATATCGAGCACAAGAAATGGAAAAGATGAAAAAAAAAAGAGGGCAAGGGCTTGGCAAGAGAGGAAAAAACGAAGGAATTGCACTGTTAGTGTGCCCACATCGGAGCTGTTCCAAGTCACAAGGGGTTGTTACACAGATCTACGGACAAACGCTTTGCCCCAATGCCGGTGCATTAAGGATGCACTGAGTGCAGAAGCAGCTCCAAAAGCCTTAAGAGTGAAGACCGCTAAGTTTGAATACATCTTTTGAGAACCGTGCTCAGCTATGTAAGCTGCACGAATACCGTTTAGTATGGTTTATATCAACGGAAGCGGTGGACAGACAGTTTATACTCAATTCGTATTTTTCAATTTAGAAAGTCTGATTCATGCATCAAGAATGCAGTCAACAGCTTTCATCCATCACTGAAAGCAAGCGAAGCAAGGGGACAGTATGATGGCTGCTATTATCACATTTTCTACAAGATAAAAGAGAATTGAGTTACCAGCGTATTCGCCCCTGTATATAACAATGTAGCAGTTGTAAGTTACTGGATTATAGAATCGCGACCCTTTTCGAGATTAAAGCTACCTTGACAATTCTGTGTTCTCGAACTTTTTAAACACGAATATAACTTTCAAGGGAGAAGAATCCAGGTTAGTCATATTGTTTGCCATCATCTCCACATGTGACGCAGTAATCAATGCTGTACTGATGTTGTGCTTCTGTTGCTGATGAAGGGATGCGTAATAGCTTAGGTGCATCCTGCGCTGTAGTATTAGATTATACAGACTGTTTTTCAGCACCAGTTACTAGCTATTACGCATCTGTTCTTAAGTGAATGGTTATATTAATCAAAACCATTAACAAGCGGCTAGAAATTTAAATTTATTGTTTACTGTGGTTACTAATATTATTTAAGGAACTAGTGAGCTTTCACTATCGACTACATGCTTTAAGCCGTATCTCAGTGTTACTGTATAATACCAGCAGTCTTCCAAAAGAGTATTTACCATGCACAAGCTGTTTGCTAATTTTGTAAGACTCTCTACAGCACAGGTATTAGTATCTGTAATATACAGATAATATGCACCCCCTACCATGAAAATGCAGATCCTTCAATCAATCAAAAATGACACAGATTTTTCGTGCATGCTTACTCTTTTTTGTTGCTTCTTGATCTTGTCATTCCACATATCTTACTGACATGAAAAAAGTAGGAGCTTTCTTCTTGTCTCTGACAGTAATATCCATTACTACTATCAGCAACGTTCTAGCTGGCCGGCCTGGTATTTATCAACGTCTTCCTGACCCTGAGGGCCAATTTCCTCGCCTTGGAGCCTGTCCAGATGATCACGCATGCATTTTCCCACCGGATGTGTAAGCTACTATTTTATCTGGCTTCATTTGAGATCATCTAATGATAATGGTAATGACCCTCTACTACTAGTTCGCAATTTCTTCCAGGTGCCTATTTTGATCTGAGGGTAGAACTTCATGCGTACGACAGAAACACATCCAATCCGGCACCAGAGCCTTATACGCAATTCAAAACTACCGTACGCAAAGACGATGGGCCATGGACCGATGCAAATGAGTTTTTTGCTACCCCAGATATACCAGCCCTCGAGTACTGGAATTTCACTTGGGCATATTCCGCTGAAGCACATTATTCCAAGGAGGAAGGTGGTGGTAAAAAGCCAATCGATGTTAATGTATCATCCCGAGTATGGCGTAAATTGAAATTCGATGAACCAGGAAGGTACGATGTGTCAGTCCAGTACAGTCCCAAGGAAGCATACACAGTTCGCTACACTGTTATCGAGGTTCGCATAATTGTTGAGCAGATCAAAAAAAAGATAAATCATGTAGCTTGTTGGAGAATGCAGGAGACGCTGATATATTTCGGCTGGCGCAATGTGCGTGCTTTTTTTATTAGCCCCGTAAGCCTGAACGAAAAGCAAAAAACGCCATTCTTTTTATAGCAGATGGCTGCAACATTGGTGTAAAGAACTCTTTTTTTTATACAAAGATGCTGTAAGGTATATATGTTAGCACCTAAACATATGTGTGTCTCGTGTAGATGATCACAGCTGCTCGTGCAGTTGCACGTAAAACAACCTCGGGAAAATTCGTCAACGGCCTATTATCCTTTGAAGATTTTGACGAGCTTGGTCATATCATCACACATTCAGTGGACGGTCTTGTGACGGACTCTTCCAATTCTGCATCATCCTATGCAACAGGCCATAAAGCCAGCGTCCAAGCCCTCGGAGTGTATGGTGATTCTTCGCCATCCCAATTCGACGACCCCAAAGTCGAATTAGTTACGGAATTAATCCGTCGACGACAGCCAGGCAAAGCGGTTGGCATAGTGACTACTGCTTTTGTCCAGGATGCAACACCCGGTGCATTTTATTCGCATACGCGAAGACGTGGAACTTTGGCTGAAATCACTGATCAATTGGTCCATGGCGTCCCAGATTGGTTAGCTGCAGTCGAGCCTGATGTATTGATGGGCGGTGGAGCCGAATACTTTAAGGGAGAACAGGCCGTCAATGAGACTGATTATTACGCACTTTTGCAAGACAAGTATGGCTATCAAGTCGTTATGAATAAGCAGACTTTGAATGCGTACAATGGCCAGAACAAGCTTTTGGGTATTTTCCGAAAAGACGTTATGGATGTGTAAGTCCTTGCACTAAAAAGAGAACAGTTAGATGAGCTATTGCATTTATGATTAGGAGTTATAGTATTGACGGTATTTTGGCAAACATTCAGCTGGCTTGAGCGAAACATTTTCATCAATAATACAGCCGATAATGCAGCTGCCCCTGATTTGAGTGGCGATAGCGCTTTAGGTTCCGACCAGCCCGGATTAGATGACATGACACTCAAGGCTTTAGAAGTCTTGAAGAAACGGGGTGGTGATGATGGTTTCTTTTTGATGTCAGAGGCCGCATCAGTCGATAAAAGGCTCCACCAATTAGACTTTCCGCGTGCATGGGCTGATCTTATCGAGTTGGATGTGACAATCAAGAAAACAATCGAATGGCTCAAGGTACACTCCTCATAAGTCTATCTATTGCATGCGTCTTTACCAATGGACTAGATGACCATAGCTATCACTAACTGTTTATAAAATTCCGGATATAGAAAAACGGCGAATACGAAGATACGCTTATACTCGTGACAGCCGATCACAGGTACCTATATTAACTATTTTTTTTATTTGTTGCTGTAGTTACATAAAATTAATTTTTCTATATGACATATTTATGCATATAGTCACTCCTATGATGTATTTGGTACTGTTGACCAGCAGTTTTTGGACTCTCAAACATCTCACCGGAATATGCGTAATGCCGTCGGTATTTATGATAAGTCTGGATGGCCCGGATTTTCTGACGAAGATCAGGATGGCTTTCCGGACAACTGGGATCCTCGTATTACCTTGGCTTCTGGCTCAACAAACGGGCCCGATCATTTTGAAGCTTGGAAGCTTTCATCGAACGGTTATCGTAACCCGTTTATCATGCAAGAAGAAGAAGGATATGGCAAGCTTTATGTCGAAAACCCTGAAGATCCATCTGGAAGCTATGCTGCTGGTCTCAGATGGAATGGAAATATACCAGTCCACATGGAATCGGAAGTCCATTCAATGGCAGACGTCGCAATCTATTCCAATGGTCCTGGATCCCATTTATTCAAGAAAACTATGGAGAACTGGAGTCTGTTCTTTCGATTGACGGAAGCGTTGGATCTGCAGCATCCAACCATTAATTACACAGACCACAAACAAGAATTGGAATAAAAAATAGCTTTGATATATCTATTGACATGCTAGTAAGAGTAAATGATGAGCTATAACAAATTAAACTAAGTAAAGAGACTATGAACTACTAAATGTACAATATGTTGTTATGGGTGAGATATAGGATAGACGAATGGGAAGCGGATAAATGTTCGATGAAGGTGATAAAAACGAAAACAATAAAAAGAAACTTCTATATAGCGAAAATAACAAATATTACATAGTGGTGGCATTGGATGGAGGAGGATAAGCGACGAAACTAGTTTGTACAGCAGTGCTCACTGTATCCCATCGCTTCATCTCTAATTCGTGCTTCATATTACGCATGTCACTTTCCACCTGTCGTCGCTTTTCCATTTCCTTCTCAATTGCCTGCTCATGTTCAGCCTTGACTGTCGCCATCAACTGCCGGAACTCCTTGCGCAAAGTCATTGTTTGACCATCCTTGCCGATACCGTCCTTGACCTTGTAATCCGCTAGTTGTTTGTCCAGTAGATGTTTTTCGCGCATCAGGGCCTGCACTTGCTGATCGTACTTTTTGCGTTCGTAATTAAAGTCTGCAATGTTGCGTGTAAGCTTGTCATATTCTTTGAAGATAGCACCCAATTCTGCTTCAACGCTGGCCGATTGGAGCATGAGTGCTGCTTCTCTCCGGGTATATTCTTCTTGCGCTTCTTTGAATGCTGCGCGAAGATTATCCAGTGCTTGCTGTTGGTTGCTGCTCTCCCTCGAAGCCGGCCTTGCTGATGATTGTCGTTGTTGCTGTTGTTCTATCAATTTGTCTACCATGGCATCCAAAGATGGCATCGATGTACTAGTAAGTGCCTGTTTCACTTGAGCGTTTAAAGCATCCAAACGACTCCGTGCCTCAGTTTCTTGTTGCCGCGAAATCTCCAACTCAGCTTGGATAGCATGTCTTTCTTGTTTGAATTTATGCAGCATAGACTGCTCCGAGTTTCGCTGTCTTGATGCATGCTCATTGTGCAAATTTGTCGTCGTTTCTTCGAGTCGTTGAACTCGCTGTACCAGCTCACGCTCGCGCTGGTTGGCCTGCAGTAACGCTTGGTTGAGCTCGTATATCTTGGCAGATTCACGGCTACTCTGTTCAAGACTTTGCTGCTCTGTTGCTAATTTCAATGTCTGTTCAAGCTCTTGTATCCGGTCCTGCAACACGGTCTGTTCTTCTTGTAGTCTCGACTCATGGTGTTTGGCTTGGGATAATGCCTGGTTAAGCTCTTGACACTGCTGGGCTTGGTCGCGTTGGCTGTCCTCTAGCTGTCGCTGTATCTCAGCTTGGTGGTGGTCCGCATGCCGTAATGCTTCTTCTAATCGTCTCCGTGATTCCTCTAGAGATTTGCGGTCTTCAATTTCACGTGCTACTTGCTGCTCTAGCTTTTGCTGTATTGCGGATGATGAAGATTGGTCATTTTGCTGCTGCGTTGCTTGCATTAATTGCCGTTCCCATTCTAACCGCTGTCGAGAGAACTCGGACGACTGGGTATCCAGACGATGCTGCATTTCTGCTTCTCGCTTTCGTAAGCGCACTAGCTCCTCTTGGAGGTCGGCATTGTTACTGTCAGTGCTAACACCAGCCGAAGTGCTCTTGTCGCCAGCAACGTGAGCACCATTACCACCATATACGGATAGCTGTTTCTCGATGATATCTAGGAGAGCATGTGCTTGTTGATGATCATCAAAACTGGTCATGCTGGTGCGTACAGATGCAAGAAACATTGAGTCATCCGAAAGATTTCCGTCATCGCTCATATTATCGGTGTTACGGCGGGTAGTAGTAGTGCTTTTCGTTTTGCGTTTTAAAATGTCTTGCTGATATTGCTGTGACATATTTGTCGTAAGTGAGGACGAGCATCTTTTTGCGATTTTCTCGAGCCGCAAAACTACATCCGGGTATTCTTCTCGCCGTTTTTTGTTGGATGCTGGTGACGACGATAGCGTTGTAGTTGCAGTTGCTGCAGTGGATGGTGGTTCAGCAGCAGTAGCAGCAAAGGATGTGCTTCGCCATAATCGCTCGTCGCTTTGGATTGTTACTGCCAACGTGCCTGCAAGATGGTGTAGATAGCGTTCCTGCGAATCACAGACGTGTGAAAAGGTATAATAAAGCTCCTGAGTGAGTTGGTCAATATTGCTTGTACGCGCTTGTAGGTCCTTAATAAGTAGTCTGCTATGGCGATCTACGGCGAGTTTAAGCATGGATGCGTACGTGCGTTGGATACGCGTCTCCAATAAAACTCGATCGCGTATGGTATCCACGCTGGATTTAGCATTTGTATATTTCTACAGAATTTAAGCGAAATTAAAAGTTGATTGGATTAATTTCATGTTGTCCAACTTAGTAATGCTGTATGTGTGTTTACCCTTTGCCACTTCTCTGCATCCAAAACACTGGACAAGGTTGAAAAATCCATGGCAGTGAGAACCGCGTGGGATACAGCTAGCTGACGTCCAATTTCGGCAGGATCAGCCATCATGATCTTGCCATTGCCTTGTTCTGGGATTAGCGGTGCATGGTCATGAGCATACTGATACCATGGAAGAACAATTCCAAAAGCGGTCGCGGGGCTGGAGGCTGCTATTGGTGTTGTAGCAGTAGCAGATGTAGGTTTTGAAGGAGCCAGTGTATTAGAAGAAGTATTTGTACTCAATGTTGTTGCCGTGGTTCCCTCTTGAGCGTCATCGTCATCGTCGTGGCCGTTGTCTTCGTTATAACTACTGCTACTGGTGCTATCACTGTCGCTCAAACTCTGGATACTTGAGATGCTGAGGTCGGTATTTGCGCTCATGGGTCGTAAGGCATCGAGTGCTGTCTCCATTAATGCTACTTTTGCTGCTGGTTGATTTGCCGCCTCCTTCTCCTCTACCTCATACTTTGTGGTCGTCAAATAGCTCTCTGCCTGTTTCTCAGGTTCTTGCTGTACCGCTTTAATCTCATCTGTAGCTGCATCCGGTCGCGTTGCTAATGTTGGCTCAGTTTTGATGCTACGTCCCTGAACCAGAGACCTATCTGTAGCAGGAGAGGGGCTAATGCTCTCGTCTACCATACCGCTGGTGGCCATTTTAGCTTTATCGATTCCAGAATCATTAGCGGTGCTGTTGGTACTTGCGATGCTTCTTTCTTCCGTAATAGTCGGAGCTGCTGTTTTTGCATTGATATTTGATTCATGCAGCTTTTGTGTCGATACTGCTGGTGTATCTTTTAGGGATGAAGTAGCCCCAATTGATTTAGGCGATTTTTGGATCGATGCATTTGTAGATAAGCTCTTATTGTCAGCAGCTGGAATATTGCTTTTTTCAATTAAAGGTGAATTCGGTGCTGTAGTGGTGGATGTCATAAGCTCTTTTTGCTCCTCTTTGGTAATAGCAGCTGTCTTTGCTAAATTGACCTTTTGGAACGATTCTGTTGATGCAGTAGTAGAAGACGAAGTCGACTTTGACGGTGATGGTGACGGTAATGAGGGCATAATATTCTTCTTTTTCTTCGCTGAGTCGTCGTCCTTTTGTTGCTTTTGCTGCTGCTGCTGCTGCTGCTGTGCTCCACCTCTAGTCACTGTTGTCGGCGTCGGGGCCTTTTGAACGGCACTCTTGACAGTAGTAGTAGTCGACAACGGTTGTTTTTCAGTCGCCGCCGTAGGAGGTTTGCTAACCGTCGTGGAGGTAGTTGTGGTACCTGCGTGTTGTTGCTTTTTCGCAGCAATGGCACCTGGCTTCATCATTTTAGCCTTCCACGGGTTCGCAGAGACAGTGCTGGAAGCAGCCATTTTTTGCACGGATGCACGGACATGTTTCCGAGACTCTGCAGTTGGTGTGGTCGAGTCGCCAGAGGCTGGCTTGGGTAATTTTGACGTTTGTGTTACGGGGCTCTTATTAATTTTTGCCAAAGGTGGTTTCGCGTCTTTTTCCTCTGGGTTACGATTTGCAGCGAAAAAGGGATTGTCTTTGAGCTTATAATTAACGGCAGGTCGTTTGGCAGCGGGAGGTGTTTTTGCTGGTGAATTTGGCTAAATTGTTTGGGACTAATTAGCACACATTGGGCTCGGGCAAACCACATTCCACGCATGCAGTTCAGCCACACAAACACACACACAGAGACGCTTGTTGGTGGGGTACCTGACTCATTGTAGCATGACTTTTCTTATTGCTAAACGAATGTAGAGGGAACAATAAGTATTATAAAGGAGAGAATAAGATAGACGAGGAAAAGAGTGAACGTTGGGATAAGAGAAACGAGAGAAAGGGAGAGTGGGTGCGGTGAAGGTGAGATAGAGAAAAAGGAAGGAATTAAGGAGAGAAGACAGAGTGGGCTGCTTTTTGTTTTGGTTCGCACGTCGGCAGACGTCTTGGTTTCCTTTGCTATGGAAACCAATGGGTTTGCCTTATTTGGCCCGGCAACATATGGGTGGGGTGATGTTTGACCTGGTGTCTTATTTGGGGGCTGTGTTTCTTTAGGAAGTCGTAACAGCTCATCCTATCAAAGGGATACGATGACATTTACCTTCTCAATTTTACACTGGTCCCCCTCGCACATCGGAAGATCCTCTTTTTTCTCAAACTCTATGTGGCACTGGATCCCTACCAAGCAACGCACTGTCCACTTTTCTACGGTTGGTGTCCAGATGAAGACTTCTTGTCTTTCTCACTGTCTTTTCAAATTACACGTGCCAACAGGAGACGTATTACACCGCTTAGGTGTCTTTTCTCTTCTTGAACTCCGATTTTTATTGTGAGTTTTACATTAGGAAGCAGCAGGATGGTGGTTTGGATTAAGCAAGTATTCGTCACAAAGGTCTGTTATCGGCTGTAGTTCGTAATTGTTGTTGTACATGGCAAGCGATCCAGTGACAGGCGCAATTGCATAAAACACGCCGTCTTTGTGAGCTGCTTGGGGAGCTAACCTTGCTGCCAACTACGAAGAAGAAAGGAGATTGCATTGATAGATAATATGTGGGTTAGTGAATTTAATTAAAAGAAAGACAGGTAAAGAATATTCGATACGAAAGACGTATAGATGTATTTTTCTTACCTCTTCCGAGATGACGATCATTTCCATCTTATTAGTGAATTCAATTGAAACAGATTCCCCTGGATTGATAGTATGCAACTGAGTGGCTCCTGGATGCTCCATTTCCCACCTCTCCTTAAAACGGTCAGATCCCAGCATATCGGGAATGATGATGTGCGGTGGTGGGGTGATGCGACAAGCCGTGCCCAGGATTGATCCAACTTCCCAGAGTGACACCCGAGTATTCAGTATCAGTGGTACCATTTTCATCCGAGAGGATGGGAGGTCTTGCGATGCGAGGGTTTCCGGATCTAAAATACTTGTTTAATGCGCTAAACCAATCTAGCTATCTTTTTGCCGCTACTGCGCTACATGCTAAGAAAAGCAGCTTTACCTGTGATGATGCAGATATTTCGCTGATCTCCACCCCAATGTTCCACCGCCGATACAACAGGTCCCTTACGCAGGCAGGTGTGATCGCCCGTGAATAAGACGCAGGGTTCCTTGATATCGTTGGCATCTTGCAATGAGTCGTATGCAAATAGCTCTTTTTCCTGCTGGAGTTGCCCATGCTCCAATGGTTTTTGTGCTGTGTTGACGGTATCCTGATGGCCTGCTGTCATCCTAATCAAAAGCACAAAGAATTAAAAAGGAAGGTTTGTGCGTCTCTAGTAGAACGTGGCATGTCTATATTCTGCTAGGTTGGACAAAGCTAAAAAAGCGGACTTACCATTCGCCCAGAATATTTGCATATTCCAGACTTGTGCGGGCAACAGGACTTACAACGTAGAATGACACCGGCATGTTAAGGGCCTTTAGATGTCTTGCTAGGTCCCCGATCAAATCAAATATATTGCCGATCATGGATATTGGAAAAAGTACATTCTTTTGACTCTGTAAGGTCATAGCTAGAAACAATTACAGGTATAAGTGAGCTATTTTCCATAAACCAGCGCCGTAATCTTGAGCATAGGTGCCTAAAGCATGTATATCTATTTTCTTACCAACATGCCCCAATATTCTTTTCCGAATGTGATCCGTGTCGTTTTGATCACCAGTTCGTACATCGCTTACCAGCACCACATCGGCTTTCTCCATAATAGACATGTCGAATAGAGCAGGATGTCGATTGGATACGATACTTGATGTAGACATGAGCACTACTTTCCGATCCGTTGCCTCCAAGCACCAATTTGCTGATCCCAGAGAATATCCCGAACTGTAAGGAACAAGTGTGGTAGTTTCATAAAGAGACTAACATAGGTATATATATACGTATACATGAGTTATTGTAGTAATAGGAGTTGTAGCAGGTAATAGAGAAGACCTCTTTCATTTCCCTCCAGTATATTACCAGGTGTTCATTGAATCTGACAGGTTTAATTTTTTGCATGCATAGCTTGATATCTCGAAGGGTATAAAGTGATCGCCATTGTTCATCCACGCATTGTCGGTTCATGCTCCCGACCTGAGAGAAATGGATGGCTGATCCGGGAGAAATAAACGAGCCCTGCCGGCCATGATATGCTACTAGCTCTTCCATACGTTGCCTTAGGTAATTTCATACACGCGCATAAAGATAGAAAGAATGCATAATTGACAATTAGATATAGCTCCATCAAATACACACACTCACAACGCTTTATCTCTCCCCTCTGTCGATTTTTTTTAAAAAACATAAAAAAAACTCTCATTAAATGTGATAATGCACACCTCGCAAATTCAATTGTTGGTTCTGTAGCAATGATTTTGCCCTTATAGCCCAAATATTCGGTTAAGAAGGGCAAGCCAAGCATCATCTCACTATTGGCAACGAGCACAACGTCAATCTGGTTCAAGTCGACTAGACTAAAGTTCACAGTACGAAAAACACAGCCGTCGTCACACAAATCGAGAAGCGAACCATCTTGAATGCTTTTGGTATTGTTAACGATCCGTGACAGCAGCGTGTCAAGGTGGTTGAAGCCACCACCGCTGCTCAATGATTGCTGTTGTTGCTGTGGTGGTGGTGAAGCATCGTCGATACCCGTAAGTTTGCTGAGCGATTTAACTTCTAATGGGCAATTATATAATATCGTGTTTCCTTTAAATTCAATTAGAAAAGTGGTAGGTCGTGCGCCGGAATGGTCTAGACATTCGATCCTCATTTTTTTGTTTCGTGTCGTGTAATTGGTGTGTTGCTGCGTATTAATACGAATTGAAGGAGTCAAATGACGGGGGAAACGTGCATTATATAAGTCGGTGGCTTATTTGTGGGCTGCACGAACGAATTTTGCTGATTCTGACTAATTTTTCGTCCTTCTGGCCTTTCATAACCTATCTACAAAATAAGTTTCCCGCCATGTACTTGATGTATTATCTGAATCCCAAGGGTGAGCGTGTTTACACTCTCAAGGTATGCTTCATCTCGAATTACTTGACGCTGTAACCGAATATAAGAAACGGATTTGCTCATTTCTTATTGTTGAAATTCTACTTTGACACATTGATATAGAAAACCGATCCTACTGGCGCTCCCACCTTTTCTGCACATCCCGCACGATTCTCACCTGACGATAAATTCTCTCGTCAGCGCATTACCATCAAGAAGAGATACAAGGTTCTGCTTACCCAGACTCCTGCTCGTCCTCTGTAAATCTTGTTTTTTCCTTTCAGCATAAGCATATAACGACAACCAATTTTCTCGCTCGCTCGCTCGCTCTCTTTTTCTTTATTGTTTCTCATACGACTGTAAACATCTTCTTTTTCAACATGTACACACACATATCATTTGACGCATTCACTGTAAAGCAGCTTTTATTGCAGTGTTAAAGGGGACGAAAAATATATTAATTTTTCAAATCAATTGTCGCATTGCATATCAACATGGGGAGAAGAGGGCTAGATTCATAGTAACATTGCTACTGCTGTTGAGAGAGACTATTAACTTTGCACAAAGCAAACTGTAAAATGACGGGTTAGTCAGAGGATCTATCGCATTTATATATCGATCCTCGACTACTACTACTACTACTAGTGGCGGTAATGGTAGTGGTAGTAAGGTTATCCGCGAATGATATGTATCTTTTGTACGTTACCTAGCTACTATGACAACGATCACGCTAGCAACGATCACCATAGCAATAACGAATTTAGAGAAAGCTAGAGCGACTAGTTATACGTTATGTAGAACTGACTCACGACAACCCACCAATATCTTGCTGGCTGGCAATTATATTTTGACAGCTTTTTAAGAGGAAGCTGTGTTACCTGAAGCTGCGTTTCCCGAACTTTTTTTTTTTCTTTAAAAAAGAAAAAAGGCGATCTCAAAAGCCCAACCATTGCTTACTATGGCCAATTCCAAATACGAGTATACGCGTCATTTTGAAACGGTAGACAAGGTATTACCCAACACTTGGATGGTTGTCCGCATTGACGGTCGAGGATTCCATAGGTAAAAAAAAATACGTCTCAAACTAGAGAGATCATTTTGGTAATTCTTGAAATATTCATTTATTGTTGTTCTGCTCTTAAGATTTTCTCAAGAACACGAATTCGCTAAACCCAACGATCGTCGCGCTATTGATCTCATGAATCGTTGTGCTGTTGAAGTTATGATGGATATCAAAGATATTACCATTGGATATGGTCAAAGTGATGAATATAGGTACATGGTGCATAGCTTTTTCTCTTCTTAAAGTGGAGGGTATTGGTCTGAGGCATCCATTTTGATGGTGGGTCAGAAAAAAAAAGTTATCTTGTCTCAAGCTAATCTCAACGCGGGGTGAATAACAGTTTTGTACTGCCAAAATCATGCAACTTATACTCGAGACGTGCAAGTAAAATTTCTTCGACGATCGTAAGCTTATTTGCAGCCAATTACACGATGCGATGGAACGAATACTTTCCTACTGTCAAGTTAAAATACCCGCCCTGTTTCGACTCTCGCGTTGTGTGTTACCCATCGGATCAAAACTTACGTGATTACTTAAGCTGGCGACAAGTGGATTGTAAGTTGTCTGTACCATCTAGAATAGGTCTTCTTTTACTGACCGAATCGTTCCCAATCATAGGCCACATCAACAACTTATATAACACAACTTTTTGGGCCATCGTTCATTCTGGAAAGACAGAAACAGCAGCAGAGGAGGAGTTACGGGTAAGATCTTATTGGAACGAGGACAGAGAAACAGGTATATGGGCAACAATGAAGTGTCTCACACAAAATTTATGCGTCGTCATCAGGGGACATTTTCTAAGGATAAGCATGAGATTCTGTTTTCGAAGCACAATATCAATTACAACACCATAGAAGAGATCTACAAGAAAGGATCTGTAATTATCCGTCAAAAGGTAACAAGGTTTCATAATGACATGGATAGTATATATTATTCTTTTCGCTAACAGGAGTCTTCAATTCACTTGTAGACGAAAGTGACATCTATTTCACCAAATACCGGCGAACCCGTAGAACGCATCAAACTTGTACCAACACCATTGCATGTTGACATTATTGGCCAACCTTTTTGGGGCGAACACCCACAATTACTCAAATAATATTAATGATAATAATGTATCTTCTCTAGTGTATTGATTTCAAATAATTATGACCGCTTCTTGAAATGCACCCATACACCATCTCTCGGCTTCGTGGTCAACACAATTTTCGTATTGATATTGTTGCCAGGTTTGAGAGACAATGAATACTGGTTTACAGTACATGCAATGACCGTGCGCAACTCTAAAATCGCCAAATTCTTGCCCAGGCATGAATGCTGACCCAGAGTGAACGAAAGATCTGGAAAGTTGTATTGATGATCGGCATCCACGATCGTATGACTGGAGGAGGAGGTCACCATGCGATCAAATCCGTCGTCTGTTTCAGCTCCAGCGGGTTTAAGCCAGCGGGAGGGATCAAACTTTTCTGGATTGGGGAACATGGCAGGATTCATCTGTAGACCACGCAAATTGCACCAGATTTCCGCACCGCCAGGAACAACCGTGCCATCCACAGGCGTATCATGATTGACATGAACAGGGATAAAGGCCACAGCCGGATACTTGCGCATCGTCTCGCGGTATACAGCAGTGACATAGGGCATCTGGGCTAGTTTCTCGGCAGTGATGGAGGCTGGATCCACAGGAGGTGGGCCAAGGACCTGACGGACTTGTTTAACAATCTTGTCTTGAATTTCGGGATGTCGAGCCAGCTCAGAAAAGCAAAATGCCAGTGTATGTGCAGTTGTGTCATATCCAGCAAAAGTGAGAGACAAAAAGTCGTTGATTAGGTCAAACCGTTCTGGATCATTGTAGTTGCCACTGGCCACGGCTGCTGCTGCGACGGAATGGAAGACACCGTCGCCTTTTTTGCTCTCTTTATCAGCCAATGCACGGTCTAACGAGTCGTTGATGAAATCTTTTAGCAGTGCGCGAGGCCCTTGAAAATTGCGCTGTGCCCAGTCTGTCTTGTTGAGGCCAAAGGGTAGCCATGCTTCGACCGACATGAAGCCCATACCAAGATGATGGTGCACATTCTACGTATATGTATGTATGCATAGCCGATATAAGCAAATCAAGCTCACGCATATCTCTTCCATAAAAAACCGCAATGGATGGATGAGTTCCAACTCCATATATAAATATTACCTTGAGATTTGTACGTCCACCAACCATTTCATAATTCAAGTCGCTTCGACCATAAAGATAATAATTGATGACATCCATCGTCAGATTCATAAAGACCTCGTCGAGCTCTACTGCTGTATTCTGCTCCGCATGTTTCTCAAAAAGATCCAATAGCTGTTTGGCACGGTTGGATACGTATGGCAACAAATTCGGTACCAGTTGTCGCGGTTGGAAGGGTGGCAGCAATACATGACGACGCCAGCGCCAGTCCTTTTTTAAAGCAGGTATTGTTTTTAGAATGTGCATCTTGTCTCCAAACCAGTTCATTTACATCTAGCTGTAGTGGTAGCCTTACTTCGCCAACCGTGTTGTTGATACTTGGACCACCAAAGACCAAGTTTTGGATAAGCCGAATAAAGTCACCACGTTGAACATTAGTAGGAGGACCCGTCAAATTCTTGCCCTTGCGTTTTGCCTGGCCGTCGATTAACACATCCTTGATACCTTGCAATGTATTTACTAACACGGTTGGTGTACCCATGACGGACCAGACAACGCTAACAGGGATTTGTTGCTGATCCTGGCCGACTTTGATCAGAAATTCCGAAAGCTTGTCCTCCGTATCGCTTGGAGGCGGCACCAGCCCAAAATTAGCGAGCCAAAAGTTGTTTGTTTCTGCTAGTGGTGCCTTGGCGAGTGGTGAAGTATAGCGTCGGTAAAAGTAGCGTAGAACAAGTACAATCGCAACAGCCGCTGAAAGCCCGCTCGTCGTGAGCCCAGAGCTCAAGGGCATTTTAGACAGCATAATAATAACAATAGTAAATTATGGACATCCTGTTACAACTTGCACATACACAAGCCGCTATATATACGCTCTTTTGATGAGCACTGATTACGCGTTGGCTCCATTGGGGTACGAAACGTATACGTCTTATGCAAATTGACCGTTTTCCATTGACGCGAATAGGCCAATCACAGATGTGAATTAATACCAGCCAACCATTTGGTCAATGGAGAAAAAAGGGGGGAACCAGGAGTTTGATTTTGTTGTCAAGCCGGGAAAGCACCTTTTTTGGCTTCTTGCACCCTGCTCTCCTGAGCAAAGTAGGATGGATCATTATTATCATAGCGGAAGTCCCCCTTGAAGCATTCGAAAACGAAAAATCGGTGTCAAATATTGGGTATTTTGCTGGATTGAGTTTAAGACCAAGGGCACAACATATACGTGGATGTGATGCTTGGACGAATCCTTCATCGGGAAAATAGCCAGATTTTATCATTCCAATGTAAAACTGCAAAAAAGAAAAAAATTCCTATCAAAAGGACTCTCTTCATCTTTTCTTGCTCTTTTATATACATTATCGCCAAATGGTTCGACTCGGTTCTTTCGTTGGTGCCTTGACCCTATCGTTTGTCGTTGCACAAGCAGCACCGATCCAAAACGAGGTGGCAGGTTTGATCCATGCTCAAAGCTTCTCGGAATTGAAACACGAGGCCTTTGTGCCAATGCAAAAGCTCGGACAAAACGGTATGCCGGTCAAGAACAAGAACCCTGCACCAGTCGTAGCAGCAACAGCAGAAGATGCAGCAGCAGAAGACCATCGTGTTATTTCGGCTGCAGCTATTGATATGCCTTTCCGACCCATCATGGTGGTTCCATTACCATCCTCTATGACCGAACAACAACAACAACAGCAGCAGCAGCAAAACCAGCGCTTGTCGGCGGCCTTCAACAACAATAACAACGATGCAAAGATGGATGTCAATGATGATGATACCCAACCTATGGCTGCTGTCATAAGCGGCAGTAGCAGTAGCAGCAGCAGCAACAACCATAAGCTTGTGGGATTGGACAATCAAGGCCAATTCAAGACTGTGCAGCTGCCAGCAACAATGGTCGCGTCAGCGGCAGTTCCTTTAACAACACCATCGGTTGTTATCAAGAATCGAAAAAATTTGGTCGGCATGGATGATATGGGCAAAGTTCAGACATTGGCAGTCCCTATGACGGTAATTGGCGGTGGTAATGATGCTGCGGATGCGGCTACCGCATCCGTCGCTGCTCCATCAGCAGCATCGTCGGTGATTGCATCCATGCCAAAATATCATTGAATAATTAACAATAGCACGTGATGAGATCATACTTGCTTCATAAAAGCTGTGTCATAAAGGTTAATACACTCTAAAGAATGGTTTTATTTTTATGTCTTTTGCAAACACGGCGTCCTTACTGGACACTTTCGTTCGAGACAGCTTGGGGAAGTAGTGTAAATAATCGAATATCTTTCTGCGATGGAAAAGACGAAATAAGATCATGGGGAAGAGGATACAATTTAGTACAGAAGTACAGATTCAAAGTTAGTACTCCATCCAAAATGTCTTTAAAAGGCACATCGATGGTTTCGATGCAAGGACAATGGTCGAGCATAGTTAGAAGCGCGGTAGGATTATTCCAAAGAACTCGAGTAAAGGTAGGCATATGCAGCTGTGTCGTGTAAAGTGATGGAAAGAATAGCGCCCAATCGGAACCACGAAAACATTGATTGTCGAAACATTAAAGACGCAGGTATTCCAACGTGTGCTAGTGCTTGGCCGAGAATCATGTTATTTGATTGCGATGGGCGTGATCCTCGCATCATTGCGTTATCGTCGTCGTATCTGTGAATATTTTCCGTCATTGCTTTGTTGGATGCTGTCCTTGATGATGCCATAGCTTTCTGAGTAGCTACCGCTATCCATTAAATACTCGAATCTGGGACACCATGAGAGTAATGATAAGATCCGTAATAACAAAGCTTAGCATGGTAGTCCCTTCATACTTGAAGTAAATGTGGACACTTACAGCGAGAAGATATCGTAAATGAGTAACATTGGTCCCATCCTCCGCTTGTCCATAGGAGTGTCCATGAATAAGCAGATGGTATTGTTGCATTGAATCGCCCGTCGTTGTCGTCGTCGTCCCTGTGATGGTTGTGGATAGCAGATGGAGGTAACTCATAAGCAAACACCCCTTTCCAACCGAGCTTCTTCATCTAATCGGTATATAAAAGCGAGCAAGCAAAGTTTGAGCCAGACTGATGATTCAATTGTCGTAACTGAGTAAAAATGAGTTTATCTTGATTATCTGCAGTGCACTCGATGAGCTTCATGGAAAGTAACCAATGAGCAATGTGTACATAGTACGCTAGATGAACATATCACACCTTTTTAGCCTCTCATCCCAGCAATCCTTCTTATCGAATGCTTCACACACGGTATTATTAACACGATTTTCTAGGCGCACGTGATGATTGTTGCTGTTGCCTTTACAAAAATTGCGTGCTGTAAGTCTATTTGCTTTCCAGATGACGTCTCTGGCACGACGCGGCACCTAGATGTACCATTTGCGACTCTTAACCATTCTAGTAAGCCAATCTCCCCTGTTGAGGTACGAAACGGTGCTGTTGTTATTGTCGAACGGAGGTATGTCAAGGGATCCAGTGTAACAACCTTTGCCTTGGGAGTCGAATGGTATTGGCTGGCCCTGACTTTATCATCAGTGATCATGTTGCAGCGTCAACTTTTTCTTTTGCGTGCTCTCATGGAAACAGAAAACAACTTGTGTGCTGCGATTTATTTAATGCGGAACAAGTAGGAAAGCCATACAGAAGAAGCGTCAAGCTGAACCACGCACTTTATCCTTTTTGAAGTGTCTCTTTCTGTTCTCATGCCTACTTATAAGATTCTTTCAAAAAAAGGACAGCAGTCCGCGAGTGCACGCTGGTTGGTGCAAAAGACGTTGTCAGTGCTAAGAGCATGTGCTATCAGTTTATCTAATCGGTGGTGGCCAGTGCGACTGTCGTAACCACCGATAGCGATAGGCGGCTATAAGACGAGAAAAATGAGTTGGACACGGTGAGCCTGATATATAAAGATCAACCTACACGCATAGATCAGCACTTCTCAATACACTCTTTTTCTTGCCTTTTTTTGTAAGAAATAAGCAGTGAAGAACCGGCACAAATGAAAGTTGGCGGCGATCGCGTAACGGTTTATGTGTATGTTATGTAGTGAGCACCCGTAATAACATCGTTTATTACAGACGAGTTGTGTATAGATATGAGTGTAAAGTAAGATAAAAATGTGTATGGGCTATGTTCAAGGTTGTAAATAGTAGTGAGCTGTATCTTGATTAAGCTCAGTGAGTAGAAATAAGGATCAGGAATGTTACGTCTGGTCTTAATAGAAGAGTTTATTTAGGTTCAGTTATGAGCAATAGACAAAATGTAAGATAAAACAAGCCGTGTTTAGGTCTTGAGTGATTGAAAACAACACTTGAAAAGTTAAGTAGAAAGTGAGAGGTAGAAATTCAATGTCTTTAATCAAGTAAAAATAATATCTTTCTGGTTGTTTAATAATGTCTAGGATAACTCATGCTGCGGTAACTTGCTGTTACTGTAAATACTGCGGCAGTTTGCTGTTACTGCGGATGCTGCGGTAGTTATGTATTGTATTCTGATTGCCGCTTGGTGTGTGGTTCTTTTGTACACTCTTTCCGGAAAGAGTGTATGTTTGGTTTATTTGTTATAGGTGGTTCTCGGGGTAACAATATGATAAATTCAGTTTCCGTGATACTACAGTAGAATACGCACATGGATGCTTAAGTGAGTTAAATAGCTTAGCATTTTTGTAATAACACAACATGGTGGAATCAGTGCCGTTACTAGTGGACATATTTTGTGGTGATCATTTTACACCCACAAGTCGCACATTGAAACTCAATTTACAGCTTATAATGTTTGGCGACATAGAGGGTTAAATCGACATGCACTTCGGTGCCTCTGTCACATTATAAAATTGGAACGATACAGAGAAGATTAGCATGGCCCCTGCACAAGGATGACACTAATCGCCGAGTTGGATACGCTCTACGGAGCAACTTTTTTTTCTATATCCTCACACCTTGTTGAATTGTTGATTGAATTCGTGAAAACCAAGATGTATGCACTTCTTTACCCAAGTATCTTCCGTTCGGTGATCCATTGACAAAGTAATGATTTATTTTGATTATTTCCATCGAGCTTGTAATACCTCATTTGCGTATACGCGTTTTTCTTTCCCCTTAAAATGTTTATCTGCGAAGCAACCCGTTACATGTAATAAGGCTCGACTATCTCAAGTAAATCGACGTTATCCCTCCGTATGTAGATCATACAGTGCTGTTGGTGAAGGCGAAGCCAAGCAACTAGCCGCAGCACTTGAGTTACGTGATGGCACTTCAGGTTCTTCATGCTATGTGTGTCAGAACAATAACAATGCGTGGTAGAGTTCTTAGTGCTGCAATTCAAACTGTTGGGGTTGGACATCCCATTTGCTTTTGCAATGACCTCATAATATTATCATCACTTGAAAGATTACACTTGTACACTGTGTATTTTTTTGGGAAGCACTATATTGAGACGGTATTCCATATATAGCACTGCCCCTTGTCCAAGCACTTATAAATCATACTATTTCTGGGGTATATGTCATAGAAGCCATTTATATATAGATTGGTATATTAGCGTTTGGAAAAAGATTAATATACAAAACGATGATGCAATGGAAAAAAACACAGGCAAGAAAAGAATATATGGGTAAAGCAAGAGAAACAAAGTACAAGATGCGAAAGAAAGAAAATGACTAGTTACAGGATTTCAGAATGACATAAGTGGCAAGCGTTGGGTGCATGAGTATGTAGTAGAGAGTATTATGGCGAAAAGGGAAATGAAAGCGATAGAATGATGGATGGGAAGAATGATGTGAAAATGATAATTGGAATCGTATATAGAGAGTGTTTGTGACAAGTGAAAAGAGCTCATATCAGCATGAATCGTAAAGAGAGAGGGAGAGAGAGAGAGAGTGAGGAAGAAGAAACTCATAGCATGATTCCTTGAGCACACGCCCAAGCAGTGGCCATATCGGTGAGCACCTGCGCCATATCGTCTGGGATGTCGCAGTAAACCATCCGCTGTATTACCCTTTGTTTACGATCCTCCCATTCTGTCTCAAGGTCCGGACTACCATCTGCAAACAGCAGCTCCGGGTCACTCAGCTCCATTGCTAAGCGTTCGTAGCACAGTGTCAATTCGGGGGATAATTCCTCTGTCAGTGGCGCATTCGCGAGGGATTGGAACGTAACCGCAACTTCGGGTGCAAACACAAACAAGCCTGTACGCGTCTCGTTGGGGCGGATGGGCATCTGCTTGGCACACTCAGATAGGAAGAGTGTCTGGCACCACAGTGGGAGTCGCCCGCGAATCAAAACATCACTTGCGTAGCCAAGCGCGTCGGCGAACCGTACGCCGAATGTGTAGCAGTAAGGGACGAAGGTGTTTTGCTGGATGGGTAACTGGAGCGAGTACAACAGCCTCTCGAATTCATCTGCTGACTGCGACTGTGGTGACGGCATAAACGTGGGCTGCAGTGGCTGTGACGACTGCCATTCAGTACGGATATACATGCCCTTGCCGAGGGGGATGATGGTGGACTTGTCCAGCTCAAAGTGGTTACAGTGAAACATTCGAAAGACCAAATTGTCAGATCGATGTTGGCGGTATGTGCCAATATCTGAGACGCTGGTGTTGAGATTGACTTCCCGAATCGCAATATCTCGGCCAAGACAGTCGGCACCGCGTGGCGGTAGCAAATTCATTTGCTCAAAGTAGATGGCTGGTGAAGGTACGGCAACGCTGGTGGTGCTGTACATTTGCTGACGAACGTGTAAAAGTGCCTTTTTCCAATCCTCTGAGTCCAGACCATGGCATTGATCGTCGGCAGTCATATCATCGTCGCTGGTACTGCTGTTGCTGGTACTGCTGTAGCTGCTCGAGAATGTAAAGTTGTCATTGTGGAATTGCGCTGAAGACGAGTCAGAACTCCACGACGTGCTTGACCAGGGAGTGAACGTAGCCGCAGACATTTTCGTTTTACTTGAGTTTTGTCGAAGGAATAGAGAGAAAAAAAGCAGTAAAGCAAAGTTTCAAAGGAGTTGGGGTTGAAGGAGCAGGGTCCGCTTAAATAGGTTTTGCGTTTTTTTATATTCCGCAGCGTTGTGCGTGCGTTTGATGAATAATCAATTCATGAGGGAAAACTGCCCGAACGAAAATTTCTAATAATTTCTTTCACATCTGATTAGCCTTCCTTGCTCCTCTCTTGCTTGCAAATTTCTCACATGCACATCACGCACACACGCTCGCTATCAGATCCACTCTCCCGCTCGATGTCTCTTCTAACGAACAGCATGCTGATGAGAAACTGGGCACAGATCACATAACTATACTCAAGAAAATTAGAAACGATCGGCGCTGAGACCGATATGCACAGCGGCCGAACGTCCGCACCTACCGCCGTTACACATGGTGCCAGCAAGAGGAAATTTGAGACGCGTAGACACGCTTTCCAAAAGAGGCATCGCCCCTTATTGCTGCGGTGACCCACCATGCATGATATTACGAATACTGTACTCGTTCCATTTAAAGAAGAAAAGGAAATACAGGGACACGCCATCCTGACACGATTGATCTGGCTGTCGTCGTCGTGTGTGCGATCAGATAAGGCGCAGCAGCAGCAACAATAACAAGCAATACTACTAAGCATACAGGAGAAGAAGAGCAGTTCTTCATGGAAAAACGGTTTTTCCCACACGTGGCAATTAGCCATGGCCTGCTAATAACAGGAGCTGTCTGTGTGTGAGACAGAGAGACGAGTATAAGCCAGCTTTGACTCACATCGGAAACTGCCTCCTATTCTGTTTATGCTCAGCTCTTGTATCTGTTATCTCCACTTCTTCTTCTTCCTCCTCCCCTGAATCCCTTTTGACCCACTCGTCATTCCCGTCGGAAAAGTCGCCGGAAATCCCCACAGCTGTTCCACCTTCACCGAAAAATTACCAAATGGGGTATAACACGCCGAAACAAACAACACACCCGCACTGTCGTCTTCGCCTCGATTGAATTTGACACATTCAATCATTTTTGCGTACGCATCAAAACCACCCTGAATTTTTCGACGTCCACTCAAGTTGAGCAACGTGTCGCTTGTGCCACTGCTTACCTAAGAAAGTAATCTTATTTCATTCAGATTCGATTGCACAATTTTTTTTCACCAGCTGATGCCTCAAAAAAAATATTCAAATGCATCCGCGCCAACCATTTCGCTCGCTAAAATTTTTTGCCAATTTTTGTGTAATCAAACAAAAAGGCCGTCTGCTGCTGACTGCAGAAACTTCAAATATGATGTACCTTGTGATATTGCTAAGTCTACGATTTATCGGATGATCTGCTTGCTTTGTCTATAGCTTTCAAAATTGTGTTGCTACGTCAAGCTTGTTACTAGGCAAAAACTGTCTCCAAGCAACGAACGATTAAAGAAGCGTGTATCTTCTTTTTTATCATTTAAATATAATATATCAAAGTACACACGATAAAGCATTAGACCTTTCTGGTTTTCTAAAGCTTCAATAACCATCAACCAATCGAAAAGAAGTAGATTCTCACAAGTTGACTCCGGCACTTTGAATGAGCTGATTGCTACGACATAGAACCCTAGCATCGATTTAATGAGCTGCCATACTATCTTCCTTTCATGGATAATGGCAGAATCCGTCAACTGTCAGCTATTGAGCTCGTCAAGGCGTCGAAATTTCGGAAGGTTTATTCTTCGGCAGTCAAGGATAGGATTTTGGCGAGCTCACTATTATTTATGCTAATCAGTACACGGCGCATGTGCACAAGGATCCGACGTACATGACAAGCTTTTTTTCGGCCAATCTGTTTGCCAACGTCCTCCCACAAGTATCAGGGTTATTTCATTGTGGATGATTGCTGTGCGCCTGTCACAGAAACAGTTTCAAAAGTCAGCACAATCGAAGCCACTAGTGGTGTATTAATGTCGCTTATTAGAGCTCTAAAATATGCTTTCGCCATGACCGAATTTGACAACAACTATATTGGCGAGCATATTCGTGCCGAATCAGCATATCCCGGTTTTGAGCATTACGATCAGGCTATAACAATTTGCGATGCCATCATAAAGAACAGTGGCGATAACGCTAGCGACGTATCCACTACCAGCATCATCGTCACCAAAGCCACTTTCACCAGGCCTCTCAACTTTACGATCATTGCCACAAAACGGGTAGATAATCAGTTGTGTGATGAAAAACGAAAAGTCACTTTACTCGAGCACTTACCACTTGAGCTATGTATATTACGTCATCTTTCTTTGCCGGGATTCGCGCCTGTGTCTATGTCAAACCTATTCTACGTACAATTTTGATGAACGGCATCTGGAACAAACGATCCAAAACATTTTTTCGGCCCATACTTTAAAAACATTGACGCCCGAAGAGTGACAGCCATTAGAAAGATGATTGCGTGGTGAGAATAAGAAAGTACTGGTCGTTCGGTGATCCGCCTGGACTACAAACGTTCTCTACCCGTGTAAAGATTCTATCAGTACTATTAAGTCTTTACGAATTTGACTGACTTTGACTTCGATTGCATTTTCGTTTCAGACACTCCAGCAGCAATTAGGAGCAGTAACTATCATACGCTAATCACTTAAGAAATTATATCAATTGTGCGTCATCATACCATCTGTCTTCTTGTATCAGATAATTGATTGGCAAATTGATACAGTCAAAAGAATTGAACAACACTCATCATAAACTTAAGTGATCGTCGACCTTTTCTTCTTTTCTTCTTTACATCGCACCAGCTCACTACCCCACCATGAATCCAACGTACGCCGTGTCTCCACTTACTGCAATGACGGAGCAAAAACAGCAAGAGCAACAGCAGCAGTCAAGTCAATTACCGTTCGATCCACAAATAGTACCACAACAGCATGAAAACAGAAATAGGAGGATCGACTTTATCAAAGTGTCACTTTTTTCTGTCGAATTGCTACTCGAGATATTCAAGCGCCTTGATTTTTGGGATTTCGTGCGGTGCACCAGAGTTGGGACCTCATGGCGTATGGTTTTAATGCATCAAATTTGGCCAAGCTTCGCTCCCACGTTTTATTTGTGTGAATATCCATTGTGCATATTATCAACTCCACAACAAAGACAATCAGTGAAATCGATTCTGTGTGGGGACGCACGCTCTTTGCCTCTCGAATTTCGCGATCCGCGATACCGGCGAAGTGGCATGATGCAGTCATCTGCAATTCACGTCAATAATAGCTCTGGTGTATATTCTATCGGTAATTAATACATACACAGTTTGTATTTCTGTGAGAATACCGGATAAATATGTAAAAAAAGTCCTTGTTTGATCTTTAGAGGGCACTGGAAGAGAAAACACAACTCTGTAGCTTTAGGACTAACTCTTGTCCATATTTCAGACTACAGCTACCCCTTCTCGAGGAAAATCATTGTTCTCATACAAGCAAATGCCAAGATACTCATGTACAGACATTAACAATCAACATGAACACTGGTCTCTCTTCTCTCCGTGAAATTGGAGCTATTGAGGTTACAAATCAATCTTTGATCAATGTTACTATCAATCATCGGCATGAAGAGCAAACAAGGGCCCAACGTCAGCGAGTCAAACTAGCCAAGTTTTTCTTAAAAAGATGTCTACAGTTGCAATCATTCGTTATCAAGCTTTCTGAAATAAACACGACCGGTAGCAGCAACGTTGTTCCATTCCCCAAACGAGGTGAACTCAGAAGAAAATACGCCCCCCCTTCCCTACGAAAATTTATATGCTAGTTTAGCGAGCAATCCGAGTTTGTACCTTCAATTTACTGAAAGTTTTACTACATATTCATCCACTCACAATAAAAGACTATTGCGTTTATACAGTACAGCATTGTGTGGTTAATACAGTTGTTAAAGCATAAAATAAGTAGCCACATTTTCCAGCGATTAATATGATACTGAGTTGTGACAATAAAAGAAAAAGAAAAGAAACAACGCAGATCGTCGTACTACATTGTGGTTTTATATATAGTATTGTTTTGTCCGTGTTTAGATTCGCCACCACGTTTGATGTTCTTTTTGAGAAATTGATTATATTTAATCGTCCCAGGCTTCTTTATCACCAAAGTAAAAACGTCGGATATATCTTTCCTGCTACCGACATAGGATGATAGGATCGAACGAGATTTTGATGCATGACGAAAAAATGTCGTCACATTTTCGATAAGCTGATAAGCTTCCTAACAAGATGGCTCGTATCTGTTCTACGTGTAATAACTACATGACACTCACACCTTGTTTACGCATTTTTGCTTGTCATATGGCATCAAAATATATCTGCTGGCTGTCTTATTAGCTATCTCATAGTATTTGTCAATGTTACGCCTTATAGTTTGAGAGCTTAAAGTATAGATTTGAGCTTTTCCTTACTATGTGTAAAATGATAGCCGCTACTGTACTAGTAGCACTAGTTATTTGCAGAAGTGGCTATTGATAACAATTAATAGCAAATTTGCATCTTTTTCGTATTGTAATTCAGAAGTTCTAATATCTAATCTATGTCGGGTGGACAAAACATATTGATCTCGATATTTTTGATGGAATTGGGTTTTTTGACGAAAAAATCTCATCTGTATGTTTATATAATAAGTACGAAAATAGGTTCTAGAGATTGTAACTATATAGCTTTTCCCGATGTTTGGTAGGATTATAACACAAGACGCAGTACTATAACCTGCATGGTGCATCATCATCTTGATCAACCTGTAATTATGTCACCAGCTGTGATGGACAAATTTTAGGTGCTCGAGTGATAGGAGGGGCATTAATTTTTCTCACACTGCTTGTTTCTTTCATTACCTCCGATATTCACGCACACATGAAATCAACCTTCTCTTGCCAATCGAATATTCCCTTGACAACAACAGTATTTCTTTTTGTAACGATAGAGACTACACCCTGTGTGTGATTGGTCAGTAGCTTAAACAGTCCCTTACCTACCCCCTTGTTTCTTTAAATTACCCTTAAACATTTACCCTCGAAAGGGGGAAGGGGAGGGGAGTAATTATTTATTGTAGTAGCAAGCTTACATCGCACAGACTTTTTTCCCAAGTTGATAAGAAGTGACCAAATAGATAAGATAAGCGTGATGTGAAATTATATTAATTGGTTGATACGATCATCAATTCGTGCACGGCACATAATCCCTTATGCACACCCCACCAGAAAAAATTGTTACTCATTCTCTCTAAGGCAGGGGGTTCATTTTTTTACAACGAATAGTGGTAATAGTAGATGGATGGTCCCAACGGACCCATACGATTTTGTAAAATACCAATACTGAAAGAAAAGACGGTTTCAAAGGAGATGATGGTCACATACATTAATGTGCGCCCAAATATAGGTCTCTTGGCGCAACAACAATTGATAATCTCGCTGTTTAATCAATGATGATTGGATACCTCAATCTTTTAGTGTTCCCACATCAACATTACTTACATGCATGAACATATAGCAGTAATAATGATAACAACGCAACAAGTAGCAGTGTGTTGGATTGGGGGCGAGAGGAGAACGAGTGGGGAGCATGGAATTCAGCGCTATAAATTAGACAGGGATTTTTCTCGGATTTATCTCTTCCTTGTCACTGAGAACTTTCACGAATATTCTCTTCCACGTAAAAACGCAAAAAGGAAAAAGAAGAAGAGCAGAATACAATATGTGTGGTATCTTTGCTATATACAGCTATGATGGTGATGTCGAGAACTACCGTCAACGGGCACTCTTTCTCTCTAAAAGGTAATATTCATTACTTCCATTATTTGTGTCCTTTACTTTCAAATTCTGTCTGTGTCAACTCGTTGGTCCTTTTTAGAATACGCCACCGAGGCCCAGACTGGTCTGGCTGCTATACCATCAAAAATCATATCCTAGCGCATGAACGTCTTGCCATTGTTGGTATTGGTAAGGCTCTCATTTTTCTTTCCTTTCCATCGTATCATAGCAAGTCCTTCATGCGTGCGCTTTTTTTCTTTGTAAAAGATTCTGGAGCACAGCCGATTGTTAGCGACGACGAATCGTTGGTGCTTTGTGTGAACGGTAAAAAAAACATGAGCTTTATGCAAAAAGAAAAAAGGAAAGGAAGACGCCAGACAGCTTATATTGTTGTTGGTGTTGTCTACAGGTGAAATCTATAACCACAAGCAGTTGCGGGCTCAACTTGAACAAAAGAACCATGTCTTCAAGACCCACTCCGACTGTGAGGTCATTATGCACATGGTAAAAGAAGGCTCTTTTCTTTGTTATGGAAAACTGTATGTAATAATAGTGATACATGTTAACCTAGCCACCACTAGTACAAAGAGTTGGGCACAGAACTCGTGCATCATTTGGACGGCATCTTTTCCTTTGTGTTGCTTGATGTCAAGAGAAACCGAATTATCGCGGCTCGCGATCCTATCGGTGTCACGTATGTATTATTAGTTATAAAGGAGTTATATAAGTCAGTAAGTCAATGTATAAGTGTAATGCAAGATAACATTGGGTTTTATCGCATATAGAACACTTTACTATGGATGGCGTTCGGATATGCCGGGTACTGTTTACTTTGCATCCGAGCTCAAGTCATTGAACGAAGACTGCGATAAGATATTAGCATTCCCCCCTGGTCATGTCTATGATTCGGACACTGGAAAAACCACACGCTGGTTCCATCCTTCCTGGTAAAATTACTGGAGAGAATTATTCTAATAGTGGCTGCAAACGAGAAAAAAGGGGGCTGTCTGTAAAGAAATTAACAGGGAAAGTAAAATATCACAGGTGGGATGGTGACAAGACCGCCGAGAAGCCAGTGGATTTGAAGGTATTGCGACACACGTTGGAAGCATCTGTCCGCAAGCGACTTATGGCTGAAGTTCCCTACGGCGTACTTTTATCAGGTGGTTTGGATTCCAGCCTAATTGCTTCGATTGCTGTGCGCGAAACACAAAAGATTGCATCGGGGGCCATCAAAGATCACGAGCCGCGGTTCGATGAAAGTAAGTTGTTTACAAAGCAATACTCCAAATAAGGCAAAGAGGGAATTCTAGCCATAGTGAGGAATTTCGACGTTGTTGTTGCTGTTATTACTCATGCAAGATTAAAATTGTACAATAACCCCAGATGGGCCAAATATGTGGCCTGGTATGCACTCATTTTCAATTGGTCTGGAAGGGTCACCTGACCTACTTGCTGCACGCAAAGTTGCGGACCACTTGAACACCATCCACCACGAATACACTTTTACGATACAAGAAGCGTTGGATGCCGTGGGCGACGTGGTCTACCACTTGGAAACATACGACGTAACAACCATCCGTGCGTCGACGCCCATGTATCTGCTTTCTCGCAAGATTAAGGCCATGGGCGTCAAGATGGTCTTGTCAGGCGAAGGCGCCGACGAAGTGTTTGGTGGCTATTTGTACTTCCACAATGCTCCCGATGACAAATCGTTCCACGCAGAAACCGTCACCCGTGTCAAGAATCTCCACTATGCCGACTGCTTGCGCGCCAACAAATCAACGATGGCATGGGGCCTTGAAGCACGTGTGCCTTTCCTTGACCTGAACTTTTTGGATTTGAGCATGCACATCCGTCCCGAGGACAAACGGCCTGGTCAAGATCGGATGGAAAAGTACATTGTTCGCAAAGCCTTTGATACATCGGATGAGCCGGGTGTCAAGCCTTATCTTCCCGATAGCATTCTTTGGCGCCAAAAGGAACAGTTTTCGGATGGCGTCGGGTATGGCTGGATCGACGCTCTCAAAGACGTCAGCGAGGTCAAGGTCTCTGATCAAGCGTTTGCCAAGGCTGCAGAACGATGGCCAAAGGACACGCCATCAACCAAAGAGGCGTATATGTATCGAGTCTTGTTTGACCAATGGTTCCCTCAAGAAGCGTGCACTGCCAGTGTGGTGAGATGGGTCCCTCGCAAAGACTGGGGCTGCAGTGAGGATCCCTCTGGCAGAGCGCAAAAGGCGCACCAGGCTGCATACTGAGAAGATGGATGATACACAGAACACATAGCGGACTAATAACAAATAAAAAGTTTGTGTTGTTTGTTTTTGCTTTAAGTCATTATTATTATGATTGTTGTTATTATTGTTATTATCGAAAAAACAAGAAATAAGAGAAGAGTATGAACAAAAATGATGAGGAAGCTTATACAGAAATAGAGAAGAGTTACATGAGTGTAGTAGCGAGAGCAAGCAAGCAAGGAGGGGGGGAATAACGTGATGCTGGAGAAGATGATGATGATATGAGAATGATAAATGATTATGATAAGGCTTAAAGACAAAAATTTACATTAATGAGAAAAAGGTATATTATGAGTGTGGTGAGTGGGGTGTAGTCCGAAAGATAGAGGAAAAGAATGTGTTGTGCTTATATGTTTGTTGTTATCGTCACTGATGATAAGGTGACGCTGGGGTGGGTAATGCGATGGGTGGTAAATGAGGACGCTCTTGATGGACATGAAGTACTGGTGCTGCTGCTGTTGGTGGTGGTGGTGATTTAGAGGCTGTGCAAGAAGCCAATGATAAAAGAGATCGAGCGATTTCGTGGTCCTGATGATCAGAAGGTGGACAGATAGGGCAATGGTTCTTTGTGGGCTCGGCAAGTGCTGCGTCGATTTTTGATAAAGTGGAGACGGTTTCAGAGAGCAGGGCAGAGAGTCTGGTCACTCTATTTTGCAATTCCTGACGTTGAGTACGCAGGTCATCTGTGGTCTTGTTGCATAGATGGTGGAACCGCAACCGTGGTAAGGTTGTGTGCACTTTGTACTCATTGGCAGAATGCTGCTGGTGATGATTATGGTGATGGTGGTGGTCGGGGGCGTGAATAGGCGGTAACACAACGCTTCCTACTCCTGGCGGCGAAGCAGGCGGTGTGCACGATGAAGAGTTTGTCGATGTTGCAGGCGGAGATTGTGGCTGCCATGGCGGTGGAGGAGACGCCGTAGATGCCCGCGAGGATGTTGCTAATGATTCCACATCTTCACCCACCATAGGTATCGTGGTATGAGGAGGCGAGGGTGCCTGCTGCACTGGGGATTGCTGCGGTTGCTGTTGGTGCTTCTCTTGTTGCTGTTGATGCTGCGTTTTGGACCGCTTACGGAAAGCAGATTTGTTCTGCTGCTTTTCAGTCGAAGATGCACAGCGCTTTCGTCGCTTGATCACCGTGCGCATCATTGTTGCTGGACGATGGACATGATGGAGCTTGTAATACAAGCCACATGCATTACATATCGTCTTACCACTCGCATCACGACGCCAGAGCGGGGTGGTTGTTGTTTGGCAATTAGCGCACACCGCATCCTGCTGAGGCTGCGACGATTGTTGTTGAGAGGATGGCTTCTTGTCGTCCTCACTGGTATAAACGCGCATCAGACGTTGTTGTTGCGGTTGTGGAGGTGGTGGAGGTACCTTTTGTTCTTGTGATTGTGGCGGCTGTTCTTGTTCCTGCTTCTGCTCCACCTTATCAGTACTTGTAGTAATAGCAGTGGGAGTAGCATCAGCATCAGCATCAGCTGCAGAGCACGAGTTGCAGGGCTGATCCTCGTAGCAATCCGCACAGTTATCATGCTGGACGGGCGAACGCTTGCGTAGCTTTGGCACAGCTTGTGTTGAAAGAGCCATGACGAGCGATAAGAACGATAGTCAAGAAAGAAAGTATGTGTGTTAGTGTGTGGAGGAAAGAGAGATGCAGAGAGTAAGAAAGAAAGAAAGATAAGGAAGAAGAAATGGGAAGAGAGGGCCGGCAAAAAGATTCGATTTTTTGATCTTTTTTATCTCGGCCAATGAAGTTGCATCATCAGATCGAATTTCCCACACTCTGCACGGAGCCCCAGCCAGTAAGGGGGCAGTGGGGGGAGTGAAGTAAAAGCAAATATAGTGTGCTGTGTGCTATTGCGCGAAAGCGAATCTAATGTGTGAGTGTCTATCATCCGACATGATAACAGCCATTTTTCCCTCCCCCCTTCACGTTTCGTCTTACTCTCTCTCTCCCCAACACGCATACATACACACCCTTTCGCTCGCAAGATAATTAATCGCACTCCCTTGTTGCGCGTAAACATCCCCCACACCCGTATTCCCTAATTCTGAACCATAAAAAAGATCATTTATATCGCTGTCCAATGGCGATCCACCTTGCAATTTATCAGATACGGATCTTGAAATCTATCACACCATCCCTTTCTTTCGCTCGCTCCTCCTTTTTTTGTGTGTGGTTGAACATGTTTGATGGAAAGATTTTATACTAGCCCCAGTTTAGCGCATGTCTGTTAAAGAGAAGAGATGCTGTCTGTAAACCTAGATGTTGTATAACTACTATACAGCCGTGTACGTGTGTGGGGTACCGACATCAAAACAAACAAAAGGCAGGATGCGATAACAGCGAAAATTGATAATAGCCAACCAGTCCAGCAGGCCAGCTCGGTTGCCCGGGTTAAAACCAAAATTGGAACGGAACCATGAACTTTGTTTTTCAGATCGCAAAGTCCGGCAGGTTACACACGCACCTTTGTAACGTCATTCTTTCCATGACTTTCGAGACTGGGGGGAGGAAGAGAGGAAGTTTGTAGGATATACGAAAAACGGAAAAAAAGGTTACCCAGTTCAAAGATTCACAGATCCCTGTTTATAACATGGCAGACTCAATCTCTGTTGCATTCAATGCCTTCCTTCCTTGTTCTCTCTCCCTTGCAATACATTTTGACAACAACATATTTTCTCTCTCCTGAAGAGAAAAAACTCTTGCTTCGTCTAGTTCAATCGCCACAATAAGCTTTTCGTTATCTCTAGATTGTCATCGTTACCATGACAACCCTTATCGCCAACTCGGTCTCCTTGGAAACCAGGAACCGGTTGCCATGGTGCTAACCCTGACAGCTGCAAGTACTATCACGATAATACAAATAATTATTTGCACACGGCAGATAGTCATGCAGATGAAAAAAATTCGTGGTAAAGAGATAAGTGTTATCACCTTTTTAAAGAGTTGAGCCCGGCATTCCGCGGGTATCAAAGGGAACTTGTTGACAATGTCGACTCAACCTAAACCCCCAATCTATCCTTAAATGACTAACTGATCCTGGGCCCAACTCTTGTATATTTTTAATCAATCAGTGCATTACTTATTATTCTCTGATAAATGTTATGTTTGCGCACGAATTATGTGTGTGAATGGTGGAAAACTATTACTAGTGACCGGCGGTTTATAACACTCGAAACACTCGCATGAACTCAAACTGCAGCATCCTTTTATTGTTTTGAAGTGCGTATGATATCCAAGTAATGCGATAAAGTTTCCACAAGAACTGATAAAGTGACCAAGAGCTCTTAAGGAGAGACTATATTTCAAACTATGTAGCCCTTCACTAGTACTCGCATACATGTATACAATCTCACTCTCCTAGTCCTAGTAGCGTATTCGCTTCTCTAATCTGAGCAGCGAAACTCTTGTTTGCTTCCTCATGTTCCAACCCCTTTGACCATCGTTGTACCTTTTAACTCCCCTTTATTATTTTAAACTAATTTTAACAAACAGCGAAAAAAGCGGGAAATGTGGTCTGGCATTGAATGGGAGGAGTTGGGAGGTGGGGTGGGTTCGCAACAGTAAACAACTACACTATACTAAATACTTACACTACATCAGGGAGTTTCAATGTTGGTCTAAATATACCCGCAACTAGTGAAACGCTTCTTGTTATAGGTTATTTATGATTGATTTGTTGTAAGCCATGTATTTGCTTCTGTTTGTCATTATATAGCATTTTTATCAGACAACATGATGTAATAATAGTAGCTCCCTCCTTCTTATCATTTATTATGTCACCATGAGCAACTTGTCTTGCGCAAGAGCAAAATGAAATTATGTGCCGTTTAGAAAAATGATAATCCTGTCTGGGATTGTAATCTGATACTATTATGAGTTACATAGGAAACACGTTGTGCGGGTTCCTGCTCAGAGATTTCCTCGGAACCGTATTTATGGTGACACCTTCCTTTATGGCAGCTCTGGATTTGACCTTATGGCATTTTTTATCAATGCATCAAGCATGACGGCATAACATTTACTTCATTACAAGGCAGTAAGTTGTTATCCAGATGGGGCTAAAATACAAACGCGGCGATGGTTGATGACATTTCTGACCTTCTTCTGTGATACCGCTGCATAGATTATGATGTCCCTTAGAGAAAATTAAATCGAGATAGGGGAAATACATACCAGATTTTGTGTTATCTAAAGCACATGTATATCAGGTACGAAGATCTGCATTGTCGCTCCGTCCAGCAACAAGGGAAAACGAAGCAGGTATAATATGGATAGCATGTACGGAAGACCCGGAGACCGAGCGAGAGTATAATCAAGTAAAAGAAAAAAGTGGTTTTGGAATCTTGATAATCACCCATCACAGTCAGCTGTTGCTCTTCTTTCCGGTAATAGGTTATTGCGTTTCAAACCTCTGTAAACCCCAGTGCTGTACAAAAATATCACCTGTCAACTTATTTTTTTACAACAAGCCTTTTACAACAAGCCTTTTCCAACAAATGCGCTTCCTGTAGCCAACTGCTTAAGGAAATCTGAACCTTTTATGGTAATCCTCAGAGGTTTAAAAAATCTCTTGTGCGCCAGGACATGCATCGTCTCCAGCTTCTGTAGTACCTCCCCCGTGACTTTCCCGCAAAGTTTGCATGATCGGATAACAACATGCTATTAACATGGAAGCACCGATATTCCTGGCATTTCGGCGAATCAAGCGATTACCGCATGTTTTCACTCTTATAAGCTCAAGAAGTTGAGACAACTCTATCCTTGCTTGGTACGACGAAAAGGGTAGGTGTTTTTCAAAAGTGAGTGTGGTTGCTGCGGTGTCGAAAGATCAGCATTGAGGTTATTCATTGAAAGGATAGGTAAATTTCACGATTGAATTAAAGGACTCATGAAAGCTTCGATATTTTTCTGAATATGCATGCAGCTGGCAGTAGGTAAATTTCAAACAGATGGATGATACCAGTGAGATCATATATAATTTCATATCACCGCCTCGGCCCACCGACAAAAACAGCTCAAGTAAAAGGGAGAGAATGGTTTGATCAGAAAACGCGCAACAAAGGATGTATCAATAGGAGCAAGGATGGCAAGAAAACAATGAATCTTTGTTTGGTAAATATAGATGATAATAGTTCATAGAAAAAGCCAGATAACACTTTGGTGTGTTCTTAGCCGGCATGCCACATGGAAAAAGTAGCATCCGTTTCCAGGATGCGCCAACGAGGAAGGCGACACCTTAGCATCTCATCCGTGCCCTCGTTCCACCTAGACTCGCTGCAGCGGGGCGTGCACTGCAACTCGAACGGATTACCACCCATCCACATCAAATACCTATGCCTACATACGAGTAACTTGATGACACACGAGAGTAGTAAGGAAGCTGAGACAGCGACCAAAGAAAGTGGGACGAGCAGAAGGAAGGAAGAGTGGAAGAGCTCAAATGAAATCAAACGCGTTGATTGCCGTCAAATCTGCCTGCCAAATCTGCCGCCAGCTGCCATACAAAGTGCAAATGACACTGGTTAGCCTTTTAAATGCTATGCAACTGAGCAGTGAATAAGCGGTTTACAAAAAGTAGAAAGGATAAAAAAACTGAGATTATCAACTCGCAATGCGGGTTAGCACACTCCATTCCTGCACCCTTTGAACATCTCGCTTTTTCTTGTTGAGAAGTCCAATGTCCTGTCGTGGTGATAGTGCTGTTCAATTGTTCTGTTTTCGAAGCGAAGACGTTGCTACGAACGTGAATGGCTACCGTTTGATTTAAATATTGTGGGGCTTCTTATAACGCAACTGGACTCTTGTCTCGTTGGTCAAATGTGCACGACCTCTGTGAACGATGCGGGAATGCAGGACGTAGACATCCTGTTCTGGCCTCACAATGCCTGCTTTTTAATTTGCCGGTTAAACCGGCTCTTAATACCACATTTTTTCAGTCATTATATTGTTGAAGCTTTACTCGCTGCCCATACCTCGATAGCCAGTGCGTTTGCATCTATGACTCGTCGCACAGCAAGAGAGATCACAAAACTCAAACCACTTTTACTGAGATCATCATTCATTTAGTTTAGGCATATAGAAAAACAATTTGGCTATGAATTTTATATTCTTACGCGTATACGATGATGCGACTTTTACAATTGCTTGTCGCTCCAATGGCTACAGACTAACTTTTTGTCCTAACGGTAGCTTATAGTTTTATAGACGACAAATATGTATTCTATCAAAATCAGCATCAGGACTCGCACTACAGCTGCTGCTCCGAGGCATTAAACTTGCCCGTGCAGCGGTGCTCATCCGTGCTATAAGGCGAGCATACGTTTTTGCAAGCCTTGCCTCCCAGTTCCCCATCATTAGCAACCACGTTGCTGCCATCGACAAAAATTATGCTCGTTAACAACTTCAAATCCAGGCGGACATAAAGGCAAGGCAGGGCAACCCGGTCGAATACAATGATGCTCTTTATGTTGGAATAGGATTGACAGGCTCGATAGCAAGGGGTATATTTATCCGTCGACAAAGGAAATGTCGTAATAATCGAGATTCTCATTGTCGTCGTGAAATAAAAATTCGGCAAGTGATGCCGGTGCACCCAAACCTGCATAATTGCATTTGCGGCCTTGACAGCTCGTTCGAGCGCAGACGCGACTTTTCCAGTGTGGTGACAGCGTAGATGTATGTGTCCTCTGCAGCTTGACCGCAATGGATGTGCCTGTCAGTTGTCCGCTTTCAGATCTGCCGATCGTGAGAACGCTAGGGCAATTGTTGTGAACGGTGATCGTGCAGTATTATTTTTTGCGATAATTGCAGCGATAATAACAAGAGGAAACAGCACGGTGATGTGTGTACTATGATGCATGATCATAGAAAAAGAAAAGTAAGAGATAGATTGACGAAATAGCATAAAGAAAGGAGTCTATAAAGAGCAAAAGAAGTTATCGGCGTGAATTTTCTCTTAAAAGTGTTTTTGCCAGCTTAGTCAATCAAGTCTGGAGTGTGGGTAGTGCTGGCTTTAATAAGGTTTTTTGTGCATATACACGAACGAAAACGCCCCTTCCTTATACACGAAGTGCAGCTCACTTTCTCAATGACGACTGCTGTATTACTATTACCACTTCCATCACTCGAGCCAATCGATGCTTCGCGCCAATCCCTTGTCAAGCAAGCTGTCCAGGAATCACTGCGGCAAAAAGTCGGAAAACTCCTCATCCTGGTACGATTTCCAGACACGTCGTCGTTCACCATAGACGGACAATGGCATCAGTTACAGGCGCTCCTGTGCTCGTTATATGTAACGCAGCTCAATGTCACATATGCAGCCAATGCTCCTTTATTCGATTGTACGATTGTCTTCGACGGTTGGTGCAACTACTCAGTAGGACTCGAGTGTGCAGTGACGCTGGCGTTCACAACTGAACAAGGTACCTTTTTTTCTATCATGTCCCCCTTGACGTATCAATGATCTTATATATCAAATCCATTAAATATATTTTGTATTTTAACAAAGACGTATCCGAAGTCAATGCATGGAATCAACAAAGAAACATTGCTATTGCTGTTCATAAGCTTATTCTCGACAATCCAGTAAATCCGAAACAACAAGCAACAAATAATAGCAGCAATGACAATAATCAGATATTCGATCACACCGTAGTTGGTGGCACTTTCGATCACATCCATGCCGGCCACAAAATCTTGCTCACCATGACGGCACTTTTGGCAAAGAAGAGCATTACTGTTGGCGTCACTGGTAATGCATATAATATATGAAGCAAGAGCCGATGCACGTATCGTTGAGATATATGACTGATAATACGATTGTATCGGTAGATGACTCCATGCTCGTATCCAAAAAGCACCGCGAACTTATTGCATCGACTGAATCTCGTATTGAGAATGTAAAGCGGTTCCTGCATGTTATCCGTCGCGGTATTGAATACGTTGTCGTGCCAATTTCAGACCCATACGGGCCGACGATCACCGATCCAAAACTCCAGGCAATAGTAGTCTCCAAAGAAACAGAAAAGGGTGGTGACGCTGTTAATGTGGAACGTGCAAAGCGAGACTACTCTCAATTAGCATTAAAGATTATTGATGTTATTTCCTCAGACAATGCTTCGGTCAATGGACAGGATATGGGTGCATTAAAAATTAGCTCGACGTGGATACGAGAATATATTGCACAACAGCAACAACAACAGTAGATTAAACATATAAAACAACAGTAAAATAATCAATAAAATATGTTAATAATATGTTAATAATATGTATGTATGTACGTACTTATGAAGTTTGATTTTGCCACGGGTAGGGAACAATAAGAAGAAGAATGCAGAATGTACAAAGAGGGCGAGGAAGGCAAAAATATGGAGGGGGTGATGGAGGTGAAATGGCATGAAGGCCCTATTTTCGAATCTTTAGCCACGCTCTACATCATAATCCCAGCCAGGAAAATCTTCTCTGCCGCGTTCAAACAGATCCAAAAGTCGCTGGTTCATATGTCGAAAAACTTTTTGCATTCGGTACCGCGTTCCTAGATCCAAGATAGGGATATCCGAAGGCGATTTAACAAAGTTCGGCAAGTCATCGTAGTCAAATGAATCCTCAACGCCATCCTTGCTTGCTTCACCGAATCCATCCTCCAAAGCGAGCGCGCTGATTTTTTCATGTTGTTGTTGTTGTTGTTGTGATGGCAAATGATGATGGCGAAGTCCGTTATTATTTGCTTGATAATATGGAGGAGGTGGCGGCACAGTATCTTTGCCAAACAGCATTGATTCCGTCAAGCCATAATGCTTGTAAAAATTGCGTTCAGAGAAATAGGTTGGATCGATGCCAAGGAAACGGGCTAATAGTTGGAACGACGCGGATGGGTTGGTCAGAAAGTCTTCGGTGCGTTTGACAAAGATTTGGGATGCCGGGAATTCATCGAGAAACGGCAGCAAGGCAGTATAGTACATGCCTCGTGCAAGCGAGTCGAGACCTGCTTTTTCATCAGCACTGCTTGTTGTGATATCGCATTCCTCGGTGCAATTGGTTGCATCGCTGTTAAAGGACGAATCGCGTGCAACTAGAGTGATTGGGGCGTATAACGTATGTGTGTGTGTATAAATCTATAATTAGCCAGAAACGACCAAATTCTGGCATTTCTAACGATTTAGATTAATAAGAGAAACATACCACGGATTTCATTGCTTTCATGGCACCGAACGAATCCTTCCCATCCAGTCGTTGTATGCCCGCATTGTCGTAATATATCAAGCTCGGTCTCCATCAGTGTTTCGAATGAGGCCGTTTCGAAATCTAAGTATATGTTAGGAATCGAATAGAATATTGAATTCTTTGACTTCTCTGATTTTTCCTTACCAGCACCGGTGAAATACTGGGAATAGGCTCGATCGATTGGGTCACGTAAAATGAACACAAGCTACACATGATTTTAGTTTCGAGATCATCAATAGCCCTATACATTTTATCACTAATCACCACGAAATAAAAAAAAGTTTCAATTTCAATTTTGACTATCAAACTTACTTTGACATGTGGCAACAGTTCGCGTAACCGCCGTGCAGCAATATGGCTTCGATACAGGTATTGGGGAGCATGTTCGCCGGCCACAACGATCTCATCCAACGGAATCTCTTCTTGTAAGGTGGGGAATTGCGAAAGATATGCCTCGAACAATGCCTCGTCGTCAGAATCAAACAAGGTGCCTGAGTTTTGATGGTCTACTGTGCCAATCACTTGCGGATGTGTCTGTAAGGTACTAAAGATGTATGTTGTGCCTGAAAGCTCACTTCCAGCAAATATAAACGATGGAACGAGTTTGGCGCATGATCGATTGTTAGTAGGACATTGTCGAGGGTAATAAACTATATCTCGAGAAATAAAATTAGTCGACCGTTCTTTTTATCTAAATATAAAAAAAGCTTTGAAAGAAGAAAAAAGGTCTTTACGTTTGGGATGATTCGGTGATGCTAATGTTTTGCGGTTCAAATATCCTCGCCATTTGGACGCTACTCGACGATTGGTGATGGAAGCAAACACTGAGTCGTAATCTCGAATGGCAATGGGTGAGTGGGTTGGTGAAGTGAGAATGATAATGGCTGCAATACAAATGGCGATCAAAAGAACGAATCCGGCTCGCCAATGAATGTAGACTCGGCTACGCAAAAGAAGGGAGAAGAATATCCAGCTGTTGCTATTGCCGCTGTTGTTACTGTTATAGAAGGTACGTTTTGATTTATGGTCGACCATGTTGTTCATGGTAGAAGCATGATGGTGTATGCTGTGTTGATGGTTATGATTACTGTTGTTACTGCTGCACCGGTGATATGGCTCCATGCATCGTTCAAATGAGCGAGACCGAGGCCCTGCGACTCCGCTTTTGCGTCGATCTCTTTTCTGAGGTTTCACAAACTCAAGCATGCCTTATAATAACGCACGGTACCACCCTACATATTACCCTATCCATTTGAGTCCGTATCTACGTGTTTGATATACATTTACTTATTAACGAGTCTTATGGCTATTTATTAGACACTGTATGCAACATAGAAAAGTATGTGACAAACTCCATAAACACACTCGACAAACCTACATTAACGTATGTTACCCTAATTACTGCTTTTAAAGCATAAGCTTTCCGCTGAGACTCCTACGCACATCAATCCATTATACTACATTCAAAGTGATCATTTTTCGGGAGAGTAAGCATACAGACGTGTATATTTATTGCCTTTTTTTTCTGTGCAACTTTTATTTGTGATAACTCTATGTTAGAAACGATCTTGGTTGGGGTAATGTATATATTTTACAAATTGGAAACAAAAATTCTAATCATCTTTCTTTTTCTTATCGTCATCCTCGTGCGCGAACTTATCTTTAAACTTGTCAAACGCGCTCTTGAAGAAGCCTTCCTTATGTTCGTCACTAGATCCATCATCACTTGGTGGAGGAGATGGAGGCGGTGTGTTGGGCGTGTTGTTGTTGTTATTACTATCGACAGGAGGAGCTGGAGGGTCTTCCTTGCGGTATTCAGGATCAACCAAACTAGCATACTTTTCAATAATCTCTCGCTGAACTCCACGTAGCGATCTACACATATGTCATATAACACGGTTAAATCCTTTTTCATATCCTGTCCCAGATGATTCTTTTCATCTACAAAGAAAAAGACATACCGTGGCAATTCCACCTTAAGTGTGACAATCTGATCACCTCTCGAGGAGCCGCGCAAACGCTGGATACCTCTACCGCGCAACGCGACGTTATCGCCTGGCTGTGATCCAGAGGGGATCTTCAATTCAACATCGCCATCAACCGTAGGAATTCGGACGCGTCCACCCAGCATGGCTTTATAAAATGGAATCTTGGCATCGACAAAAATATCATAGTTTTGTCGTCGGAACACAGATGATGGTATGATCTATAGGGTTAACCATTTTTTGTTGAGAAGAGGTGTATGTACGGTGCTATTAGTAACTACAGATATGAAAAATACATTTATTGTTAACTATTGCGGTAACTTACATTCAGGCTGACAAAAAGATCACCGCTAGGCCCTTGACCCTTGATGGGTGCATCGCCTTCGCCTTGTACGCGAATTCGCGAGTTTTGATCCACACCTGGCGGTACATTAACTTGCACCGTTTTACGTTCTCGTACTTTACCTACGCTGTCGCATGTTCGGCAGCCGGCACCTGGAGGGATACTTGAGCCAGTACCACCACAGGATGTACAAGTTGTTTGCATATGGAAACCGCCCATGCTCACAGCCTGAACGCCAGAACCACGGCAAACGCCGCACGTTTCCTTCTGCTTGCCTGTTTGCATACCGCTGCCATGACATGTTGTGCACTTGGTAACTCGATCGACAGTAACGTACTTGGTAATACCCTTGACAGCTTCCATGAATGTGATTGTCAAAGGAGTCTGGTTTCCCCCACAAACACGGTCATTTAAATATATGGTTAGTATGCATGCTTATATCCAGCAGCAATCACTTTAAATTGATCCAGAAATAAATATGAATCTAATTTCCCTATTAGAGTACCTGAATATCTTCGCCTGGTACATTACGGAAAGGATCACCTCCCATACCGCCAGTCGCGCCGTTAAATCCTCCGCCAAAACCTCCACCGAAAAACTGACTGAAGATGTCATTTGGATCGAATCCGCCGGGGAATCCTTGTCCTCCTCCAAATCCACCAGGTCCTGCACCTGCACCTGCAGCGCCTTCAAACCCGAATCCGAATTGATCATATTGCTTGCGTTTCTGTTCGTCCGACAAGATCTCATAAGCTTCTTGGATCTGCACAAACTTTTCGCGAGCATCTTTTTCCTTGTTGGTATCCGGATGATACTTTTTTGCAAGCTAAAAAAATTCAATGGTATATTATGTAAGTAAACAGCTTACATATAGAATGTGTATAAGGACAACGCCAATAATACGAACCGCATAATACGACTTTTTAATTTCACCTTGCGATGCCGTTTTGCTTATGCCCAAAACTTCATACGGATCGCGCTTGGCTGCAGCTTGTGGAGCTTTTTTACATATATATTCAACAGTCAATATATTTTGTTTTTCGTACAAACACAGTGATCGTCAAACTCTTACCTGAAGCATGGAAACAACGCTATTATTTTTTATGTATTACTCATAAGCAAAGGTATTATAATAACCCGAAACTCCTTTTGTGTATATAAAAGATATATAGATCTCTTACCTTCTGACGCTCAACGCTAGGAATGGTACCGCATACCTCTTTGGTACCTACACAATGTAACCAGATCGAGTTCTTTTTAATACTTTGCAATGCACACAAATAGTAGAATCGCGGAGGTCGATCGAACATGTATGTGTAATATGTAATTTACCTCGAACTGTATAGAAAAACCGACGCGTTGCGGGTCGTTTAACATGAGCAGCCATGTTCGACTTTAAGCTGCCATGAACGGCTTCAATCGTAGCGGCATGAATGCCTGCTGTTCTCCAAGCTGCCCGTGACAGCACCATAGTGTATGTAATACAAGTTTATGTTGTTGCTGCCTAAAGGCTGTCTTTTCGCTTTGCTTTGTTGCTTCCCTTCTCCGAAATGGATGCTTCTGGCAATCCCGTTTTAAAAAACGTGACTTCGTTAGCCAGATTTGGTAACATGAGTCAAATGAAGCCGATGTGTTCCGTTGGCTAACCGACAGATACTCTGTACACTGTGTGCGTGTGTTTATGATTTATGTAAATCGCATATAATACGCTCACAATATTATATCCTAATGTAAAAGGAATATGGCGGATGAAGCTGCCGCCTCCGGTTAAGCAAGGGGCTGTTATAGTGGCTAGTTCATGCGAAGCTGATTATACTGTGCGGGGAAATTATTGATGTGTATATGATATTAAGCATCTTGAAATAAGTCGTTGCTGTTGTAAAGCCATCTAAAAAGCAATTACCTACCGTTACCATTGAACAGAACTGCTAACATTGGATGTAAGTAAACAACATACTCGTGAGCTACCATGGGCATATCACTTGTTGTCACTCGTCGGATATTGAGTATGTATCATCCGCTTGTAGAGCTTGATAAACATAACATTATAAGAACCAGAAGAACCATATAGTATATGATACTTTTACTAATTTATCAGCTCTCGATAATTAGTAAGCGAGATGTGTGGTTTTTGAAAATTTGCCAGCAGCCGGAGAGTTCAGGACCAACAAAATGAGTTTACTGTGAATATAGCCGCATCGCTAATATAGTAAATCACGATCCCCTGTTTACATGAGTATTAGCATGAAGCTCTCATAAGTAAGAAAGGCTTACACTGTATGATGGAAGTTATGCGTATGAATGCCGTTCCGATACATCGTCGATTGCACTTTTCTTACACATACTTTACCTGAAGCTTTAGAAGAGCTGCTTTTGTAGAGAGGTCATATAAAAGCAGAGAACTTGTCGATCTTGTTCTCAAGTCCAACAGTAATGTAGCTGTTATCGAGAGGACAAATGCTATTGTGTACATCCTCCCATTTGAGACCTCTTCGATTTGTTTGATACACGACTGTCTACGTTAGTGAAATTTGCTGGAAAGTGCACATTTGCTATTCTCTCAAACTGGGTAATTCAACCCTGATTCAAGCTGTAGCTCTTTCCGACAATGCACTAACCTCTCTTACAAATAAAGTGGTGGTATGTTACAGGATGTGCGCACTAGTATAGGTATAAAGAAAGCTTGTTTTGCTTTTCTGTTTCCCTCTGAACATTCATTCGTCCGCCACATCTGTGAGCGCTTCGCAGGGTATGCTCCCTAATCCAACAAGAAGTGGTTTGCAAAATGCAGTATGATTGTTGCTCATTATACTGATCGATACGTTTTTTTACCTCTAGTTAGAAAAATCATACCAACAGATGAAAATAAAGATATCTCTTTCCTCTTTTCCAGCCAGGTGTATATAATAAAATGTAAAGCTGAAATTAATACCTGGAATCTTACCAATATACAGTTACTAGAGAGCCTAATGAAGGATCGACCAATCCAGCTACTAATAGCTACGTTAGCTTGATCAGTCTTTCTACGAATAAAAAAAAACAACCTGTTCACAATCAAGCAGTTTATAAGGTTTTAAAAGAAAACTGTGGAGTAAGAAAAAAAAAATGTGGGGTCACGCACAGACTCATTTGGGATAGATAACAAATGGGCCCCGAGCTGATTTCCTCCGCTCACCTGACAACCGCTGTGTGTATTTGTTATTACACATCTCAACGTGCTTTTTCTTCCTCCATTATTTGATCGGAAACCTTCGAGACCCATACTATTTGTGAAACAAGACATGAAAGTATAATAGCGCAACAATTACATTACCTGCGTTTTCTTCGATGCCTTGTCGTGTTGTTGTTGGCAGCACTGCTAATAATGACAACTGTCATCGTTAGGGCAATATGGATATCGATTAGTTAACGTTGACAGGTAGCATGTAGCACTCTATGACCTTAGAAAGCTGACGCTTGTCAAAAAGGGATCACGCGATTACCCTAAAGGTGGTGTTTCTGTGAGCCTAGTATGCTATGCACCGGTGGTGTATATTCAGCGCCCTCGGGAACATCACCAGCGTATTATCGCTCGGCGGGATGGAAAATCATCTTTGCGTTTTGTCAGCATGATTCGCCTCCGGAACTTTGATCTCCTCCTGTGGAACTACCTCTCCCCGTATCACATGCGAATGTGTCACGGCTAAAGCGTCACGCTCACCAATTCTCATTTACACTTCTTTTTTCGCTGTCTTTTCATACCACCTCTTTTCCTTTTACTCTCCCTTTTTACTTGACACAAAGCACTCTCTTCATTTACAAACAATGTCTGACAACGTTGCTCATGCTCTCTCTGGTAACTAAATGAAGCCTCGTAAACTTTTTATTGCTTCGAACAAAAGCTGCGGTATTCCCTATTGTCAGTGTTTGATTTGCTCATGAACAAAGTGATTAATGTCGACTAGGTGCCGGTGGTGGCATTGTCTCCATGGCATTGACCTACCCCTTGGTCTCGATTAGCAGCCGTCTCCAAGTGCAAAAGAATGACGATAGCAAGGATGCCTACAAGGTATTTTGAAGATTGACGCTCGACCGTTGTCTGTTCCTGCAAGATACACATATCGACTGACTAATACGCTATCTTACTCCTTTCTCAGAACACTGCCGATGCCTTTGTCAAGATTCTTGCCAAGGAAGGTCCTCGCGGCCTTTACTCGTAAGTTTTTCTCCTCCTCCTTCTGGATCCTCTCCCTCTTTACGCCTTTGAGCTGACAACCTAACTTTAAAACTTTCTAAACCTGTAGTGGTTTGAGCTCGGGTGTCTTTGGCATTGCTGTCACCAACGGTAAATCTTTAGATAATAATTGCGGGGAAACTGTTGATTACACAGACACTCATTAGACTATTCTCGCTATCTTCATTTTTTATATATATCAGGCGTCTACTACTACTGCTATGAAGCCGTCAAGGCCATCTTTGAAAAGGCCAAGGGTCAAGGCAAGCCCATGTCCACTGGTGAATCCATGCTTTCTGGTGCTATTGCTGGATCAGCTGTCGTCCTTGCTACTCATCCCATTTGGACTGTCAACGTAAGTTTAAAATTATTTGTCAACGCGGCGCGTGGGGATGGGGGAAGAGGCAAGGATATGGTTTTGGTCGTGGCGGCTCTGGCGTGCTGGATGGCTGTTTGAAATTAAGGAGACCAAAAAGAGAACTTATTTCAAACCTTGTTTTTTATTGTGCGTGTCAATAGACCCGTCTTACTGTCCGCAAGGGTGTTGATGGTGACAGCAAGGCCAAGAAGCCCAATGCTATCGCTGTTGCTATGAGCATTTTGAAGAACGAAGGTCTTGCCGGCCTCTACTCTGGTGTCATGGCCGCTTTGGTCCTTGTCATCAACCCCATCATCCAATACACTGTCTTTGAGCAGGTCAAGAACAAGGTCTCCAAGATGAAGCAGTTGAGCAACCTTGATTTCTTCTTGTTGGGTGCTTTCAGCAAGCTCTGCGCTACCGGCATCACCTATCCCTACATGTGAGTTTCCAAAAGCAAGCCAGAAAAAAAATAGCGTGTGCTTGGCCCAATATGGCAAATGGTTTACGTTTTCTTTACGTGTGTAGTGTTGTCAAGTCTCGTATGCAGGTCAGCCAAAACAATGATGAACGTTACACTTCGATCTGGGATGGCTTCTCCAAGATTATCGCCTCTGAAGGTGTCGGTGGTTTGTACAAGGGTATCAGCTCCAAGATCGTCCAGAGTGTCTTGACTGCCGCCTTCCTTTTCATGGCCAAGGAGATGCTCTTTGACTGGGCTGTCTGGGCTCTTGTCCTCGCTGGTGCCCGCAAGGCCAAGGTTGCCGCTGGCAAGGCATAGATCAATTACCAGAGAACTTTATCAACCATCATTCTTTTCTCTCGTTTCTCTTTTACGCCCACCCACCCTCCCAACCTATCAACACCCTCTGTTCACCTATATCACCTGTTCTTTTCTCCACTTCTCTTATATTAGCAAAGCTCTTAAAAACGATACAAAATTGTATGTATATATAAATATGATCTCTAGAATATAAAAAAATGGCTTAGATCATTTCTGATGCTAGATAGTAAGATAAAAAATATTAGTAATGATGTCTTTTGCTTCCTAGTGTACCTTATTCCTATTGCACCCGTTTTTATGTGATACACTTGTGTCAGTTGCGTATCACCGTCAAGATTGATTACATGTCACGTGCAGATATGTGAAAAGAGTAACGTGACCAACCGCACCTTTCTACCTTGTTAAAATCACATGCCATCACTGGATCAACAATCATACAAAATGAACAATAGTGAGTAGATGATAGAAAACGGCACGCAGTAACAGTTTCACTGGAGCCCTCGATAAACCAATTAGACAAAAAAGCCCAAGACAAAGCACAAAATCTAAATGTTCCTCGAAAAAAAACGTGTATCATCTTTACAGAACAAGAAGTATATATCCATGCTGAAGGAATGGGAATATTAATAACTAAGCAAAGTCTTATAGTATATATGACGCATAAGTCAAGAAAAAATCAAAATTAACAAAAAGTAGATGATACGAACATAACACTATGAACACGTTAACATAGATCAGCGGTGTCACGCAGCACGGGTCATACTAAAGGTTATTAACTTACTTTATACTTTCTACATAAAATGTAAAGCTCAGTAAACAAGACACAAATCAATCACAGCACGAGTTACTCACATATAATCTATAATAATTGGAAACTCTTGCAACTTTATACACTGTGCTATGATTTTTGAGAGATGTTTTAGAACATATAAGTCTTTCTTAGAGACTCGAATCCGTCGAGTCTCGAGCGATTACTCATTACATGACAGTTGTTATGTTGACTTGGTCTTTCTTGATTAACCTTGTAGCGTTGAAACTGTGACGAGCCACGGCGGCGGTTTATATACATCATCAAAAAGTCGCCTTCAAAGTGCTACATATACTTTTCTAATACCTGTGGTGTTATACCTCGTATCTTAACGCCTATATTGAGGTTATAGCCCTGTAACTATTAATTAAAGTTACTACATTGCTCATGGTATAGTAGATACTATTAATGACTGTTCGTCATATATGTTGCAGCATTGAGACATTACTATCCATCAACCTGTCTGACCCTGATTGCCTAAATTTGGCAGCGTTATAGTAACTCCGCACTTTGCAGCTTCGTCAGTCAGTTCGAGAAGCGCTGACGCGTTTACTTGTTATATTCTGCACCTGATTAAAACCACAAAAACTAACAAAAATGAAGAACGGAGAAGTCAATTTGGGTGTAAGTACCTCTTCATAAGAGAGTAGAAGAAAAGAGGCAAACACAATAAAAAAGCTTAAAACTGATTCAGTCAAAATGCTGACATGAAACTTTACAGACGTCCATTATGGCCGTTGCCTTTGCTGATGGCGTCGTTATTGGTGCTGATTCGCGTACAACCACTGGTGCTTACATTGCCAATCGAGTAACGGATAAATTGACCAAAGTCCACGATCGAATTTACTGCTGCCGATCTGGATCTGCCGCCGATACCCAAGCAGTAGCCGACATTGTGCACTATTACTTGCAATTATACAGGTAACACGCATACGCATACCATTACAAATTTGAGTTTGGGGGTTTCTCGAGGGGTCCAGGAGCATAAATATTAAAATCAGAATAATATATGCTGTACTAGCGTTCAAGAAAACCAAATGCCTTCTGTGCGTACGGCTTCGGCCTTGTTCCAGGAGCTTTGTTATCAGAACAAGGATATGTTGACAGCGGGCATTATTGTCGCTGGCTGGGATGAAAAGAACGGCCCTGCAGTATACAACGTGCCTTTGGGTGGTTCTTTGCATAAGCAGCCTTTCGCCATTGGAGGTAATGAATCTCTAGATTTTGTACGAACTGTTGGGGGAATGCCAGAAACATCAAGGATACTTACTATGTATATGTAGGCTCCGGATCGACATACATTTACGGTTACTGCGATTCAAAGTTCAAAGAAAACATGGCTCAGGATGAATGTGTCGAATTCGTAAAGAACTGTAAGCTTCATCTGGCTCTTAAATTGATGGAGGGTAGCGGGAGGTTGCATGCACTACTAACAATTGGCTCGGGTTATAGCATTATCGTTGGCAATGTCGCGAGATGGTTCATCAGGCGGTGTGATTCGTTTGGCTGTGATTACAAAGGATGGTGTGGAACGAATGTTTGTTCCCGGCAATGAATTACCAGGTAAGATATTAGACAGGAAGGAACAATTTTGTTTCGTTCGATTACTGATGGCTATATCAAACATATAACATTTCATCTAGTCCATTGGGAAGGATAAAAGAGATGCATATCTGACATGACCACCATTATTATAACTCTCTGTGTTTCTCTCTCTCTCTTTTCTTTCGACTTTCCAATGAACATACTGTGTTTCTTGATATAACCTTTGCAAATTTTTATTTTGTGGTGTTACGACGAAAAATATCGATTTATGAAAAGTTACCTCTACGGAAAACAATAGCAAAATGATCCTAACAGCGTGGTAAAGTCGAGTGCAGCAACAACCTACCGCTATCGACGAATATTTATACTGGGATAATGTGACACTAGTGAAGGTGATGTTCAGAAAAAGGTTCATGTACTATGACTTAATATGTAGTTTATTGCCCGCGCGTAATACTACTTCACTTATGGGGCTACTTTCTGTATAAATTTGCTCAGCATTTCCAAGATGGCCCTATTACTGTATCCGTCCTCACGTTCTATTTATGACCATTATACATCCGTAACCCCAATACATGACTATCGAATTTAGCATTATACTCACCTTGTACTGTAGCGCGTGTTCTCTGTCCAATCCATGCATGTAAAACAGAATCTATGAGTGTAATATGTCGATATCCTTGTTAATGTGTTGGGCAATGGTCATGCTCAAATCTAGTACGTCCGTCGGTGATAGCTGTTTCGACAACAGCATCCTGTCAGCTGTCAGATACCCGCCCTACTAAACAAGCCCGCCCGATCCACCGCTGCCGTCGTACCTCTTTAATTTTTTTTCTGCATTGATTCAGCAACAGGCGGTCCAAAGCCACTTCTTTAATCTTCACAACAACAATATCCATTATGGGTTATAGATATACCAGTTTATTAATGGGTGCGAGTAGCGCCAACAAACCAACAAATTCAAAACCTGCTGCACCCAGGAAGAAAAAGGTACTATCGTGTGACCTTTTATCATTTTGTGATACCTCCCTCCATACAGAACACAACACACCAAACACGCTAACACCTTCAAAACCTTATTCATAACAGGAACCTACCACAAAACCTAAGAACGATATGAGGAATAAAAAGACTTTAATCCCTACTCCTAGTGGCACTGCCGTTATGTCCAATGCTACCTCTAAACCTCCTGCTAAACGAGGGCGACCGAAAAAGACAGAGCAATCGCCAAAAGCGCCAACGCTAGTATCGCCCATTATCAACACAAACAACGCGACCATTTTAAGGAAGCCGACGGACGAGACAGCAACAATAGCAACTGCAAAAAAACGCAAGTCAGCAACAGATTCAGTGGATACAGACAAAAAGCGAAAAGTTGATTTAAATGGCACAGCTGATGACTCGACTGGGATCGTCAAAAAGACATTCAAGCGAAGAAACGAAAAGACTACAACTACGACAAGTGTAGGTTTACAACAACAAGAAAAAAAGAGAACACGCATTCATTTTTTTTTAAAAAAAAGAAGCAGGAACGATTTAACAAAAGTCTATTGTTATTACGCACATAGACCCAATCTTCTTCTTCTACTACTTCTACTCCCAACAGCACCCGCAATACCAAAATCTTTAAAAGACGGAAACCAGCAGAACCATTACCTTTACTGCGTAAGTGCTTATAAACCATATAGCTATATGGGGTTTTGGGGCGGAATAAATGGCTAGCTCGAAATACTCTGACGCATATACATGTATATCGATTGTTAGATCGACCCTATAAACTCGACCGTATACTGAAAGGCCACGCAGCAGACGATGACGATAGTACTCAAATGAACTTATGGGCATGCGAATTCGAACCCAATACTACTACCGGCACAGTTGCATTATGCGGCTCCAATAACATCCTATTTCTGGATACGCATTTGGGTCGATACACAAAAAAATACACACACATTGAACCGAACGAGGAGTTTTTGTGTTTAGCATGGACAGCGCTCGTTGGACCTAAAGACCTTCTGGATGAAGATGCAGCTGAAGATGCTCAATGCAATATTTTGGCTGCTGCAGGTATGCAATCTAAACAAACAAAGGAGAAGAGAGAGAGAGAGAGAGAGAGAGCAGGATGGCATCTATACAGTCAGTGGAGAGAAATTCACGTTACATGTTCCAACACATTTTTGTCATTGTGCGTGTGTTCGCAAAGGCCAATTGGGTTCTATCAAGTTATTCAATACATTGCAAAACGAATGTTTTCGATATCTGTTTGGACATACGAAACAAGTGCGCAAACTTCAATTCTCGAAGTCAAAACCACGATGGCTTTTCAGTAAGTTTTTCTATAATGATCCATTACTGCTCATAGACATGAATCACAGTATACTAAAGAGCTACTGTGTGCTGTCTTTATCTTACATGTTTCTGTTTGTTCTAGGTTGTTCTGATGATATGACTGTACGATTATGGGATATCGGACCACCCAACGTAAAGCATCAAGAAAATTCATCCATGTAAGTAAATGTGCAGCAGTATGTCTTATTCTCTCAAACAGAATGCTCAATTCATATTGGCGATTGTGGGGGTACTCTTTTCCATTTCCTGACTTAGGTGTTTGGCAAAGTTCTCACTACCTACTCAAGCTTCGGAGCCGTCCGCTCTTTGCATCGCGCCTGATCTGACCAAGATTATGGTGGGTTGTGTACAAGGTGACTTGGTTCGATTCGAGATGAAACCCACCGACATTCAAAAGCTAGAACGTGAACCGAGCGACAGTGATCAGCCCAAGAATTTTAGACACAAAGCATTGTTTCCTGCTGGAGACGAATGGCATGAAGGATATATTGATGATATATTCATTCTTGGTCAACAACGGCAGAGTAATACCAGTGTTAAACCACATGGATTAGATGGATGGATAGGTAAATAATATTAAATCAGCGGGCCTGTGAGTGTAGCATTCATATATATAAGCGTAAAGATGGAAAGGAGTGCTGACTTTATGACATCTTGTCAGTTTCTCGTGGATCTGATGATTACGAAACCTTGATATGGAATCCAAAAACTAGTACAAAAACCGATGCAGATATTTCCATTTCACTTGGATGGCCTGATTCGAACGATCATGCCGGTCTGCGGTTCAAAGTAGTTGAGAAGCAAGGTAAAGAAAGATAAAGAAATGTTATGAAGCGTGTGTGTGACCTGTGGTGAGGTTGACTCAGTAAGTGAAATGTATGAGGAAAAGAAGCGAAAAGAACTGACGCATGCATATATTGGGTAATTAGGTGATAAGGTGCTTTTGGCAGGTGATTATGAAGGTCAGATCCGTATCTTCAATATTGGTGATGGTCGGAAGAGCCGTACTTTAGAGGATGGAACCAAGGAAATGTTTAAGCCCACCAAGGTAATTATGCTAAACGTTATTGACTGACTAGAGCACGACATGTATCATACATATATGGCTGTGAATTACTAAAATTGTGAGTATCTAGGTGCTGTCTCATGCCATGTCATCTGATGTGGTTCGTGATCTGTGTATATCGGATGATACCAAAAAAATCATTGCTGTAGATTCAGCAAACAATGTATTCATTTGGAATTGTAGCGGTTAAATAATAAAAAAAGGAGTTTAGTTATGTACAAATGAAAGGTTGTGTGTGTGTGTGTGTGTTTTGTTGTATGGAATTTGTTTTCCTTCTAATGGATTACATAAGTATGTGGTGTGTGTGGTTGATAGTAGGTGGTTCCGGGTTGGAAAGATGGGGAAAAAGAGAAAGTAGATGTGGTGTGTGATTTGCTGCTTTCAACTTTACGTGACAATGAAGAAAGCAAGAGATAAAGAGAGAAAAGAAGGGCAGTGAAAGGTTCTTTTACAGGTATCATGAGTGTGTGAGCGTATTAGATCGAGATAGAGGGGTTACACTGACATTAGGTTGTTTGCCTTTTAACATATTTTTCATTGTTCGAGCCGCAAATACAGTCAAGCCAAGACCAGCCCAATCTTCATCATGGAGATCGCGTAGATCGCCGACCGTCATAACATCCTGATTGTGCAGTTTGTTTATCCACTCTTGAGCTTTTTCGGCATTTCGGTGCGTCGCTGAGGCCAGATCTCGTACAAATGTTACAACATCAGTGTCGTCCGAATACTCTACTGTTGTCGTTGTTACTGTATCAGTTTACAAATTTTGTGACAGTAAAAACAAAGAAAAAGGATAAGCATTCTATCTTACCAGTTGGAGGTATAGATGAGGAATCTGGAGTTCCGTTTGCTTTCAAATCTTGCATTAAACGAGCAATCTCTTGATACCGCTCGTCCGCTACACGTAATCGATTCTCATATTCTTCACATTCGGCTTCCTTTTCATGCACTATCTCCTCCTCATGCTGTAACTCATGTTTTACTTCTTCTAACTCTTCGCTGTAGTTTTCGCTTTCGCGACGCCATATAGACGGGTGTACATTGTCTGCCTCCTTGTCCAAGTCGCGTAATAGACGCGCCATTTCCTTAGTGATATGCTGTTGATATTGTCTAGGCAGAATATTTTCTTCAATCTATAAAACGGATGGTAGATATAGTTAGTATATTTACAAACGTAAGCGAACCTCTCATTTGTTACTTGTTTTCAGCCCTCTCCCTCCAATTTTGTTTTTGTTTTTTACCATTTCATGAACTACTTCAGCTGCAGTATCCGTATCCTATTATTACAGCACAAAACGTACTTGAGTCAACCTATTTTCAATCATCTTTTTTTCCGTGAATAGATCTAGAGAGAGAGAGAAAAGAGACATACCACATTAAAGTCAAACTTAACGGATCGCTTATCGACACCTTTGAATACGACTTGCAGAGTTAAATGCACGTTATTATCATCCGTTGCAAGTAGCACGACCTCAGGCTCGACAGCAAAGAAGGTATGTTCCAAAATCTCCTGTGCCGACATGCGATCATCCTCTGGACCCAAGCAATTATCAATTACGGTAAGGACTTCCTCATTTTGGACCTTGGCCAAAGAGGCAGGTTTTGTACCAGCCATGACCTTTTTGTAGATCTGGGCCGGATTCGTGCATTCGCCATAAGGATATTCACCGGTTGCCATCTCCAACAGACACATGCCAAATGCATAAATGTCGACTTTTTCACTGTACCCCATCTCCTCGTACATTTCAGGCGCCATAAACTCGGGTGTGCCAATAACCGTATATTTCTTGCCCATTTTCATCTCTGCTGTGCCCATATCACCGATCTTGACCTCGCCATAAGCACCGTTGATGAAAATGTTATCGCACTTGATATCACGGTGAATGATGGGCGGGTTGTGTCCATGCAGATAAACCAATCCCTTGAGAATCTGACGTGACCAACGTTTGACAATTTTGATATTTGGTAAGCTCAGTTTTCGAATGTATTCGCGTAGGGTGCCGGATGTCATTAGTTCGGTGATAAACACAAATTCGTTGTCGGTATGCCATGCTTCGTGAAACGCAATAATGTTAGGGTGACGAACGGATTTGAGGATTTGGATCTCGTGTTCAAGTTCTTTGACATTATTGAGCGACTACATATGGTTTATTATTTTGTGAAGGTTAGCAACTTTAAGACAACGTCATGCAATGGATATTGATAAAAATCACTCACCTGCATGGCATTCCATGCCACTTCATAGCCTTCTTGACGATCAATGGCCTTGTAGACGACTTTATAAGCGCCTTTGCCAAGCAGGGTATTGAGGCGCAAATAGCGACCGGGTTCGGGCGATGCTTCAACGACCTTTTCGGTATCATGCGATTTCGACTGGTCAATAATCTCGTTGTTAGTGCCATACAGACCACCGATGGATCGTTTTGTTGGATAATTAATATACAATGAATTCAAAGAGTCGGTGAGTTCGGGTGACGGGTAGGATTCCGACGATGACGCTGATGCTGCTCGTGCACGATGTTGCTGTAATTGTTGCTGTTGTTGTTCGGTCAAGCTGTTGCCACTGTCTTGCGATAAAGAAGCATAGTAGTTTCGAAACCGGTCACGATCGTAGCCATCCTCTTTGACCGTCGGGACAAAGCTGACATGATGCTGCTGTTGATGAAAATCGGACATGGTTCTCCTTGGTATTATGATTATTACTGCTGCTTACTGCAAATGATGACAGAAAGCAAAAAAAGAAATAGAGAGGTGCTGGTATGTAAGTATGAAGGGGAGTGTACGGGATAAAAGTATACCGGATCTTTTTTGTTTTCTTTTAATAGCAATAATGGTAATAATATCAAGTAGCCTTTAAAAAGACGGGGGGTAAGGGAATTAATGAGGGAAAAAAAAGAAGTCAAAAGAGGAGAAGGGTGGTATTGAAGGGAGGTGGGCTTATGTTCAAAAAGAACCTTTTTTTATCTTTAGCCCGTATCGAAGCTGGAGTGCGAGTGTGTTGTTGGCGCGTGAGAGAGCAAAGAGAAAGAGGAGCGAGAGGGTAGAAATCTGGTTTCCCAGCACACGGGTGACCCCTTCCAAAAACTCACTCCCCGCTAAATACATGGCCGGCGCCCGCTCAAACCAACCGGTCTATCAAACACTTGTTGGACATTTTTGTATCTATTGCTGTGTGCATAGACTTTTGATAAGCCTCAGAAACATAAGATTCTGGTTAACTGATATTACAATGTTAGCCAGCCACTCGCTGGAAGCTTATCAATCCTATAGAATATACCAGCAAAAACCAGCGTCGAAAACGAATGCCGTGTTTCCATTTTGTGCTACCTTGACTGGAAGAACATGATAACAAACAAATGCACTATGATCAAACAAACGTAGACAAACAAGCATGTACTAGAGCAACAATGCTGTACATTGATTAATGTTTCCGGCACTGCTTATTGATAAAGCAAAATGTTTATAAATACCACTTGGCATAGTACAGCACTACTATACCGTAATCACGAACCAGAAGCACCACCAGTGGTATATGCTACTACTACTCATTATACGCACATCTCTTCTCGGTCGGAAGAATATCCTCTCTCTTTTCGGTTGTTCAGCATGCACATGCTTCAATGCATGCAACGGATCCTAGACAGAAAGCACAAAAGAAACGCAGCGAACAAAATTTGCCGTGGTTATGTCTGCTATTGACTACCTGATCCACAAAATTATAGACAGGAGCATTAGCGTGTTCGGGTCTATGGACTCTCTAAACGTCTAAAGAGAATAACAGGAAGACGATGTCTGGTGTGAGAAGATGTGTCATCTGGTTCATAGTTTTACCAATTTTAGGCAGGGGTGGCTCCCATGCGCACAGTGGAAACACATTTGACATTTTTCGTCCAACGCCAGGCGCGGGGGTGATTCATGAAGTCAGTCAGTGAGCAATTGATTTATTGAGAAAACTGTGCCTGATTTCTTTTTCTACCAAAAGAGAAAAGGAATCCAGTTTCAAAAAGGGCAATTCGTTTAATTGTCAAATGGATAGAGTAGAAAACATTAGAAAGAATAGCCACTGAGCGTGTGATCTGTAACACTGCACTGCTGTTTGTGTCCCGGTTTCTCGGATATATTTTATGTAGCTTATTATGCTATCAATTGATTACACACATTTGATCAGCAGTGGTAGCTTTGGGTAACATTAACCAAGCAAGCATCGACATTTAGACCCGTTTTCCAATCATTCCGGATGTTTCTCGATTAAGATTGGTTACTGGGTCACTGACGCTTTACTAAATACAGCCGAAAGATACCAATTACCGTTGGCTGCCGTAAGTTGCCGTTTGTAGCCTTTGGACTCCAAAAACGACCTTCTAAGACCCTGTAAGCTCTCAAATGGCCCAAACGGTAATCTGAGACTTTGGATGATGTATACGATCAGCACTGTTGTTTTCACACATTTGTTTTAACAACACAACGCGTCTTTCACAATGGTACCCATTTACATATTAGTGAAATTCAACGGCGGTTATAGTCGAAAAGATAAACACGTGGGGGGCGAAAGTCGCTATGAGTATATGCAGAATCAAAAATCAAAAGTCGAGGTAGGCAAGCATGGTTGTATCTGTCATACATAGCTTCATTTAAATCTTTATTTCAATGTCAATCATACAGCAGCGCAGACGGTTTCTGTTGCTGATTTCCAATTTTCGAAAGCTACGCATTCAATTGATTTAGTGGTCTTGCTGAAAGCAAACGACCTGTACAGATTCAATATTGCAGCAATGAAAAGCCCTACACAAGATTGCCAACTTACAGTACACACGTGCAAGGTTCCCGTTTGCTCTAAAAGCTTTTAACATATATTGCATTGACTATGGTGTTATTTGATGCCATTTTGTTCTTGCGGAAGATGCTGGTGCATTCTCATTCAGCGCGATCAATATCAATCTTTATGCACTGTAGCATCCCAGCAATAAAAACAGCTGTACATTTTGTGCGTTCGACAAGTTATACTCTCTGATTATAATATGGATAGATATACCTACGTATGAGGTAACACATTCGTGGAGAGGTAGTGTGAGGGGTTCTCCTTATAATATACTCGTTATTTTATCTTGTAGAGCAATTATTGTATGTTGATCTTGTAACATGATCAGTGATAATGGTGTATTTATTGAAAGTAAACCGTCGATTTGATATATACACAGCTCTGGTTTCGCTACCCGGCGTCCATGTAAAGAAGACACGTGTAGGATTGCTCTAATCGATGAACGGGTGTCTAATCATCCCAACGTGTGTCCATATACTCGTGTAATCTACTCCGATATAGCCACATCATTAACATAAGGCCCAATTGGCTGTATCACACACGCAGACGCAGGACGTAATTAAGATTCTTCAGTGTATTACAATGCGTATCCACGGTATGCTACTTCCTGTGTCTCTCTTACATACTACATCCCCCGCCCGCCTGATGGTACTAGTATTAGTAGTTTACAGCTCCGGTTCTAGACTGACTCCACTTTTGTTGCTAGAAATCAACAATGATAATATGCATATACGTGATCTTTCGCGCCCTTTTCTCTTCTCTTTTCTCTTTCACAAAACTCTACTCACATATACTTACTTCTATAATTACTACTACAACACTGCTTCCTTACCCTGCTTTCCTGTATTTGATAATCACGTAGCGCAGCAGCAACAATAACAATGGGTGTCGCTCAGTCAAAACGGAAAACTCGGCTAAGCGAGGACGTCACTTTCAGGAAAAATCATCGGTCCATGTTTGCCGAGAAAGCATCAACGACTTCATCGTCTTCATCAAGACGTAGTCATCAAAACACTTTGCCTCGCTCTTCAGCAAAATCGGCAATACATCAGCACTCATCCGGTGATGCATCACTGATGGTGCACCCTCGCTCTGCACTATCCAGCATAAGTCTTCCCCAGGAACAACAGCAACAGCAACAGAGACAGCAGCAGCAGCAGCAGCAGCAACATAATTACTATCATCAACAAGGAGGAGGAGAACTAGAGTCACGTCACCATACTTATCAGGCGCAGCACCATCAGCCTCAAAAGGATAGTGATCTCGGTAAAAATTATGTCGGCCTTGAATTCAGTAGTCGCTTCTTGCCGGATGACTGGGATTCGCAAGACCGAGGGCTTACCGTAAGAGAGACATTAGTTACATCCTAATGTATGACAGAGAGAGACCAACATCACCAAATTTTTGTTGAATGCTTTTTTTTAAATAGCTCCATTTTGCCCTTAAAAGAATTTTTGGCGGGTAAAGTGCACACACCACCTGGTTGGACTATGATGCGCGAGCAGCGATATCAGCATAGTTATTAATACTTTTCGTCTGTTTAGTAATGTGCTGCCGCCAGTCCTATCATGGTTCAGCAGCAATGCTCGCGTGGTAGATATCGGGTGTGTCAATGGTGCATGGTTGATGGTACGCTGTTTTCATTTTTTCATGTCGTTGATTTCTATGTTTCTCGTTGCCATAGCTGTAGCACACCACTTTGCTTTTTATTTTCTGCAAAGAGAGAAAAAGTTGGTAGTAGCTATTAGTAATACTGAATTGTGTATTCCTACGAACCTTAACTCATCTATTACTATAATCTTCTCACGCTTAATGAATCGTTTGTCTGTATTTATTATACGTCTGCTTTCTTGCCAAATATTCGCGTTGCAATAGGACATGGCAGTTCAGTTTCCAAAATGCCAATTTTTTGGGATAGAAACCGCATTATCACCTACCACAGTGATTCCACAAGTCCTGTCAATGCATAATGTGAGGTTTGAAAGCGTCGACTGGGAAGCACGCCGAATTCCGCTGCCAGATGCAAGTGTGGATATCTGCCACATGCGTGCACAGAGCTTAAATTTCGAACAACGCCGATGGTTAGACTTGCTGAGTGAGGCATACCGTATCCTCAAACCTGGTGGCGTTGTTCAAATCACCGATTTTCATTACGCAGTAGGTTTTTTTTTTGGGGGGGAAGGGGGGTGTGGGGAGGAGGAAGAAGAGTGAAAGGAGCCATCATACTCATTGTATCAATATATGGAATGCTCATTCAACAGATGACAGGCACCGTCCTGATAGAGTCGTTTATTGACACGGGTAAGAGATGAAAACAAGTAGTACAGTGTTAATATTTACTGTTACTTACCACGTATGAGCACGCGCTGCTTATTCTTCCTGTAAAGTACGAAACATCCTAAACACTGTGGACACGGATATCGATATTGCACTAAAGTTGGACATGATGCTAAGAGGGGCCGGGTTCCAAGTCATCGAGTCAAAACGAACCAAGGTCAACTTTGGTGAGTGCGAAAGCGCAGTTCCGACATACCGTGATGTTTGATGCTGGGTTATCTCATTCTGTACTGAACCTTGTTATTTCCGTTCTTTTCTCGGTTGGTTTGTTATTGGTGCGATGTCTCTACTCAGCTTCGCATGGTCAGCTTGGTGAAGACTTTATGGCAGCCACGCTCAACGCTTTCGAAGAAGCTCAGGAACTGTTGGCACCCAAGATGGGGCTGGATGAGGATGAATATCGACAACGCGTGGAAATGATATGTGCACAATGCGTTCAACAAGATACACATATCAACTGGTATGCAGTCGTTGGCCGGAAACCGATCAGTAGTTAAAAAGGCGCAAGGAGCGGATGCATGCTGAGGGGCGGAGGGATGCTGCATATAACACGCAGAAGCAAGAAGGGAACGTCATGATAGGTTGCCGCTCCCTGTTTGAACACGGTATAGTTCAAAAAAGGGAATTTATGTCTATTCATTATTCTCTGTTTTCTTCACTATACTACATACTACTTATTACACATACACCCAGCTCATCATCGTCATCTACTACCACTCAATATCATCATCCACCCTGCAGGATACCAACCTATGACACCATCTCCATCAATTTCATCACGATATTCACTGTAAACACGGGTTTCCTGTCAATCACCTGCCGTTTTTCTTGCCTATCGTCCTCCTCCTCCTCCTCCTCCCCCTGGCTCTCTGTCTCTCTAACTCTCTCTCTCTTCTCACAGCCCCCCTTACACAACATTCCTTGTCGTTCTTTTTACTCAAATGTATATCTCGTATTCTGCCCCTTTCTCTTTCTCTTATCTCTAGACTGTAATCTTCCGTTATTGCCGTTCGCCGCCGACCTTTGCCGCCGCTCGAGGGAGGTTGCTACTGCAGTTGACAATGCCATGCCCTTATAGACGCACCCTCCTCTCTCCACATTCTTGTTCCTTTATCGTAGATAATATATGTATATAAACTTTGTATACGACGACCCTGACATGTAGAATCTTGCATAAAAGCATAAACAAAACAAACAAGAAACCAATGTGCAGCAGCACCAAGTGAGCAGCAGCAACAACATAGCAGTGTGGACTACAATTTTAGTCGTCATGATGTGTAACAATGGATGTGCTGACGCGCATCCATTTCCGGAAGCCATTGTTGTTTGTCACGAACCAATCGCATCAAAGTGCTACAGCCGAGAGTTATACGAGAGTACAGCACCTCATCAGACTCAATCACCGGCATCCCCAGCTTATATATTACGAGGGCACGTGGCACACCACTCACTATTACACACAGCAATCTATACACAAAAAAGTATGATCACGTCGAATGATGGCGATATGCGTGTGTGTAGGTAAACACACCACTGTTAAAAACGAAAAGAGCGATTTGTACAGATCTCAACTTTCTCTTATTTCACGATGCCGATCAACTCCAAGAATTTCCTTTTAAGAATGAAAAGCTGTCTTCTTAACAAGGCAACTGACCGTACATGGCCCCGACATCATCTTCATCATCATCAGCAGCAGCAGCAGCATAATTATCTATTATTCCGCCTCACATTTTCTATCCACCCCCCTTATCAACCAATTGAACTCCAACAAGATCCGAAATTTATATAAAAAGAAACATTTACTCATAAATTTCGCATTTCCATCATTTCGTCTCTCCACTTTTTCTTTCTCTCCTCTTCGCTCTCGCTCTTTTTTTTTTATTCATTATAAATTGTTCTTGCACCTCCTTTTTTCCATATCGTTTAAATATCTTCCTTTCCACATATACAAACTGTCAATAGAAACAAGCGGCAAACGTCTATATCTCATATATACAACATAATGACGGATTACGGCAGTATACACAAACCACTGTTACAGCAGCCTCATGTACCGCTTTCAAATTCAGAACGTGATTTACTACAAGCAGATCGGCCCGGCTACGGCACACGCAAACGATATGAAGTTGCTTTTAACCTGGTCAATGCCACCGTTGGTGCAGGCATCATGGGCTTGCCATACGCTGTATCGCATGCGGGCTTTGTCACGGGTATAGTCGCATCCGTGTGGGTCGCCTGTTTGTCACAGCTCGGCTTATACATGCTGATTCTTGCGGGGAAGCGTGCGGGCATTTACAAGTACGCCGTGCTGGTCGAACATGTGATGGGCAGGTTCGGCTATCACTTTCTGAACTTCATGATTGTGGTTCAGGCCGGGGGTGGATGTATCAGCTACTTTATTCGTAAGCATTTATTTCAATCGTCCACACAAACACTTCAATACTGCTTCTGCTGTGCTGTCGCAAGCAAACAGAACAAAAATTTGCATGCAGTCGGAACTACTTGTAGTAATGCTAGTAGTAGTAGCACTAGTAATAAGTAGTAATAGATACCACTTAGTTTCAGATGGAGCAAGATCTAATGATGCAATCAAACTTAGTGTTGGGCGATACCATTCCTGTGCTACTGGATAGATACCTTCCGCAATACCCTATCCTGTCCAATCGAGCGTTCTTCGTCACCGCCATTAGCATGATTTGTGTAAGTGTCCAGAGAAGCAAAGTTCTCTTCTTTATCTCCACACTTTTTTTTTCTCACACGATTCTAACCATTGATATCCCCCCCCCAAAAAAAAATGTACAGATTCTACCACTCAATATGCGACGATCGATTGGTTCCCTCGCACGGTGGTCCATTGTGTCAGTAATGTGTTTACCTATCATCATCGTGACCATCCTTATCCGTGCACCTGCCTATTACGACCCATCCTCCCGGCACCATGACTATAACAGCAATGACCCGACTTGGGTCGGAAAAGACGTTTTTGGTGCCATGGGTATCATGGCCTTTGCGTTCACCTGTGCTCAAGTGGCATTCAACAATTTCTTGACCTTGAAGGACCAATCACACAACGCCTGGCGCCACTCTACCATTATGTCGACTTCCATGAGCTGGACTGTCTCGATGGTCTTTGCTGTTGTTGGCTACGTATGCTTTGGCACCGATGTAAAGTCCAACCTGTTCCAGAATTTTGCTGAGGACGACGTGCTTATCAACATTGGCCGCTTTGCACTTGGCTTCAGCATGATTTTCACTATCCCGTATGTGTTTTGTCTTTACAGAATAACTCGCTCGGTCCGGGAAAAAATTACCCCAGAAAGCTGATCCTAACATGCTTCTTGTATAATTAGAATGTGCTTTTACCCTACACGTGAAGCTGTTCAGAAATCGCTAGGCTTTGAAACGGCCACGAAACAACCCACGCAAGTACAGCATTATATCGTCACGGTTGTAGTTTTCGTTATCCTCATGGCAACCGGCATTACCGTCAATTCTCTTGGCAAAGTATATTCGCTTGCAGGTGGATTTGCTGCAACAACGCTCTCAAACATCTTACCCGCAGCTGCACACTTGGTCACACGGTATCGACGACGACAACCTGCTGCTGCTGCTTCTGCTGCTGATTGCTCGCCTACGTTGACCACGGCACCAACATTGACCGTTGCTCCAACACTTTCCACGAATACCAACAATTACAAGATATTAGATGATAAAACCACACTATCACTGCCAGCACCTATTGTCGGCTCTGATGTTCAGTCGTCATGCTCATCGTCACCGCGGGTCTTACCAGTCAACTACAACCATGACAATGGCCGCGGCACCCCTCCACCAACATACAACTACACCTATTATCCATATGACGAAGAAGATGTATCGACCGTCGATGGTGCAGAAATGCTTGCTGATGATTCCGATAGCTTGAGCAGTTATGCCTCAGCAGAGGAGCCACTAGAACAGCCTCAACAACGTCCACGCCTGCAGTTCCTCGATATCATTGCCGTGGTCCTTATCTTTTGGGGCCTCTTGGTCATGTTTCTATCTGTGAGCAGTGTCCTGACAGAGTCGTGATCCTGCTGCTGCCCCTTGTAAACTTTTCCATAAACATCCTCATCTCTTTCCGATATAATACCTTCATCCACCCATACTATACCACACGATATCACGCATCCATCACACACAACACACACACTCACACGCACACACCACGTATTATATATACTTCATATACATATTACCTCACACACATAATATTATCTCAACATATACCATACACCGTTTCTCTAACCCCGCCACTTCCCCAAACTTCTCTTGCGCTTTTTTCTCCACAAACTGCAACAACCACAACAGATACGCATGCATATGTACGTCTGCGAACGTACTTGATGGCGTAATACATCACTTCCTGTCCCGCCCTCTTTTTGTCATCCCACCCCGACTTTTTTTTTTGCGTCCGCATACATATTATACAATACATGTAGATATGCCCAACAACCTTTTGACCGTGGACCCAATACCATATTTGTCATTTTCTGCTGTTTATATTGTTTTGCATATTACCAATACACAATGGGTGTTCTTTTTTCTTTTCCATTCGCTTTTCGCTATGTTTCCTTTTAGCTGTTATGGCGCGGGTTGAGCATTTTCTATATCAAGAAGCATCAGTGATCTTTGTCTCGGTTCGCTTCCATGCATTATGAACTGTTGATATACAACACAGAATTTACCATCATCCTTCTTCTTCCACCTGCAGGCGAAGCCAAACCAGCCTTTCCAGGCATCATTCCGGCTTGATCTCTCGTTCCTGTGCTTTGTATGGTCCCATGTGCAAGGTTGAACTTATCGATCAGATCGTTCATTGTGTTCATGCCCTTAGTAATGGTCGTCAGATAGGCTACTAACAAGACGTCATCCAACTCCTATATACAGTAGTATTGTATGTATGCATTTATCAAAAGATTGATTGGTAGATAGTTAGCAAAGATTCAAGGGACAGCGATTAAATGACTGTGTAAGTTAGTAAAAGGTATACTGACCACAGAGAGCTGTTCATCAAATGCATTACTGTTCATCAACGGTGACCGTTGACATACACTCGATATTTGCCGCACAATATCGTGGTCTAAGGGTATCTTTCCTTCCTTTGCATCTTTAAGATACTGGTGTAAAAATTGAATACGAGCATGCAACATGGCAATTGCATTGCGTTGTGTAGTCAAGTGCGATATCACTAGTTACACAGTAGACAGCTAAAATGAGATGATCTAATAGTGGATAGTGATAAAACAAACCGATTTTACTTACGAGCATTGCTAAGACTGGCTTCTCGGCTTGAGGTGCTTGGTTTAGCGACGTGATCAACAGCAACTCGCTCGGCTTCATTGGTTTCAATCTTATATGGAGCTTTGACGAACACAAGACGCGCCTGTTCATCAATCATGTCCATAGTCGACTCGTAGATTTTCACCGGAAACTCCTTAGTTCCGCCAGCTATACCTGCTGGATCCAATTGTAAATAAATGGAAGATTCGTTGACTTGAAGAAGCTGGAATAAAAAAGAGGTTACATCCTTTCCCCACCAGTATTTCTTTCCTTTTCGCTTTCATGATTTTTCTCCTTCTTTACCTGTTCATGTATTTTTAAATCAGATTCGCTTGGCATGTTTCCGAGGGAGTACCAACCCATAAAATCGAGATGTGGGAACACTTGTTTCACTGTATAATGTCATAATGGCTCAGTACTCTCCTCTTTTAATACTGTCCCCAACACAACTTACATTCACTTACGCTGTTCCTGCTTCATTGCCAAGTAATCCAAATCCACCTTATCTTGTTGTGGCATAGGCAGCTCAAATGAATTGATGATATCAATATCGCGTCCAGACTGCTGCGCCAAAATAGCACCATAGATTCGACCTATCATTCAAAAGACACACACAGATATTTTGATAAGTACCAGTTGCTGCCGATGACTGACTACTCTGCATTTTCTACCAGCTTCTGCAATGGCGGGATCTTGTAATTTTAAACGCGTGTAGTGATCCGAGATGTTTAACAGTACAAGAGGGTGGCTACATTGCAATGTAACAAAAGGAAGATAAGAGGAAGGGAGTAGGTGTTATTTTTTTTGTCAAAGTTTCAGGTTATATACGTATACACGCACGTTAAAGTTCCCCTATGAGCATGTATACGTGTACGTGCTTAGCACTTTAGATAGTTTACATTGATATAGAAAGTCCTGAACTAGCTTGCGCAGCCGAGACAATAACAGGTGTCGACGATCCAGTGGTCTCGGCTGGGCGTTGATCTTCTTCAATGTCCATGGCGCTCATTATTTCGTCGTCGTTGTGGTCGTCCTCGTCGTCGGTTTTTTGTAAAAAGTGGTTAAAGCAAGAGAAGCAGGAGCAGCAGCCGCGTAAAAATCGGACATCCAACCATTCTAAACGCATTACCGCAGCCTTAATGCTATGCGTTATCTTTGGTGCTAGTGATGGATAAAGCAATACTACTACTCGGTGTGATGGGTCTGAGTGAGCTTTTTGAGAAAGCAGAATTTAGCCTCTCTTTGGTAAGTGATAAACGACATACATTATATACCTATCACTGCTGTAATCCAAGCTCATTTAATTGGTTGACGATATTCTTTGTTACATTTTGATAAATCATTCGCACTATAATGCCACATTGCTAAAATAGCTACAGACCGTGATATACATCGCATGTGTATGTTTTGAAGGCCAAGTGCGACCGTGAGTCAGCCATCATGATACAATTATGTCAGCTGCAACAGAATAGTAGGATCTTCAGAGTGCACAGATCGATCGTTTTCAAGGATATAGTTGGCATTAGAAGAAAGTAACATACTTTGTTTGTATATCACCCCAGAGTTATTACTTCACGTTCGGTACGCTATGTGAGAGTGCATATATTGTAATTTAATTATGAATACTTCTTGGAACAGGACGTTTGATGCATATAAAGTATCACGGTATCGTCAGCATCATCAATATTATTAGTAACCAGCGCAATGCTAAACATCTTATACTTGGCTTATCTATGTATACAAAACCGTGGTATATTCACTTACAATGAGGAAGGCCTTGTTTTGTGGTCATGGACACGAGAGCAAAAAGCAACGTATAGAGTGAAAAGTATCTTTTCGAATCAACGCTCTTTTTCCTATTGCTTTATATGTATATTTTTTTGACGGCGGCGTGACTATTTGGCGGGCATGTAAAGCAAGGTTGCAAATGGTGGTTCGAGAGCATTCCTTGCGCGGGGGTGAACTGTGGTTTCCTCAGCTGCCAACAACTCGAACAAACGACAACAAAATGGCTGAAAAGCAGTTGAATCCAAGCACATGCTACAACCTTTCCTTCTTTAAGGGTATGGTTTTTATTGGACACGTCGTATTTCGGAGGTTACAGTGCTTGCGTTCACTGTATACATGTACTCATTATGCAAGGGGTGTTGTTACTAGAAATCATGAAGGAGTTACGCCGCGTCGACGACAACATCATTCCTCGAATGAACTCGACTGACACGCATTCCGAAAAGGCTTGCGGCGAGTTCTTTAGTCAACTTGCACAGTCGTATCGTAAACGCGAAAACGCCGTGGACTATTGTCTCAAGGTAAAATAGGCAAAAACAGGAGTGGGGGTTTGTCCTGCTCGAATTATTGGCTATAGAAATTCGGTGAAAATATTGACATGATTCCCTTTGTTGATATCAGGTCATGGACGAGCAAATAGAGAAGAAGACCAAACTGTTAGAGGAGGACCCCGATGATTACGAGACGAAGTCAAGTTTGTTTAGTGACGAGACCAAGGTGAAGATTTCATATAGAGCTGGGGCGGGAGACAAGGGACGCATTAAACAAGTGGTCGAGTATTTGCTAATTCTGAATAATGACATGCACAGCGTCGTATGATCGCCAATGAACTTGTGGTCGAGGATATCGTACGCGCACGGTCCCTGCAAGTGTTTAAGACAAAGTGTAAAGTATTCGACACCTCCTCACTTGAAGTCAAGCCATAGAACAGAGAATTTGAATAAACCAATTCTTTTTTGTAAGAATAAAAAGAAGAGAAAAAGCAACAGTAATTGTAGATACAAACTTGGAACAAAAAATATTTATTTTTACACTGATGACAATTATTCAAAAAGTCATGGCTTTTGGGGTTGTTGCTAAATGCTTGCAGTTGATATGCGTTGCGATTTTTTTGTAATTGTTACGATATAAGATTCGGTGGAGGGATTTGGTGTATGTGGATTTATGATTGTGCGCATTTGTTACAGTTTACACGAAGGCCTTGACGTGGTTCTCGCAAACGTCACGGAGCTTGGCCTCAAGGTCCTTAGAGAGGACACCCTGGGTACGGATTTCGTCAAGAACAGCCTTGTGCTCAGATTGGCAGTGGCGAATGAAGTCCTTTTCCCATTCGACGACCTTGTTGACGGGGATCTTATCCAAGAAACCGTTGACACCGGCGAAGACGATGGGGACCTGGACCTCGATTGACAAGGGGGAGTATTGGGGCTGCTTCAACAATTCGGTAAGACGGGCACCACGGTTCAACAAGAACTGGGTAGAGGAATCCAAATCGGAACCAAACTGGGCGAAGGCGGCGACTTCACGGTACTGGGCCAAGAAAAGCTTGAGCGAACCAGCGACCTGCTTCATGGCCTTGGTCTGGGCAGCGGAACCGACACGCGAGACGGACAAACCGACGTTAATGGCGGGACGGATACCCTTGAAGAAGAGTTCGGCTTCCAAGAAGATCTGACCGTCAGTGATGGAAATGACGTTGGTAGGAATGTAAGCGGACACATCACCACCCTGGGTTTCACTAGATGATTGCTTAGGAATTAGTGACCCAAATATCTTCTTATTTTTTGGTAATTATGCAATAGATTTATGCTTACATGATGGGCAAGGCGGTCATGGAGCCGTAGCCGAAACTCTTGTTCATCTTGGCGGCACGCTCTAAAAGACGGGAGTGGAGGTAGAAGACATCACCAGGGTAAGCTTCACGACCAGGAGGACGACGAAGCAAAAGGGACATCTGACGGTAGGCAACAGCCTGCTTGGACAAATCGTCGTAGATGATCAAAGAGTGGCGGCCGTTGTCACGGAACCATTCACCAAAGGCGGCACCGGAGAAAGGAGCCAAGTACTGAAGGGGAGCGGCTTCAGAGGCGGTGGCAGCAACGACGACGGTGTACTTCATGGCATCGTTCTCCTCAAGGGTGCTGACGAGCTGAGCAACAGTCGAACGCTTCTGACCAACGGCAACGTAGATACAGTAGAGCTTCTTGGCCTCATCGCTGCCGTTGTTCCAGTTCTTCTGGTTAAGGATGGCTTCCAAAGCGACGGCGGTCTTACCGGTCTGACGATCACCAATGATCAATTCACGCTGACCACGACCGATGGGGACCATGGAGTCGACAGACTTGATACCAGTCTGCATGGGCTCGTTGACAGAGTGACGGGGCAAAATGCCAGGAGCCTTGACCTGGACACGCGAACGGCCAACGGTATCCAAAGGACCCTTACCGTCAATGGGGTTACCGAGGGCATCGACAACACGGCCCAAGACGCCAGGGCCGACAGGAACGTCGACAATGGCACCAGTACGCTTGACGGTGTCACCTTCCTTGATCAAACGATCGTTACCGAAAACGACAATACCGACGTTGTCGGCTTCCAAGTTGAGGGCCATACCCTAGTATCATTCAAACCGCACCCAATGTTTAGTTTTGCTGGCAATTTATATTCTTGCATCCCCATGCCATATACATAACAAGACGAGGCCTACCTTCAAACCGCTGGAGAATTCAACCATTTCTTCGGCCTGGCAGTTCTTCAAACCATAGACACGGGCAATACCGTCACCAATCGACAAGACACGGCCAGTTTCCTGGAGGTCGGCTTCAGCAGAGGCACCGAGAATACGTTGCTCGAGGACAGACGACACTTCGGAGGTGGAGGGCTTGGCAGTAGCATAGCTTCTCCAGGCAGCAACACCAACGGCGTTAGCATTGACGCGAACCTGGCGTAATAATACAAAAAGTCAGTCCAAGTTGTCATGTAAGACGCGCGCGCATTGGATAGATTTCCAATGGAAAACCGGGTTATAATTGCTCGAGAGAACGCGCGATGGTTGTATATCAACGTAGACAGAAGGGAAAACACTACTCACAGCGGGCGAGGACTTGGCAAAGGCAGCGAGAGTAGGACGTGCCACACGAACAGCGTTTCTCAACATGTTAAATTAGGAGGGGGGTGGACAGATGAGAGGGTGGAGGAGTTTCTGTAGGTGGCAAAAACAAAATTCGAAATTAAGCCCAGTGACTGTTCGAGGTTTGCCAGGCCGGGGTTGAATGGTTGCCCTGGTCTCAAAATGCTGCTGCCTTCAACCGACAAATTGTCGTTCATTATTTATTTTTTCTGCCTTTTTTAAGTTACACGTATCATGGAACTATTTGGCTATACAGATGATACAAAGTCCATGGTTTTCTTTTCCTCTTCGTTCATGGACATAGCACACTGAATGAGCTACGCTGTACGAGATGGTAGTCGCACGTGGAAAAGCATAAAAGGATAATTGACTGCAGCTTTTATTGTAGATGCAGACGGCATACGGATGTTATTACTGCATAAAAGATAAGCCGGAATTATAGCTTCACATTTGCTTATTCCTATTTTCCTCTTCTACATAGCAACCACCGTAGCAACCACCGTAGCAACTACCAGAATTGTCCTTCCTTCTGTGTCCCTTATTGGAAGCACACATACATTACTCCTTGCGTTGCTATGGTGAAACTTTGTCTAAACAAAGATGTCTGTTGTTTTTGTTCATGTTGGGCAGCAGACGATAGGCGAAAGGGAAAAAAGAAGGTTTCTCGTGTTCGTTTGCCGTATTCCAACGTCCGCTCAAAGCAGGGTCGGATAATTCAGGGCCGAAGAGTGACCATTCGTCACACGTAGATCCTTGCTTCTCAATTTTTTTTTCATGTATTAGCAAGATTAGCGCCGAACCAAACCGAATCTTTTATAGAACAGCTCTTTAAACTATTTTACTGCTTTTTTTTTCTCCCGCTGACTTACATTTTCCCTCTTCTTTTTTTTTTCCCTATTCCTATTCCTCTTCCTCTTTTTTTTTTAGTGAATCAGAAAAGTCAAGCAAAGCAGCAATGAACGTGTTCCGACTGAAATCAAGTGCCAACTCAAATAAAACCAACGGTACGCAGTCGAAGGCGTCGAGTATCTCGGAGAGTGTGCCGGTCACCCACGAGCCGTTGCTGTCACCGCCAGCCGATTATTCACCCAGCTTGCAGCCTGCGCTGGACGAGTCGCAGCAGGACAAACTTGAAAAGCTACGAACGTATATTCAGAGTATCATGCTGCCAGAGGACCACGAATACTATGCTAGCGAGAAGGGTTTTGTCACCGATGGCACGTTGAAGCGATATTTGCGTGCTCGTAAATGGGAATATGAGGTTTGTTATAATAGCCGGGGTGTGTGTTGCGTGTATTGCTTGCCTTGGTGATAGCTGGAGGGAGGGGAGTGGGGAAACGGCGGGGAGATTTTTTTTCCCTTTTCTTCATGTAACGTTGTTAACTTTACTTTCTGTATTCCCGTCTTCTCTAAAATTTGTTTTCTTTACTATTTACTATTTGTTTATTATTGCATCTAATGGTAGGCCTCTAAAACCATGTTGGAGAACACTGTTCGATGGCGCCGTGATTACCGGCCCGACGAGTTAGACCCGGACTATATTAAGCCTGAGGTAATTTCGAAAAACCAGTCAAAAGAGGAGATAAGGGTTATAGCTATCGAAGAAACAAAAAGAATGTCGCTTAATTCCTTATAATTTGGGTTTTCGCATCTCTTTAGGCTGAAACGGGTAAGATGTATTTCGATGGTTTCGATAACGCTGGTCGACCCATCTGGATCATGCGACCTAGACAACAAAACTCCAAAGATGCCGACCGCCAGGTCAAGCATATCGTGTTTTGTCTGGAACGCGGTATTCGTCTTATGCCGGCCAAGGTCGAAAACATTGCGATCATTGTGGACTTTAAAGACTCTGCTTACGCGCACAATCCCAGTATTGCCACTTGCAAAAAGTTCTTGGATATTTTGAGCAACCATTATCCTGAAAGACTCGGTACGTAGCTTTTTTTATATATAGGGAGGTCTCTGTAGGGGTTTAGACAGAGAAAAGGAGGTGGTTATGGGGACATATCATGACACCTGACTCTTTGAAATTCGCTGTTCTGTAGGTATTGCATTTGTTGTCAAGTGTAAGTAAACGATTGGATGAATTATGGGGAGTGCACAAAATATACGATTGGAGCTGGCAATGATGATAACACAATTATGTAATACGTTTGTTTGCAGCGCCATGGTTTTTCTTCACGACATTCAAGATGATTTCACCCTTTATGGATCCCGTGACCAAGGCTAAAATCAAATTTGTTCACGATGAGGACAAGAAAGGTGGCAAGGAAGATACCAAGGGGATGAGCAACGAATGGGTGAATTTGAAGGATTATGTCCCCAAGGACATGCTCGAATGCGAATACGGCGGAACATACAACTTTTCGTACGACGTCGACTCGTACTGGAATGCTCTCTTGGAGCATACGGGCAAACCATACAAGGTTATAGATTACATGTAAACTAATATTTACGACTCATCCTATTTCTCTTTCTCACAACACATACAAATTCTCTATTTTTGTCCCACTGTTTTCTTCTTCTTCTTCTTTGAACTCCTCCCTCTCTATCTTTATATTTTCTTTCTGACTGTTCCACACACACACACACACACACCACTCTCTCTCTTTATATCTCATCCTCTTTTTTTTTTCCAAAATTTTGCATGCAACAATACGCACAACCACATAACAATCCACACAAAATATATATACTACACAATAGAGTCTTTATGTTCAAACTATTGTTTACTATAGTGACATAAGCAGCAAAGGTTGGATATTGATATCTTTAGGAAAACATGCAAATGCGCTTATTTTTATGCACGATCGGGAATTCTTCGTACAATAAGTTGTCCAAGATTTCTATTACGCGTGACGCTGTGTGCTCCATGCTAGCATTCGCTGAACATACAAAAATTATTTTAAGGACAAGAGGAATAAGCTGCTCGTTAAGAAAGTGAGGAGGCATGTCTATCATCGATTAAGATGAAAGGTAATTAAAAAACCAAATAACTTTACTAGTGATTAAAAGTACTTTCTACGTCTGACGAACGACGCTAAGCAATGCAGAGGGAGGATGCATGTTACAGAGACTTTTGAAAAGGACCTAGCAATGGGCCGGGCTTTTTCATAGGTTCTTGTCTGTATTATCCGAAGGTTATCATTGGTACATTTTGGCACCTTTGACCACGTCAATTTCTATTGCACCTATGTAAAGCATATATTGAGCAATAACAACAATACGGATGTAGGTTACTACAATACTTTACTATCGGACATTGGTCCAAGAGCTTGACCTTCTACTTGTAAAAAAGTGAACAATTTGAAGCGGCCAAATATTAGATAGCTTATCAAAAGCAGGGCGGATTATGTCAGGTCCAGGTGCTCTTCTTTGCTTCACGGAATAGTGCGCGTACGTCACCAACACTTCCGCTGTTATAACCGCTTCAGATCAATCCATCTTTACAGTGCATAAATATAATCCAGGAAGAATGTATGTTACAGTACAAAGCGAATAGAGAATTGCATATGTAGCAGACTGGGATCTAGAGAGCCAAGAAGCATAACACTCAATGTGTATGTTTGCTATGCGTGAGCCTACTATGTAATGTTAGAAAACTGAAGCACGTGAAAGCATTGTCATCCTTCGTACATGAAGCACCAGGAGTGTCTTTAGTACGGAAGTATAGTTTTTAGTACATGTTTTGCAACTTAGATTTTTATTTTTGCAAAACTTTAAGAAAGAGACATAGAAGCAGCGGATCAATATAACTTTTCTGATAGCAAAACAAGATGAAGGAAATAAAATAGTTACAGTACACAGAAAGAACGATGGGCAGTAGCAAATTGAATTTGACTGATATTTTATGACGGGCTTATATAAAATTAAGAGAGACTACAACTACAGACTTTAATATAAATTATTTTCTTGTAAACTAGTTTTACAACAAGAGATGAGCAAGAGCAGCGACAAGGGTCACCACGAATGCATTGTTGGGAGTGAAGATGCCAGCAGCGGACTCGTCAGTGCTATCAGACTGAGCAGAGACGCCGGAGCTAGCAGAAGCCGAAGCAGATGCACTAGCACTGCCAGAGGACTGAGCAGCAGTGCTACCAGTAGCATTAGCAAAGCTCGGGAAGGAAACAGTCTTTTCCATGTAAGGGTAGGTGATGTTCTGGCAAGTAGCAATATCCAAGACGTGCTTGTAGGATTTTTGGATGCGAGGAAGATAGTTGAGAGCAAGGGTCATGGTGGTGTTATCAATTTCGTGCTGCAAAACAATGTTGCCAGAGTTCTTGTAGGTGCCATTGGTTCCCATAGCAATGAAATCTTCATAGTGCTTCTGGACAGTTTCCATGGTTTCAACGGTACCAGCAGCCTATAAACATCAATGAAATTGCCATTATAGCAGATGGTTGAAGATATAGGGTGAGTGGTTCGGTTATATACTTTACGGCTGTGTGTTATTCTGTATTTTTCGCTTTATACATTAGCAGCTGCTATACGTATAATTTATCCATACCCAGTCATCGGTATCCAAGTCCCAGAGAATAGTGGTAAGACCAAGCTGAGTGGCAATCCAACGGACACGATCATCAACATCACCAAAGGCCTATAACAACGAGAGACATTAACTTGTGTAAGTATTTTATTGGCTTGTAAGGGACTCATTAGGAAATGTAGAATACTTACAGGGCGCCAGTGACGAGGAGTAACACCAGTAACCATCTTAATAGCCTTCTGGGTATAGTACAGTTCGGCAAGGACTTCCTTGTCGGTCAAGGTAGTCATCATGGTGTGACTCCAGGTGTGCTGGGCAATGTGGTGACCATCCTTAACACCACGCATGGCACCATAGGGCCAGCCGACGACGTTGGAACCAATGTAGAACATGGAAGCCTTCAACTTCTGCTCTTCCAAATAGTCGTAGAAAGCATTGTGCGAGCAGTTGGGACCATCGTCAAAATTCAAACCCCAAGTCTCAGGCTCAGGGCAGCTGTAGATATCGGCATTGGTGTTCTCGTGCTTGGGGATAGTACAGGTCGTGGCGGTCCACCAGCAATCGGGATCAGCAGCAGCGTCATAATCAGATGTATCAACCACACCGTCGACCATTTTGCGGACGGGAATGTTTTTTGGTGCTGAGTCCCAGTTGATGGAGTTGTAGACCTTCAAGAACTCGGCGGACTCGTTCATTCCATTCGACGTTGCAAGCTCCCAGGCTGTGGGCCATTCGGCGGCATTGTACGTGAAATGGGATGGAGGCTCGTAGTATTGGCATTGCGTAGCAGGATCGAGCGAAGTCGTTTGAGGAATATCAGGGATGGTAAGTTTGGTGGGATCAGCAGTTGAATTGAAAAGCTCCCAGTATTCCGCAGCGCGGGCGACCTGAGAAAGGACAAGCGAGATTGCAATTGGCTTCAAGAACATCGCTTAATTGATATCTGAGAGAGATGACGAGTAACGGTGTGAGGGGGCAGCAGAGAAGCGCGTGGTATTAGAAAGGGAAGGTGATGAGAGGGAGGTTGACAAAGAAAAAAAAAGGAACGGTGTCTTGTGAAAAGGAAAGAATATGGGAGGGAAGTCAAAGGAAGAAATAGAAAATGTGGGTGCGTTTCTCATGGCGTCTCTTTTATTGCCAAGGTGAGATGCGGTGTTTGTGGGCGGTTGTGATGGATAAACTTCTGTGCGACCATTTCAGAGAATTTCGCCATGTACAGTACTTGATTATTTCCTCTTCAGACACGTTTTACATGCTTTTTTCTAAATCCATACATCCCCGAAACGGTATTTTGTCTTTTTTAGTTCTTTACGTCGCACAGGTTGAACCCCGGTAAAGTGCAACGGAAATCAGAGAAAGATCATTGAAGCCCCGGTATGCTTACGGCGGTTGCCGACATAATGTGGTAAAACGTATAAGCAAATGGGCCTGTGTGTTTTGCTGTCTTGCTCCTCCTCGGCATGAATTGTATGCAATGCATCAGGTAAAGTATGGATTTGCTGCATCCAACGCCAAAGAGTAAAAACGCGTTAGCGCGAGGGTGCTAGCTTGCTGGATTCAGGTAATACTAACAGAGATTTTACTAACATCGTTTTACCGCACTTTTGTTACCAGGGCGCGCGCGCGGACTTGTGGGAACAAGAGAGGGCTCCATTGCTATCTTTGTGCAGGGACGCTGAGATTGTTCTTAATTGCCGTGCGCACGAATTATTGCGGTACGGTTATGGGTTTATGCTATAGCAATGGAAGAACGGAATAATAATAAAAAGGCTAAATATAACTTTGCGTTTTCTATATGTTGCGAATATATACTTTTACACCACTTACAGTAGTAAAATAAAGAGAAACTTCTGTTTTGTCAATTTAGGCTTTTTCAGTACGACAGTTCCTTAATAACAGGCCTTGCACGAAGCACGAGCACATGTTGTGCAATCGGAGAATCTATCTATTTTTTCCTTATCAGGACTACTTTATTGATTGCTGTCATCCGTTTACTAGTCATTTTCAGAGAACTGTGATGCATATGTTCTGTTTTATTAATGGAGTAAATGGCCATCATTAGGCGATTTTACATATGTTACATGTAGTTTTTTGTCAGACAAACATAAAGTCATCTCAAGTAGTAATAGCAAAGGTGACAGTGGCAGTGATAGCTTCGAAAGTTAATAACTATAGTGCTTTTTCCAGCTTGTTCAACAGTCGATTTTCGGTTGTGGCTGGCTGCTAATACTGAACGCTTCCGTACTAAATATTGACGATTGGAGACTTTTGTCAAGTCCTCCTTCTTCGAATAGGCTCGAATAAACGCTGGAAAACTCGTCGCTGTCTTCGTCGTCATCATCATCGTCGTCGTCATTTCCAAATAATTGCCCGGCCATCAAACTGCGCAATCTATTTTCAGAAAACCAGCTGGTATTGAACACTTCCGTGGCCTGACCATTACTATTAGCCGCATCCACCGTTGTGTTCTTTGACTCTGCAGCTAATGATCGCTGCGGCTTGTCGCTTCTCTTGTCAAATCCGCTGTATTGCTTACTGCTGGTACTGTCATCTTCTGTGCTATTTCCGGTACCGCTACGTTGACAATGTTCATCTCGCACGCTGTCGATACTGTTGCACCATAATTGCTTTTCCTCTGTTGTCTTTGCTTCCAGAAGCATACTGACAATGTTTCTGCTTGCAATCGAGCAAGTAAACTGAAGTGGGTTTACATTCTGCTCTGGATTTTGTTGCTGAGGTAAGTTCTGGTGATAAGAGCGGGATAACATTGAGCTACCATTACTGCGGCTTGTCGCCGTCGTAGAAGTGCCATTACGGCAAAAGCTTCCGAACCAGGCGGATCGATTGTTCGTCCCATTACTTGAAGCTGATTCTTGTTGCAGCACAATACGGTCGAGATGTGTTATTTGTCCAGGTACGGTCGCGAGCTTGAATAAAGCATCGGGCGCTGGGCCGTATAACTTCCTTCCTCCGCTCATGTTGGTTCTGAGTTCGCTTTCGGCTTGGCTTATTCGCTTTGTGCGTATCTAGTAAAAAGATCAATCATTTACCACATTGCACACATTAATATATCGCAGCAACAGTATGTCATGCCGGCCGTTACACATGTTCTAAACAATTGTTCGCTTTGGCATACCTTTGTAAAGAGTATAAGGTCGTTGAATAAAAACACATAAACATGTTGTTTCTTTTGTTTCGAAAACAATTGCTTGGAACTTTCGGAAAACGAACGCTGCGGAGCAAGATACGCCGCCGCTTTCCCCGATGAGGATGAAGTAGGCGACGACGACGACGACGAAGATGATGATAATGACGGAACAAGTATCAGTGGCCCTTCATGCACGAGCCGTCGGTGTGGTTGATTTAATTGTATGCCGATTTCCTATAATAAACCGGACATGTGTACTTGCAGTCAGAATATGCTCTTACTTTTACTACTACTACTACTACTACTACCCCGCTTTTTGTTGAAAATTAACCTTCAGATTTCGGATACGTTCTCCTAAATCTGATAACCGCAATGACTGTTCGGCTTGAATTTTATACTCCTCAATACTTCTTATAGCAGCATCCATTTCGCTCATGCATTGAACGTGTTGATGGATTGCCCCGTCGTTTTCCTCAAAGCACCCAATTTGGCTCTAACCCGACACGGACCATAACGATAAAAGGTGAATGTCTCAGTCAGGCTTTCTTGTCAAATTTTAAATCTGATGTAGCATATATAACTTTAGATTTACCTTTAAAAATAATGGGTATTTCATCAAACGTTGGACGGGTTTCAAAAGGAAAGATTGTAATGTAAGAGACCGGCATTCTGGATACAAACATCGTTCCTAGAATGCAACATATTAATATCATTACTATGTCTGTTTAGTTCGATGGGGACAGTGACAGCCAAAAAACCAGTGCATGTGCTTTACCTGGACGTACTGACCGAGCGCTTTAAGGGAAGCATTTTGTGGGTTGGATAAAGACTTGGCAATCAAATCGTTGGCAGATTCAAAGTTGGCAAAATACTCTTTGTAAACGTTAAAGATATGTGGGATCTTGTAGATTTCCTTTGGATTAGCTATATTTATCTAATACAAAGCGAGAGAGAGGCATTGCTCTTCAGGCTTTTAGCTTTTCCTTCTTGCTTACATAGTTTCTGAATCGTTCAACGACGTCGCCAACGATAAGTGGCGGCTGCGCACTCTGACACTCGCGCAAATTAGCCACTACCGCAGTGTGAAATTCGATAATGACATGCAAGCTCTCGAAAGTTCGTTGAATCGGTTCCGGGAGGTTGTTCCATGAAGGTTGTAGGTCCGTCACAAAAACCTAGACATGGCCACTCTTTTCTGTCAATTATTTTACAACTGTAGCCAAGAACCATTCTCTTTTGTTCCCACTGCTAGGATAGTTCTTCTCTGATTTTCTATTTACCTGTGTTACAAGCTGAAGATCAGAAAGGTATGTCTCTTCGGTCATGACGAACTCGTGTAAAAGTTCCTGGTATTGGATTTGTTTAGAAGAAAGCGAAGACACGAGCTCGTTATCCTCGGGTCCTAATGTGGCTCGCCATGTGAGCGTTGTTGCAGCACTGCTATTGCTCATGACACTGTCGGAATCACGGCTGGTCCTAGAATTGTTGCTGTTGTTGTGATGAAAATGCACAATGATCGGTGGCATTTCCTCTGAAGGACTGCTATTTTTGACGTGCTTGAGAGTCAAGTTGGCCAATTTACGCTGTAGATAGTCGCTGGTATGTTTGGCAATTTTCGATTGCTTAATTTTTTTATGCAGCCCACCATGGTGCTGTTGCTGCTGATAATTTGATGATGCATGAGTAGTACGCGAAGAAGAAGAGGCAGAATGATGACTCAGCAGCTCTTTGGTGTCTTCTCCTTCAAATATCGTGTGCCCTTGTTGTACAGTATTGTAGCTGTTACTTTGATGATCGCGGTTCAATTTGCCCATGGTATTAGAAAGAGTGCTTTTTGGATTACCAAAAAAAAAAGAAAAGGATGTATAATTAATTGCCGATCTATGTACAAGAAAACCGAAAGGAAAACGAAAAACGAAAAAAACGAAAAAAAGAAAAAATTTCAGCCTTGCTCGTTCCAACACAAACGGCAGTAAAGAACGCGGTCCGGTTTGCAAGACCGAGCAAATAAATGAACTGTTGTAAAACACAATGGCCCGCGACGACGCAATAGATAAATAATACACTTATGAGAACAGCCCAATTGGCTGCGATCCTCAATAGGCATCTAAGAAAAAGAGTAGAGAAGCTTGGCTTGATTCCATCCACTGCTTTTTATGGACGGGTTTCAGTTGCCAAATAAACTCATCTTTAATATATTGTTACATAGTGAGGAATCGAGTGGATTCAAAATCTAAATGCTTATAGGACGCAGCACCCAGTTAGTTACAAAGTACATTGGAGGTGAAACAAAGATATACATAGCATGTTTATCGATTATCGTCATAAAGTTTTTACCCTGGTTGCAAAGAAGCTGTCATATACTTGATCCAATCACGACACAAAACGCCAGTGTGTTGATGATACAAGTGTTGACATGCTGTGGTCATCATGCATTGCGCCACGTCACCTCCTTCTACTCTGCTAAAGAACATATCCATCAAAAGTAAAGAAAATACAATCAATTTCAGCTGGAGAACGTTCTGCTTTTACAAGTGGTGGGACGCGATCGGATCTCTTCAAGGTGGACCCGTCCTTTTAGATCATGTAATTGGGTCCCTGTTGTACCTTTCTTATTTTATTTGCTGCCCCGTTTCTGTGTTACAGTCTTAAGGACACAGCATTAGCCAAACTACTGCGATATTGTGCATACCGAAATATCAACTACAAAAAAAAACGACACTGTGCTGCTTGTATACATTCTCATTGGGGGGGGGGGTGGTCTTTTTAGTCTTATTGCCGTCGTTTTTATGTAGTTGTGTCACTGCGTACTATATGCACGACATCATTTTACATATCCACAATCACGAGTTACCCGTTTTTGCGTACAAAGAAAACTTGGTTTTCTATCATCACCTTTTCGTATTTAATAGCGTTTGTAAGGGTCGGGGCCAAAACTTCGATAAGCTTGCATAATTCATACGCTTTTGCTGCTCATTGAACCATTAACTTCCCCCGGTGTTTAGCAGGCATAGTGATCAATGAAGGCTCTATATAAAAAAGTATCAATGCGTATTTTAAGCTCAAATCAACAACCGAACGATATACACGGAAGATAGTAACGGTAACACGAATAAATCCTCAATATCGGTACTGCACTTAGTGGAGGTGTTGTACGGCGCTATTGTGACAAGACTGTGTTCTTTGTCATATTTGCGGCATCTTGCAACGATCGTCCACTCAAACTTCAGCGTTGAAAAGTCAACAACAAACAAAAGAAATGGATGATGGAGATAGCAGTCATGATGGGCAATATGTGGCTCATGTTGTAAGTAATGTCACCAAAAATCGCTAGCTTATCAGTACGAGGTACGAAGCCATTGAAAATCAGTTTGGACTATTTACCAGTTTCGTGTGATTAGCATGTTGTACGAGTCGATCATACTTGTAAATAAGCGTTGCTGTTAGTAGATGTCTTTTCTGAATAGGTGCCACGAAAAGGGGACATGTAGTACCATGTATTCTCAGTTGTCGTCCTCCACCCCCCATTACATTATTTGCGCTGAATTTAGGTGCGATCGAGCTATGACAACACTAACTCTTAATAGATCTAGTAGTAATCATCAAGGCTCACAAACAGCAGTAACTGACTATTCAGTAATTAACCATGCAACTTAAAAAGCAAATTCACCTCAAGGGTTTATGCTCTAGATATAGGGTAAAAAGACCAACGGCTGATGTAACTTTTACTGTTACAAGATATATTGAGTATAAACTAGTGAAACAGTAACTGCTGCCATGTCAGAATTGATAACTAGGTAATCAATTTGAAAAAGGACTATCATAGCAGATATATAGCTTTATGCATGCGTAATTGCAAGCCATCAATCAACGATAGCTTTTACTTGCTCATGGGCCTCGCTTCTCTCTCTACTAAATACACGTCGAAATTGCACAATCACAAATAGTGCTGGTTGTGGTAGTTAAATAAAAAGAATTCCCACATACACACACACGACAACGTACTCCTTATCACTGTTTGATTATGATAAGTACGATACAAAAGTTGTACATATATTGTTAACAGTAGTTAGTTTCTCTTATTAAATCTACACGCACGTTGCAAGTAGATTTTGAGAGTCTTTTCGCGAAGCAACGGAGTAAAAACGCCATAAATGTCCTGCAAAAACAAGTTTTTCGCCCTTCCTTTCGCAACAATAGCATAATAGATATATAGTATAAATAAGCACTGGCATGACTAAGTTCTAAGTGTTCCGTCAGTGTAACAGGCTTTTGTCCCCGATTCATAACGGCGCGGAAATCAAACGCGAGAATATGCAAAGGTTTGGGGGAGATATCTTGAGTGAGAGTTTCCGCGGTTTTGTTAATCTTTTTATGCTCAGGACAAGTATCTAATGCCAAAAAGTGAACAGAAAGCATTAGTAGCAGACATCGAATCAAAATGTCATCGTTGATAAGCAAATCTTTTACTCTTGAATCGTTCATCATCTACTGCAAATACGGAAGAACATCAACAAATAGACGACTATCATTAAAGTGTGTCTGTACAAGGATATAATTGCGCTGCTCTGGCTGTTGCTGCTACCTTGCTGACTACAGCATAATACCAGAATTGACGAGTTACACATCCGCTCATTCATAGTGAAAAAAAATTCTGAGAGGAAAGGCGGCAGAAGGTTAGAAGAACGGTGGCACCAAATGGCAAAGCATGATTATAAACGGGATGATACAGTTGCGCTTTTATGATGTTACTACTTTGGAAGCTGTATTCAAAAGGTGTATGTATATTAGGTATTTGTGTCAATAGTGTTATGTTTCAAGACGTCTGTGTATCCACGGCTATAGGTTGCAGTTTGCCGTACGCAGTGTCCCCTCTCCACTCATTTTCCTTTTGCATCCAGCGATATTACACTCTGTATGTACACATCCGAGGAACTGGCGAAAAACGAGTCCTGCAGTATATAGAAGTTTATGAATACAGTAGTAGTACATGATAAGTAATACATAAGAACTGCTGGAACATATGACAACTCTATAGTATACCTCCGACGAGATGAATAGCAAACTCTCATACACATAAAGCACATATACAATACCATCTTATATTTTTAGGGGAGCAGTCGTAAAAGTACCGCGGATTCTCAGCTATTGCTAACAGCAGCTTTTTAGCAACGGGGTCTTTTTCTTCTTTCGAATAATATGGCCCCATTATATATTTCTACCGAGCCTCACAGGAGGTTTTTTTTTCAGCTTGTCAAACACAAAAGAAAAAGTTCCCACAACCTGGTTTTCAGAATAGAAAAAAAAAATCTGGTCTGATGCTTTAATCCAAAAAAAAAAGCTTAAAAGTGTGTTTTGAGAGAGAAAGGGTAAGCTGTCTATGATAACTTTACATCAAAGGTACTTGACGAATCTAAAAGGAAAGGCTACTACAGAACCTTTTGATATAAATGCCAATGTAAACTATAATTGGAGCGCTTATTATTTTTCCATTGAAACGATAAGCGGAGCAATTTGAATCAAACCACCTTGTTCCTGAACGCGCGCATAACGTTTTTCGTGCGAACGACTCTTCTCCATAGGTAAATAGGAATAGACGGATCGGATTAGAGCAGGGACAGAATGGAACAAAAAGGAATGTCTGAAAATGCTCATGTATAATTACAGAACTAGTTTGAAAAAGTGCAGATACCATGGATTTAAATAAGATCACGGATAACGTTCCGAAATCGACACCACCACCACCACCATTACAACAACAGCAAGAGATATCAGATCGTTCAATATCTCCAATAGTACATCATGACCAGCAGCAGCAATCAAAAAACATTGTAGTCAGCAATGTTAAACAAGAGGTAACGATCGATAAAGCAAAAAGGTGTGTGTGCACGAAACACTTCTCAACTGATCCACTGACATTTGTAGTTTTAAACAATTAAAACAGGTAGACGAGGGATCTTCATCAGCAACTACACCAACAGCAACCGGTAGATCTTTGCAGACACCCTTTTCAGAGTTAGCCAGTCAATTGCAGTACCAACAACCACAACAAAGCGGACAACGACGAGCTACTACTGACGGGCTTTCGCCGCGTACATATCTCGATTCGACGGTTGTACCGACGTTACTAGAAGGACTCAAACTCGCGGTATTAGAACGGTAAAAAATAATAGAAGTGATGTTGGATCAATGATTTGAAGAGTATACTAAAAGTGATGCTTTTTCTACGTCTTTTTCAAACAAACAAAGACCATCAGATCCACTGGCATTTCTTGGACAATATTTATTGGATTGTTCTGCCAATCTTAAAGCAGAAAACAACAAAAACCCGACACGGCCGCCCCAATCTCAAGAGATATCTCATCCACCATTAGCATCCAATACAGCAACAACACAACCGTCATTGCCTACCTCATCATCATCCACGTTTGTTAAAAGAGAATCTCAATAAGTCAAAACCGCATATATAGAATTATCTTTAATCTGTTAAGTATTGTTGTCCTCAAAGAATGGGCGAAGCATGTCGGCCTCTTGTTTCATTTCCTGCTCACTACGCGGCATACGCTCTTCGTTATCGACCCGGATTTTGTTTTTTTCTGCAAGCTCATCATAAATATCATCATTGTTCGCCCAGTCACCCACTTTACGCGGTATTACATGCATATGCACATGTGGGACCTGTTATGGAGTGATTCAATATGTGATTTTTTCCTCCTTGTGAGTGACGATTGTTGCATGGTGTCGCTGTATCTATTGTGGAAAGAAGGAATCGAGATGATTTTACCGTTTGGCCAGCTTGAGGACCGTCCTGAATGACATTTGTAAGTGAAGTACACTGGTATTGCTTTTCGACTACGTTGCCAATCTTTTGTGCGCTTAGCATCATATCCGTTGCCTGAGCAAAGAAGAAAACAAAAACTCTATATCAACTCTATGTCGACTTTTTCATCTTGTTTCCCCCCCCCTTGTTCATTATAAAGAGGCCCATCATCCCTCTTGTGATTGTGTATATATCACATATGCAATGCTACATGCGCTTTAATTGTGAGAAACATATCATTACCTCTTCTGTATTCAGATCTCTAAGCCGAGGTACAACTCGACGGGATATTACAAGCACATCTAAAAAGAGTAGTAAACAAGAAACACATTTATCATTAATGCAACACTCTTCAGACAAGGTCAACGTGTCTCAGAAAGCAAAGAAAATTGCATTCGTATATCAACGTACGGCCACTATAGATGTTATTGTAATTTATACAGATAATATCGCGTAAGTTTGGAAAATAAAAAAAAAGCTTTCCCTTATTTTCCAAGTCGCGTTATAAATGGAGCTCTTTTATACATACGGTGTAATGGGCTTCAAATTCACTAAGCCAAGACTATATTTGGATTTGAAGAACACTTGGGATTCAGTGATTGTGTGTGGGCCAAATTGGTACATTCTTGATAGCATAGCAACACGAAAAGAAGAAAACGTTAAGGGAACTATTCTGCGCTTCGGTATGACACATCAATTAAAAAAAAGCCCCGCCAGGGTTAACTAATCGTGTGCTTTTTCAAGTGTAAAACCTGACATTTAAAAAACACATCTTTGTTCTTTTGATTCGTTGTTTATTAACAAGAGAATGACTCGATTCAACGGCTGTATTGATTTGCACAGCGGCAAAGTGAAGCAAATCGTGGGTGGATCATTAAGCGATAATGCTCCAAGTGAACTCAAGACGAACTTTGTTTCAAAGTAATACACACATTTGCAAATGTCTTGAATTCAATGAGCCAGCAACGAAACGTTTAGACAGGACAAATATTAAAACGCGTGCGAACTGACTGTTTTCCTTTCTGTAGAGAGAAGCCAAAATATTATGCTGAACTGTATAAAAAGTTTGGCGTGACGCGTTGCCATGTTATTAAACTTGGACCTAACAACGACGAAGCTGCCATAGAAGCGCTTGCAGCATGGCCACAAGGTTTGCAGGTCGGTGGTGGTATTACATCGGACAATGCACTTAAATGGATCGAATATGGTGCAGCCAAGGTAAACTTACCGAAGCCCAGGGGGTGGGGGGTCAGGAGAATAATGAGGGCAAGGGAACAAGCAAAGAGAGGGATCAGTGATATACGGGCGCGCTCGCGCGAGATTGCGGATGCGGGGAGAGGGTGTCCCGAACATAGGGGTTTTTTTCACAAAGCCCATCAAAGTTGTTCACACGGGAGAGAAAATAAACTTTCGTAGGTGATTGTCACAAGCTATCTATTTCCGGATGCACGGTTTTCCAAAGAAAGATTGGTGGATCTTTGTCAGCAAGTAGGCAAAGACAAGCTGGTGGTTGATGTGAGGTAACGCTTGTAATAACGACGACAAACGAAATGATAACCTAAAATTAATGACTGTGTACACAAAATAACAAAGTTGCCGCAAACGTGATAACAAATGGGTCGTTGCAATGAACAAATGGCAGACAATGACCGATATGGAAGTGAACAAAGGTTAGAAAAATTAGACGGATGTCGAATTTACAAGTTTCACTATTAACTTGCTTGACATGGGGTGACTCTGTAGAAACGTTGGACATGCTTTCAGAATACTGCAGGTAAAGGATAAACAAGCAGTGATGGTGAAAAAGATGGCTGGCTAACTTGAGGCATAAATGTTGGGGTAACCCGGTTCATTTAGCGAATTCCTTGTCCATGCGGCTGATGTCGAAGGCTTGTGCAAAGGCATCGATCAAGAATTAGTAGAGAGTAAATGTCTGGAAACATAATGAACACACACGGAGGAACAACAGCTGCAGACACGGACATGACTAAAGTATGGTATTTAGAGTTAGGCGAGTGGGTCACAATACCGACTACGTATGCGGGAGGAGGAAAATGTAAGTTGTATTACCTTGCGGCATTGGTTGTCGGTAATTCCGAACTAAGACTGATTCTGTCTCTTTGTTCTGGTTTAGCCATCGAAGACTTGGCGTTAGTGGACAGCTTATCGAAGGGCAAGGTGGACCTTACTTATGGAAGGCAAGTGTTACTGTAGTATTTGTGGGTGGTACAGAGAGTAACTGACTTGGGGGTTGGGGTTGGTTGGTGTTAATAGCGCACTAGATGTATTCGGAGGAAATGGAGTGCTTTTCGATGACTGTGTTGCATGGAACAAGGAGCACCCATAACGATCACACACACACACACACACATACATATACACACGCACATAGAGAGACATACATCCTGGTGTAATAAACTTTTTTCAATCAATCCATGATATCACCCAACACTCTCCTCCTCGGCTCGTCTCCCCTACCCCAATAAACCCGCGTTGCCCCTGAGTATATCGTGTTCCCTGCATGAAAGACAAGAAAATCGAGTCCGTGGTTGGGGAGATTTCGGGGCTAAGCAAGCAGCAAGCAACAGCAGTAAGCCGCGTTTAAGAAAGAAACGAATTTTCGCGAATCCGATTCACACATTTCGAAGCGGCGCGTTGTATCCGAGAAACAAAAAAAACCCAAAACCGACGGTGATCACTGTGCAACCAAGGATAAGGATTCTTTGCTCCCCCCGAAAAAAATTCTTCTTGTCACCCTTGTGCAACGGAAAAGAAGCTTCCGGATCCGAATATCACAAGTCTGGAACCGCAAATTCCAAGGAGCCTCGCATACACCAGTAGAAAAACTACCACAGCAGCTTGTCTGCATGATATCGGCTTGGGTTAGCGTCTGTGGGAGAACGGCCCTTGCCTCGAAGTTTGGTTTCGATCGTGTTGAATCGGATGCGAAATGAAATGGAACAGGGGAAGAAGGCAAAGGAATGAAAGTGTGTGTGTGTGTGTGTGTGTGTGTGTGCCCTGCAAGTGATCGGGTTCGCTGGAAGAACTTTGATATGGCAAAGATGTTACACTGTCAACAGAGAAACGTTGATCGATGCGTCCGAGCATCTGAGATTTTTAAAGAGTGCCCGGCCATTTGGAACGTGTCATCGATCTACCTTCCCTTTCTCTTTCCAATATCCATCACACATAGAACGTACACACACGTCCTCCACCTTATACACAACACCTACACACATTCGCTCATTTTCCTTTTAATGACCTACATCCACCCGTGTTCCTGGTCATTACTTGACAATGACACCTTCAACGTCCTCTATCTCTCGCGTACCCTTCCAGACGACATTCGCTCGACCGTCATGGGCCGATCGCTGTTCAATTTTATGCATCCCGATGAAGTGGATCTCGCACAAATGGACCTGAAACGCTTCGTAACCGCCAGGACACTCAGCGGATCTGTGACTAGGTGAGAATAACATCCATTCTTCTTTTCTATCGGTCGTTCGTTCGTTCGTTCTCTTTGCTTGCCATTAGGAGCCTGTGGTGGGTCGGGGTGGCCCGTGTACTGGGATAGAAAAAAGAGAATTAGGCCACCTCGGTTCTCTCTCCACTTCACATTCACACGGAACGCTTATCACAAACCTTAACAAACAACGCATAGATGTCGTCTGCGGAACTTGGTAGGATACGCCCCATCTTCCGACGCGTCCGCTGCTGCTGGTGCTGGTGCTGCTGTAGGTTAATTTTGTTCTTGCTGGGTTCTTCTCAAGTCTAATAATATGCACCATCTCTCTTGCAACCTCTCTACCCACACGCTGCATATCTCAAGCTGATTTGTTTGTGCTTTGTTTATTCTGTATATATTCTTTCCCCAGATGTCGGATGCTGACTGGCTCGTTGTCGACGTGATCCTCTACGCTGCTACAGATCAACTGCTCCTTGCATTCTTTCATGTGGATCCAGGTACGGCAGGATAATAAATTAAGGTGTTCCGTCGGTCAGTCAAATTGATTGGCCCACTCATATATTCTCCTTTTCTTAATTCTTCTCCCATCCACCCACACAAAAAAAAACAGGGTCGCTCACCTCTCGGCACACAGTCGCATGTGGCGAACAGCTTTTTGACGGCGCGGTATGATGCATTACATTATTATTATTATTATTTGGGGGGGAGGGGTGGAGGGCGTGGCTATTTTTCTATGGGCTTTTTTAATATCTAGCTCCTAAAAAAAACTCCTTGCTATGATAACTCATGCATTCCACGCTTGGCTCTTATTTGATCCTGTTTAAATAGCACGACAATGATCATGTTCAGACCCTGCTCAATGGGCGATCTGGCGTGAGCACCTGCCCCTCCTCGTCCTCTAATGGTCACCAGCAGCAGCGATACCTCCACATATTCGATAGTCGTACGAAGACGGCTTTGCTTTCATGGCCCGAACGCTATCATCACGAGAGCAGTCTGACCGCACTTCTAGATGTTCAATTTGGTGCTTCCTCGTGCTTCAGCTGCTCGCGTCACTCGTCCCGCGACGTTTCACCATACGGCACGCTAGCAGTCGCGGACCATATCATCATTCCGTACGGTTGTATCACCTTTGCCATGACGCGCCGAAGCTCAGTGCCCGCAGCACAAGCCATTCCAGCTCATATTGCCGTACAACAAGGACAGCAACAGCGCCTGGTCCCTGTTCCACACAGTGTTGATGAGTAAGTGTACTTTTGCTTTATTGATAGGGCTCACATATTAATCATTACCATCCCATTATGCTGGAAAAAAAAACGTGAAAATTCAAGAAGCTTTTTCTGTACATTGACCGGCCCCTTGTTTTCTTCATTTTATAACCATAGCAACGCCGGTAGCAACATTAAAGAAATTAGCAATAATAGGTTACCCAGTCTACATGACTTGCCACACTTGGCAGAAGAATCCTTTTTTGGTCCTCATCAGACACAACAAGTCCATATTGGTCCAAACACCGCTAGGCCAGAGACTTCTTCTTTGCCCGAGGCATCATCATCACCATCGACCTCGTCAGTATTTACCGGCAAGAGACTTCGCCACGACGACTCTTTCAGTTCGCTCGGATTGCCTCCGATCGTGGATGTTGCCACCAAGCCATTTATACCTTATGCCCGTCGCAACGTCTCCGCCTCTTCCGCTACTGCTTTGTCCACTCGTGTGGTAGCTCAGCAACAACAACAACAACAACAACAAAAACAACATGTTCCCCACACTACTGTTCAGTCCCAACAACACTATCCCCAAGCGCCATCATCCGCTACGATGCAGCTGCCGCCGACAACAAGCAGCCTTACAACTTCCCATGCGCACGTTCGCAACAAACGGCGCCATTCGTCCTCCGCCAAAGCCCATCAAGCCTCGACGACGAATAAATTCCACCCTAGTAATGCTTCTGCTTCGTCTTCTCCCATCGCACACAGCAACCGTTGCGAAAGCTGTGGTACAGACTCCAGTCCAGAATGGCGCAAAGGGCCCTCGGGCCACAAAACGTAAGCCAAAAATAAGCATTGAAGGAACGAGAAAAACAAATAAAAACAAAATAAGAAGCATTGACCCACGATCGTATTAAATTAGCCTTTGTAACGCATGCGGTCTTCGGTATTCGCGTTCTGTCGCACGTAAGGAAAAAATGGCTCAGCAACAACAACAACAACAACTTTATCACCAGCCATACAGTAATGCTGGCGGTACTACCAGCCCCATCAGTACTACTACTACTACTACTACTACTACTACTACTACGGGTGCACGTTACTCAGCGCCATCATCGCCGGTGTCTTCGTGTTCCTCATCCTCGTCCTCTTCAGCATCATCTTCGCCGACCTCAATCTCGGGTCCAATAATCCCTCATTATCCAGCCTCTTCTTCTACTACTTCGTATATCAAACCATTCAACGATATCCCACCTCAATATCAACATCAACAGCACCATCACCATCACCATAACCGTTATGATCCCATTCTCCGTTGTTCTCAGTAATAACAACGAACAAACGAACGAACGAAAAACAACAACAACAGCAAGCTTCAAATTCCTACTTTTCCTTTCAACCTACTACTATATATAACTTTAACGCTGACAACAGCAGCAACAGCAATAACAGAACGCAAAACCGTCGACACACAATTATTTTCTCTTTTTTTCTTTATTTGTTTTCTAATCTACTTAGGCATACCCTGATTTTATTTAAAATTTTCTCTCTTTCTCTCTCATATGTACATGTACACACACCCACACACACACACACAGCACGCACCGTAACCCTAATTCTTTTTGTTTTGCTTCCCCTCCCAAAAGAACTCTTCCTTATTTCAATTTGTATCAATGATTGATTACCCTTCTCTTTCTGCTCGCCTTTGCTTATTCTCCTCCCCCCTCCCTTTCTCTGCAGCTCTGCTTGTCAACGCCCTACAAAGTCTCCCCTTCTTACTTCCTATATACCTTTTTGCGCTTCTCGCGCCATCTTACAATTTCTTTTCTTTTCAACAATCAAACAACCAAAGAAAAACCGATCCTCCCCCTCCCCAGTGATATATTCAGCAACCTATTCCCCCTTTGTTTCCTTCTTCCCTTCAAAAGAAACACCCCCCCCCCCGTTCCAGGAGAGAGAAAAAAAAATCCCATTTATACTCATGAATCTATATAGCAACTTATTATACAAATTCTTTTTCTTATATAGCAACTTTTTGCAAATATACACATGGCACTGCTTTACTGCTTTTCTTATTACTATCTCAATCAATCAAAACTCTTCCACGTCATCATCAAGAAAAATCGCGCAAGGAGATTGTCTTTTTTTTTGTTCTAATAGGTACATTACTGAAACAAATTCGTAATGTTGCAGAAGAACTATAGCGACTGAACAAGTGGATATGTACGTTGCATGAAGCTCACAATAGTAAGTAGCTGGTTGTAGTAAAGTGATAGGTTAGGTGACATCTGATGTAGTGATAATACAATCCCAAAAGGCATATGGCAGCGGGCTGTATTCAATCAATGATTTTTTAAAACAGCCAAATTTATTGAACCCGCGTTCTAGAATGCGAAAGGAAACGCTTACAATAGAGACAAAATTATCCGTGTTGACTATATACTCAATACTCAATAAAAAATTGCTACTGATATACAGTTGTACCCCGGTTTTTGCAACCCCTGGTTTTGCAATTCCTCGTATATCTGCAACTTTTTTTGAAAAATCCAAAAAAAACTTAGTAGTTTCGCAAATTTGTAACTTGCAAATGAGTTTATACGATTTGCATGTTATCGGGGTGAAAACAGCTTCAATTTTTGCAATATCAACTGAAAGAAGCATCTGTTGCGGATTATGAGGAATAAAATGATGCGGTTAGATGTATTTATTGTCGAAATACATAAAAATTATTATTTGGTAGTTGAGCCAGTAGAATCGGGACACATATATAGCACTGATTGGATTGAATCCACAAAAGAAATGGTGAAGATACTGTATAAGAAAAAGGGAACACACTACATATAGATATAGAAATAAAATGTTTGCTCAAAGGAGCTTTTAACTACATATCGAAGAAGTCATCAAGGGATGATTGTCGGGAGATTGATTGCTGCCTGAGACTCTCTGGAATCCTACGCAAAGACTTCTTTAAGTCGTAGTTATCGATATTATCCAAAAAGCTCAAAACTCCTGCAATTGCAACCTGTTTTTCCTTCGACGTTGGCCCTGGAATAGGCGAATCAGCGCTTTGGTCCACCGCCCGCTCAAGTGCTCGTCGTACGTTCGATCCTCTTGCTTGGATGTGAACTTGTGGAACGATTTTGTCATGCTTAAAATAGCTAATAATTATCAAACCACTAGACAGCTTCAATGAGAGAACGGTTTTTAATATATGCAAGTAGTAACATCTAGAGCTGTATGAATATTCCCAAAGAACGTATCGTACATCATATCTGACAGATAAACAATGGGCTAGTGTTAATAGGATGACTTATCCAGTGTATACTTAAAGCAGTATTGTTTACCCCGTTACTTGCAAATCCTCACTTTTTGCAAAAAAAAATCGGAAAACCCTCGGTTGCAAAAACCGGGGTACAACTGTAACCATGTATGATATCATGCAAAATGATGTGGTAGTTACTAAGAGCTGAAGACGGTAATATGTACTATTAGCTTCAAATTTTGACGCTGACTACTCCTAAATTTGTATATGAGCCCATCACTTACTTTGTACACATTATACTTCTCTATTCAACATCGGTCCAACTCAACTCCTTTCCTCAAGCATATAAGCCTAAATGTCCAAAGCCGACAGGATACATCGGCTTCTTCTGATTTACCCCTTGGCCTCCTTCCTTTCTTTTCGAGTATATACAGTACTATGATGTATTATCCTTTTCCCCCTAATAAGCAGGTCGGGTCATTTAATAACACTATACATTATATACTATCTTGCAATATGCATTGAAATATCCTATTACAGGTCTGTATCAATTGCGATCGATGCGATGCATTGCATAGGTGGATTATACGAAAAACATCCTCACGAGCACCGTAAACACGTCATACCTATACTCAATCAATCTATATAGCACGCTGTCTCAGCCTATTATCCGTTGTATCCGGCGGTTGCGCCCAATGTTATTTTTATCGATATAGGCCTTCACTAACATGACTAACACCACCACCCTGCATCTGGTGGTGGGATTGCATACATAGTAATACAGTACTAGAGTTATCGGACATAGACGTAGGACAAAGTGCCTTTTTACGTTTAAAACTTGCTAGTTCATCACCAACTCAATATGACAGCAGCCAAATCAATTGTCACCGATACTGCTGGTATTGCAGCTGATTATCCCGAGAAAATGGACCGTCATGTGGAGCGACCTTTTCTTACAAGGAGCAAATGGGTGCTGGTGATAACGATGGCGACAAAAAGACTGAGTGTCCTTTCAAGGCGAATATCTATGGAAACGAAAAAGACGTTGATCACTAGTTAATGGTTGAGAAGCAGCATATCCGGTCAGAAAAAGAGCCTTCTTTTATTTACTAAACAATTACTAGGCTTGAAATGTTCTCTCAGATCGTTGGTAACGAAGTACTTCACAGGAAATGTGATATCAAGATAATGCTTATCTTTTGCGCATGGGATATGTGTGCTGATATGAATGGGTGAGCTAAGTTACTATTATTACTTCCCTTGTTTAGTAATGACCTTATATATCAAAGAGCGAAACCATTACTGTTGCTGCACTAACAATAGAAGCTTCTTTTTGCTAGCGGAAACATTCTATCACAAGCAAAATTAGGAGGCCTTATGACAGATCTTAGCTCAACCGAAGCACAGTATGTATCGCTGGTGCTTGACCTTACCATTTCCAAGAATTACTAGTACCAAGTAGCCTATCAATTAATCTTTTTATGAAATTGGCGCCCATGCTATGTAATGGGAACACTGGCCCTGTTAGTAGTATATTTATTCAGGCTTACAATACCAGAAAAATACGCGTCATTATATTTACGCTGACTACATAAGGGCAATGTGACAATGTCGAGTGCCGGCGTAGCGAATATCGAAGGAATATACTATTACGCCAGTTGTTTAAGGCATCGCCGCGGCTGATACATACTTTATGTTTATATAATAGACCTTTTACTAAACAACACAAATTTCAAATGACCCTATATTATGTGCCGCCGTGGGTGGCAGCCTGCATCGCTCTGTATTTCTATCCAAAAGTAACAGTCCTTTGCTGTTTAGTACCGCATTAATAACCAGATGCTATTTATGTCTCTATACTTCATATTAGAAAAGAGCACTTGATATACCAACATTCAAACATCGTCGTAATCAATGCCAAATCTTACATCGACTATGTACAGCAACGCACGTTTTAATTTGCTTAATCAATTGTTTTGCTTGCTGTTAGTATGCTGCTAATATCTTTGTGGCAGAGCATGTTGGTGTAAGGTACTTCACTGTGTTCATTTACCTCATTGATGCGGTTAGAGCAATTTCTCTCTCTCTCTCTCTACAGTTCCAGTAGTTTAGCCATCAACATAACAGCCCGAGGAAGAACGTTATTAGAAGATATATTACATGGATTGATATAGAGACTCTTGGCCCACTTCTTAAAAACACATGGTGTATTGACAGCCTTTTAGGGCTGAGCCGATAGAGAGTTGCTAATGCAATCTTTTGCTTGGCAGCGACTGCCAAGGATAATATTTGTGGTCAGGCATATTTTAATCCTCCACGATACATTATGGGCCATACTATTGTGCTGTGTACTGTTGCCGCAGCAATTGTTTTGATCTTGGGGCTCCGGATTGTGTTGAATCGCATAGACTACAAACGATTCATGTTGGTACAAGATGGATTAAAGAAAAAGGAAACAATTGCCAGATACGGAGACAAAGTAATCGGTGATAGGCATTCGGACTATCGTTATAGCTTATAGTTTGCGTAGTATGTATAACCCAAACTGAATGAAATATACGATTCGATTTTCTTGTGCTCTGGTAGTTCTTGAAGTTTTATGCTTGCTCTTTTATTTTTAAAAAGTTGTTATTAATAAAAGAAGAAGCGGTTATGTTGCTTGGAATATGAATAGCTTCATGTACAATGTCACTTTTTCAAACACCAAGCACCATGCATTATATAGACAGCGGCCATGTTGTCTCGACTATACAGTAGGTGAATGGTGTGCGTCATTTACTTCTGAGCTATCCTTACACTTCTTCGCAGCTTGCCAATACAGTATTCACTGTCGATTCTGCAAGGTCTCTAGTGATGTTGTAGTAGGGAACTTCCCATCGCCAAGACATTAATTAAATCACTTTTCACGTCACTTATGCCTCTGTGTTTCCTTCGTACTTTGGCACATCAATTTTTATATAATGTAACAACACGAACCGTTTTAGTTGTCTTAGAAAAGTACCATGTTTGATATTCGCCAAAAAGAGACCGTTTAATGGATCGATAATGGCATGCATATATATCAATACCACGCGAACCATTCATTAACTTCAATTGACCATACAGAAGGGCTTTATAACAAACATCAACCACAACAGCCTCAAACTCGCAATTATCATATATTTCTGACAATATAGTACCCTAATGCCGAGAACACAACGAGCCACTAACCTTTCAGCAATAGCTCTGCAACTTGCTGGCATGTTTAAAACTGAAAAAGAAATTGATTGATAATAAGTTTTCGTGTACTTTCCAATCAATTTCACATCAAAGCTACGATTACCACCGCATTTGCATCCGCATAGAAACATCGGGATCACATCTTCTTCTTTATTTATAATTCTACAAGTGCTGTTTTCAGTTTTTTGAGATCGAATACGGCTTCTCTTCGTTTATCGCTCATGTAGCAGTGATTGAAGCTCGAAGGAACATAATAAGTAGGTTCAGATATACATTCCTGATCTTCTTTTTTTATCATTTGTTGAGATTGATCCGACTACAAATACACCGTTCATTTGAGCCTTAACATTTATTTCCTGCTAATTAATGCTCGGGTAGTGTATTGCCATCAGTAGTAAACTTCCTTAATTTCACCGACTGTTTCCAAACCAGCTTTAGCATATATTTTTAAACTTTTAAATTATCACGAGAGAAGCAAACAATAATGCTTGGTAGGTATGAGACAGCTCAGGAAATGGATCCAAAGCTGTGTACAGAAGATGAGCATATTCTCCATGTTAATTAAAAGTAAGTACTCGGATTTGCCTCTGATTGTCAACTGGTGGCACCCATTTGATATCAACACTCACTCCTGCGGAAAAACAACTACACAGGCCTCAATCATGTTACACGCCGAGTTGGTTTTGTGCGCCGCAAACTCTGCTTTTGTTGAAATCACACCATACAGCGTATAATACTACTTTTTAAGCATAGCCTTAAATGTTGAGTTTTAGAGGGTAAATGTGGGGGGTAACGTAGCGTAGGAACTTGCATTAGCAACGCAACAAAACGTCTTGATAATCATGACCTATTCTCCTTCCTTGGTAGCCTGTCAATTTTATTTTAAACATCCAAAGACACGCGGGCAAGGAGCTTTTGGATCGGTGACGATCGTAGCACCATCTCTTTCTCTTGAGCGCTTGAAGATCCGAAAAGAATCCCTCGACCAACGAATTCCTCGCGTGCGCACACAGACGGTTTACGACTGGCTAGAGCAGTCACTAATCCTGCGCCCGCGTGAGCGGGAGCCAAAAGTAGGCGATTCAAGAAGTCAAAGGTTTCTCGCTGTCTGCTAGTCTTTTCCCAACCACAAAAAAAAAACTTGGGCTCCACGCACGCACCCTACTTTGCTCGTCCCCCTCCGCCCTTTTTGTTTTTCCTGGATCCAGGTCTCTCGCTTCCCCCTCCACCTCATGAAGGTAATAGGAACAAAGTGATCACTTACAAGCTAAAACTTGACTCACTAAACCACAACTGTCGTTTCTTATAGTTTGGCAAGCAAATTCAAAGTCAACAGTTTACAGAATGGAGTGCGCATTACCTGGACTACAAAGGGCTGAAGAAATTCATTAATTCAGTTCTCAACACGCCATCCGAAAACCAAACAATCAGGTCTGACGATGATCGATCGAAACTCTTACAATCACAAAAAGCAGCCTTCTTTTTTAAGCTCGAGCGCGAACTGGAAAAGGTAACATGGCATAACAGAAGAAAAAGAGTCAGTGACAAGTTGTCATATACTCCAAGAAAGCAAATAGCTCATACTGTGATATGTAGATCAATTCATTCTATCTACAAAAAGAGAATGAACTGAGAGTAAGGTTGCGAACGCTGGTTGATAAGAAGAAGATCTTGCAAACGGACACGAGACGACTTAAACATGCATCTACGTTGTTCAACGCGATCCAAGAGGCCTTTATTCAGTTTGAACAGGAGCTCAACAAGATCCAAGTACGTTCCTAAAATATCAAAAAGAATACGGAGAAGAAAAAGGAAATACAGCAAACGTCATGAATATCGAATGCTGATGTGCGGGATGGGATCGTCTAATAGAAATACGTGGAGCTGAACAATGAAGGATTTCGTAAGATTCTTAAAAAATGGGATAAACGTTCAAAATCTACGACCAAAGAACTGTATCTGTCAAGACAAATCGATATCCAACCATGCTTCAATACTCAATTTCTATGTGAGCTCGCCGACATTGCATCCGCCAACAGAATCGAACTTTCCAATATTCAAGCAGGAATTCCTGTTACTGCTTCTACGAACAACAGCAGCACCAACACCACCAACAACGACAATGCTGAAAGTAAAAATGGCGAAGAACAAACAGCGGATGTCATTGACGATCTTGAACTGGAGTTGGTAAAAACTGTATCGAGTGGGCAGGCAACATTGGTACGGGAGACGCTGGAACGCATTGCACAACACCCTTCATCTGGTGACCGGGACCGGCTTTCGCGGGTATTCTGGCATGCATGTTCGGAGGCATCGCAAGAGATCATTGATCTGCTGATAGCGACGAATTTAGTTGATTTTGGATACGTGGATGACATCAACGAACGTTCGTGCTTACATGTCGCAGCAATGGCAGGTCGACGGGATCTATTGGAGATTTGTACAGAACGCGGGGCAAAAGTACAGGCAGCGGATGCTTATGGACGAGCAGCGCTCCATTATACAACAATGAATGGATTTAGCGAATGCGTATCCTTTTTGCTTACACAAAACGCCGATATCGAGGCGCGGGACCACGACGGTTACAGCCCTTTGCTCTATGCGGTGATAAACGGGCACGCGACATGCGTTGATATCTTGATTAAGGCTGGCGCAGACATTGAACCAAAGCACGACGCCGACCATATTCCTCTATCCCTGGCATGCTACTATGGTCACACGGACATCGCGTTGATCTTATACCAACGCGGCGCGAAAAATCTGCCCAATGCGGAATCGCTTTATCCACTTCATTTGGCCGCACGTCAAGGTCATGTTGAGTTATGTCGTATGCTGGCACGCAACCGTGACGATCTGGATGTTCCGGACAAGTACAATTCATGGACACCGCTGTTTTGGGCTGCAAGTGATGGACATGCGGAATGTGTGCGGATATTGATCGAAGCGGGCTGCAAGGTCAATCTGAAGGACGAATATGGCAAGACAGCATTGTACTATGCTGCATGGGAAGGTCAGATGGAATGTGTACAGTTACTGATTGACGCCGGATGCGAGGTGGAGCCCGTGTTGGATCAGTCTCAAGCATCGACAACTGGAACACAAGTCACACGCATGGAAGAAGATGATGAACAAGAACCCGAACACGAACTGGATGCTATCCCTTCTCTCTCATTACCACCACCCATCCTTCCTTTCCGTATCTATGGCCACAGCTATCTGGACCGCAAATACCAAGTTCAAATCAGCCTCCATCAACCACCTATTCGCCTTTACGACAACACACAAATATCATCCTTAAAATTGATCATCACATCAAAGCCTGACACGGGTATGATTCCACATAGCGTCATTTTGCCGCTTGTCGATGATCGCGAAATATTCAGCTTCCAGGTTGACAAGCTCGACGACTTTCTGCTCGAATTTGATATCTTTGCTACGTTCGGATCCAAGGTCCTCGGCCGAGGCGTGGCCTTGCCCGAAACGTTCTCAAAAGCTGACTTTAAGATCACTGAAGGCCATCGCACTATTCCACTCCTCGACAGCCATCTCAAGGTCATAGGTGAACTCGCTTACGATTATTCTGTGGTGAAGCCTTTCCGTGGCGTCCAGCTCGAAATCGGGGGTCGTATTGAAACATACTGGAAATCCACAAACATCGTTATGCCCTCGTCTTCTTCAGCTTCAGTCGCATCTGCACCTCCGGCAGCCCGCCTAACACCTGAGCCACCTCTTCCACAACCATCCTCCGACTCTATCGGGACAATCACCGCTGCCACCACTACCGCCACTGCTCCCACCAGTACAACACCAACTACTCACCCTGTATCTATGACCTCGTCAACTACGCTTCCATCCTTTATTACGGCATCATCTTTAGCGGGCGATTATGTGCGTGTGGCCGTTCAATTAACCAAAGACTACGTACCGGTGGTATTTGCAAACTGGCTTGTACCATTTGAAGATTTGGACTTGGCCGTTTCTGATCTCACCTTTGAACAATACTGTCAACTTGGACGCAAAATTATGGCCAACGCTCAAAATCGTGGCAGCAATGATCCAAACCAGCAGATATGTCCGATGACAGGCAATAGCATGATTGTGCAACGTCTGAACTCTGAGCCAGGATTCTTGTCACTAGAGCAAGTACTTCGGGTAAGTTTCATGATTTGGGACGCCTCCAAAGAGAGTCAGAGAAAGCGAACAAAGATTCACCATCGGGTAATTTAGCATTTGCCACCGAATATGGGCATCCACGTTGATCTCAAGTATCCTACAGTGTGTGAACTTGATATTCATTCGTTTTCCAATTTACAAGATCGGAATGGGTTTGTGGATGTCGTGTTGCAGACTGTTTACGACTATGTTCGGTCATTACCTATTGATACCACAAGCGCTGGCATATTCTTTTCATCCTTCAATCCAGCAATATGCACAGTCATCAACTGGAAACAACCAAATTGTAAGTTTTCAACGTATAAACACAGTGTTCCCCATGTGCCCACTTTCGGTTCGTTGTGGTTATTGATCGATGCTTATTTCCTATGTAGATGCGGTATTCTTCAACACTTGTTGCGGGCTCAATAAGGACGAGGTCTCCCGTGGCGTTAAGCGGCGGCAATCTGGTGTAGAAGAAGTACATACCAAGAGAAAACAAGATGTGCGGTGTACATCGCTCAAAGAAGCTGTCAAATTCGCCAAACGAAACAATCTATTGGGTGTAATATGCGAATCAACGCCATTGGTATGGTTCAATATACATATTAACGCAAGGAGGAATAATGTGCAACTAATACTGATTGGCTATTATAAATAGGTACGAGTACCATCGCTTATCAAGAATATTAAAGAGAGTGGGTTGGTTCTTGTCACGTATGGCCAAATGAATGCCGATGAACGGTACCGCTCCATCCAAGAACGCTATGGCGTGGACGCCTTGATGATACATGATGTTGTTCACTTTAATACCACGATGGCAGGCGTCGGCTTTTAATTAGCTTGCAAAAAAAGAACACAGCCTTTAATTTTCCATAGCCTTCCTTTCCTTCTTCGCTCCCAACCCTTATTAGACCTTCTCTTTCTCCCTTTCTCTCCCCTCATTCCTGTTGTATATCGATTTAACCACCAGCGCACCGTCTCATTTCTCCTCTCAACACACCTCTTATTTACGTTACATATACTGTTATATTTGCAAGTGAAATTGAAACAAAAAAAGTAAAAAAAAAACTTGACAATCACGTGTACATAGATAGAATGGTGGGCTCAGTTTTCTATGTTACGGATGATCGTATGCTCCTTTCAAATATTTGCCCACAGTTGGCATCAGCGAAACGCCTTTTCTTATGTAAGTTACTGTAAGTATGCTCGTCCATTATATACAAAGCATTAACCATTCTCAGCCATTAATTTGACCGAGTGCATTCAGTATACCTGATAAGGGTTGCTGCGTTTCTTTTAGGCGGTTGAAACCTTTGTGTAACGTCGTAACATGGCAACTAAGCAGGACCGCATTTCAAATATAACGCAAGCGTAGAGTTGCCCCTTTCTTCTTCTTTTTTCTATTTTTACTCTATCACTTCATTCTTTCATGGCACGACTCACCGTCGACACAGCGTCTACTACGACGACAGCTACCACTACAAACACAGGCTCTAGACCACTTGTATTTTGTGTCTATGTTTCTGGACATGGTATGAAGTACTTGACTTTTGGCAATTCGGAAAGGAGAACGGAAAAAAGCTTAAACGATCATCTCGTATATAGGTTGGGGCCATGCCACTCGAGCCAACCAAATAATCTCTGACATTTTAAAGCTACCGGCACAACATAAAATTTACGTCGTTTCGAATGCGTCCGACTTCATTTTCCAAGGTGTTATACAGTTGGGTGCGATCTATCGTCAAGCAGATATTGATGCCGGAGTTGTTCAACCTCTTGCTTACACTGTCGATCGCGACCAAACTATTGCAAATCTCAAACTGTTTCTTGAGCGACGGCCAGAAACGTTGACTAAAGAGGCACAGTGGCTAAAGCAAGTGGGTGCTGACTGTGTTGTTTGCGATGCTCCGTTCCTGCCTTGGTGAGTCTTTCTATATATTACTGTTTAGTATAATGGTGTGGCTGTAAAAATTCCGGGGCAACAGGGATGAATGACAGCAGCAGGACAAGAAGGGATGCTAATTCGTATATCGTGGTATCTAGTGCGGCTGCAGCAAAGGCAGGTATCCCAGCAGCCATTGCGAGTAACTTTACATTTGACGAAGTATATAAAGGGCTCTGTGAAGGAGATGAACTCGACCAAGAGATCCGCCAAATGGTCGAGACTACAATAGAGGATTACCGAAACGCAGACCTGTTAATTCGATTACCGGGGGCGATCCGTATCCCATCCTTTGATGACTCAGAAAACCTTGTTCCAGTTACACCGATCACCACCAGCTTCCCAGACGAGCTCAAGAAAACGGACAAGGGCGTCGTTAATGGCAAAATGCAGCTCCCATGTACAAGCCAATCAAACGTCCGATCCAGCAACAGAAAGCGTCCTTCCTACGAACGACGGATTGTCGACGTACCGCTTGTTTTCCGGAAATACCATACAGACCGCGAGCAAGTTCTCCAAGGACTCGGCGTCCCACGAGAGGTCTATGAGAGCAACAAGATCTTGTTACTGTCGTTTGGCGGCCAGGCGTTGGGTAAAGGAGGCTGGGTCGATCCTTTACCAAGCGGTTGGATATGCATTGTTTGCTGTGCGCCGGATGGCGTAACTTTACCTCACAACTTTTATCGTGCATCACGCGACGCTTATGTTCCTGATTTGACGAATGCGGCAGATGTCGTGCTCGGTAAGTTGGGCTATGGTACCTGCAGCGAGTGCATTGGTCACCGAACGCCGTTTGTCTACGTACCTCGGCCACAGTTTATTGAAGAGTATGGACTGCTCAAGTTGATGCACGATCAAGGCAGCGCTGTAGAATTAAAGCGCGAGGACTTTGAGATGGGTTATTGGGGTGAAGCAATCGAGGCGGCCTCAAGACTATCTGGTCGCTGTGAAGAACCGGAGCGTCTCGTTGCACACAACGGTGGCCAGATCGCTGCAAAAACCCTAGAACGTTTTGTGGCCGAGTGGAACCAAAGTAATCGTATTCCTTTGGATCAAGTCGCTGAAGAACAGACATCAATACCCGTAGAAGCCTTATAAATGCTGCCTCCTTTTTTTTTTGTGAAAACAGAACACTTGGAAAATCCACATCTTTTATCCATATCTCTCTCATACTCATATGCTTTCATCACTTATCACGTATACACCCAAATGCACAGCCAGCCATTCTTTTCTGTATCCTCTTTATAAATCTTTTGTGTGATGTAGATGATGTAGATCATACCGGAAAGAAGAACAGACTCGCAAAAGATGTTCTTCTTTATAAAATAGACTTTTTTGTCCCACTTATTAGCAGTGCGTAAAATATCTGTCGCTTGCTTTTTAATCTTTTCGTTGCTATTTTCACATTGGCTGGTATGGGGGCATTGCTCTGTTGTTTGTGTTTGTGAATGATGATAATGACGATGATGGCATTGGCATTGGCATTGGTGGTTGTAACGGCGGTGGTTGTGGTGCTTGTTTGTTTCGGTATCGTTCATATAACGTATCTAAGAATGATGTGTCGTTCTGAATTCAGTTAGGAGATGGTGTTAGTATATGTTGCTATTTGCAAAACATTTGTGGTAGATCCTTTTCTTTGCTTCAGCCGAAACGTTTACCTGAACCATGTTAAGGAACTGTTGGATGAATTCCGGTTTTGAAAGAAGAGGCCGGCCATCACCAGCGAAACGCATGTCTACTTCTGGCTGTGTCAGGTTGATTGTGGATTGCGGCATCAGCGACGGTGTAACATTCGCTGCTCCGCCTAGTCGTGGTGAGGGATACATGACACCAGTTGGTGGCCAAGGTCGATGCTGATCAGACATTCTTGGCGACTGACGAACGGCTGGAGGTGGAGGACCACCTTGCAATGCTTGCAATAGAGATGCAGCCTTTTGCGGCGATGCGGTTGCAGCAGGATGAGGTGGTACAGCTGACGGATAATACGATTTGTTTGGCTCGCCAGCACCTCCGATAACAGCAGCAGCAGCTGGTGCAGCAGCCGGAGGTTGTTGCGGTAGCGATTGAGATGGAAATTGCATAGGTGATGACTGCGGGTTGAACAGCTGCTGAGGAGGAGGTGGAACAGGAAGGTGTTGCTGACTTCTTGTGTTAGGAAAGCCACTGTCATGGAATTCTTCAGACCCATGAGGAAATCCATTATAGCCGTTGAAAAACGCTGCAGCAGGTTGTGCTGGAGGAGGTGGCGGTGGGGGAGGATGTAATGGCGGTTGCTGTTGCTGATGTGAAAACGGAGGCGGTGGAGGCATTGGCGGTTGTTGTTCAGACCCATCATGTCCAGCTTGCAGCATATTCAACAAAAGAGCATCGGAAGTGTTGTTTGCTTGTGTTTTCTGTTCCTGTGATGGCATCGATGCCTGCTGTGGGGTAATTGATGCTTTCTCGAATAATTTGAGAATATCGACTTGTCCGCTCGATGGTGCTGTGGCAGTAGGTAATGCCACTTGTGTTTGAACAGGGTTGGCATCCATTGTCTTTCGTAATCTACCAAAACAAAAATTCATTATTCTTTCTAGTTCTTTTATTCTTTCTATCTCGCTTACACACTACATTCGTATCTTGGTATAGCTACTTACTGCAATATACGATCTAAAAATCGCTGTCTGTCCTTTTCCTCGAATAACCATAAACCACACGCTTTTCCTAATACAATATCAACCATGATCAGTCGAGGTTCATGGCAGCTTGCTCATTGGTCCCATTATCTGTACCTTCACTCGTTTGGCATATCAGGAATTCATCTGCCAGGCTGAGGTCACGAATATCGCTCAAGTAAAGACAAAAGTTGTCCATACTCAATCGGTTCAATATGAATAAAGCATATGTTGGTGCCGTTTGTCTAAACAGTCATACGTAACCGCGAGATTTAAAAGATAAATCAGTTTCAATGTAAGAGGGAGTCTGTTTGCGTCATTTAACAACCAATTACGCATACATATAAAGTCTTCGTATAATAAATACCAACCTTTTCACAAGAAACAACACGCCTTCTACACCCATCTTGTCCTAAAACAAACCGTTCAGCCGCGATCGATTTGTAAGACTCGTTTTTGTCTGCGTACATCCCCCCAAAGTATACGCATATACTATCGAGAATGCTCTAGCTATTACTACGAACCCAGCTGTTCTTATCCTGTATAAACTTGTACACGACGGCATGAGGCGATTGATCGCAAATGTCAATAATCGATGGGTCGTGCCGTTGGAGCACCGTCAGATTGAGTGTCTGACGTTTTACGAAATCCATAGTGCGCTTCAATTATTAAATAATATTTCTGTGAATATGTCAAAGAGAGAAAAAAGAAGGTGTGAAAGGGTGAAGAGTGATAGTAATCTCTTCTCAGAACGCGTGTGACGTTTTGTATTTCATTTCGCTTTGCTTAATTCTTTTGATATCACTTCTCCGGGCCTCTTTCTTTGTCATACCTTTCTTTAGAGTTTATGTAGCTTTATTCATGATACAATATTTGGCATGCAAAATCATTGTGTTATGCTATGTAGACAACCGTTAGGATACAACAAAAAGGTTTGTAATGATGGCTGGTTAAGGGAACTGATCAGTAACAAGACGTTTTCTATAAATAGCTATTGCTTCGCTCCAAAATGACAACTGTTGCCTTGGAAATGCATTTGGAGCTCCAGTGAAGAGTAAACAACACTTTCATACATATGCAAAACTAACAAGCTAGATGGTACATGGTCTGAACATGTTAGCAGTATCATAGCAAGGAAGTATGGATTCAAACATTGTTATAGTATTGGTATTGTTGAAGAAACATATACCCATCAAATGTTGGTGAGACAAAAGTTACTGCAAGATATATATTTCTCACAGCTAACAGCTGCTTCTGTAAGCAGCGAGATAATAAAATCAATGATGGTTAAAACCTCAATGAATAAGTCCCGTAGTACCGTATTGAAGGATACATAAGCAGGCAACTTTGTTCATCGTAGTCAGGGTGATACTCTTCAACTTTCGGGTTCCGCTAAATCTAAATTAGGAAGTAGGGAAGCGGGGAGACCAGCAAAAGACAGGAGACAAGTCGGCCACCGACAAGACCTCCTCTTTTCCAACACACCGACACAATGCCCAAAGGTATGGTGTGAAGCCATTTCTTCGATAATACCCGTATATATCACACGCGCGTCAATACAACAATAGATACACAACACGGATGGATCGATTAGTTAGACGGATGGATGGATAGATATTTTTCCAACGATATAGACATTGCGCGCGCGAAAAAAAGAACGAACATTAGCGAAACTCATTCATAATTATTTTTTTAATTACTACCAACAGTTAGCATTTCCGGCACAAAGTACCGCATGACCCTCGGTTTGCCCGTTGGCGCCGTCATGAACTGCGCTGATAACAGCGGTGCCAAGAACTTGTACGTCATTGCCGTCCGTAACATCAAGGGCCGTTTGAACCGTTTGCCCGCTGCTGGTGCCGGTGACATGGTTGTTGCCACTGTCAAGAAGGGCAAGCCTGAATTGAGAAAGAAGGGTAAATTGATTTACTTTTCCGTTTTTTATTAATCAAGGTTTAGGAATATTTAATACTCACTAAAACTCCAAAAAAAATACAATTTGCTCTTAAATTGATTTATAGTCATGCCTGCCGTCGTTGTCCGTCAACGCAAGGCCTGGCGCCGCAGAGATGGTGTCTTCCTCTACTTTGAGGATAACGCCGGTGTCATTGTCAACGTGAGTTTCGTTTAAATTTGTGTCCAGCCTTTTTTATTTCAATAGAAGTATGGGTCAGAGATTTGTTTACTGATTTATACCTTTTTATTGTAATTAATAGCCCAAGGGTGAAATGAAGGGTTCCGCCATCACTGGTCCCGTCGCCAAGGAGTGCGCTGACTTGTGGCCCCGTATTGCTTCTGCTGCTGGTACCGTCGTTTAAATTCGTTTTTATCATCATTAAAACATCAATTTTCCTCGGCCACGCATATCTTTTGTATCGTTATTTCATGTGGATGACATTTTTGCACTCGTTTTTATGTTGTGGGGAATGATGTAAACTGGAGCTTCACGTGCATGCGTTTTGTGTGTTATAATTGTTAAGCAGCTATGATCCTTTTACGTTGTCAAACGTGACCATAACGAGGACATGTTCACTTTGTTCCGGCTTATCGTTGCCATAGTCTATTAGTACTAAAGGAGAGGTAGTGAATATTTACAGCGATCCTGTCACCATCGTCCGCGGCGGTTACCGAAATCATGAATACCTGCGAGCTTTGGGTTCCACAGAATTGTTTATACCTCTCTTCTTTTCTTTCGAAAACTTCTTAAAGTTTATTTTGTACTTTTCGGTATTATACCTCCTTTCGATCGTACACTATGCCGCACTCGTATTTAGTCATTGGTGGCAACGGTTTTCTTGGGCGTCATATTCAAGAACAAATCCGTTTGCGTAAAAATGGTGCCAGAATTTCAGTTTTCGACATGAGCAAACCCGCCGATGCAGAAGCTGATGTTACTTATTATACTGGCGACCTCCGCCAATTCGACGACGTGTATAATGCCCTCGAGGGGATAACGGCTGTTATCCACTGCGCGTCGCCTCCTCACGTCAACTCGAGCAATCCTCCTCGCGATCTCTACTTTTCTATCAACGTCGACGGTACAAAAAACATTATTCGTGCCTGTCAGGAACGAGGTGTAGAGATTCTGGTCGTGACCAGCTCTGGCAGTGTCATCTCAACCGGCGAGCCCATGGTTAACGTAGACGAGTCGACTCCATACCCACCCGAAGCTATTGATGTCTATACCGAATCCAAGGTATAAAAAGAAAACTGAAAAAAAAGTGATACCGAGAATGTGAAGAGTGACTTCAACAGCTTTGGGCATTGTCATTGATATTAACTTACCGCGAAATTATTCACCGTCTATCATGTTAGATTGAATGCGAAAAGGTTGTTTTGGCTGCCAATGGTGAAAAGGGTATCCGCACGTGCACTATCCGACCCTCTGCCATCTTTGGTCCTGGTGATCGACAGCTTTTGCCAGGAATGATTGAAGTATGCGAAAAGGGTCAACATCGTTTCCAGATTGGCGACAACACATCCTTGATGGATTTCACCTATGTCGGCAACGTTGCCTATGCTCACGTCCTTGCTGCTGAAAAGCTCGTGGATGCTGCTTCGCCCGCGGCTGGCCAAGCATTTAACCTTACCAACGGTACCCCTGTGCCATTCTGGGACTTTGCCTCCAAGGTTTGGGCCGAGTATGGTCTGCCCATGCCAAACGAGAAGAAGATCATTCTTTCGTACAACGCCAGTATGGTCATTGCTTATATCAGTGAAGCTATCTATAATGTCAAGGCGATGATTTGGGAGAAGAGCACGTTAAAGGAAGGTATGACCCGGTCAAGAATCAAACAGGCCATGAGCTCCCGTTATTTCAACATAACCAAGGCAAAGACGTTGCTTGGTTACGAGCCACAAGTCGGTTTGGAAGAAGGCATCAAAATTGGTGTTGCAGTAAGTGGTGCTGGCTAATTGGCGTAAATACCGATAGCGTGGATACAAATCACTGGTTCTAACTCGGAAACCTCTTTCCTTTTCTTCCCTTAGGCATACAAGGCAAATCGCAAGTAAAGGTTTCTTGAGATAGAAATATTGTAATACGTAGTAGTTATAGTAATCCAAATTATTATTATTTTTTCCACCAATTTTTTGTCTTTCCTTTTTTCCCTCATTCGTCTCTAAAAGTTCCAAGCGTTCATATTATCTTGTTCCTTTGTCTCTACTTCCTCTTGGATCTGCATTTGTACGTATGCCAACTTATCCACCAATGTCTTCAACGCCATTGTCACTACCTCTTCCGGTGCCAAAGATCCTACGGTCTTTTATAATTCGTTCCTCTTAGGTTAGAGCCATAACTACTTGCTATTTTACTTGCCAAAATATTCATCATACTTTCTATTCTTACCTCTGCTTCGAAATAGAACTTGTCTGGCTTTGCGTTATAGTCAAATGCTAGATAATTATGATGGTCAGCACCTTATCCTTCCTCCGAATGATGCATGATAATGTTGTAGAATACATACGAGCATCTTTTGCTGGTGCAACTTCATATTGTGCGTTTTTTGATGGGGGCCTGTGTCGTAATTTTGATGTGTTAGCGTAGGTCACTTGTAAAATCTACAATAGCCAAATTCTTCCAACCTTCCAAACAATATGCGTAGTATATATTACCATTCGCTCTCATCTTCTTCAAACCAATATTGTGTATGCCGCAATTTATTGTGTGGATCATATTCGAATGCGACACCACTGACAGGACTCCATTTGGCATGCTCTTTTGCGACACCCTATGTACATAATTGCTTTGATGAATAGAACTGTGACGCCCATATAGAATATGATATCGATTAATCACCTTCTTCGCAATACATTTTAGCTTCAATTCCATGCCTTTCCGAAGTTTCACCAGCATTACACCAGCGTCGTTTTTATCTAATAAAGAAGTTATGAAATATATCAGGAAATTAGAGATACATACAACTCTTCGCCATAAAATATTGCAATCTGGCATTCATACCTTGTAATACCGGTGCAAATGTTGGGTTAGAGGATATAAGATCTCGGCTGGTAACGGCCTTTGTCCGATCATCCGTACATTTGGCATGCAAGGTCAGCTCAACTGAACATTCTGGACAATATTGCGAACAGGTACAATCCTGTAGAGAAAAAAAATTATAACCATTCCATCCCACCAGTAATCAATGATCTTTTCTTCGTATTCGGGTATAGCGTCATGTACCGGGTGCGCGCGTATATAAGATAATGATGTATGCTCACTCTGGTGTATCGTAATTTTTCGACGTCTCGACTATCGATCGGAACCATGCCGAGTCGATGTGCAATGAATTCATCGGCGAGCACCGTTGAGTTCGTTTCAATTTCTACCATATCGATTGCTATATAGACAAGAAAGGTATTTTTTTAATTAATCTATTATGAAAACGAGTGTTTTGAGAGGAGAGATTCGCTTTGAAAAGCAATCTTACACTTTACCTACTGTTGGTACCTCGGCAATCATGACACGACGAAGAGCATTGGCCACACTATTGAGAAAAATATCAAGTTGATTTATTGAATCGACTTTTCAGTCAATGCGATCTACTGTTTTTCCACCAATTGATTACTCGCAAAGTGCACGCGCCATGTCATTTGCTTTCTGTAAAAAAAAGCAAGCACAACTTAAAAAATAAAATCGTTTTGATTTAACACACCTTAAATCCGTGTCGCTCAAAATGAAATCAATATGATCCTTTGACAGGCTTCGAATCGTAATGTTAGGGCCTCCCAGCGTCCCATATGAGCCTCCAATGTCCATGATTTATAATAAAAGAAGGGAAAGAAATTAAGGTAGCTGGGAAGACAGAGGCTCGCAGTTATAACGGACTGCGAAATCTAATTCATCGACTAGCTCGCTATCATATGGCGAGTCCAGTTTGACATGTAAAGTAGAAGCCTTTCGTCTTCTTCATTTATTGCAAACACATGATATATATTGTATATTCAATATACCCAATATGAACACCCAAATCGAAGAATAGTGCAAACACAGTAGCATAATTTGTTTATTCATCATCGTCATCGTCATCGCTTTCTGCTTCCTCTCTCCGTACCATTTTTGATGGCCTGCCATCTTCATCCTCGCCTGCGGGCTCACGCTTCATGACCTTGTTCGAGCTGGTTGCTACTGCTGTTGATTCCTTCTTGTTGCCATCCAACGACCGCAACCGATACGTTCCGTCCAACTTGGCTACCACGTGTGATTTGGTCTTGCCATATTCGATTTTCTAATAATAACAGAAAATACGTTCATATTCATATCAATTCATATTACGTAGTTTTCCTATCTAGCATAAAACTCTCTGTAAGGGAAAGAGAAAGGAAAAAAAAAGAACAAAAAGGCACAACGCTGTCGTTCCGGGTCGTAAACGTACCAATGGTCTGTCGTAAAAGCTGAATCCGTCCAAAGTACGCTTTGCTGTCGTTGCCGATGCAATATCTTCGTACACAATAAAAGCCTGTTCACGCATTTCGTTTGCTTTTTTGGTAACAATATCCATGATCTCTCCGTGTGTCACGAACAAATGGTAGAGCGATGCTCGAAGCTCTGCATTACATAAAGAGTGATCGATGACGTTTTTTAGACATTGTATGGTGTTTTTTTTTTTTGCGCGTGGGTGCATCTTTTTCTTTTAGTGTATTTTGCTTCAAAACCATACTCTACCTTCCATGTTGATCTTGGCAGGTAGATTCTGCAAATATAAAGTTTGGCTAGGTGGTATCTCGCTCATTATGTGTATTTTATGAAGGGTGCGTGTTTGAGAGGTAAAAAGGTTCGCTCACCCAAAATTCTCCTCTCTCCACTCTGTGACTATGTCAAGGCGGGCATAACGAACAAGAAAATCTGCCCTGATCCAGCGAGGGCTTATGATGCATAATCATAAATGCACTGGTTTTTCTTGAAATAAGAGGAATAGCTTGTTACAAGAAAACAGATACTGGCGCGGTAAGCTCGATGGAAGAGATGTAGAAGCTCATTAGGTCTAGGAAAAGTAGAGCTCAGTCAGATCAAATTTTGGTATTGCTGTTATTACGCTCTGTGCTTTTCAATCACAACGATGGGTATATGGTACATGTATCACAAAAATCACCTGTTGTTTTTGCTTCTACTACCGCTGATAAACACCTTCATCGACGTTATTAGCAGCTAATAATTACAGCTAACTGTACGAGTGCCTTCAAATATGAGTCGAGGACCACCATTAGTAGAACCGTCTTAATATAAAATATGATTGTACATACATCAGCATCTAGATCCGTCTGTCATACAATATGGAACATAGAGTGCATTTATATACCCGTGTACTTTATTGCATTTGTACTATAAACGCCGTTGTCGGTTGGAAACTTTACAAGGAAGCAATTGATCTCAGACCGTCTACAGCTTTATTGACGAGAATAGTATCGAGGTCATGTCAAGCGAAGCTTTGCCATTTCTGCGGCACTTGGTAGATAGCGGATATGTATTCTGCAGACTCGCAATACTTGCGCACTATTTAGATATGTATATCCGCTCTTTTTATTCCCAATGAAGGTGTATGTGAGCAACAACCGCTACATCTTTTTTTTGCTCCTCATATTCGAGTACTGAACCATTTATTGGAAGCAGCACAGCTTTTAAGACGTCTGATTATAGCGTACCAATAGAATAAATTGATAAGTAATTGACTATTGCTTTTTTTTTTCTGCTACCGTATGATATGCGATCTTCTGGTACTGCACTTTTGATATATCTAAAAGCTAGCTAAGATTCTATAATGTATATGTGGACGTCGTTCTGACAGGAAAAACATCGCTCTTAGTAATTAGCAATGAATAGCTGACCGTCAACGTTTACCTCCTATACTCCCGGTGTATATAATTGGATTAATGATGAACCAATCACTTGGAATTTTCAATTCCAAAGCGCCGCCCTTGACATAATATCTACTAAAGAAGTGATTAATCCATTGAAAACAAAACCCATAGACCTCGTTGGGTTCAGATTTGTCACCGTCGCCAAAGACGCAAGTGAAATTGAGGACTATAGATTGTTTTTGGCTTTTCGAATTGACGCCGTAGATACCAGTGCTTTCTCTCTATGCTAAGGAGCCGCTTCTCGGATAGAATGCTGCTGCAACTGTCATATCACAGCCTTGTCACAAGGTATCCAAACGTGTGAAAAACTTACACAATAAACAGGCTTTTTTTACTATGATACATTTGCTACCTTCAAACTTGATTGTTAGAGGTGCGACAAAATACCCTTAAGCATGATGTGCTACTTCCATCTTTTTGAAGCAGCACATGATGGTATAATTTCTTAACTGATGTGTATTAAAAAAAATGTCTTCTGAAAAAGATTGGACACACGTAATGCATAGTAGCAGTATTGAGTTATAGTCGCAATGAAATCTACCATCCTTGCTCTGTCGGTGCCTACTAGCTGCTTCTTACCACCACATCGCTTAACAAAAAGGAACAAGTACTACAGCAAACAAAACCATTCCGAACAATGAAATTGAGGCGCGTGATTTCTTGACAGAAAGCGCTGCCTCAATATTGATTGCATTGACGAGCCTTTCTTCTCATTATTTCATCATACTTGCATATGGCCACTGTCACCACTCTCGTCCAGCGACCAAGAAGAGCAGCGGCTGTGCGCGCCGAATCGCTCGTTCAATACAACAAGCGCGGTCGTGAAGAGCGTAAAGCAGCCAAAGTCGAAAAACGAAGACGAAAAGAGGAAGCCGTCGCGGCGAAGGCAGCACCATCACCACCAAAACAGCCAAAAAAGAAGGTGAAAAGACCAAAGACCAAAAAGAAGCAATTTGACAATGACAGCAACAGTATGGGGCAACAAGTACCGCCTTCGCCACCAGATTCTGACGACATGACTAATGACCAAGAACCGAACCAGGTCGCTCCTCCGGTGTCGACAATAAGTACTGATGAGCAGGAAGAGCGTCTCCCACGTGTGTATCAGCTTTCAGTGGAAGTCTGGGAGCTCATTGTGCAAGACCTGTACCCTTCGCAGCTGGCAACACTAGCCCAAGTGTCACGCACTTTCCACGACATTGTCAACTACCTGCCTTTATGGAGGTCTATTTGTGCCAAAGCTGAACTGGGTGAGCCGAAGAAACGTGGCAAGTGCAAGACCTACTTTAGCTTGGTGCTGAATAACAGTGAACGCATCTGTGAGAAGTGCTTTTGCAAATGCCAAAAGTCTGGATCGAAATCTGCCTTGCCTGTCCAATTGCCCAACTTGGACAAGGATGTGAACCTTTGCCGGGATTGTCGCCGTGCTCATTATAGGGTCCATCCAGAACCTGAGCCAGAAACTGATACGGAACAAGACTTGTCGGAAGAAGGAACAGGACGACGGCGCCACTCCCAGCACCGCACACGCATTACCAAAGGTCATGCTATGTCGACTTACAAGTTGAATGATTCGGATATGGACAACATTCCTCACACAGCAACACGCAACCCATACTATCGCTCTGCGCCGCCGATGCGACTCTATTACCGATACCGAGTTATCCGCTATGCGCGCGAGATACATGGAGGCGAATTGGGTATTGAAGCGATGCGAACCAAATCCAAGCAAACCGTCTCGACCCGCCGCCGCAACACCGAAGCACGCATTGAACGTGAACGTCAAGAGCGTGAGGCGCGTAAGACAGAGCTCAATCAGCGGTTCGAAGAGCTGAAAGTGGATCGAACGTGGATACACTGGAACATTGAGCGCTACATCGATGCCAACGTTGGTTCCATTGAAAATTGCATCCTCCTTGCGAGCGAACGAATGAAGAAATTTAACGAGCTAGCAGCGCGAATGCGGGCAGCTGGATACGAAGTGGACGAGCAGTCGCGCATTACTGTAGGATACATGAGTGACGAAGGCGGAAGCTTGGATAAGACTGTGCAACGGCTGACAGAGGAAGCTGTTGTAAAGCAGCACCGCGAGCTACGACTGAACGAAGTGATCACAGCTTTGAGCAACCATGGTCTCCCGCCTGATCGGAAAGACAAGTCTGTCTTGTGTCGATCGTACATTGCCTCTGGTTCGGGTGAACTTGATCAGGCCATGCAGACTCTGGTCGAACTAGATTGGTTCAAGCGGGAGACCTTCTACGGCAGCACGGACCCCAGTCGATACTATGATCCCATGAGAGACTGGCATTTTCACCGTGAAACTTTCATAAGCAGGAATCCACGCAGCAAGTGGTATGCTTTGAATCAGTATCTTCTCATGCGACTGAGAAGCAACAATTTGCAAGACGTCAAGGATGACAACGACACCCCAGCACGACCTCCCCAATCGCTCTGGACACGAATCCAGGAAATGATGCCGAATGTTTGGAAAACGGTGGGCAATGAACATGCGACTATGGGTTTCTTTGCAGATCAGGAGAACTTGACGCAAGCATTGTCGTCGGATCCCAACGATCCATCCTTTATCACGGATGATATGATTATCAAGCTGATGGATGAAGGTGCCGAGGCCAAGGCCAGGGGTAATGCAAGTGGACAGGAACAGGCTCCAGAGCAAGCAAGCGGGTCTTCCTCTCAACAAGGTCGAGGTAGAGGACGACAAAACAAGCAGCATCAACAGCAACAACTACCACCCGCACCACCTACACCGCCGTCCAACGTCTCATTCTCAACTGCAATGCGTCAAGCAATTGGTGAATCCGAATTCCGATCATATCTCGTCGCTGCTCGAGCTTTTCTGGTGCAAAAGATCAAAGATGCCTATATCCTGAGCATACCCCAAGGGATCCAAACATTCATTAACGGTTGCCGTGTGGATCCAACATTGACGCGTGCCACTTACGAGGAGCGCAAAAGGGCTTTTATCCATGACGAGATACCCACCATTTCACAGAAAACGAATACCCATGCGGCTTATCTGATAATGCTACTTGATCACGCCAATCCATGGAGCTACTGTCCCTCCTATAACTATGCTCGCTACAACTTACAGATGCAATAGCAAGCAGACGGCAAGCGCAACAACAACGGCAACAGAAAGTGCAACAATAACCATACATATTGTAGCCATCCTACTCGCTTTTCCTCGTTTCTTTTTTCCTATAACATCTTTGCTACTTTGTTACTTGCAAAAAAAAGAAAACTTTATCGATACACTTCTCCCTCTCTCACTTCTTTCATTATGAACTATGAATATCTTTAACTAGCTAGTAAGAAAACGCGAAAATAAAATTGTCTGGCCAATATGCTCCAGTGAAAGCATGGTTTTGCATGTATGACAGTGATAGTGGATCTCTACCTGATCTATGTTGTGTTTTAATGCGATCACCTGCGTATGGCTATCTATCCTCGTGTGATAATTGATTAAAGATCCTCATTGCTGTATAACAAGTCGTGTAGCATCATGTAGCTATACGCACTATGTTTAATACGTCAGTTAGACCCCGGTTTTTGCAAGCACACTTTTCGCACAATCTCGTTTGCGTCTTATTGAGGTGTAACTACCCTCGAATTGCAACTGTGTCCGCAGTACAGAAGCACTGCCTGCGTCTTTTCGGGAACTATTTTCCTCACTACGCCGATCATTATGAAACTCGCGCTCGCATGTCTGTGCGCAAGGTGTGTCGTGTGCTTAAAACTACTAGTGTCGTTGCTATAGCAGCGCCACAGGGAACCACCTGTCTCTAAAATGACGAAAGAAAGGGCTCAGAGCTGCACTATCTATTACCGTTAATATGTAATAATGTGGTGATTACTACTAACCTTATGAAAATAAATTTGTATTGGCGTGTCAAAAAAATACTCCAGTGTTAATTAAACGTATTAGCCATGTAAATCCGTGTATCCAAGCGTGCAGCAGCAGATAATGTTGTCGACGATATAAATAGATAGTATCTTGCGTCTTTATCGAACAATCAATCCCTTATAAGTGCTTATTGTCATATGCAGTACACATTCAGAAGCGACGATGTTAATTTATGCAGCCAAATCGCATAAGTTGGTTGGATGCCCGCAGAACAGCAGGTTCGAGTAACGATTGGTTTCAGAAACACATGTTTACTCATTGATAAAGCACACAATGGCAAGAGTCTTGAGAGAAAAGGTACCATGGTGGTATCATCACCAGCATACATATATAAAAGATGGAAAGTATATATAAAAGAACAACGGATTGAAAAGCGTGGTGAGGAGGCGGGGGAGGAAGGCACCAAGGAGTATCTAAAAAGAAGAAGAGGTGGATATACAATTTTGTTTTCTTTCAAAAAATGCACAACTACAAAGAAGAAGAAGAGGAGAATATAAGGTTTAGATAGGTGGGTATACAGAAAAGGGCAGAAAGAGGAAGCGTGTGTTTGTGGTAAACAAAGCAGGAAATATATGTAATGCTGTGCATGTTTGTTTGGGTTGCTTGGATGAAATTGGAAGTATTGGAAAGCGCAAGGGTGCTATGTTATTATTAGTATTATTATAGTCAATAGCATTAATGGACAATCACAATCTGCCCTGTGCCATAAAGGCCTTGGACATCTGTGACGCTCACAACACTGCCAGAATCGCTGTTACTTCCAGAATGTTCCAGCACAAGGCTCTCACGCTTTGATGATCGGGACCGTCGTTTGTTGGAGGAGGAGGAAGAGGACTGATGGCCCGATGACCTTAGTGGCTCGTCATCAAACAAGGCCATGCTACCCACTTTGGCAAGACCCATGCGACGTCGGAAATGCTGGCATTGCTTGAACATTTGAAGCACCGGGGAGTTCTGCATGAGTCCCTGCCGTAAATGCGACATGAAGCTGTAAAAGTCGCACACGGCCACTATCCTGTCGCGACAGAATCGATCAATCGGTAGCCATGGTGCTGGTTTCTTCTGTTGTTGTAGCTGCTGCTGTTGCTGTTGTGGTCCATGAAGTCGCATGCGGAACTCGCAGATGCGGAGCATGCCGCAACACGTGCATTTCGTTTTGGGTGCAGATGGTTGTTGTTGTTGTTGTTGGTGCTGGAGTGCTGAAGCAGACGAAGTAGTGCTGATATGACTTGTAGCCGGCGAGGACGATGCGGAGGTCGAGGAAAAGGCTGAAGACGAGGACAAGGCGTGTGAGTTCCATGTCTGAATATCGCATCGGTTGGCAACGATGGCGTCGGTGAGTTTGCGTTTGAACCAGGGGGATTTCCACCATGAGGACCCTGCTGTTTGAAACAAGCACGGGTCGACGTCCTCAGCGATCACGCGCTTCATAAAGGCTGTTGCAGGCATGACGTGTTGATGTGTTGCTGCAGTCGTCGTAAGTGTCTTGATATGCTCTTGAAACTCGTCAAAGACCACGCCATCAATCCGCACGGTCTTGTTTGGCAACAACAGGCTGTTGTTGTTGATGCTCTCGTCCTCGCTGAGCGGCACCAAGGGTGAGGTAGGGGACGACAGCCGAAGGGACGAGTGGCGCATCATGCGCGATCGAGGAAGTACGGCAGCTGCATCAAAATCGTCCTGGCGGTACCGACTGAGACGCTCCGTGGCCGTGGTGCTCTGGTTGACTGCTGCATCCAACTCGACCAGCTGCTCCTTGATATCCCTCAGTCGCTCTTCCCGGATGTCCCATGCCTGCAGCACAGTCGCAAGCTTGCCGCCCGTGTCTCGATCCAGGCGGACAAGTCCGTCGCGGTCATTGACCTCATCCATCAAGATGGTGTTGAGCGTCCTGAACAAGGACGCAGTGACGTCCTGGATGTCCTCTTCAAGCGAGTCCTTGACCTGCTCAATGCTGAAGCGGAGCTGCTCCTCTTCGGATAATGCCGATGCAAGCGAACTCAGATCGCGTTTCATGTATGCCTTTTGTTCAATCTGTTGGTCGAGCTGGGCCAGCAGTTGGCGGCAGTTGCTGCAGAACCCGCCATGGTCAGTGGTTGGCAAAGGAACCGAAGTGGTAGTGCTCGTGGGTTGTCTCACCACTGGCGTAGTGTTGTTGCCGGTGGCACTCTCCATCATAGCAGCAGCAGCAACATCGGCGGGCGGAGTTGTTGGGTGTGCTTCAACACCGTCGGTGGAGGGCATCCGTGTCATGGACGAGACGGACGTTGTGGTGGAGAAGGTGCCTCCACTACTACTGCTGCTGCCACCGGCTTGTAGCGAATCGACGTCGGTGTGACGAGAAATCTCAGATCCATCCACAGACGATTCGAGGCCTTCCATCAGATTGACAGGCTGCTCGGAATGATGGGTCCATGGTGATACACGGAAGGATGCTGCTGCAGCACCAGCACCACCAGGTGCATACTCGTCTTGTTTACGCCACTCGTTTGCAGCAGCAGCTCGTCGCTCCAGCTCGCCTTCTTCCAGATCATCGGCATCCGGAAAGTCGTCGTCGTCGTCGTCGTCGTTGCCGTCACCAACTGGCGGCGGCGTTGCAGTCGTCTGCTGTGCCTGGCGCAAAAAGTTCAGGGCCAGTATCAGGTTGTTATCATGGCCAGGTTCGGTTGCTGCATAATCGGAAATCAGGACGATCGCCTCCTTGCTGTTAAACTCAAGTTTCTGGAGTTTCTTTGAGAGGTGGTGGATGTACTGGTCTTTCTGTGATAAGCCAACAAGCCAGTCGTGACGATCATGTTCGTATTTTCGATGAATCGTCTATAAAAGTTTTTTTTATTCCCAACAACAATGAATAATTTGTCATGGTGTCCATGTGCACCCCAAACGCAACAGCTTTATTTTAAAGTTTTGCCACGGCTTACCGATAGATCCGTTTCCAGGTCCAACACCCGTGTTTCTAGCTTGGCAATGATATCCTGTGCCTGCAGCAAGAATGGCAATACATCGTCTTCTGAGAACTCGTCCATGCCGAATTGCAGTTCGTCCATAGCGTCTTCTTTTTCTGCATGTAATTGTAGTGGTGGCGGTGGTGCTGCTGCTGCTGCTAAGGGTGATACTGTTGGCGATAGCGGCGCTGATTGGAGGGGATTGCCCACACTACTGACTTGCATGGTCGAGTAATGGGAATTGTGTAAGTATACAACAGGAAACGAAAGGAAATGAAGAGAAAGAAAAGAGGAAAAGAAAAAAGAAAAGAAAAGAAGAAAGAGACCACAGCACACACACACACACACACACACACACTTGGAGGGCTGGGTTAACCCCCAATTTCTGCTGTGCGTGAGGTGGGTGGGTGGCACACGCAAGATTAGTTTGCAGCTCTTTTTTTTTTCACAAGACAAGACACGCTTTGTCGTTGAAGCTTATGCCAAGCCAAGTCATGCCATGCCTCATATGTCTCATGCCTGCCTACGACTTTCTTCTGGGCTGTTTCTTGGTAATAATTTTAAAGACCCTGCTACGTCGTCGTCTCCTTTTGTCCCTCAGTCCAAATAAGCAGGGTTGTTCTTGATCTAGCCGCTGCTGCTGCTGCCATTGGCGGCCCGCGCTAATGCAAAGAAAAAGGAGGGTTCGGGGGGGGGCGGGAGAGAAGAAAAGGAGATTCACCTCTTCTACTTCTTGATATGTTTGCTGAAAACCTCTTCTGCGTAATGAGAGAGGGTGTGCAGTAAGCTACACACGCGGAGTTTCTCGGCTTTGGGACGATGGCGCGTTACACAGGCAAAATGTGTGGGCAGTAGGCCTCCGAAAAGAAGAACAAAACGTTTTTCCTTTTCTGATGCACACCGCCTTTCAGTCGGCTATAAATACGGGGCGGGCAGCCAAGACGCTCGGACGCCAATCCACATCTCTCTTCTCTCTTTCTCTCTCCTCTCTTTCTTTCCTTTTCACAACCAAACCATGAAGTCCATTGTTGCTGCCATCGCCGCCCTTGCCGTTGCTGCTGTCTCGGCCCAACAAAACATCATCTCTGTCACTGCTCCTCTCGAGGGCACCACCTACCAAGCCGGCTCGGATGCCATCATCAGCTGGTAAATGATTGTAACTATACTTGACAAGTGTGTGGGAGTGTATGTATACTAAACAACAGCGTATGTACGTATATCTAGGATCAACCCCACCGTTGAAACCATCTCCCAGATTGTCCTCTCCAACGGCCCTTCGACCGCCCTCCAGCCCGTCATGACCATTGCCGAGAATGTTGATGCCGCCGGTGGCTCCTACACCTGGTCGGTCCCTGCAGACCTCGCCGCTGGCACTGACTGTAAGTAATTGCCTCCCACTCCTCCGTGTTTGTTGTCTTGGACCTGTACTAACCTTTGAAAACCCTCTTAGATGCTCTTCAATTCGGTACTTCCCCCGACGTTTCGTATGCTGGTCCCTTCACCATTGCGGGTGGTTCGTGTAAGTAGCACATTTCAGTCTTAGACAAGTGAAAACGTAAAGGGGACTAACAAACCATTGTGCGTATATTTGTATGTGATTATAGCCAACTCTTCGTCTTCTGCTTCGGCCAGTGCTGCTGCCTCCTCGTCTGCTCCTGCTTCCAGCTCGGCTGCCGCCTCCAGCACCCCTGCCAGCAGCTCTGCCGCTAGCTCTGCTGCCTCGTCTTCCGAGGCTGCTTCGTCGAGCGCTTCGGGTGATGCTGCTGAGGAGACGGTCGATGAGAGCGCTGCCGTCAAGTCGCAGCCTGCTGCCCTTGCTGCTCTCGCCATTGCCGGTGTTGCTGCCGTTGCCATGGTCTAAGTTTAAATAACTGGCAACACTTGACACACACACTATCTCTCTTCCTCTCTCGCACAATCCCAGCATACACTCTATATAAACCTCTCCCTTCGTCTATTCTTAATGTAATATGCAAAATGTCACAATAACAATTTATTCGTCCCTTTACTCCTTTTGTTATCTCATGTTATAATAAAGCAACAAATATCGTAATCAAATTTCAAATTGTTCCTTCTCCCAGAAATGCAAGCATGAACACAAGAATATGTATATAAAAAGAAAACGATCACCGTCGTCGGCCGTAAGGTAGTACAGGTGTAATTGGCCAAATTTGTGTCTTGTTGATATTGTACGACGTACGACACATCGAAAATATTCCTTCTCCACCTTCGGATATGGGGCTTTTTATTATGATCAAACAAAACAATAGTGCGCGTGTATGTACAGAAACTCGAGAAAAAACTTTTGGGATCGGAGTCAGTGACCCAGGATCGCCCAGTCATACATACACCGACCGAAAAAGAGGAAAATCCCCCCGTGCAATTGAAAGTGAATGAGAGAGAGAGAGAGAGAGAGCGAAGGAGCGGAAGACAGAGAAACGCAGATCCCTTATCTGTCTGTTTTTGGGGAAAATTGAAAAAACAACAACACATTCTTACGGGGAGCACCTCTTTTTCCTTTGTCGTCATTGCTTTTTAAAGGACCCTTTTTCAAAAAGGTCTGTGCACCACATCTAGTCTCTATTCCAATCCGTTTCTTTTTTAGCTTGGAAAAAAATGGTGCTATTATTAAGAAAAAACAAACTTTTTTTATTTAATTTCCCTGCAAAAAGGAGGATAGAAGGGGAAAACAGTTAATGCACGCTAAAAAACAGCCTTTTAGTTCGTCAAGATACAAATAGGATTAGGGCCATATTCGTAAAGATATATTCATAAAGGCTGGCGTAACCTGGCACTCGTTCTCGTTGAGACTATTCCATATACGATCCTTGTGCGTCAAATCTTGCACATGGCCATTAGCAACTTTTATCAAATTTGTGATTATATATATGACACTTTGGCCTGGACTCTTTCTTCAAGTCCCGATGTGGTTTTTTCTGTATCCAGTTGGACTCACTTGCTCTTCAATTATCATCATTAACATCATCGTACGATTGGCAACATTATTAAGGTTTTTGTTTGCCTGCATCATTCCGTATGTGTTGTTGTTTATGTTGTGTGCTTAAATCGGGAAAGGGCGGCGGCGGGTGAGAATGTATGAGAGAAGTGCAGTAGTGGATCTTCACTGTGCATAAACATAGGTCGAAGTGACAGCTGACTGATGCTATATATATCACACAGACCCTGGTCTTACGAACGAAAGAGACGTTTACGTTACCAACAGCCTATGCCTTGTTTCCAGGAAATTCCCCCTCTTCTTTTAGCGGTTGCCTAGACAACGCGTGTCCCGGTCAACCTGAAACAGATGTGAAACATAGCAACGGATTGCCAGTGCTTCGTTCTGGGTTCATTTGATTCTGTCTTTACAACGTATCTTGACTTCCTGTTTTGCAGTATTTTTGGTGCGATGGTTACACAAACTAAGATTCCTCCTGTGTACTCCCAAACCAAAAAAAGTGATGATGTAAAAAGTTGCAAAGAGAGTACGTAGTGGATGAAGCTTTTCTTTTCTTTGCTTCATCTGTGGTCAAATTACATGTTATGCATGCAGTCGCAGCCTTAGTTTGGAAACCTGTACGCACTCGACGGATTTATTGACTTGATTGTTGGGCGTGTCTTTTTTTTTGTATGATATACAGACTACTACTCGAATAGCTGGAACATGTTCATCTCTTTTCAGCGCTCAACTCTTAACCGTCTTCTCCCCGCGCACTTTATTGTTTCCAAATCGTGTTTTTCTTACACAAATTAAAATGCAGGAATAGAATAGTTATTCTCGCTATTCAGAAAGTAGACCTGCACAAGAATGGGCTATTTTATCCTTTGCCCAACAACACCAACGATTATCCATTCTCGGCTTATTGTTTTGTTTTGTTATTGTTGTTATGAATGCAACATGCAGCAACAACAGATTCGGCGGAACAAACACAAGCACAAAGAATGCCAAGTATTTTTCTTCTTTCCCGCCACATCCGAATAAATAAAAATAAACTCCATGTGGCCCAAAGAAGAAAGCAAAATTTATCCGCAGAGGATGATGCCTGGTTATACAGTATAATACAGTATAAAGCATGTATGTTGATTACTGCGTATGCAATTGACGACGTTGGCATAGCATATATCAGACGGATAATTAAGAAAGCCGCATCTCCTTCTCTCTTTTCTGCCTGTTGTATATTCTATTATAACAAATCGTTTAATATGTTGTCGGACACATGCCTCACCCGCTGCTCTTTAAAATTGATGTATACATCAATTCAGTAGAAACTTGAAAAGTTCTCGACCTTTTTTTTTGGCTCAAGATAGAAACGCCAGTAAAGAAGCTCATGTGATATCGTACATTAAGCACTCTGCTGCTAAAAACACATTTGGCAAAAAGTGAATATGCGCTCCTTCATAGTAATGAAATGGACCCTAAAATACGCACTTCAGCATGAAAAAATCGGAACAAGGACCGAACAGCCACCATGCCTAACACAGCCATTATAGACTAAAATTAAACTCGAAAACATAGTATCATGATGTGTGTTGTGTATGTGCACTTCAATCAGACTCAGTTCAACAAAATCGTTGGTTTATTCATGCACAAAAACAATCACTGCATTGGCTTTCGGTTTAAACAGTCCTCAAACATGGCACCAGAATATTTATGAAGAATTAGCCAACATTGCCTGTCAAATTTATTAGTCAGTCATCGATTATTATTGCGTTCACCAATACATCATATTTACCGATGAAATTCATCGCCAACAGTTCGCTGATGTCGATTGAACAATGGCTGTTGAGATGGTCGAGAATCGCTGCGTTCGTGTGCATTAGTTTCAAGTCTTCTTGAACTCTTGACCGTTTTCATTGATTTTCTTTCCAAACACTGGTACTGCCTGCATGGGGGTGAAGATTGCCTTGTTCAAAAGGGCCACATTTTTGGTTGCCTCGCAAGAGTTCTCACCGTCCACCACTGCCACATCTGTGCAATCGAAAACAAACTCCAAAATGGTTGCAAATCTGCGATAGAAAGTCAATTCAGATTCATCAGCTTTCTTCGACCAGTGTTCCAAATTTCCCACGACGTGATCCACGATGAGAAGCAGGATATAGGGCTGACTTTGTTGTAGGCATCTTGTTTTTGATATTTGCCATTTTCTCGTCGATAAAAGCGATGACATCCCAGATATTGTCGCCTACATGAACAATGGCATCGAAAAGGGCACTTAATTCCGGCGATGAACCATCGTAGCTCCAGATTCGATGCCGATATGACGTTGTTGATACAGGCCCACTGATGTTGTGAGAAGAATTCTTGATAGGTACAGTATCTTGCATCGAGGTATTCAGCATGTTGATGAACCTTGAAATCGATAACTCCAACAAAGCTTCTTCGGTCGTTGAGAGCGTGGTTTTTGCCAATTGTTTTGCCAAGATGTGGGCACTTATTTTCATCATTGTGTTGTATCCAACATGTTCAATAACACTTATTCTTTAATCTGTCATTAATGATTGCTGTTATTTCCCTCATAACCTCACTTGTGCGGACATTTCCTTATTCATACACATCTTGGTGAAACACCGATCAGCTATGCTCAGGAAGAAGTTGTCATTATTCGGATCACGTAATTCACATTAGCTACTATCTGAGGCATTTACCCGGATGTACCTTTTACTCACGCATCATACATTACTTAATCCTATATAATTGATTTGTAACATCAATTCATCCGTTCAATGCACACGCTGTGGTAGTTGCCAAGGATAAGCCATTTCTTATAAATAGTGAGAACTTTTGTTATCATAATAAACCAGTTTCAATTCCTTTCAGGTCTCGTTGACTTATTCTGTCTCTTTTGGTTTATTGGATATTACACATTGTCGAAACCATATCCGTGTCGATCACATCCTTTATCTCTACCAACTTCCGTGTTTGTTTCTGGGAAATTGTGGACCCCAAATGCTGAAACCGAACAGAAAAACGGATATCAGAATGTTATGTGTTGTGTTATCAATATGTCATGTGTGGTGTTTACCAATTTATACGTCATGTCATGAACAAAGTGCTCGATATCAAAAGTGCCATCAGAATATAAATTATATTTAAAAAGATATAAAAAAGTTTTAAATTTTTAAAATTAATAAAATATAATATAAAAGGAAAAAATATATAATATAAATAAAAATATTTCTTATTTAAAAGATATTGTAACTCCTAAGAAAATTTGTAATCCTTAAAAATATTTGTAATCTCTATAAATATAAAAGTTTCATAAACTGGCGGAAAATGAGCATACCTTCCTCTAGTCTAGACCTACTGGATCGACGACTAGCTTGACAGAATAGAATTATATATAATTTTGTTATTTATAACAAATATTATTAATATGATTCATTCTCCATCGTCATCATCTTCATCATTTGTGTTTGCATGATCGTTCTCATTTGAGTGATTGGCAGAAGCAGAGACCAAAGGTGAGCAACTCGTCAATCTGCTTGCACAGCTCATCCAGTTCAAGAGGGTTCATCTTATAAGGTGGGCGATTGATGGGATCAGCGTCGCTGTGTCAATTACAAGGCTGACATCCAGACTGGGGGTAAACCAGGGAGCTTGTCTTGGAAAACCTCTGGTATGCTAGGTACAGCTGTTGAACTTTGTCTTAGTGGGATGTTCCCTACTTGTTTTGGTCAAAAGTGAAAACAGGTATGTCTATATCATATTCTGCTTTTTACTAAGATGATTTGATAACAAAGCATAACAACTTACTGACGATATCACTTATGATTACAGGCGTGAAACGTTGTGAGATAACCTAGGCGGATATTTTTGACGCCCAGAATCATCGAGTCGCCAAGCTCTTTACAGTTAATGCCTGTAATTGTTGGATCTGCCACTCGGAAAACTTTTTCCCTCACTGCCTTGCACGGGATCCCAAGATTTAGTGGTTTTTTTTCTTTTTAAATTAAGTTTTTTTAAGAAAAAGCATGTAGTCCTGAACGGTGTAGATAAATGGGAGTGGGATTGGAAGAACGCGTCTTTTTTTCTAGCAAAGCGCAAAGGGGACAAACCCATTTAATCTGCAAACTTGCTTCGCGTTCAGCCATAAATTAGTTCCAATTGATCTAGTCGCTTTACAAGAAAGTGTTCGCTAAATAAAACCGCAGAGGTATTTCATGCCGCAAAAAAAACCTGGGCTGCAAACGAGTTTTGATCGTGGCCCTCAAAACCATACCGTAAATCTGATTGGGCGACCCACAAATCGGTTAGCCCAGAGAATTCACCTTGGTGCAAAAAAGGTGTTGACATGAAAAGTCGGCTTATGGCCAACGTATCTAAACGCGATATCACCAGCGACTCTGCTAGTTCCCAAAAAAAGAAACTGCTACACCCTTCCAAAATTCCTTATTACGTCATCCTCAAGGGCACAAGAGCCTACCAATCACATCATTTCTCCTTTCGCATCTTTTTTGTTTTACCATTTTTTTCGTGACAAGGGAATCTCTGGTCTGCAGCGACATAGCTTAGCAGTGTCAAAGTTATTTCAACCAAGAGTATGCCTCAGGTTACCTGTGGCGACCCAGTGAGTTGGCAATTCAGTGTAAGAGCACCTGCAGCGGTCGCTGTTACGAAACTGTTAAATTTCAGAGTTTAACAGCCCGCTTTACAGTGCGTAACAGCTTAACAGGGCATTTCGTGCAGCGGTTACTGTTACGAAGCTGTTAACTTCACACGTCGTTGGTTTTAATGAAAGCTTTGCCCTTTCTCCTGAGCAGGGGGCAGCGGCAGAAACGTCAGACAGGCGAGTGGCGTTAGAAGTAGCGTTGCTCAATTTGAAGAATACAAACAAAGAATGAAGTGAGATATAGCTTTATTTTTCAAGTCCTTTTTCTCGATTCAAGAGAACATAACAGGTTCTTAACAGCGACCGCTGCAGGTGCTCTAAGGGTATCACCTTTATACGGCTGTCACCGGTAGCGTTTTGCCATGATATAGAATTCAAGGTTTTGATTCTTAGAAGTTCGTAATTCGTCCAAAGCCGATCCCACTTTTCTTACCGGATACGACACTCAATAAATAGGGCTTGAGTTTCAGGATGAAACTGACTTCAGGCAAATCCGATCACCCAACTTTACAACAACAGCCAAATATGTAATTACTGACGTGTCCAACACTACCGAAACTCCTCCCAGTTACCATAACGAAGGAAAAATACCATTGAGTGGTACGATGAAAGGAAACAGACCTTGATTTCATGAACGACTGTATCTTTATTGACGAGCCAGCTTTCCATGTCAACATAGCATGGCCCAAAAAAGGAAGCCGTGCTGTTGTGGTCGTACCCAAGACGAGAGCCAAGACGAGATAACTATTTTGGGCGCTATCTCTCCTTATGGTGTAGTGAACATCAAGGCACGAAGACCAAGGGTACCTGTCGCCTCGAAGAAGAAAAAAACAGCAACGGTGTTCAGTCTGTTGGAAATGCGAAAGCTAAAACAGTGGTGACAGGACACAATGCAAGAAGAATTCCATTGTTATAGACAATGCTCCCATTCACATGAATTCTGATATGTAAGAAGATATACTGAGCAACGCGGTTACGGTTGTGTTTATCTATCAGCTTACTACCCTGAGCTCTATCCAACTGAACAATTTAGGTCTGTGTGTAAAAGCAAACTCAAAAGAGAAGAGCTTTTGCAGGAAGAGACCATGTCATCTATGATTGGGAACGTATGCAACCGAAAACGATATCACGGGGATTCTGTAGATATTCTGATGCTAGATTTGAAGACTGTTAAAATCAATAGCCAAGAGTAAGTAATGATTAAGGAAGTAAACGCCAAAAAGTGCTGTATCCTTATCACTCATTTGGGAAGCAATTCGTACGTACATTCAGTTCAAATAGTTTTCTCAAAAACCCTCATGTAACTAACTGTGTACTTTCCTTGAGATAGCTCTTGAACCTTATCACCATTTCCTTATGTCATCGAATACTAAACCACGCAATCGGTTAGAGGAAAATTGTGTGGTACCCTAAAATACATTGTAGTCAACAAATATGCTAGTCCACCTACATAACCAAGTATCATTGAACAGGATATTAAAATGAAAATTAAACAAGTGATAGACGAGAACACTTCTGGCTGTATACATGTTTCTAGACTGTAAAAACCGCTATAATTAAATGAATTTTACAAAGCGGATGGATATTGTTCAAGCAACAAGTACATACTTCACTATGATGTTTATAAGACCTCATTGGCTGTCGCCTTTTGCTCGAGCGCATACTTTGTAGTCTCCTTCATTGCACGCCGAGCCAATCCAACAGCAGCAGAAGCAACCAACGGGCGTGAGGCTCTCAGCGTTTTTTTTTCTTTCAGAGTAGCAGTAACATCGATCATTAAAATGTCACGCCACAAGCATCCGAAGCACTTTGGCCCATTAACTTTCCAGCGAATGTTTTGCCAGGCGGCACTTGGTGCGACAAAACAGCAAGAATATTACCAAGAACAGAAAAACAACGCTTCATCGGTAAATCCGTGATTTTGTTGAATGCACTATTATTTTAAACCTGCACAGATACACTTTGTCATTTTTTTGTTGAACAGAAAATAACAAGTGCGGCAAGCTATAAATGACCTAATCGAGAACTATGCATAATGTTGCACAAGGTAAGCGTCATGCCAGTCACCGAAAGCACGTAAGACGCAACACCGTATTACTTGCTTTTCTTTCTCAAGGACTTTCTTTTTCTTTCTTCTGTGTTAGTAGACGCATATAAACAATGCCTGTAAACACGGGAGATCGTTTGTCGGCGCTGCGCGCACTCATGAGCTCTGATGAATACAAGATTGATGCTTTGTAAGTTACATCTATTCTTTGTTTGTAATACTTTAGACAAAAAAGAGCAACAGTAACTTTCGACTACTCCTTTCTCTTACAACGCGATTCGGAAAACTCACTGTTGGCTATCTATTTTATAAAGCTTGATTCCATCTGAAGATTCTCACCAGGTTAGTAAGTCATGAAACGTGAAAAAGTTTTTTTTATTCTTGCAGTTGTTGTCTCCGGAAGCCAGGAAAAACGTACTCATTTGAATATGTAACAAACGTGTGTATATATTGACTTAGAGCGAATACATTGCTGACTGTGATAAACGTCGATACTGGATATCTGGTTTCACTGGTTCTGCAGGTATTATACGCGTAATGGGGATGGTGCTGTTTTGTTGGAAGGCAAGACGATGCGGGGGAAGGATATGAAGTATGAAGTTTTTGTTTTTCTCACGCCTTAAGCGGAAAAGGTTATGCCATTGTTTCGACCAAGGAAGCAGCATTGTTCACGGACGGCCGATACTTTTTGCAAGCTTCTGAGCAACTGGATACCAACTGGACCTTGATGAAGCAGGGCTTACCCGGTGTGCCTACGTGGCAAGAATATATTGTCAAGGTAAGGTGGAGATGTGAAGATGGTGTGTGCGGTGTATATCTGCTAACAGTAGTGCGTGGTAAATGCAGAACTTGCCTAGTGGATCGCGCATTGGTGTTGATCCCGCCCTCATCACCGCAGGTAAAGAATATTCCTTGGTTTCCAACAGAAATAATTGTAACGCATGATATTTGGCATTATTGATGATGTATTTGCTGCTATATAGCGGATGCACGACTTCTTTCCGAGTCCCTGAAAACAGTCGACTCGTCTCTTGTCCCTGTCCACGAAAACCCCGTTGACAAGGCATGGGCTGATCGACCAGCTGCTCCTCAAGACGTTGTAATCAGCCATCCAATCAAGTTTGCTGGTAATGTCAATATAAGGAATATTCTTCTTGTTTTGGTTTGGAGGCGGGGCGGAGAAGCAGGGCGGACACCAAGAGAGTTGGAACGAGAAAAAAAATCCGTAACATTATATCATCCACACTCACACATATAACAATTCATATCAGGCAAATCACACGTAGACAAGCTGGACGATGTGCGCAAGTATATCCAGGGCAAGGATGCCTTTGGTGTGGTTGTCTCGGCTTTGGATGAAGTAGCATGGTTGTTCAACTTGCGTGGTTCGGATGTCGAGTGCAACCCTGTCTTTTACTCGTACGCTATTGTTTCCTTGTCCGACGCCATCCTCTATGTGAATCCTAGCAAGATCACCGAAGAAGTCCGTCAGCATCTTGGCGACCTCGTTACTTTGAAGCCCTACACCGCAGTGTTTGAGGACCTGAAGCAGATCGGTGACAAATTGAGCGTCACTGCCAAGAAACTAATCACCAACAGCAAGACTAGCTTGGCTGTCGAAGTTGCCGCCGGCCAGGTATAGCAGATATATAGTGGAGGCAGGAAAAAAGAGAGAGGTATAATTAATCCTTCATCATCTAACGCTTTTTTTTTTTTCAAAAAGACCAATGTCCAAGAAGAGCGTTCCTTCATTAACGATGCCAAGGCCATCAAGAACGAGGCCGAATTGAAGGGCATGCGCGAATGCCATTTGCGCGACGGTGCTGCACTTGTACATTACTTTGCATGGCTTGAAAAACAACTCAAGGCGGGTGTTACATTGGATGAAGTCGATGGCGCGGACCGTTTGGAGAAATTCCGTGCTGAACAAGCTGACTATGTCGGTTTGTCGTTTGATACCATCTCTTCCACTGGATCAAATGGTGCCATCATCCACTACAAGCCGGAAAAGGGAACATGCAAAACGATTGACATCAACCAGATCTATCTTTGCGATTCTGGAGGTCAATACAAGGACGGAACCACTGATGTCACTAGAACCTATCATTTCACCCAGCCTACGGATTATGAAAAGCGATGCTTCACTCGTGTGCTTCAGGGGCACATTGCCATTGATGCTGCTGTGTTCCCTCAAGGCACTTCAGGTAATTACTTTATATGGCTGGGATCCATGGTATGAGAAAAGTGAGTAAACGTGTTGATACACATGGTGCATATCTGTATGGTTTTATAGGTTATCTGTTGGATCCATTTGCCCGCCAAGCGCTCTGGAAGGATGGTCTTGATTTCCGTCACGGCACTGGTCACGGTGTTGGTTCGTATCTGAACGTGCACGAAGGTCCTCAGGGCATCGGTGTTCGCATTGCTTACAATGACACTCCCTTCTCGGCTGGCATGACCGTAACAGATGGTAAGTTATAGAAGTAACCATCAATGGAACAACTGTCATTATTCACAAAACATTAAACACGTTCAAATGGATTAGAACCGGGCTATTATGAGGATGGCAAATTCGGTATCCGTATCGAAAACACATTGATTGTGCGTCAAGCTCAAACACAACACAACTTTGGCGAACGCGGCTATCTCGGATTCGAGCATGTCACTCTGGTACCCATGGGTTTGAATCTGATTGATGTGGATTTGTTGTCGCCTGCTGAAAAGAAGTGGGTCAACGATTACCATGCCGAATGCTTGCAAAAGATTGGTCCTCTTGTTGCAAACGATCCGGATGCCGTTGCTTGGTTGAAGCGAGAAACCACCCCCATCTAAATAAAAGAAGTTAAGAAGTAATTGATCCCTATCGGCTCTTGAGCTTTGTTTTCTTAAAAATAATATCACTTTGATGCTTCACTTGTGTTTGTAAACATGTACTTGAGATGATGATACTTGGTAATATGACACACAGCAGGTGCACCATATACAATTCTGACACCTGCACTCAGAATATCAGCTCTGTAACCAAGCAACCTGTTGTCCATAGTCACAAACAGTTATGATGTTGGGCGTGCAGAGTTTTGCTTGTATTATCAGTTATGTATATACCCGGCTTACTGAAATGGTGCGCCACAAAACGTATCGTGCCTGTGATAATTGTCAGTGTTTATTAGTGTTGATCCGACTCAATTGATATCTTCATAAATTGGTCATGTTTAAAAATTGGTGTACTATACTGTGGCCAAACACAGCGCACAAGGATTATGTATCACTTATGATTTACAATACTACTGTATTTGTCTCAAAGATTAATACCATTAGCTCTACTCTGTGGATTACGAACAGAAAAATTGTTATCGTCGATCACTACATTTACGGTGTTGGCAGGCTATACAATAACCATTGCACATGATTCAGCTCAACCAAAGTGAAGAGCGCCCGCTCCGGTGCTGATTGTGCCTATAATAATGCATATATAATGAGTAAATTGCTTTGATTGTTGAAAGAATAACCAAATGCCCTTAACAATGAGCTAATGGTTCAAAGCACAACCAAACACTAGTATGGATTCTTGGTGAATTTTTATGATAGTAAGAAAATTACAGAGACTCTTTACACTAATGTGGTAGCATTAGTAGTTATAGTAACAACGGAAATACAGCTAGTGTCTTTATGATAAATTAACAATGGCATATCTGTCACTGCCCCTCTACCTCATTACCGTTAATTCAATGGTTCAAATTCATCGGTATGGGCATACCAATTGGACCCAAACCTTCGTCGTCTTGCCAACAAGAATTTGACCAAGTAATTTCCGATTTAACATCTTAACAGTTCAGGCAAGAAAACCAGGGTACATCGTCTCAAAAACACAGCGAAGTGAGTTCCGCTTCGTCGTTTCGTAATGTTACTACTACGACAGAGCGCCAATGAAGTCCTAATCCTCGTCACCTGCTCCTCGTAATATATCTTCTTTACATCAGTCCGTGCGACTACGACAGCATTATCCTTACCCATTAAGTTATCATCATCAAAGATACCGTTTGCCTTCGGAGCTATGACCGGACCAACTCCGTCTGCGAACACAATGTGAATGTCGACGCACGGATCCATGCTATCTGCAACAACAACACCATCAGCAGCAACAATTGGTCATACAACAAGACCTTTGGATTCGCGCACGAACGAGGTGTTCCTCATCGTCCTCTGACAAAAAACAATCAAACCGTTCGCCTCGGCCTTGCGGAAGTAGGAAACGACGATAAGGACGACAAAATTAGATCCGTCGGGTTCACGCATCTTTGAGATAAACCTTCTCATACATCGAAGAGGGACAAAGAGTACCTCAGCTTCAAAAAGATGGTGTGAATAAAGAACAACCGCCTCATGTTCGTAATAACTAATTGTTCGACGTCTTCGTCTTCGTCTTCAGACAAGAATCCTCACAATATCAATTTTGCTGCAAGCGAAGGAGAAAAACATTTGTACAACATGGAATTCACAACAAGTAGGTAAGTAATAACGAAGAGTCCTATTTCTGTGGAAAATAGTGATGTATAAACTATTATGTTTTGGTAAGGAACAGCATATGCACTGCCGACTACCTTCCTCATTGTTATAATTCCTATTATGTAAAAGGCCAGTCCTTCTTCATAATCCATCATATATGCCCAATTCTGCTTTTAACTCAGAAACTTTCGACAGGCGTTAAACATAAACATGAATACGGTAATCAAGGAAGTGACACTGATAAAGAGCGGCAACAAGAACAAGAGGGGACAGCATCCAGCCTGCCTCAACCTTCGACGTTCCCAGCTCCGAGAGTCAGCAGTGGAGGAGGGTAGGACTAGTTGGCTCTAATGTGTTGTTGTTGCACACATTTTACATGAAAGCGCTTTGTATATTCACAAAATATGGTAAAAGCAATAATCATATCAGCCACTGGGGCTATTCATTGCCTTCATTAATATGTATACTATCCATCGATCCCACCATTAGCACAACTACAAACCTACAAATACACAGTTTCTGAGCACTCCTTTATCAGCTTAGTATCTCGTTACTTGTTCGCATTAATTCGGTTACTGTGTACGAATAAGTGGAAAAAAAACTCAAGTTTAACCAACTGTGCTTGTAGCAACAAAAAGGAGTACCGGTAGAAAAGAAGGATCGCTGTTTGTCTTGACAACGTGCATGAATGTCATATTAAAATTCTCGAGCCAAACATACGTTGCCTATGTGTCATATAATATGTTGATGGAGCTTGTTATTTCTCGGCGACAGATAGTTACAACAATACAGCGCACGCATTGTAGCATAAATATCATCATAAGCGTAATATTGACCAAATACAATCCTAACCCACGCACCAAATAAATCTTTAATTTAAACAATGATGAACAAAAAAATAGAAGCAGTATATCTGTTTTGACTATCCACTTCATCGCATTGAAGCCTTAAAGAAGATGCTGTACAGCTTCACGTCTTCTCCACACAACAAGCATGAAAGTCTAAAATCGGAAACTCAGCTTTTCAAATCAGGTTTCGCAATGAAGAGAGGCGTGGGTGACGTTGCTGCAGTGGCCTAAAATCGGTGCAAGTTGATTGCGTGTCGGAGCGGGACAGAAAAGGACGTATACGCGTATTCCCACTTCATTTTGTTCCTGTAACTGACACACTACAACTATTACAACCTGTAAAAATGAGTCGTGGATCCAGTGCTGGTTACGATCGTCACATTACTATCTTTTCGCCTGAAGGTCGATTATATCAAGTTGGTATGTGTCTTTTGTGTATATATACGCATACTTTTACCTCACCGTATAAACAAAAAGCGAGAAAGACACCTCTCAAGATTAGACGGAAAGGAGCTGATTCAAGATAAAAATATCTTTAGAATATGCTTTCAAGGCCATTTCAAATGCTGGCATTACTTCGGTTGGTGTACGAGGCAGTGAAGGCTGTGTAATTGTCACGCAAAAGAAAGTTCCCGTAAGCATCCCACTACCATTCCACTTTTCTTCATTCAAGACGCACGAACACAAAAATAAGAGCACAGTGTTGCTGACAGTTTGTGCACGTATGTAATTGAACTCTTTTGTTTCCTTTCCTCTCCTTCTACTAGGATAAATTACTCGATGCTTCGACCATCACGCACATTTTCCAGTTGACACCAAAGATCGGCTGTGTAATGACCGGCATGACGGGTAACACACATAATATATATGCGATGCGAAAAACGTAGCTGGAAAAGGTGCAGGAATTGACACACGCAAATATATGTATATTTACATATCTAGCCGACGCACGCGCACAAGTTACCAGAGCACGTCAAGAAGCTGCTGAATTCCGATACAAGTATGGCTATGAAATCCCAACGGATATGCTGGCGAAGCGTGTTGCCAACATCAACCAAGTGTATACGCAACAAGCTGCCATGCGACCACTGGGTGTCTGTAAGTGTTACTTGAACTGCGGATTGATAAAGCGATTACATATATTGGTATACGAGAAACGTGTAATAGGAAACTGCTGACACCGTATCTTTTTATACACAAACTTTAGCAATGATTCTGATCGGCCATGACGACGAATGGGGACCGCAGTTGTACAAGTGTGACCCTGCTGGTTACTATGTGGGCTACAAAGCAACTGCAGCAGGAGCAAAACAACAAGAATCATTGAATCATCTTGAAAAGAAATTGAAAAAGAACCCATCATTGAATATGGAGGATACCATTGAGGTAAGAATTTCAGTGGAAGGAAGACGAAAATAATGGATGCTTATGATGGATTTCTATTCACTAATGTGCGAAAACTATATATGAACCTACTTCAAAAAAGTTGGCAATCACGACATTGTCGACTGTGCTGGCTGTGGATTTCAAGGCGAGCGAAATTGAAGTTGGTTTGGTGACAAAGGACAAGTCAGACTTCCATACGCTTTCTGTGGACGAGATCGAGGAGCATCTGCAGAGAATCGTAGAAAAGGACTAAACATCTAATAAAATCAACGGCGACCAAGGAGAGCTCCTCGATTTTTTATCCCCCCCATCCAACAACAGGACTTGCAGGGTTTGCATTTTGAATTTATTAAAGTGATCATCTACATATCAATGAGTACATTACAAGGCGGGCCTACTTTCAAAACTAAAAGGCCATGCAGAGGAAGGTGGTGCGGCTTTTTGTATACAATGGGGAAGCTATAGTTTTCGTTTCTGATGTTTTATCATGCTTCTTTGGCGGCTAATTTTTTTTTAGCTTGCGCTGTCACCATATGTTTTTATGCGCGCTCCAGTTTATTTATTGACAGCGTGCGTGACGCATTTTATGGTTTAATCGTCATAAACTGCTCTGAACAGGCTTCGACTTATGCTTCGCAAGTGCTTGGATGAAATGGAAGATGCTGTTGCTTTCTAGCTTTCAAATTCCTTCCTGTAAACCTAAGTGTTTCCGCTAAAAAGGCTATTATGCCTACGGCTATTACGCCTTTCTCATCACACCCGCCAATGATTGACACGCGAACACAGCAGAAAAGGACCAAACAATGTTACCCAAGGCCCCTATTGCTTTATTTCTTGTCGTTATAGACTTGTTTACTTTTCACGGATGTATACACTTTACTAAATACACACATTTGTATCGTCTTTTCTCTTTTTTAAACGTTGGTTAAGGCGAGCATCTAATTAGCTGTGTCGTAAAAGCCCTTGATTTTTCTTCCCTTGACTGCTATTCAGGGTATTACGCGTGTTAGGCATTATTATTCCACAAAGATGACAGGAGTGCAGCATTGGAACCGTTGGTGCTCGATTCATCCTTCCGTACCAGGTCATCAATCGCTCTTCTCCCTGACTTTCGTAATATATCACAACCACTACTATTTCCATGTGCTGCTGTTATCTCGTCACCCCTTTCGCGCTTATCTTCAAGTATGGTTTCTCGTGATAGGGCACTGGAGCGTACATCTTTGGAGCATAATAGACAAACATAAAAGAACCATCTGTCACAATTAGCAGAGATCTCAGAGAGAAAGATAGAAAGCTAAATACGTATTATCACGTACATTAATACGAGTATCATCGTAATTTGTGTATGTAGAACCATAATCTTAACGAGAAAACGAATAGAAACGGAAACATTTATGTGAATAGTCATCTTTATGCGAGCTCCTGCTTCTTTGGCAAGTTAGCCAATTTTAACCTTGAATTCCTAAATTTACAGTTACTGTTTTTTAAAGTGTCGTGCCGTTGGCCATCAGATCATCATATATTACTTGTATCTTTTTGGGTATATCATCTTGGCAGATATATATTTCTTCCTGCCCTGATACTGATAACTTTGCCCATTTTCTTTATAATGGATGCTGACGGGATCGTAGAATTGGCCACGAGTGTCTGGTTTTCTGCTGTTGCTGACAGGATCTTGGATTGCACCAAGGATGTCCGGATTCTTTGTGTTGCGAACGGGGTCGCCATGAAAACTGCATATAGTAGTATTCGCTGCGGTCTTAGTGTTGCTGATAAACAATGAAGCCACCCAACGTATCTGGAGCTTTGGTGGTGCGGGTATGATCACTCTCGAACTTTAAGCTTGCTGGTTTGAAACCATCGGCCTGTAAATCCTTTCTTTCCTAGTTTTTCGAGCCACCATTGGGCGCGTCAACAGTATCGACAGGTTGGACAGGATGATAGCCATGCCGAAGTTTAATGATAAAACGACGTATGGATTGTATAGCTGGATATCAGTGCAGGGGCGGGTAAAAGCATACACCTTCATATGTTATATGGCAAGATCCGTTATCCGACTGACCGGGTACTCTTTCTGAAAGCAGTCTTCTTTATGCCGTTCTTTGGCATTCTGAGATCAACCATAAACCTGGTGCGGAACCATTCGGTGACTTAGAAGCCAGTGCTTTGTCCATTCCCTTCTCTCGATAAAGCGTGGTATGATGCAAATGTTACCATTTAAAGAGAAAAGCAGAATAATTTGTAAGCAAACAGATCTGGTTCGAGCGGCATTGCTTGCGTGATTGGGAGAGCCCGTGTCACCATTGGATGACATTTCTCTCCTGCTGGCCGGGACTATAAAAATATACTGAAACCCGTTCCTGAAGGTTTATAGTTTCTCTTTATTTATCCCACATACACTCATAATAATGTCGGCCATTGCTCAAGGAATCAAAGAATTAGTGAAAAAGTCTATCGCCGAAAACCCTGTCATGGTGAGTTTCTACCAAAAATCACATTTCCACTGGACTTCAGAAAGAATTCATTTTACTAATTTTCATTGTCTCAATTATAGGTTTTCAGCAAGAGCTATTGCCCTTATTGCACAGGTGCAAAAGATCTATTCGACGATCTCTCGGTAAACTACAAGGCACTTGAACTCGATATTCGGGACGACGGTCCCGATGTACAAAAGGCACTTTTTGACCTGACCGGACAAAAGACAGTGCCCAACGTATTTGTCAATAGCAAACACATTGGTGGTTACAGTGAACTTGACGAAGCATACAAGAGTGGCAAGCTTGAGGCTCTTCTCAAGGAAGCTGGTATCAAGCAATCGAAATTGTAATGTGAAAAAGAATGATTTCTTGTGTAAACATAGCTTTATAAGAAGCATCTGCTTCCTCCCTTGTCCCTTTCTCGTATAGACACAATGTACTGTAGACATTACTTTGATCTCCCTCTCCCTCTATTCGCAACTCTATATCATTTGGTCTCATCTCCATGTCACAAAATAAACCACATTCATCAAACATTACGTCAAATTCTTGGGGGATAAGAGATGAGGCAAGGGAACAACTAGCATTTCATCACCTGGGGATGAGAGCAGGTGTACTTTTTCATTTTGCTTGTAGAAAAATACGAATCAGAACAAAACAGGTCTCTCAAACTTGACTATCATCAAAAACAGCACTTGCCTCTTGGTCAGAAAAGCTTATAATTTTTGGCATATCACTCTGGTATTCTAAGCAGTTGTATCTTGGCGTTGCCTGTTATACATTTAAATACGAAGTAGCTCAAGGTGCGTATCATATGCACCAAGGCATTCACCACTATATGCTTCCAAATGCGACTTGTGATTCATCAGAAGCTTTTTTCAAATGTTTTTTTTACGAAGAGGATATCAAGTTCAGAATTTTGCGTATCTTTTCTTATCGCCAAGCACTTTTTTGCTGTTTCGGTTTCCTAGAAACTTCGGTTTGTCAATTAAAAGCATACCTTGACCGTATTAGCGGGCCTCTTAAGCGCACAACATTAGAGTGTGTTGTACGCATTTACCCAGGAGCAATCGTAGCACACCAGTACGCCCGCTGGTATGGGAATAATTTAGCAGTATTATAAAAGAGCTGATCCCCATTTGTATCGTATGTATGATGATCGTCATGTGTTGGCTGGAACATTGATATAGGGCACAAGCCATCATCACTAAGCTATTAATAATGGAACCTTTTCGAAAATCTTCGATTCAAGAACGCAAGTAATGCGACTGAGCGCCAAATTTAAACCCAATTCGTTCCAAGTGACGCGCGTTGAGGCGTTTAAGAAAAACTGCGGAACGGGCTCGTGCTCCTCTTTTTCTTTCTCGTCTATCTTTCTGCAAAAATGTCAAAAATGAATGTTGACTCAGACAATACCATTGACGAGGGCTTGTACTCTCGCCAGCTGTAAGTATTGTAAACGATGCACTGCATCTGACCTATAGATTCCTTCAGCCTTACTATTTTCTCTTTCTCAATTTATTTTAACCATTAAACCATACGTTCTTGTATACCACGACACCCACAGTTACGTGCTTGGCCATGAAGCCATGAAGAAAATGAGCGTTGCCCACGTACTCGTTATTGGTCTCAAGGGCCTCGGTGTCGAAATTGGTAAATTTAGAAAAATACGGGCATATATTTTTCATCCTGATTAATAAGAAATGGCGCTTGCTTACACATAAACTAAAACTATTCTTGTTTCCCAGCCAAAAACGTTATTCTCGCTGGTGTAAAGAGTGTCACCCTGTACGATAAGACACCCGCTTCTATTTCTGATTTATCTGCACAGGTAGCGTACTTTGTAGTATTGTTAATTAACAGAAAACAGAAAGTAGCAGCTCTTATTAATATTGCTCTGTTTTCTTTTTTAGTTTTATTTGAGACCTGACGAAGTGGGTCAGGAGCGTGCTAAGGTGTCACAGCCAAGACTTGCAGAACTCAACCAGTACGTTCCTGTCAAGGTTTTGGAGGGTGATTTGACGGAGGAAACATTGAAACAGTTCAAGGTTGTTGTCGCAACAGAAATGAACCTTAGCAAGCAGCTCGAGATCTCAGAAATTTGTCACGCCAACAATATTCACTTTATTTCTACCGAAGTCCGCGGTTTGTTCGGGTAAGCATGGGCAATTTTAAAGCGAACTTTCCAACACCCCTCGGGTGCTGAGCTTGAGTACTCATCTGTATCTAATCGCGGTTTTCCTTTTGACTTTGTACATTATAGTCGCATCTTCAACGATTTCGGCAAACAGTTTGAGGTTATTGATGCAACCGGTGAAGAGCCTTTGACTGGCATGGTTGCTGCCATCACCAGCGTAAGAAAAACGAGTCATTCTTAGTGAAAGATGGAAGAAAGAAACGTTTATGTATTAAAACGCGTATTTTTAGGATGCCGAGGGTGTCGTTACCTGCTTGGACGAAACGCGACATGGTTTTGAAGATGGCGATTACGTTACATTCACCGAAGTTCAGGGCATGCCTGAATTAAACGCCTCCGCACCCAGAAAGGTCAAGGTTTTGGGTATGTTGTTATTGATCTATATTATGCTTGAGATTGGTTGTCAATTAGAAAGATTCAGAAAGACTTAAATCAACTTATCATAGGCCCTTATACCTTCAGCATTGGTGACACGTCCGGAATGGGCGAGTACAAGACCGGTGGTCTCTTCACTCAAGCCAAACTTCCTAAATACGTCGACTTTGTAAGTTTTCTTAAAGTCAAAAACATTTCGTGCATGTGGGCAAAGAAAAAAGTGAATCTTCAGGCACGCTAAGACATACTGAACTGTTATTGGTTTTAATAGTTGTCCTTCAAGGAATCATTGAGCAAGCCCGAATTTTTAATTTCTGACTTTGCCAAATTTGATCGCCCTATCCAATTGCATCTTGGCTTCCAAGCTCTCCATCAGTTTGTTGAAAAGAACGGACGTTACCCCAAGCCCCGCAACGAACAGGATGCTTCGGAAATTTTCGAACTGACAAAGGCTCTCGTAGATACCGTCGAAGATAAGCCTGAACTCGACGAAAAGGTTATTAAGGAATTGGCATATCAATCAGCTGGTGAAATTTCGCCCATGGTTGCTGTCTACGGTGGTCTTGGTGCCCAGGAAGTTCTCAAGGTAATACAAAGATAGCTCTTCAGTAAGGTATTTGTGAGAATAGGTCTGATCGTGCTTTTATAATTAATACTAGGCTGTCAGTGGCAAGTTCAACCCTATTCATCAGTATATGTACTTGGATGCATTGGAAGCCTTACCGACAAGTGTCAAGCTTTCTGAGGAATTGTGTGCTCCAGTAAGTGTATCAGTATTTTCTGCGTCAATATTATATGTACTCAATGACTATGTCTTGCGCATACTATAGTCCGGATCTCGTTATGATGGTCAAATTGCAGTGTTCGGCAGAGAATTCCAGGAAAAGATTGCGAACACCAAGGAGTTCCTTGTCGGTGCCGGTGCGATTGGTTGTGAAATGTTGAAGAACTGGGCCATGATGGGTCTTGGTTCAGGTCCAGAGGGTGCCTTGTACATCACTGATATGGATACCATTGAGAAGAGTAACTTAAACAGACAGTTTTTGTTCAGACCCGCAGATGTTGGTGTAAGTATGAATACTAAGTTGGTCAACTAGCCAATGTGTGCCATTTTTTAGTGTGAAGACAAAACTTATAACCAACGGCTTTAACAATGTTGCTCTGTTTTTGTCACTTGTTTATATAGCAATTGAAATCGCAAACTGCCTCCAAGGCTGTAACAGCCATGAATCCTGATTTGACCGATAAAATTACCGTCTACCAAGAACGTGTCGGCCCTGACACTGAAAGTAAGTCCAGTGTTATATAATATAAACCGCCTACGGTTATTTTTCTATGGATACACACTTATTAATGTTCCTCATTTGTTTAGACATTTACAACGATGATTTCTTTGGTGCATTGTCTGGTGTAACCAATGCTTTGGATAACGTAGAAGCACGTAAATATATGGATAGACGATGCGTCTACTACCACAAGCCTCTGTTAGAGTCCGGAACCTTGGGCACAAAGGGTAACACACAGGTATGTCAATTGGTTTATAGAGGCTATCCAGATGGCTGTGGCAACTCAGAGAAACAAGACTAACAGTAAGCGCTGCTATAGGTTGTAATCCCCTTCTTGACCGAATCATACTCCTCTTCCCAAGATCCACCAGAGAAGGCTATCCCTATCTGTACGCTCAAGAACTTCCCCAACGCCATCGAGCACACCATCCAGGTACTTTATACAGGAGAAATTAGATTTTTTATTTATACTTTGAGGAACGATCATACTAATGAAGTTTTGCATCTTCAAATAGTGGGCTCGCGATTTGTTCGAAGGCTACTTCAAACAGCCAGCAGAAAACGTCAACTTGTACCTGACTCAACCCAACTTTGTCGAGACTACGATGAAGCAGGGTGGCAACCAAAAGGAAACCCTGGACACTGTATACAACTTCTTGGTTGCTGAAAAGCCTATTTCATTCTCGCAGTGCGTTGCATGGGCAAGACTCAAGTTTGAAGAGATTTACCACAACAATATCATGCAATTACTCTTCAACTTCCCCAAGGATTCGGTCACATCCACTGGTCAACCCTTCTGGTCTGGTCCAAAGCGCGCACCTGAGCCTATTCAGTTTGATCCCAAGAACGTAAGTGCCTGTCAACAAGAATCATAACGAGTAAAACATTACATTTGTATATTGATCATGCTTGTTATAAAATAACATGTTAGCCTATTCACATGGACTTCGTTGTATACGGTGCCAACTTACACGCATTCAACTATGGACTGAAGGGTGAGACGGATCGTGATTACTTCTATAAGGAGTTAGAGAACGTCATTGTACCAGAGTTCAAGCCTAAGGAAGGTGTTAAGATTCAGGTGCAAGAAAATGAGAACATGGATCAGGATAACGGTGGAGGTAAAGTACTTATATATATCGATGCACAATGCCTGGTGTCAAATATTTACTATGCAATGCTTACAAAAAACTTCCTAATAGATTCTTTGGATGAAACTGCCAACAAGCTGCCAGAAGCTTCCACTTTCGCCGGCTTTCGCCTGTCGCCTTGCGAATTCGAAAAGGATGACGATTCCAACTTCCATATCGACTTTATTACAGCTGCATCCAACTTGCGTGCTATCAACTACGGCATTAACCCTGCCGATCGTCACAAGACCAAGTTCATTGCTGGCAAGATCATTCCTGCCATTGCTACTACCACTGCGATGGTAACTGGTTTGGTGTGTCTTGAGCTGTACAAGATCATTGACGGCAAGAAGTCTTTGGAAGATTATAAGAACGGTTTCGTCAACTTGGCTCTGCCATTCTTCGGTTTCTCTGAACCCATTAGTGCTCCCGAACTCGAATATGATGGCAAAAAGTTCACACTGTGGGACCGTTTCGATATTGACCGGGATTTGACACTTCAAGAGTTCATTGAGTACTTTGAAAAGGAGCACAACTTGGAGGTTACCATGGTATCCTCTGGTGTATCCATGCTCTACTCATTCTTCATGGCCAAGAAGAAGGCAGAGGAGCGTTTGAAGATGAAGTAAGTTTCTAAAGATCTTAAAAAATAAAAAGAGGAGGGACAGGGAGAGACATCGATTATTCTAATCACGAACAAAA